TGTGTGTGTTGCGGCTGCGTGTGTGTGTAGTGCTTACCAGGAAGCGATGTCTGTGTGTCCGTGCTCGGTGCTGGCAGTACAGGAGGAGAGGTTTCCCGAGCAGCAAAACGGGAATAGAGATCAGAGCTAGAACCACTAGCACTTTCTGTACCACGGCCTGGAACACATCAACAACATAGGGTGTGAGACACGCAAAGGCACACACTGACACGTAAAAACAGAGAAGGAGAAGCACCCATCGATATACAGACACACACACACAGACACACAAATACACAGACAGACACACACAGACACATACACACACACACACACACAGACACACACACACAAACACACAAATACAGTCACACACAGACACATACACACACAGACACATAGAAACACACATACAAACACACAAACACGCATACACATAGACAGACACACACACACACACAGACACATACACACACACAGACCTGGCCATGGTACAGCTCAGAGCTGGGAGACATGAAGAAGAACATGTCGATGAAGTTGACGAGGAGACTTGGACAACATCTGAATCCCAGGCCGAGTAACGCAGCCATTTATACACAACCAGGAACAGCAGGTACCCGAACAGCGAGGTCAGGAAAACCAGCTCCGGCAACAACACCAAGACTATCAACGCAAATTGCTTTCTGTGTCTGTGTGAGAGAGAGTGTGTGAGGGAGTGTGTGAGAGAGTGAGTGAGAGAGGGTAAGAGTGAGAGAGAGTGAGTGTGAGAGGGTGAGAGTGTGAGAGAGGGTGTGAGAGGGTGAGAGTGTGAGAGAGAGTGAGAGAGGGTGAGAGTGTGAGAGAGGACGAGAGTGTGAGAGAAAGAGTGTGAGTCAGAAAGAGTGTGAGAGGGTGAGAATGAGAGTGTGAGAGAGTGTGAGAGAGAGAGAGAGAAAGTGTGAGAGAGTGAGAGAAAGTGTGAGAGTGAGAGAGTTGTGAGAGAGTGAGTGTGAGGGAGAGTGTGTGTGAGTGAGTGTGTGAGAGTGTGTGAGTGTGTGAGAATGAGTGTGACTGGGTGTGTGAGTGAGAGTGAATGAGAGCGAGTGAGTGTGTGTGTGCGTCTGTGAGTGTGCGTGTGTGCGTTGGTGAGTGTGTGAGAATGATTGCGTGTGACTGAGTGAGTGTGCGTGTGTGAGTGAGTGAGTTAGTTAGTGAGAATGAGTGTGTGAGTGAGGATGAGAGTGAGTGACAGTGTGTGTGAGAGAGAGTGTGTGAGAGTGAGTGAGGGAGTGTGAGTGAGAGTGAGTAAGTGAGAGTGAGTGAGTGTGTGAGAGAGTGTGTGTGTGTGTGTGTGTGTGTGAGTGAGTGAGTGAGTGAGTGAGTGAGTGAGTGAGTGAGTGAGTGAGTGAGTGAGAGCTGCGGTTGATCTCACATGTAGTTGAAGAAGCCAAGAGTGACCCCAAATGTCATGTGAACGACTCCCAGAATCACCGACATCTTCATCTTAAAGGAATTCAGGAAACTCAGCTTGTTTATGGCCAAATGCCAGATCTGGGAATGAGGAACAGACTTCATCTTCATCACATCATCACAATAATAATCGAATAATAACAATAATAATAAAACAATAAAAATCTATTAATAATGTATTATCAATAACGATAATATATTGGCAATAATATTAATAATAATATTAACTCCGACTCCTCTCAGCCGCTGAGAATCAGAATCTTACAGGAGGCCCATCATGTGAAACAGGTTCTACCCAGCCCCTCCCCCACTATTACCCAACTAGCCCCACTCCCCCGCTCTTCCCCCAACTAGCCCCCCTCCCCAGCTCTTATCCCAACTAGTCCCTCTCCCCCGCTCTTACCCCAACTAGTCCCTCTCCCGTGCTCTTACCCCAACTAGCCCCACTCCCCCACTCTTACCCCAACTAGCCCCCTCCCAGCTCTTACCCAACTAGCCCACTCCCCTCTTACCCCAACTAGCCCCACTCCCCACTCTTACCCCAACTAGCCCCACTCCCCCTGGACAGTCAGAGATTTTGAGGGGTGGAGGGCAGGGCAGGGAGGGTGGGGGTAGGAGGGTGACTGAAGGCTGAAGGCCCGACCTCCAGTGATGGGGGACGCGGAGCAGGCCAGAGCCCCCCGAGCGGAGGGAACGGGCAGGTTGATATGGGGTTAGCAGGTCACAGAGGTGGGGAGGAGCCAGACCGTGGGGGCTTGGAAGGCAAGGACAAGGATTTTGAACTGTATCCTCTGGGGGATGAGGAGCCAGTGGAACCGGGTGGGCGAGGGTGGGAGTGATGGGGTCATGGAGGTTCTGCCAAACAGCAATGATTTACGACAAAAGTAAAATAAAACACAAAGCAAACGCAACAAAATGCTGGTGAACGAGACAACCAGGAGAACAGACCTGGAGATAAGGGAAGAATGAATTCACAGCAACTCACTGCTCTTACTAGGCAGAGGCAAACTACCTGATCTTTCCCATATACACTGTAAAGTGTAGTGACTGTATTTTGTGGGTGAAACGCAGCAGCCAATTACGCACAGCAGCGTCCCCACAAACAGTCGTGGAATGAGTGACAAAATTATTATTATTTTGAAGCGATTATTACCACCGAAAGCGATCCATCAATTGACTAACAACCAGGTTCTTATTTACTGTTGGTAAACAGTGTGTGAAGTAAGGAAACTTGCCCAACGTTTCGACCTGACCCGCCCCAGAATTGAACCCAGGTCCTCTCGCTCTAACCACTAAGCTACAGGACACCATGTAATAATAATAATCCTTGCATTTGATTAGCGCTTTTCACGTCAGGAGGACGTCCCAAAGCGCTTCACAGAACACACTGTAAAGTGAATTGACTGTATATTTATGGGCGAACGCGGCAGCCAATTGCGCACAGCAATGTCCCACAAACAGTCATTGAATGAAAATGACCAATTTATTATTGTTTTGGGTTTTGGAGGGATTATTATTAGGCTCTGTGTGGAGTAAGGAAACTTGCCCAAGGTTTCGCCCTCTGCCTGGAATTGAACTCAGGTCTCTCACTTGCAAAGCGAGTGCTCTAACCACTGAGCTACAGGACTCCAAGTAAGTAGGAACCCAGTTGTGAGTCGATTAGAGGATCGCTTTCTGGCGGTAACAATCCCTCCAAAAATATAAGAATTTGGTCACTTAATCCACGACTGTTTGTGGGGACGTCGCTGTGTGCAATTGGCTGCTGCGTTTTGCCCACAAAACACATAGTCACTACACTTCCAAATCGCTGACTGTCCAGCTTCTTGGGACGTGAAAGACGCCGTGTAGATGTAATGTGTTGTTGTTGTTCACAGTGTGTTCTGTGAAGCGCCTTGAGTCGTCGCCGAGACGTGATAAGGATTATTATTATGATATATTTACTGTGTAACCAGGCACCAAACTCACCGGATCGATACCAAACGGGTAAACACCCTGAACCACCCCCGAGATGTTAGGGTCCAACTGGTTCCCAACCAGCAACCTGCAAGGGGGGCGGGTTGGGTGGGGTGGGAGAGAGTAAGTGAGAGATTTGCATGTTCACACTCACTCACACTCTCTCTCACACTCTCTCTCTCATTCTCTCTCTCACACTCTCGTTTTCACTCTTTCTCACACTCTCTCTCTCACACACACTCTCTCACACACTCTCTCCCTCTCTCACACACTCACCAGCAGGACTGGTTGTCGACGTGGCTGCACATGCGGCTGACATGCCAGGCCGAGGGGAAGATGGCCAGCGATTGACTGAAACAGTCGTTGTAGACGAGGCCGGTGTAAAGCGAAAACAATCCCATCAGCAGCAGCAGATACCGACCCCCAAAACAGGTCTGCCAGATCTGAGGTCACAGGTCACAGGTCACCACTGCTCGTGTGTGTGCGCGCGCGTGTGTGTGTGTGTGTGTGAGAAACAGACTACAGGGAGTGGGGGGGGTCGGGGACTCAGACGTACCTCGTTTTCTGCTGATTTGACCTTGGGATCATTTTCCTCAAGAACCATCCACAGAGCAAAGAAAAACATCAGCGCTCCATGTCCCACATCCCCAAACATCACCGCAAACAGGAAGGGGAATGTGATGATGGTGTAAGGGGCTGGAGGAGAGAGAGAGAGAGGGTAAGACACAGCACAGAGCTCCCGCTACAGCCCCCTGACAGAGAACAAGTGTGTGAGAGAGAGTATGAGATGGAGGAACAGAATGAGACACACAGAGAGAGAGACTGAAGGGAAGGAGGATGAGGCTGACACACAACTCACCAGGGTTCACCTCCTGGTAGCTGCCGACACCGTACGCGTCCACAATGCCCTGGAAGCCAGCGGTGAATTTGTTTGTGCGACAGAGTGTGGGCGGAGTGTGGAGGGTCTGCACCTCGTTATAGAACGAGGGGACAGAGGAGCCACTGCGACGCTGTGAGGGGCAGAGACCAGAATCAGTGACACACACACGCACACAGACCCAGTGACACACACAGTAACATACATACAGTAACACACACACAGTGACACACCTACAATAACATAGTTATACACACAGTAACACACAAGTGACACCACACGCAACACACAGTGACACAGTGATGCATACAGTGACACACACACAGTGACACACACACACACAGTCACAGTGACACACAGACAGTGACACACACAGTGACACAGTTACACAGTGACACACTCACCACCCCAACCAATCTCTCTCATTCAGTCTCTCGCTCTCTCTCTCACTCTCACATGCTCTCTTTCACACTCTCTCTCACATGCTCTCTCTCTCACACATGCTCTCTTTCTCTCTCACTCACTCTCACTCGCTCTCACCCACTCCCTCTCTTACCGAGCCCTCCTCCAGTGCATGGCGGAGTCGGTGGAGCTGAGAGACCGGACACCAAACCTCAGCGATCAGACACTTGCCGTGACGTCGAAGTTGCACTGATTCAGAACCAAATAAATCGCTTTCATCTTCCTGACCCTGAGGGACCAGGTGTGTATCACCTTCACTGTGCGTTCCAACACCTGAGCCAGGTAACCCTCTGTTTGGCTCAGCACCTGTGATAGAGTGAGTGAGAGTGAGTGAGAGTGAGTGTGTGTGTGTGTGAGACAGTGTGTGAGTAAGTGTGTGTGAGTGTGTGAGAGTGCGACAGTGTGAGTGAGAGTATGTGAGACAGTGTGTGAGTGAATGTGTGAGCACACCCCGCTCTCACCATCTGAAGGTCATGGGTTCGTATCTCCAGGTCACGGAGGGTTTCCTCTTGCTCATCTGGGGTCAAAGGGTACGGGAAGAGGTGACAGTGAAAACTGTGAGACAGAGAACGTGAGAGTATGTGTGAGAGAGGTTTTGTTTTGCCATCGGGTGTCTGACACACACAGTAATCCTATTATTATTATTATTATTATTAACCCGGTGGTTGTTTAAAAGACTCCAACCCCAGCTGAGAATTCCCCAGATGAGATTGATAAATTTCTTTTGGATAAAAGGATTAAGGGATATGGGGACATGGTGGGTAGGTGGAGTTAGAATAGATCAGCCATGATTTTATTGAATGGCGGGGCAGGCTTGAGGGGCCGAATGGCCTCCTCCTGCTCCTAGTTCTTATGTTCTTATGTTCAAATCCCACCCACACGGAAATCCCAGAGATGGATTGTTGGACTGGAATGTGTGCGCTCTCTCTCTCTCCCCCTGGAGGGATGCCCCCTGCTTACCTAATTCCAGAGAGTATTAGACGCAGGTTGGCCAGAGCCAAGGCTTGGGGGGGGAGCCCAGCTTTCCCATTGAGAGAGAGAGAGAGAGAGTGCTGTCTGCCCAAGCTTTCCCACTGCTTGTCCAGCTAGGACCACTCTCCCCATTAGTTAGTTGGTTAGTTAGTAAGTTAGTTAAGGCTTTGGCTGCAGGGTTAACAGGAGCTGAGGGGGAGGAATCCCTGATAGTGTGACACAGAGATAGTTGGGGTGAGGCTGGGGGTCAGGGTTAGGTTTGGGGGTTTAGGGCTGGGGTCAGACTCGGGTTCTGACCAATCACAGATCTTCCTGACTTTCTGCCCAATCTGTTCACCCCAAAACGAGATGAGGAAAACGGTCCAACTGCTGGGCTCGCCCTGAGAGAGAGAGAGAGAGAGTCTGTGAGGCAGTGAGTGAGAGAGTGTGTGAGAGAGAGAGAGAGAGTGTGAGTGAGAGGGTCAGTGAGTGTGAGACAGTGAGAGTGCGTGAGAGTGTGAGTGTGTAAGAGAGAGTGAGAGTGTGTGAGAGAGTGAGAGTGTGTGACAGTAAGTCAGAGTGAGTAAGAGAGTGTGAGTGAGTGTGAGAATGATTAAGTGAATGTGTAACAGAGAGTGTTGAGTGTGAGAGTGAGAATGTGTGAGAGAATGAGAGACCGTGAGAGGTGTGTGGAGTTGTGGGTGGGGTGTGTGGCATTGTGTGCGTGTGGGGGTGTGTGTGGGTGATGTGTGCGTGTGGGTTTGTGTGTGTGGTGGGGGGGTGTGAGGGTGTGTGTGTGGGTGTGTGTGTGTGGGGGCGTACTGACTGTGTGGGGGTCTGGCAGCTCCTGGGGGTGGGGGCTTAATTGGATGATGAAGTGTCCACGACAAACTCTCCACAGCAAACGCTCCAAACCCAGAGCCCGACCGGGTCCGACCAGCCCCGAGATTATACTGTAACATAGAGACCGTCACCCACCCCCCCACACACCCTCACACCCCACCCCCTACACACACACCCTCCTCCCCTCCACACACACCCACCACTGACACTCACATACACTGACACACCCCCCACACTAACACTCACACACACCCTCACACACACCCTCCTCCCCTCCACACACACACCCTCACACACATACCCACATGCTGGTACACAAACCACACCCGTGCACACACTGACACACACCCACACTGACACTCGCGCACACAACACACAGACAGACAGACACTGACCTGAGTCTCGCTGGGCAGCTGAGCCGGGGTTTGGTTCCTGTTGGTCTCCTCCTGGTCGGGCCCTGTGAGAGGCATTCCAGCGCCATCTGTGACACAATCACTGGTCACACTCACCCTCAGCTCATTGATCACTGATCAGTGTAAACTGATCCGGTATTGGTTATTGATTACCTCTCTGACCAGCAGGTGTTGTGTCTCAGTGAGAACTGCTCGGTGCTGTCGCAGGTCACTGAGCCTCGTCACCAGCGACGATCGACTCTTCGTCACCTGATCCCAATTCCTGCTGAAGCTGCTGTGATTCCCTCCTGAATCCTCAACAGGTCCCGTGGGAGCGGAGCCGACACATCGTCCTCTTCATCCACCCGTGGCCTCAACCCAGCACGATGCACCTCCTGCCCAGGCTCGCTGCGGAGAGAGAGAGAGGGAGAGATTGTGAGAAAGTGAGGGAGTGTGAGAGAGAATGAGGGAGTGTGAGTGAGAGTGAGAGAGAGTGTGAGTGTGTGAGAGTATGTGAGAGTGTGAGGGAGTATGAGAGAGAGTGTGAGAGAATGTGTGTGAGAGAGAGCGTAAAAGAGAAAGCGTGAGAGAGTGAGGAGAGAGAGAGTGAGAGTGCGAGAGAGAGTGAGAGTGCGAGAGAGAATGAGAATGCATGTGAGAGTGTGAGAGTCCGAGAGAGTGTGAGAGAATGTATGAGAGTGTGAGTGTATGAGTGTGAGACTGTGAGCGGTGTGTGGGAGAGTGTCTGAGAGTGAGAGAGAGTGTGAGAGTGTGAGAGTACGAGAGTGTGAGAGTGCGAGAGAGTGAGAAACAGTGTGAGAGTGAGAGAGTGTGAGAGTGAGAACAGTGTGCGACAGAGAATGGTGAGAGAGTGGAGAGTGGAGAGAGACAGTGTGAGAGTGAGTGTGAGAGTGAGAGAGTGTAAGAGAGAGACAGTGTGAGAGTGAGAGATGAGATGGTGTGAAGAGTGAGGAGAGTGTGAAGTGAGATGTGAGAGGAGAGAGAGTGAGAGAGTGTGAGTGTGAATGAGTGTGAGAGTCACTCACACAGGGTTCTCTCCAGCTCCTCACAGCGACGGATTTCCCCCACAAAGCGTCTCTGGAACAAGTTCACGTTCTCGTTCAGCTGAAAACACACAGTGACACAGTCACTACACCTTACAGTGTTTGCTGTGAAGCACATGGTGTCAGGCGCTGGGTCAGAGTTAGGATTATTATTGTTATTGGAGTGAATGTTAGACACCACAACATGTGGGTATGTGGGTCAGACACACGGCTGATCACGGTGGACAGGTTTCCCTGTGTATAGGTGTGTGTGTGTCTGTGTGTGGGGTGGCGGGCGGTGTGTGGTGGATGGGTGTGTGGGGGTGTGTGTGTGTGAGTATGTGGGGTTGTGTGGGTGTTTGGGGTGTGGGTGTGTGGGTGTGTGGATGTGTGTGGGTGTGTGTGTGGTTGTGTGGATGGGTATGTGAGTGTGTAGGTGTGTGTGTAGATGGGTGTGTGTGTATGTGGGTGTGGGTGTGTGTGTATGTGGTGGTGGGTGTGTGTGTAGGTATGTGTGTGTGTGTGGGGGTATGTGTGTGTGTGGGGGTGGTATGTGTGGTGTGGGGGGGGGTATGTGGGTGTGCGTGTGGGTATGTGGGGGTGTGTAGGTGGGTGTGGTGTAGGTGGGTGTGTGTGGGATGGGGTTTGTGGGTGTGTGTGGGTGTGTGGTGGTGTGGTATGTGTGTGTTGTGGGTGTGTGTAGGTGTGTGTGGGGTTGTGGGTGTGTGTAGGTGTGTGTGGGGTATGTGGGTGTGTGTAGGTGTGTGTGGGTATGGGTGTGTGGTGGTGTGTGTGGGTATGTGTGTGTGCTGTGGGTGTTTGGGTGGGTGTGTGTGGGTAGTGTGGGTGTGTGTAGGTGTGTGTGGGTATGTGTGTGTGGGTGTGGGTGTGTGTGGGTATGTGGGTGTGTGTGGGTTATGTGGTGTGGTAGTGTGTGGGTCTGTGGGTGGTGTGTAGGTGTGTGTGGGTATGTGGTGTATGTGGGGTATGTGGTGTATGTGGGGTGTGTGGGGTATGTGGTGTGTGTGGGTGTGTGTGGGTATGTGGTGTGTGTGGGTGTGTGTGGGTATGTGGGTGTGTGTGGGTATGTGGGTGTGTGTGGGGTGTGTGGGTATGTGGGTGTGTGTGGATGTGGGTGTGGTGGGTGGTATGTGGGTTGTGTGGTGGTGGTGTGTGGGTATGTGGTTGTGGTGTTGGGTATGTGGGTGTGTGTGGTGTGTGGGGTGTGTGTGGGTATGTGGTGTGTGTAGGTGTGTGTGGGTAGGGTGTGGGTATGTGGGTGTGTGGGTATGTGTGTGTGGGTGTGATCACGGTGAGGGGGGGGAGGGGGGTCAGTAAATACTCACGTCTCTGAACTGGACCAACCCGATGTCTCCGAGTTCAGCCAGCCAATGATAAGCGGATCCCGACTGAAGGTACAACTGAGCCAAAGACATGGTCTCCCCCCGAAACAGGGACCCCATCCTCACTGCAACACCCCCTCCCTCCCCCCCCCCCCTGTCTGTGTCTGTCTGTCTGTCTGAGTCTAAATCTCAGTTCCCCTTCTCTTCTGTCTGTCTGTGTGTGTGTCTCTCTCTCTCTCTGTCTGTGTGTGTCTCTCTCTCTCTGTCTGTGTCTCCTCTCTCTGTCTGTGTCTCTCTCTCTCTGTGTGCGTCTCTCTCTCTCTGTCTGTGTGTCTCTCTCTCTGTGTGCGTCTCTCTCTCTCTGTCTGTGTGTGTCTCTCTCTCTCTCTCTGTCTGTGTGTGTCTCTCTCGCTCTGTCAGTGTCTCTCTCTCTCTCTGTCGTGTCTCTCTCTCTCTCTCTGTCAGTGTCTCTCTCGCGTCTTGTCTGTCTCTGTGTGTGTGTGTCTCTGTCTGTCTGTCTCTCTCTTCACAATGAAGGAAATCTCTCGGTTCCTCTTCTCTGTTGCAATGAATCTCGTGTCTCAATATCTTACTTTTTGCCTCTCACAGTCTCTATGACTCCTCTCTCTCTGTATTTCTCACCCCCCCCCTGCCCCCCCCTCCCCCACCCACTCCCCCTCCCCCCACCCCCTCCCCCACACCCCCACCGCCCCCCAGTCTCTCACACTCAGTCCTTCCCTCTTTCCGCTTTTCTCACTAAACAGAAACTTGCTGTTCCTCTCTCACTCTCTATCTCTCTCACTCTATCACTCTATGTCTCAATCTCTATCTCCCTCACACTCTCTCTGTCCCTCTCACACTCTCTCTGTCTTCCCTCTCTCTCTCTCTGTCACTCTCTCCTCTCTCTCTCTCTGTCCCTCTCACTCTCTGTCCCTCTCACTCTCTCTCTCTGTCCCTCTCACACTCTCTCTCTGTCCCTCTCACACTCTCTCTCTCTCTCCGTCCCTCTCACACTCTCTCTGTCCTCTCACACTCTCTCTCTCTGTCCCTCTCACACTCTCTCTCTCTCTGTCCCTCTCACACTCTCTCTCTCTGTCCCTCTCACACTCTCTCTCTCTGTCCTCTCACACTCTCTCTCTCTCTCTCTCTGTCCCTCTCACACTTCTCTCTGTCCCTCTCACACTCTCTCTCTCTCTGTCCCCTCTCTCTCTCTCTCTCTCTCTGTCCCTCTCACACACTCTCTCTCTCTCTCTGTCCCTCTCACACTCTCTCTCTCTCTCTCTGTCCCTCTCACACACACTCTCTCTCTCTCTCTCTCTGTCCCTCTCACACTCTCTCTCTCTCTCTGTCCCTCTACACACTCTCTCTCTCTCTCTCTCTGTCCCTCTCACACTCTCTCTCATTGGATCAGTCCCTATTTCCGCTTTTCTCATATGCTTTCCCCTTAAAGCGACACCTCCCTCTCCACCACAAAATCAATTCTGGTCCATAGACCCTAATTTCCCCTCCACTCTGACACTCAAATAACAACAATAATAATCTTTGCATCTGACACAGCGCCTTATCACATCTCGAGAATCTCAAAGTGCTTCACTGTAAAGTGTAGTGACTGCATAATCGCTTTCCACGAGTAATAATCCCTTCAAAAAAGATAATAATTTGGTCACTCATTCCACGACTGTCTGTGAGACGCTGCTGTGCACAATTGGCTGCCATGTTTCACTCACCGAATACACAGTCACTACACTTTACAGTGTATCTTGTGAAGCGCTTTGAGACGTCTCGACGATGTGATAAGGCGCAATAACAAATACAAGGATTATTATTGTTTATGATTAACCAACGCCGTTCTCTTTGTGTCTCTATCTCTGCCCTTTGCCCTCAGCCTGTGACCTCAGTCTTGTGACTCAGACTCTGAGCTTGTGAGAGTGACTCACATCTAAACGGGAAGTGAAACACCAGCTTCAATCGTGTTTATTGTAATATCTCTGTTTGCGTGACACACGCAGAAATCCATCACTGTGCTTAAGTGTCTCCAAACTAAACTGGGATTTACATTCATCCCACCTTCACATAATAATCATCCTTGGATTTGATACAGCGCCTTATCAAGTCTTCGAGACGTCTCAAAGCGCTTCACACAATATATTGTAAAGTGTAATGACTTGATTTCAAGATCCTCATCCTCACCTATAAGGCCATCCACGGCCTCGCTCCCTCCTACCTCTCTGACCTACTATCCCCCACGTACCTGCCCGTACCCTCCGTTCCTCCGGCTCCAGTCTGCTCCACATCCCCCGCCCCAATCGCCCTACCATCGGTGGTCGGGCCTTCAGCCTCTCGGCCCCGAGGCTCTGGAACTCTATCCCCCAGTGCCTTCGCCGCTTCCTCCCTCTCCTCCTTCAAGGCCGGTCTCAAGACCTTTCTCTTTGACCTTCAGCCTTCAGCTCCGCTCTCGACTCTACCCCCTCCTCGCTACCTCCCTTCCCTCCCCTCACCCTGACCATTTACCCCGTCCTCGCTCCCTCCACAGCAGTGTCCCCACAAACAGTCGTGGATTGAAGTGACCAAATTATTACTTTTTTGAATGAATTATTACTTCCGTAAAGCGATCTGCCAATCGACTAACAACCGGATTCCTACTCACTGCTGGTAAACAGAGGAGTGAGTGTGTGCGGAGTAGGGAAACTTGCCTGAGGTTTCGACCTGACCTGCACAGGTCAGAATTGGAACAGGTCCTCTCGCTTGAGAGAAAGTGCTCTAACCACTGAATGGAAATCCAGAGAGAGATTGTTGGAATGGTCGCACTCAGTACACCTCCTGCTGACAGCTCAGAAACACAGGGGAGTCAGAGTCGCCAAAGGGAACAATACTGTAGAGAATAACATTGTAAATATCATTGAGAATCTAACCCAAAATAGGCAGTGTCGCTGGGCATTGTCGGACACACACCAGGACATGTCTGTTCCCGGGTGGGTGGGGACACAAGGCCTGGTCACTACCTGAGACCACATCAGAGCTGAGGCTGACATGACGAAGGCCGAGTTAAACAATAACCTTTGATCTGGTTGTGACTCTGTTTCTTGGCTGCCATTCCCCACATCCTCACAGGAGGCTCTCAGCGGTTCAGTCACTCGCTATCTCCCTCGACAGCCATTGTTGTGGGTTCGTTCCCCCCCCCACCACGTCGGGGACTTTGAGCTCAAAGTCCAGGATGGAGAGAGAGAGAGAGAGCACTGGGGGGAGACTCCGTCCTTTGGAGGAGACGTTAAACCTCACTCACAGGGGGAGCGGGGGAGCCAGGGGGAGGGGAGCCAGGGGGAGGGGGGGGAGCCAGGGGGAGGGGAGCCAGGGGGAGGGGGGGAGCCAGGGGGAGGGGGGGGAGCCAGGGGGAGGGGAGCCAGGGGGAGGGGAGCCAGGGGGAGGGGGGGAGCCAGGGGGAGGGGAGCCAGGGGGAGGGGGGTGAGCCAGGGGGAGGGGAGCCAGGGGGAGGGGGGGGAGCCAGGGGGAGGGGAGCCAGGGGAGGGGGTGAGCCAGGGGAGGGGGGTGAGCCAGGGGGGGGGGGGGGAGCCAGGGGGAGTGGGGGGGAGCCAGGGGGAGGGGGGGGAGCCAGGGGAGGGGGGGAGCCAGGGGGAGGGGGGGGGAGCCAGGGGGAGGGGGGTGAGCCAGGGGGAGGGGGGGAGCCAGGGGAGGGGGGGGAGCCAGGGGGAGGGGGGGGGAGCCAGGGGGAGGGGGGGGAGCCAGGGGGAGGGGGGGAGCCAGGGGGAGGGGGGGGGAGCCATGGGGAGGGGGGGGGAAGGTGAGAGACCTGAAAGTAGGAAGGGGGGGTCCGAGGGGAAGGGAGTGAGGAAGGCAGTTCCAGAGCCTCGGGGCGTAGTGGCTGAAGGCACAGCCGCTGAGAGTGGAGGACTCGGGGGACGAGGAGGAGCCCAGACCCGGAGGAACGAAGGCAACGGGTACTGTTTTGAGGAGAGAGGAGGTCAGAGAGGTCGGGGGGTGTAGAGGAGTGGAGGGACTTGAATACAAGGTGAGGACCTTGAAATCAATCCTCTCTGGGACAGGAGGCAGTGCAGTCTGAAACACAAAGCTTCACGCTGTTTGTGGGGATGTTGCTGTGAACAAATTGGCTGCCATGTTCATCTACAATATACACAGTCACTACACTAATCAGTAAATCCTGCGAACGCTTTGGGACGTCCTCCTGATGTGAAAATCTCTGGGTCAAATGCGAGGATTATTAAAGAATAAAAGACACATAAATAAATCAGGCAAATAAATATATAGCCACAAGAATTTAATGACAAATGACAGGTTGTGCCCTGATTGTGACCAGATAAACAATAGTCACAGAGTAAATAAAACATGTGACATCGAGTTAAAGGTTCAGTGGTTATTACTAACTATCGGCCGAGAGTGAAGCCAGGGAATCTCCCACATCACTCACACTCCACGTGTAACCTCCAGCTCACTAACCCTCTCGGTCCCTAACTACACAGCTCTTGTAACTAACAGCACATCGAGCACTAAGGATCTGTGCGCAATTGGCTGCCGCGTTTCACCCACAAAATATACCGTCAATGCACTTAACAGTATATTGTGTGAAGCGCTTTGAGACGTCTCGATGATGTGATGAGGCGTCATATCAAATGCGAGGATTATTAACAGTATTTTTATTATTTATTATAACTAATACCCTGTACCAGGCTCAGCGTTGCCAACTTTCCAGTTTCTCAAAACAGGATCGTGGGGTCTCTGACCCCCGACTGCAGCCACTTCTCTCACAGTTTAGACACGAGTCAGCAAGAAAATTGGTCGCTCAATCCACGGCTGTTTGTGGGGACGCTGCTGTGCGCAATTGGCTGCCGCGTTTCACCCACAAAACATAGTCAATTCACTTTACAGTATATTCTGTGAAGCGCTTTGAGATGTTTCAATGACGTGATAAGCCACTGTGTCGAATACAAGGATTATTATGATTACTATTATTATTATTGTAATAAACGTGTTTTCTTTATGAACCCAGCCCCGTGAGTGACAGGTGCCAGGGTCTATCAAGCCCATTTGCAGTGGTTCATTTTTGACACAATATTAAAAGTATTAATAAAAATAAGAAAAATATATTTTATCCAATGTTTTATCCAATGGGTCACGCGGCCTGAACGTTCAGAATCGGAAAAGAGAAGGGAGTTTCTCTCTGTCTCCCGGTGTCCTGGCCGACAATCCCCAGATAAAAATGACTACTGCATTTCGCCCAGAAAATAGACAGTCACTACACTTTACAGTAAATCCTGTCAAACACTTTGAGTCGATTTGACAACGTGATAAGATAGAACCCAGATAAAAGGAATGTTTGGCTTCCACACTTTTAAAAATTCATTAAAAATTGTGGGAATTGGTGGGAAATGAAGTATCATTAAATATAACCTACCCACTCACTCACAAAATACACTCAATCCCCTTTATATATTATATCATGAAAGTGAGAATATCAATGCATTTCTGCCAGGATGCACCCAGGCCCCAGTGTGTTGTGCAACAGGAGTGTGTTGTGTTGTGTGTTGTGTTGAGGGGAGTGCGTTGGGGACTGTGGTTCAATGTTGAACATGCAGGTTGTTTGACTGACCATCCCACAGATACAATCACTCATTCGCTTCACAACAACAACAACAGATTGACTATAAACAGCCCGTGCCAACGCCCACAAAACACTTTCCAATGAATCCCGAGACATCCCGAGAGGATAACAAACCACTGGGTGAAAAGCCAGAATTGTGGTCAGCAGGTGATGCCGTGAGGATTTAGAGAAGAGATTTCCCTGAGATTTCCCAGGATCATCAGTAAACCCGAGTTATTGCTGTGAGTTCCATTTACAGGCTTCCTCTTCTATCAGTTTCTCTATTATTTTCTCAGCTGCGTGAACCAGATTCATGTTACACAAAACCTGCAGTAAGTCGTTAACTTTGGCTTGTCGGCCAGATTTCTGGATCCAAGTCTGAAGCATTTCGTATTGTTGCTCGTTGCCTTGCCTGGGGTGGTCAGCCTCAGCTCGGAAAATCTCAGCGTCCAACACACCAATGCGTCTCATAAACTGTTTCCAATGATTTCCAGGAACTTCATTAATAACCAAATAACAGACAAATGACCCTGAAACACAAACACAACCTTCAATACAAAGCCCAACACGTCAGTAACCTCACCACCACCAACTCACCACCACCCCTACCTCAAACGCCCCCCCACCTCAACCCACCTCACCCCCCACCACCTTACCCCCTCCTCACACCCACCTCACCCACTCCACCTCACCCCCACCCACCCACCATTGGGCTGAAGACCACTGACCTTTTTTGTTGTCGCTCAGACAGTTATCGATCTTCTCGGGAACTTGTAAACTCTCTATCAGAGGCTCCGTCCCAACCTGCAAACCAGGGGCAGGACATCAGGTCACACAGCAACAGGCGGCCATTCAGCCCCTCCAGCCTGTCCCACCTTCTATCAGACCGAGGTTGATCAGTGCCTGGACTCCAATTACCCCCCTTCGCCTCCAAACCCTCGACCCCCCGACAACCTGACAATCTCAGTTTGAGGATGTGAATGGATCCACAGCCAGAAACTCCCCCCAACACCCTCCCACCTCCACCTGCCGCCCCTCAGGGAGAGGGGAGGGGCAGCATTTGTGTTCGGGCGGAGGTTAGTGTCTGTATTCGGGGAGGGGGGGGGGTAGTGTCTGTGTTCGGGGGGGGTTTATTGTGACCTTACGTTGCTTTGGGTGGAATGAATTTTCCGTTGCTGGTGATGCGGGGGGGCGCTCGGCTGGACCCCGGGATTTGTGGTGGGGGGGTCGGTGCCGAGGACAGGGAGGATCTCCTGACGTTCCTGATGCTCCTGATGTTCCGGGAAGTTCTTTGCTCTCGGATTCTGATGATCCGCGGCCGGGAGCAACATCACCATCGGCTCTTCACGGAGGTCTTCGGGGGCCTGACCCTCCCTAACCACAGGGGAACTCTGGGGGGGGGGGGAGAGAACATGTCAGCCGAGCTCCGTCACTCTCTCTCTCACTCTCTCTGAGTGTGTATGCGAGTGTCTGTGTAAGTGTCTGTGTGTGTGAGAATGTCTGTGTGTGAGTGTCTGTGTGTGTGAGAATGTCTGTGTGTGTGAGTGTCTATGTGTGAGTGTCTGTGTGTGTGAGTGTGTGTGTCTGTGAGTGTCTGTGTGTGAGTGTCTGTGTGTGTGAGTGTCTGTGTGTGTGAGTGTCTGTGTGTGTGAGTGTCTTTTTGGGGGCGGGGAGGGGGGTTGTGTCTGAGACTCACCTCCGGCTCCTGTAATCCACTTCCCTCCGAGGCTGTAACACAGGCACAGTTACTGTCTCACTCCCACACCCCACCCCCCACCTACCCCCCATCTTCCCCCTGTTCACACACTCCCCCCGCTCACACTCACTGCCCCCCACTCACACCCCACCGCCTGCCCTCTGCCTGGCCCCCCGCTCACACACAGCCCCTGCCCCCCCCACTCACACGCACCCCCCGCTTGCCCCTCCACTCACACACACACACCCCTGCCCCACCCACTCACACACACCCCCCGCCTGCCCCCCCACTCACACCTACTCACACACACTCACAATTTCACTCTCACGCACTCCTGCTCACACCTACTCACACACATGCTGACTCACACCTGATCACTCAAACCAGCTCACATTTGTACCTCTCACATCCATGATCAGAATCACACCCACTCACACATATTCACAACCACACTCATAGGAACATAGGAGCAGGAGGAGGCCATTCAGCCCTTCGAGCCTGTTCCGCCATGTTATTCGATCTTGGCTGATCTGTACCTGAACTAATCAAATTCTCCTCCCTCAACCTTCCAAACTCAAGGGAATAAAATCCCGGTTTACGCAGACTTTCCTCGTAACATAACCCTTTTAGGGCCTGGTCACGTTCTGGTGAACCTGCGCTGCCCCCCCGCCCAGGCCAATTCCTGAAGTTTGGTGCCCAAAACTGAATGCAGTTTTCAGACCTCAGGCCTCCAGATGAAGACCAGCGTTCCATTCGACTTTTTGATTATTTTTGCACCTGGGAACTAGTTTTCATTGATTTGTGGATATGAACGTCCAAATCTCTTTGTTCCTCCACAGTTCTTAATTTCTCCCCGTTAAGAAAATATTCTGCTTTATCTTTTTTTGTCCGTAGTGGATGACCTCACACTGCACTGAACTCCATCTGCCGCAGCACTGCCCACTCACTTAATCCGTCACGCTCACACTCGTTCACACTCCAGCAGCGAACACCAGCGACGATGGCGATGACAACGGCGATGACGACAATCACAATAACTGTGAAGACAATAAAACTGTTAATTAACCCCTTCACTTTGGTGCCTCTGACGTTCGAGGGTTAACTCGGTGCCTCGTGACTGACATCACCGCAGTGATGGATCCGGTGATGGTGTCAGAGCCGGTGACCCGTGTCGGAGCCGGTGACCCGTGTCGGAGCCAGTGACAGCGTCGGAGCTGGTGACAGTGTCGGAGCCGGTGACCCGTGTCGGAGCCGGTGACAGCGTCGGAGCCGGTGACAGCGTCGGAGCCGGTGACGGGCTGACGAGCTCGATCATTACCTGTAATTGCTCCTGGTGAGAGTCCGGTTGTTTCCGGGGCGATGCCTGACCGAGCTTCACACACGGTGTTAGACGTGGAATTACAGTGTCTCACAATCACCTGCTCAGCCGTGCACCTGAAACACACACATCACAGCGCGTGACCTCAGCATCAGCTCAACCCCACAGTCACCTTAACCCTCACTCACTCCCCGTCTGTGCTCCCCTCGGGCGGGTGTTAAAGACCTCCCCCCGCGGGACTGTCGGGGGAAAGAGAAGGGAGTTTCTCTCTCCCTCCCACCCCCCTTCCCGGTGTCCTGGCCCCCAGATTAAATCACTCGCTCGCTTCACAGCTGTTTGCGTGGACGCTGCTGGGAGCAAACCGGCTGCCGGGTTTGCCCACAAAACACACAGTCACTACACTTTGCAGTGAAGCGCTTTGAGACGTCCTTGTGACTGACACAAAGTTTGCTGGATCAAATGTAAGGACTACAGTAAATCCCACCATTATATCTTATACTGTAAAATATACATGTTATGATATAACAAGTAATTATTTATAATTTAAAAATATTAAAGCACAAGATTAATATTATTATCATTATTATTAATATTATTATTATCATTATTACTCACGTCCGACACTTGGAGCACATCTCACACGTCTTTTTGGGAGAACAGAAATACCCGGATTTACACTGACAAACTGTGTTGCTGTGAGGAGTGCAGTTGGACACGGTTTCCTGGTCTGTGTGACAACAACAACTTGTGTTTGGCCAGAACTTCGTTGGAACGACGGAAACACACACATTCGATACAGCGTCGCGGCAGGTAAAAAAAAACTAATTCTTATTTGTTTTTTGAGGGATTATCATCCCCGGAAAGTGATCCACAATCAATTAACAACCGGTTGCTACTGACCTCTGGTAACCAGAGGCATGTGTGTGTGTGTGTGTATGTCTGTGTCAGTGTGTGTGTCTGTGTATGTGTGTGTGTCTGTCTGTGTGAGTGTGTGGAGTAAGGAAACTTGCCCAATGCTTTGACCTGACCCGCCAGGGAATTGAACCTGGGACCTTTGGCTTGTGAGGCGAGGGGTCTAACCCTTGAGCTACAGGAGCTGTGGCTTGAAAGGCGAGGGGTCTAACCCCTGAGCTACAGGACTCCACGTTACCTCCTCGTCTACAGCGATGACAAACAAAACATCGAACCTCCGTGTTCTCGTACTCAGTGTAGGTTTGGCTCTCACAAGGTCTACAGACCCCCTCAGTGTCCGGCTCCGAGCAGGGGTCAACCATGTAGGTTCCTGTGATCAGCAAAAACAAACAACAACATGACCGGTGGCAGAGCAGTTCATGTCTCGCTGCTCTGTACTCTGGGTGGGGGTAGGGGCAGGATCCCAGCAGAAGAGAAATACACAAAATAATCAGTCACTACACTTTACAGGGAATCCTGTGAAACCCTTTGAGACATCCTCCTGACATAAAAGGCGCAGTAGCAAATGTTTTTTTGGGGGAATTGTTTTTTTGGTCAGCCGTGTATCTGACCCACACGGAAACCCGTCACCGTGACCGGCCGGGTGTCTGACCCACACGGAAACCCGTCACCGTGATCACACAAGTGTCTCCAAACCAAATGAGAATTCCATGTAACTCACCAACACATGGAAACTGCAGAAGCAGTCTCGCCCCCTCAACCCCCACTCCCACCAACCCACCTCTACCACCCCACCAGCCCCCCCCCCCCCCTCCTCATATGTGAGGTAACAGTTACTTACCGGGGGGGCAGGGTATGCACCGTCTGTGGGGGAGGGGCTGGTAACCGACAGCCGGGAGCTCATTACTCATCCCCGGGGGTTTTACCAAGGGAACAGCAGAGACAGCGGCCTGAGAGAGAGAGAGAGAGAGTGTGAGAGTGAGTGTTTGCGCGTGCGTGCGAGTGTGTGAGCGCGCGAGTGGGTGAGCGCGAGTGGGTGAGCGCGAGTGGGTGAGCGCGAGTGGGTGAGCGCGAGTGTGTGCGTGTGCGAGCGTGTGTGGGTGTGTGTGCGAGTAGGATTGCTCTCTGATGCGCTGTTTATAGGCAGTAAAGCTCTTGCCCAGAGCCGGAAGCTCAAACGGGAGATTGTGAAAGGGGTTTGGGAGGAGATATGGGTTCTTGCATCATTTCCCAAGTAATTGTCAGTATAAACTGAGTGTTTATAAACCCTTTTAGTTCAGCTTTTTGTTATAAAACATGTAAAGATAAGAAGAATATTAATACATTTAAATATTATTTTACAACAATTATTTGTGATAAATATATTATTTAGTGGGTGAAATGCAGCAGCCAGTTTGCAAACAGCAACATTCCACAAACAGCCATGAAGTGAGCTGATTTTATATTATTGTATTAATTTCCATTTATTATAATTATTATTATAATTCACCTACAAACATTAATCTACTTGCTACACTTTACAGTGAAATTATGTGAAGTGCTTTGAGGTTTCTTACTGACGTGAAAGGCTCTGTATCAAATGTAAGGATTATTATTATTATAATTAGAATAAGATTTATAATAATAATAATAATCCTTGCATTTGATATAGCGCTTTTCACGTCGGGACGACGTCCCAAAGCGCTTCACAGAACACACTGTAAAGTGAATTGACTGTATATTTGTGGGCGAACGCGGCAGCCAATTGCGCACAGCAATGTCCCACAAACAGTCGTAGATTGAAAATGACCAATTTATTATTGTTTTTGGTTTTGGAGGGATTATTATTAGGCTCTGTGTGGAGTAAGGAAACTTGCCCGAGGTTTCACCCTCTGCCTGGAATTGAACTCAGGTCTCTCACTTGCAAAGCGAGTGCTCTAACCACTGAGCTACAGGACTCCACTTTATATATTTAATATTTATTATATTATTAGGGTTTAAATTGCGTTAACTTATTAAACAAGCATATTAATTATTGCAATCTACTCTAGTTTATTGATCAACAATAAATTAGATTGTATAGCACCTCTCACATCAGGAGGATGTCCCAAGGCGCTATATGAAAATTTACTGTAAGTTGAAGTTACTGTATATTTTGTGGGTGAAACATGGCAGCCAATTGCGCACGACAGAGTCCCCACAAACAGTTGTGAGTGAGTGACCAAATTATTATTATTATTTTATGGAAGAATTTTTTCCCGCCAGATCCTGGGTGGGGGGTGGGGGGGGGACACTAACAACCCAGATCCAGTCTGTGCCTGTTCTGGGCGGTTGTTAATAATTCTGTGAAAAGGGAGTTTCCGTCACTCTCTCTCTGTCCTCTTGTCTTGGCCAATAACCCCAAATAAATTCATTTATTCACCTCGTCGCTGTGCGCAAAACACACAGTCACTACACTTTACAGTAAACTCCAGTGAAGCGCTTTGAGATGTCCTCCTGACATGAAAGGCGCTGTATCGAATGTCAGGATTATTGTGATGATGATTGATAATAACATTTTAAAAAGGGGAACAGTTTTTATTTAATCCTTAAATATGTCATTCGGAATCAGACTTTTTAAACCGAGACCAAAAGAGAGAGAAAGAGAAAGAACAGCGATACAGACAATTCCAACAACAATTACACAGTGACCCCCACACAGAGGGGAGAGGGAGTGGGGGGACAGCGCTGGACAGTGGCGGAGAACGACACTGAGCGGGAGGGGGGGGGGGGGGGTTTACAGCACAGACAGAGCCCCTCCTCACTGCCCCCCCCCCCCCCCCCCCCCCCCCCCCCCCCCAGGTCCCCACTGCCCCCCCTCCCCCCCCCCCCAGGCCCTCACTGCCCCCCTCCCAGGTCCTCACTGCCCCCAGAGCCCACCCCAGGCCCTCACTGCCCCCCCCCCCCCCCCCAGGCCCTCACTGCCCCCCCCCCCCCAGGCCCTCACTGCCCCCCCCCCCCAGGTCCCCACTGCCCCCCCTCCCCCCTCCCCCCCAGGCCCTCACTGCCCCCCCCCCCCCCCAGGCCCTCACTGCCCCCCTCCCAGGTCCCCACTGCCCCCCCTCCCCCCAGGCCCTCACTGCCCCCCTCACCCCCCCCCCAGGCCCCCACCGCCCCCCCCCAGGTCCCCACTGACCCCCCTCCCCCCTCCCCCAGGCCCTGACTGGGGGGGGTGAGGGGTGGGGGGGGTGAGGGGTGGGGGGGGGTGAGGGGTGGGGGGGGAGGGGTGGGGGGGGGGTGGGGGGTGGGGGGGGTGAGGGGTGGGGTGGGGGTGGGGGGGGTGAGGGGTGGGGGGGGGGGGGGGGGGGGGGTGGGGGGGGGGGTGAGGGGTGGGGGGGGTGAGGGGGGGGTGAAGACTTACCCCAAACGCTGTGATCAGCCACAGGAACAAACTCGGCTTTTTCATTTAATTTCGATTCTAACTTTTTTTCGCAAACAGTTTGAAAAACTTTTTTCACCAAAAAACAAAACAATAAAAGTCAAAAAAAGTCCAAGTTTCTACAACTCCGAAACTCAGAGAAACTCAAAGAAACCACCAACAGCGACGGGGATCGCGAAACAATAATCTTCAGCCCCTCCCACACAGCCCCACCTCACAGACCCCTCACACACAGCCCCACCCCCTCACACACACAGCCCCACCCCCTCATACACACACAGTCACACACAGTCACACACACAGCCCCACCCCCTCATACACAGCCCCACCCCCTCACACACAGCCCCACCCCCTCACACACACAGCCCCACCCCCTCATACACACACAGTCACACACACACACACAGACACACAGACACCCCGTGACAAGGCGCTGTACCAAATATTATTACTATTATTTGAGTGAAATTGAATTCGGGAAATACTGGAAAAAGAAAAATGTTTCTACCCCCTCCCCCCAACCCCCACAAACAGGATTTATTGTAAAGCGTAGTGACTGTGTGTTTTATGGGCAAACCCGGCAGCCGGTTTGCTCCCAGTGAGGTCCCTACAAACAGCCGTGAAGCGAGCGAGTGATTTAATGTGGGGGCCAGGACACCGCGGTGGGGGGGGGGGGGAGAGAGAAACTCCCTTCTCTTTCCTCCGACAGCCCCGCAGGGGGAGATCTTTAACACCCACCCGAGCGGAGCACAGTCGGGGAGTGAGTGAGGGTTAACATCTCCTCCGAAGGACGGAGTCTCCCTCCCCCCAGCGCTCTTTCTCTCTCCGCAAAGTGTAGTGACTGTGTGTAGTCACTGCTTGTCACTGCACCAGATAAGTGCAAGTTGTCGTTTTGTCATCAGTACAAGTTGCTCTCAATAACATCCCTCAAACAGCCACAAGTGTGTGAGTTCCTGGAGATTGTTAAGACAGTACACTGGGGGGGGAGGAGGTGGAGAGAGAGAAACTCCCTTCCCTTTGAGAATGCGCCCCAGGTATAATTAGCTATAAATAGCATCTGATGGTATGTGATGTGACGGAATCACTGAATGGCTTCAGGTTCTGCAGCCAATAACATGGAGACACGGAGCTGTGACTCATATCAATTCCTGTAAATGTGCAGGTAAACTGTTACTGTGACTGGGGCGGGGGCACAGATCTCCCTGAAAAACATGACATTTACACGGTGACTTTCATGTTGGGAAGGACGTCCCAAGGCGCTGGACAGTCAGGGATTTGCACCCGAGCTGGAGGTTGGGATCAGGAGGGGGGGGAGGGCATGGGGGGTGGGTGACTGAAGGCGCGGTTGATTGAAGAGGAGGGTCTTGAGACCAGCCTTGAACAGATGAGGGAGGTGTCGAGGCGGAGGGACTGTGGGATGGAGTTCCAGAGGGTGGGGGCAGAAAGGCTGAAGGCCTGACCGCCAACGGTGGGGTGGATCGGCGGGGGGGGGGGGGGTAATGTGAAGCAGGCTGGTGTTTGCTGAGGGGAGGGGTGTAGGAGGTAGGAAGTCAGATAAGGCTGAGGTCAGGAAGCATTTATTCCCATGAGTAGGGTGGAGTGGGAGGGTGGGAGGATTAGGAATGTGGAACACGAGTCTCAGAGATGTGGATGTGTAAAGAGAAGAGACAGAGACTTGTAAACAGTAAATAATCCTCACCTACGGCTCCTTGTCACATCGTCAAAATGTCTTAAAGTGCTTCACAGGATTTACTGTAAAATGTAGTGATTGTGTTTTTGTTGGCAAATGCGACAATTACATCTGCACACAGCGACATCACATAAACAGCCACAGAGCGAGCCAGTGATTTTATCAGCCAGGACACCAGGGGAGAGAGAGAGAAACTCCCTTCTCTCCACCCCCACCCCCCACAGCCCCGCGGGAGATCTTTAACGTCTGTCTGAACAGGGCACAGTCGGGGCGTGAATAAGGTTTAATGTCTCATTCAAAGGGCAGCGGAAAAAGAGGGGATAAGAAAGAGAGGGAGAGGATGGGGGGGGTTAAATAAAATGATCACCTTTATTTATATTATTTGAGACTTTAACAGAAGTCAAAGTGCAAAGTTAGATTGAAACGATAAACAGTCTCACTCACAGCTTCAACCGCACATGGAGTTAATTGCACTCTGGGGCGAAGAGAATTGCACCTGAAATTAAAAATTAAACCCCCAGAAATAATCGTTCATTTGCTACCACCACCACCTCCCCACTACCTACCCCCCACCCCACCCACACACACACACATTCACTCACACGGAAATGCATTTGCCGGTCAAAGTTACGTGTGTTTTGCTGTTCCTGAGGAACTTTCAAACTATGTCCAGATCATCGGAGATCCAGCACCGTAACATCTTCCTCTGTCACCGTCACATGAGGGCAGGCCTGAAACACAGACACACACAGTGACAGAGACACACACACAGTGACAGTGTGCAGTGAACACGAGAGAGAGGATTGAGCACGAGGGACACTATCAGACAGAGAAAAGGAGACATGACAGATTGTGGCTGATTTTCTTTATCACAAAGCTCCAGGCAACTCTCCACACCCCCCACTTCCCCAGTCAGCCCCCAACTCCTCCTGAGCCCAGTCCAGTGCCCCCCCAGCCCAGGCCGCTCTCAGTCAGTAAGAGTTTGTCGCTGTGACCCGGGGGGGGGGGGGAACGACTTCAGATATTTCTCTGACGTTCATTTATTCTCCAAAACCAACAATTCAGTTTCGCACAAGAAGGAAGTGAGTTTGTGAAGGAAACATATCTTGTGATTATTGTCCAAAGCAATTCCCACTTCCTGTTAACAGGACTCACAGAGTCAGGAATTCCCCTCCCGAGTGTGAGCACTAACTCCCTGGCGTCCAGGCTGGGAATGACAGGCTCACAGTGTGAGGACACAGACCTGACTGTCCAGTGCAGTGACTGTGTGCCTGGCCAGTGTAGGGACCAGTCAGCAGGCTGGGGGGCCGGGCCGTGGGGCCGGGGTTATTACTTACAGCAAACACAGGAGGCTCTTTGCTGTGAGGGTGAAAATTTCTCTCTTTACACGACGACACTTCCTCCATCCCGTGATCTGTCAGCCTGAAAAACCCCGTCCTGAACAAACAGACCCCAGCGTTAGTGACAGGAGATAGAGACCCCTCCAGCCAACCCTCTCTTCCCCCCACCCTCCGCCCAGCTACCCCCGCCCAGTCCCTCCCCCAGCCCCCCGCCCAGTCCCTCCCCCCACCCAGCTCCTCCCCCAGCCAAGCTCCCCTACACACAGACAGACACTCACTCGCTGTACTTGGGGGAGCAGACGATGGCAACAGCCTCTGGGAGCATGAGCTGGTAGGAGCAGTGAGTGTGCAGGTCCACACTAGACAGGAACGCAGTCTGGGTCGGGTGGGTCTGAAACAAACAATCCTCAAGTTTGACACAGAGCTTTAGCACATCATCAAAGCGCTTCACACGATACACTGAAGAGTGTAGTGACTGTGTATTTTGTAGGCGGAACGCAGCAGCCAATTGCGCACAGCAGTGACCCACAAACAGGTGTGGACTGAGTGACCACATTATTATTATATTTTTTGTTTTGTTTAAAGGGAATATTACACCAGGAAAGCGATCTGTCAATCGACTTACAAGTGGGTTCCTACAGACGAATGGTGGCAGAATCCAGACTCACATGGATCCAGCCCAAGGTTATTAAACCGTGTTGATCCTGGATCAGGAAAATCTCCTCCTCGTTCTCGGTGTCACACGAGTCCGGGCCTCCTGTCTGCTTCGGCACAATCAGGTGGCTCATTGTGAACTGGTTCCTCATCTACAGAGACAGAGAGAGACGCAGACAGACACAGACAGACTTTTATTTACTCCATGATACAGTAAGCTTCACACTCTTTCTCCCTGACCTGGGAGGGTGGACGGACAGTGTGGAGGGAGCTTTACTGGTGACGTACCAGTTTGCCGGACAGAATGCCGCAGGTCTCCACTCCTCGGTTGGTGTTGGCCTCCGCCAGCCGCAGGAACATCAGACAAACAGCATTTGGTATCAGCACCTTCCTCAGCCCCTCACCACCAACATCTGCCAGAAACAGCCAGTAAAACCGTCACCTTCACTCACACACACACACAGTCACTCACACACACACACACACAGTCACTCACACACACACACAGTCACACACACACACAGCCACTGTCACACTCTCAAGAGTTAAATAATAATCCTTACACTTAAAGCGCCTTTCACATCGGGAGGACATCTCACTAGATTTATTGTAAAGGGTAGTGACTGTGTGTTTTGTGGGCAAACCCAGCAGCCGGTTTGCGCCCAGTGACGTCCTTGCTAACAGCCGTGAAGCGAGCGAGTGATTTAATCTGGGAGCCAGGACACCGGGGATGGGGGAAAGAGAAAGAGAGAAACTCCCTTCTCTTTCCCCCGACAGCCCCGCGGGGGGAGATCTTTAACACCTGCACGAGCAGACCACAGACACAGAGGGTTAACGTTTCCTCCGAAGGACGGAGTCTCCGACAATTTTAGCTTTCTCTCTCTCTCAAATGCTCTCTCGCTCTCCCGCGTGCTCTCTCTCTGTCTCCCCCACCAGCACTCTCTCTCCCCCCAGCGCTGGGCTGGAGCGCCAGCTTGGACTGTGAGCTTGGAAGCCCTGACGTGCGGGGGGGGACCTGAGACAGACTGAGCCGGGCTGAGACCGGGAGATACTCACTGTTCCATGCGGAGGAGGGTTTGTTGGAGCGATCGACTGCAGGGGGGGAGATGTGAGGGGACGACAGCCCGGGAAGTGGGGGCTGCTGAACCCCGGGGATCAGGGGGAATTGGAGAGGGTCCGGGCTGGGGGAGCGGGGCTTCACAAACTCCTGCACCACCCATCGGCGCTCCCGCTCCAGCTCCTGTCTCCGGATCATCTCCTCGAACACGTGAAACTCCTCCTGCTCCGACTGCTGCTTCTTCAGCTCAGCCACTCGCTCCCGCTCACTGGCCTCCAGCCTCTGCCTGGCCTCCAGCCTCTCAGCCTCCTCCTCAACCCTCCTCTGGGGGAGGGAGATACCGTCAGCCTCCGCAACAGGGTCACGCCCCCAACCGCCCCTTCAAACGGCCACTCACCCCTCCCCGTTTACCCGCCTGCCCATCTGTGTGTGTGTGTGTGTGTGTTGGTGGGGCGGGGGGCTGTGAATTGGGGGTGTATGTGTGTGGGTGGGAGTGTGTGGTGGTGTGGGTGGGTGTGTGTGTGGGTGGGTGGGGGTGTGGTGGTGGGGGTGTGGTGGTGGGGGTGTGGTGGTGGGGGTGTATGTGGGGGTGTGTGTGTATGTGGGTGGGGGTGTGGGGGGGTGTATGTGTGTGTGGGGGGGGTGTATGTGTGTGGGTGGTGTATATGTGGTGTGTGTGTGGGGGGGTGTATGCGCGTGTGTGTGGGGAGGGGTGTATGTGTGTGGGTGGTGTATGTGTGGGTGTGTGTGTCTGGGTGGTGCTCACCTTGCTCTCCTGATACTCAGCGAATTCCTTACTGTAGCGTTTCAGCAGTTCTGCCTTCAGCAGCTCAGCCTGAGGGAACGCGATCTCCTTCAGCCTCTGCCACAGACACAGCCGTTAGTTAGCACAGACCAGGCGCATGCACACACACATTGCGCGGGCACACACACACACACATGGGCACACAGCGCGCGGGCACACGCACAGAGCGCGCGGGCACGCGCACAGAGCGCGCGGGCACGCGCACAGAGCGCGCGGGCACGCGCACAGAGCGCGCGGGCACGCGCACAGAGCGCCACGCGCACAGAGCGCGGGGGCACGCGCACAGAGCGCGCGGGCACGCGCACAGAGCGCGCGGGCACGCGCACAGAGCGCGCGGGCACGCGCACAGAGCGCGCGGGCACGCGCACAGAGCGCGCGGGCACGCGCACAGAGCGCGCGGGCACGCGCACAGAGCGCGCGGGCACGCGCACAGAGCGCGCGGGCACGCGCACAGAGCGCGCGGGCACACACACGCACAGTGCGCGCGGGCACACTCACACCTACAGTGTGCGCACACACAGTGCCCGCACACACACAGTGCCCGTACACAATGTACACACACACACAAACAACAGAACTAACCTTCATTGTGTCCTTCTTCTCTGTGGCAGTGTTCAGTTTGTAATCCCGGTGTTTAGGCAACTTTTCCAGAAACAACCTGAGGGTTCAGTGATAAATCAGCTCCCGTCAGGGGAGGTGAGGGCGAAGGGATAATAATAATAATAATAATAATAATCCTTGCATTTGATATAGCGCTTTTCACGTCGGGAGGACGTCCCAAAGCGCTTCACAGAAGACACTGTAAAGTGAATTGACTGTATATTTGTGGGCGAACGCGGCAGCCAATTGCGCACAGCAATGTCCCACAAACAGTCGTGGGTTGAAAATGACCAATTTATTATTGTTTTTGGTTTTGGAGGGATTATTATTAGGCTCTGTGTGGAGTAAGGAAACTTGCCCAAGGTTTCACCCTCTGCCTGGATTTGAACTCAGGTCTCTCACTTGCAAAGTGAGTGCTCTAACCACTGAGCTGCAGGACGAGGAGGGGGGGAGAGGAGGGGAGGTGAGGGTGGGGTGAGGGGTGGAGAGGCGGAGGTGAGGGGTGGGGAGGGGTTGGGGAGGTGGGGTGAGGGGTGGGGCTGAGGGGAGGGGTGGGGTGGGAGCTGAGGATTGAGGAGGAGGGAAGGTGAGAGGTGCAAGGGGAGGGGGAGAAGGGGAGGGAGATGAGGAGGGGGCGGTGAGGCGTGCGGGTGTGGGAGGGGGTCACTCACGTGATGTACTTGTTGTACAGCAGGAACGCGCTCTCGATGTTACCCTCCTCTGCGTACACAGCCGCCATGCGGATCATCTCAACGCCGGAGCGGAAATACCTGCGTGGGGGCACGTGGTCGTTCACCTCTACCGTGCTGCCCCCCCTCGTCAGCAACCGCACTCGCTCCTCGGGGGGGACACTGGCCAAGATGTGGGGCTGGGCGGCCATCGCTCCGTGTCTCTGCCCACAGATGCTCAGCAGCTACAACAACAACAACAGATAATCACTTCCACCCCCAGCAGCCGGACAATGGCGCAGCCGTGGGGGCAGTGAGGGGGGGGGGACAGTGAGGGCAGTGAGGGGGGGGACAGTGGGGGCAGTGAGGGGGGGGACAGTGGGGGCAATGAGGGGGGGACAGTGGGGGCAGTGAGGGGGGGACAGTGGGGCAGTGAGGGGGGCAGTGAGGGCAGTGAGGGGGCAGTGGGGCAGTGAGGGGGGACAGTGGGGGCAGTGAGGGGGGGCAGTGGGGGCAGTGAGGGGGGGACAGTGGGGGCAGTGAGGGGGGCAGTGAGGGCAGTGAGGGGGGCAGTGGGCAGTGAGGGGGACAGTGGGGCAGTGAGGGGGGGACAGTGGGGCAGTGAGGGGGGACAGTGGGGGCAGTGAGGGGGGGACAGTGGGGGCAATGAGGGGGGACAGTGGGGCAGTGAGGGGGGACAGTGGGGGCAGTGAGGGGGGACAGTGGGGGCAGTGAGGGGGGGGCAGTGGGGGGGCAGTGGGGGCAGTGAGGGGGGACAGTGGGGGCAGTGAGGGGGGGGCAGTGAGGGCAGTGAGGTGGGCAGTGGGGCAGTGAGGGGGGGCAGTAGGGGCAGTGGGGCAGTGAGGGGGGACAGTGGGGGCAGTGAGTGGGGGAGGCGGGGGCCGGGGTTTGAAACCTGATGCTCCCCCCTGGGGACCGGGGCTGTGGGTGGAGAGTTTGCCCGGGAGCCGGTGGCTGGGCCTCAGGCTCCCCTTGGGCTCCGCGCGGGCGGGGACTGACCTGCTGCCCGGGCGGCGGCGGCGGGGCCTGGACTGAGGAGCGGCGCCTCCTGACGACGCAAGGTCAGGGGGCGGGGCCGTACGTGTGGGCGGGGCCGATGCTGTGGGCGGGGCCGTATGTGTGGGCGGTGGGCGGGGTTGTGGGCGGGGCCGATGCTGTGGGCGGGGCCTGTATCGGAAGTTGAGTCGATGTTGAAATCCTTTTTGTTGAAATTAAAGAAAATCAGGTTCCCCCCTCACCCCCTCCACTCACCCCCATCCCCTCCACTCACCCCCATCCCCCCCTACCCTCACCCCCACCCTCCACTCACCCCCACCCTCCACTCACCCCCACCCTCCACTCACCCCACCCCCTACACTCACCCCCACCCCCACCCTCCACTCAACCCCCCCACCCCCACCCTCCACTCACCCCCCCACCCTCCTACACTCACCCCCACCCCCATCCCCCACCCCACACTCACCCCCTCACACTCACCCCCCCCCCCTCCACTCACCCCCCCACCCTCCACTCACCCCCATCCCCCCTACACTCACCCCCCACCCCCATCCCCACCCTACACTCACCCCCTCACCCCCCTACACTCACCCCCCACCCTCCACTCACCCCCTCACCCCCTCCACTCACCCCCCACCCCCATCCCCCCACCCTACACTCACCCCCTCACCCCCCTACACTCACCCCCATCCCCCCCACCCTACACTCACCCCCACCCCCCCCCACCAACCAGGTTCCTGCTCGCTGATGTGGGTAAACAGTGTTTGTTTATTTGTACCTGTGTGTGTGGAGTAAGGAAACTTGCCTAAGGTTTCACCCTGACCCGGGATTCAAACCCCCACAACACTGCCCCCACACCCCCTCTTGTGCTGTGTAGTGACTGTGTTGTAAGCAAACGTGGTGGCAGCCAGTTTTTGCATAGCGACGTCCGCAAACAGCTGTGTAGTTGAATAACTGATTTTTTATTTGGGGGATTGTCGGCCGGGGGAGAGAGAAACAGAGGGAGGGAGAACGAGCCCCAGGATCTCTGACTGAATGGGCACAGGGCTGCAGCGTTAACATCTCAGCAAGTCCAGCAACACAGTGCTCCCCCCGCGCTGCCCCCCCCCCAGCCTCGCTCAGCGCTGGGGGGTGTCTGCACAGAGCTGGTCACAGTTTAGCCACAGGATGTCACAGAAGTGCGTGAGGTCAGTCAGGTCAGTGTCGCTGTTTCCCCGAGGTCTGGCTGATATCCTCACCCGCCCCCCCTCCCCCGCCCCCCTCCCCCGCCCCCCAGGGCCAGGCTCCTGGGCTAATAGTCCCACCTGATGTGCGTGTTCACTTGGTGTTGGGCCCCAGAGCCCCAGGTGTGTACCCTCTGGCCACCCCTCCCCCCCTCAGCCGGAGACGTCCTCCACGAAGGCTGCAGCCTGAAGGATCCGTAGGGATTGTACATGTACGTGGAGCTCGGCCGGTATTGCCTGCTGCCGGGGCCCAGCGGGTGGGCAGAAATGTCCCTGAAGCTCTGTGCCCCCGGAGGGCACGGGGTGTGATAGGGCAACAGGAACGAGTGTCTGCAGCCAGACATTACATCACTCACTGCTCCCCAAGGTTGGCCCGAGTCACCGGCAAACACGGCTCTGTAAGAGAGACAGTAACAAGGCAGTGAATAACAATAATAATCATTGTGTTTGATATAGAGACTCATCACGTGTTCGAGACACCCCCACTCGCCCGCCCCCACCCTCTCTTACCCGTTCCCATTCCCAGCCCCAGACCAGGGCCCGGGTCTCCCTGGTGGACGCCGGGGGTTGGAAGGCAGAGAATCCAAGCCTTTATTTCTGTGGATCAGAAAAGGTTTCCCTGCATGAGTGGCGGCCTCGGTAACAGCCCCCCCCCCACCCCACAGCCTGGGTAACAACCCCCCTCATCAACCACCAACACCCCCCCCCCCCCAAAACACAAACAACAGCTCACATGCCTTGAACCCCACTGTGACCCCAGTCAGTGAGAAGATCACACGTGCACACACAGGCACAGGCACTAATGCGCACACACACACCCATAGACACCTCACAGACAGGTGTACGAGTCCAAGCACAAGGAGGAGAGAGAGGGAGGGAGGGAGGGGAGTGAAGTCACTGAGACCCTCACCTTCGCCTCTGGCCTCTCAGCAAGTCCTCAATGTAATTCTTCCTCTCTATGCGGTGCCCACGAGATCGATTAAACACTTGAAGGGAAATAAAGGAAAGTATTTAGTGAGTGTGTGCGTCGCCCCACGATGGGGGAGGGGCTGACAGCGATGATAGACACTTACACTCAATGGCTGAATGCGGGTCCATCCCATCCACATCGATCAGGTACCTGTAACAGCAACAGGCACAGGGTCCATACAGTGTACAGCAACCCTCCACCACCCACCCACCGCCCCCCTCACCACACACACCCCCCCCACCCACCCTCACACACCCCCTTCCATCCACCCACCCCTCCCACCCACACACACCCCTTCCACCCACACCCCCTCCCCCACACCCCCTCCCCCACCCACACTCCCCCACCCGAACATCCCCACACACACAGTCCCCTATCCACACTCGCCCCACACACACCCCTCCGCCCACACAGTCTCTCCCTCTCCCCACCATTCCCTCTGTTGGAGATGAGCTCCTGAGCAGAGTCCAGGTGAGATGTTCTTACCTACAGATCAGGTAACCCGTCCTGTTAACCCCGTGAGTGCAATGAACTCCAATAAGTTTATCTAAAAGCAGACAATTTGGAAAAACTGTTATAAAGGAATTGTGGCCAAGCTTTCCTGCTGCTTGTCCAGCGAGAACTCCCCTCCCCATTAGGGCTTTGGCTGCAGAGTTAACAGGAGCTGAGGGGGAGCATTCCTTGCCCCCAGTGACTGGTCGGCCCTTCCAGGCCCTGCCCATGAGCCAGGCCGGGCTGTGCTGCCATCAGCAGTGAGTGCCCTGGGATACTGCGGCCCCTCCTGGCTCAGGAACCGGGGCTAGAGACCGTCCGGGGTGGGGGGGGGGGGAGACTCAACTCCCACATTCAAAGTGCATCAGCTTGACACCGGTTCAGCTCCAAGGAGACGCCACTTGGGAGATGGGGAGGTGCTAGGACCTGAAGGGAAGTGTGGGCAGAGACAAGGACCTTGAAGATGATCTGCTGGGAGACTGGGTAACAGCACCCCCCCCCACCCCACCACCACACTGTTGGGGAGTGAGTGGAGGCTGGTGAGGGCCAGGGCTGTGGGTGTGAGGAGTTGATGTGAATGGTGGAGTTTGAGAGCTGAAGTCAGCCTCAGAGCAGCTGTTGCCAGGCGCTGAGAGACACAGTGACATTTTACCTACCAGCCCTTGGTTACCCCAGCAGCCCCCCAACCCCTCGTCCCCAGGGGCCAGGCTCACCGTTGTGTGTGTTGGCCTGCAGGTACTCGCTCACGGCCTGTTTGAAGTGTGAAATGGTCTCGGGGTTTGGCACCGCGTGACCAGCAGTGAATATCTTCTCGAAATGTAAATACTCCGGTAATTCCTGGTGAGAGAGGCAAGGAATCAGCTGTGTGTATTGTTGACCCTATGTAATGAAACTTCCCCCTGTGTCAGGCAGGTCCTTACCGCAGGATCGTAATAGCGATCAGTGCAGGTCAGGTCGATAATCTTGCCCAGAGTTTCCTTCTGTTTCTCAATCCGTCTCACAAGATCAGCCGGAGTAAACACCTGAGCTGGGTGCAGCTTGTTTTCAAACCACTAAAAGCCAGAACAAACATATTAAAGTAATAATCCTTCTATTTGATATTGTGCCTTATCACGTCTTTGAGACTCAAAGCCCTTCACAGAATACACTTTAAAGTGAAGTGTATTTTGTGGGCGAAACATGGCAGCCAATTGCGCACAGCAGCGTCCCACAAACAGGCGTGGATTGAGTGACCAAATTATTGTTTTTTTGGAAGGGATTATTACCCCCAGAAAACGATCCACCAATCGACTAACAACAACAACTACAACATCAACAACAAAATGACATTTGCAAAGTGCCTTTCACGTCAGGAGGACGTCCCAAGGCGCTAACAACCGGGTTCCTATTTACTGCTGGGTAGAGGCGTGTGGAGCAAGGAAACTTTAACCCTGACCCAGGTCTCTCTCGCTTGTGAGGCAAGTGTCTAACCACTGAGCTACAGGTCTCCACAAATCTAAAGCCTGGCTCAGTCTCTCACGCTCTCACCTCCAAGTCAGAAGGTTGTGGGTTCAAGCCCAAGTTTGAGGATTCTGAGCTCACAATCTAGGCTGATACTCCCGAGTACCGCTGGGGTGAGAGAGAGAGAGAGAGATAGAGAGCTGGATTGCTGGAGACACCGTCTTTCAGATGAGACGTTAAACCAAGCTCCCATTTGTTCGTTTAGGTGGACGTTAAAGATTTCATGGCAAGCCTGAAAAAGAGATGGGAGTTTCTCTCGGGTTTCCTGGACGACAATCCCTCAGAGAGAACTGGTCTCTCGCTTTGCGGCTGTTGTGGGGATGTCGCTGTGTGCAAACTGTCTGTCGTGTCCTCTCGTTTCTGTCCAGGTGTGTAACAACAGCCACAAATTACATTTGTAAAGCGTCAGGAGGACAGGTCAGGAGGACAGAAGCCAACACTGACCTTCTGCAGAGGAACTTTAAACGCAATGAACCTGGTTCCTGGGAGACGTCGCCCGAGAGGTGCATAATCTTTCCATCTGCAAAAGCAAGACACAGAGTGATATCAGCTCAAACCCTCCGAGCAGAAAAGCCAGCGATCTCCTCGCTTCAAACAATAAACGCTTTCATTTATACATGGCCCTTCCCGTAGGATAGCGTCTTGCAGCACGCAACTGGCTCTACTGGCTCTCCCCCCCCCCCCCCCCCCGGCCTGGGCTCTCCCCCACCCCCCCCCAGCCTGGGCTATACCCCCCCCCCAGCCTGGGCTCTCCCCCCCCCCCCCCCCCAGCCTGGGCTATCCCCCCCGGCCTGGGCTCTCCCCCCCTCCCCCCGGCCTGGGCTCCCCCCCCCCCAGCCTGGGCCCTCCCCCCCCCCACCTGGGCTCTCCCCCCCTCCCCCCCGGCCTGGGCTCCCCCCCCCCAGCCTGGGCCCTCCCCCCCCCACCTGGGCTCTCCCCCCCCGGCCTGGGCTCCCCCCCCCCGGCCTGGGCTCTCCCCCCCTGGCCTGGGCTCTCCCCCCCCACCTGGGCTCTCCCCCCCCGGCCTGGGCTCTCCCCCCCCCACCTGGGCTCTCCCCCCCGGCCTGGGCTCTCCCCCCCTGGCCTGGGCTCTCCCCCCCCCCCGGCCTGGGCTCTCCCCCCCCCGGCCTGGGCTCTCCCCCCCAATGGGGATGCAGGGCCTCCTCACCCCGAGCCCAGGCCCCGGGCCTCGGGCCCTCCCCTCACCTGTCGGGGACGCCTTTCTTGGGCATGTTGCCGTGAGCCCGCGCTGCCGGCGGACAGTGATCCCCGCTCCGCGGCCCCGGGACCCGTCTGGCACAGCCCACGGCAACAGCACCGGCCCACAGCCTGGCCGCCACCGGAAACATACCGCCGGAAACACACTGCGCACGCGTGTCAGTCCCCCGCCACCATCTTGGTGAAGTAGACACCCCCTGCCGCCATCTTGGTGAAGTAGACACCCCCTGCCGCCATCTTGGTGAAGTAGACACCCCCTGCCGCCATCTTGGTGAAGCAGACCCACCCCCGCCGCCATTTTAGTGAAGTGGACCCACCCCGTCGCCATCTTGGAGGGGTAGACCCGCCTGTCGCCATTTTGGTGAAGGAAACCCGCCAGTCGCCATCTGTGGGGAAGAGAACCTTCAGCACAGCCTGAGCCACACGTGAGCACTCGGAAATTGAGTCTGGAACGTGCGGTTTAAACGGAGAAATTGGTTAAAGTTGGGAAGGTTCCGGAGTTTACTGTAAGGCCTCAGACCTTCCCTGCTCACAGCTCAGACAGTGGCCACCAGGTGGCGCTTTTCCCGCTCCAACCAGCAGGTGACATGTTCCCGCTGTGGCCACGAGAGGGCGCCAGAGTCACGCCATTGAGTGGCCAAAGCCTTTCCTGCAGCGACAGTCAGACCCTCAGTCACAATAATAATAATAATAATAATAATAAAGCTCTGAGCGGAGAAGGTCCCGGCGCTCGGGGTCAGACTGTGGAGGGGTTTGAAGGCGATGGCGTCAGAATTCCGCCTGGTCTGAGGTGGTGATTATTGATAACATGGACAAGAGGAAAAGATTTAATCCAACACAGAATTGCCATTTTTCATTTTAATAACAATTAGTGCAATTGTAATAGCTTATCAGGCAACTTATATACCAAAATATACACATTCATTTGAAAATATAAAGTATTTTCCTCTTCAGGAAATGAGCAGGTAGTGAACCAGAGGAAACACAACGTTTATTGCTTTCCCGGAGAGACTGTGAATGTGGAGCCCACGAGAGACTAAACCGGGGGCCGCACCTCATGGCCCCCCCAGGCCCAAGGCATTGGCTGTGTGGTGGTCAGTGACATGGTTCAGTGTAGGAGAGTCTGATGGGGGGAGGGAGGGTGGGGTAGGTTCCACCACCCAGTGTGGACCTTGGCTCATCCCAGAGCAGCCTCCGCACTCCTCCACCTGCTTCTCGGCTCTCACTGTGTAAGAACCACACCGGCAGGACCAGAAGGTTGTGGGTCTGAGCTTCTCACGTCAGGGACTCTGAGCTTAGAGTCGAGGCCGGTGCTGGATGTAAGCGTTTGGGACGTGACCTCATTAGTGACACAGGACCTCTGTCTCGAACTGTAGCAGCTGCCCCATGAAGCTGACGTTGGGCGAGATGACTTCTCTCCGCCGCTTGACAAAGTCGAAAGCTTCCTCCAGGCGCACTCTCTGCGTGCGGATTAGATAAGCCAGGCAGATAGTGGCCGACCTGGAGATGCCGGCCTGACAATGCACCAACACTTTGCCACCCTGGTCCTTCACAGCGTCTGGGGAGAGGAGATAAACCATCGTTATTAATAAGAATAATAATAACCTACGCATTTGATATAGCGCCTCATCAAGTTGTTCAGACGTCTCAACAACAACAGCAATAACTTGCATTTACATGACATCTGAGAGCATTTCACAGAATATACCGTAAAGTGTTGTGACTGTGTATTTTGTTGGGAGAAACGCAACAGCCAATTGCACACAGCGGTGTCCCACATCATATTATGTCTCTTACCGATGAAGTCAATGGCCTCCTGGAAGCAGGCGCTGATGTCTGCCATATGGCTGTCCTCCACGGGGAGGCTCTTGTACTGAAAGTCGCCCTCAAAGCAGTTGGGGCAGGAGGAGGAGACGTTGAGGACGGCCGTGATGCCCAGAGACTCAAGCGTTTCCTTCCTAGAGGAATGGAGGGCACTGCCCAGGTAAAGGGAGGGCAGGATCTCCACAGGACCTCCCTGTAAACACACAATGTCAGCTCATTACACCAATACACACTCACCGTCAGCCCATTAATACACACACACACACACATACACACAGGACATCCCTATAAACGCAGCCACACTGTGAGCTTGGTACCCCAACGCTAACACACCCCACACTGTCAGCCCATTAACACAACACACAGAATCTCCCTGTAACACACCACTGGGAACTGTGTTGCTGAGAGCCTCACCTGATCGTACAGTGGGGTTCCCCTAGCGATCAGGGTGGGGGTGGTTCCCGGCTGCTGGCAGGACGGTGGCTCAGTGCACAACTCAGGAAACAGAGAGAGGAATGTCTCGTAGCCTCCTGTGGAGAGAAAGTCAGGGAGATCAATAATCATAATAATATAATTAATAACATCAACACAATGTCCAGCTCCTGTGTACAGAGGACTTTCTGGGAGTAATAATCCATTCCAAAAAAAACAATAATTTGGTCACTCAATCCACGTCTGTGTGCACAATTGGCTGCCACATTTCGCCCACAAAATACACAGTCACTACACTTTACAGTGTATCCTGTGAAGCGCTTTGAGACGTCTTGAAGACGAGACAAGGTGTTATAATCACAGGCAAGGATTAATATATGAATATTATGAATTATTATTGACTGTAATGACTGACCTTTGAGGAAGCAGATCTGGGTGGTGCTGAGGTCTATTTGTAGCTGGAGGGTGTTGAGAACCAGTCTGGCTGTGCTGTCGTGGCTCAGTGTGGCTGTGCTCAAGCTCCTCTCCTCCAGCACCACCAGCCGGGGGTAGCGACCAGACCTCAGGCCAGCTCTCATGCTGCTCTCGGGGAGCATGGCCTCCAGGGTCAGGGTACCCTTAGCCCTGCGCTTGATGATGCTGTTACAGTAGACGTTGTGGGAGCCCCTGATGTGAGAGGTGTTGAAGGCCAGGAAGGAGCGACAATCCAGAACCACCAGATTGTTGTCTGTCATCAGCAATTCCACCAAACCTCGGCTCCCTATCTCCAGAGTCTCCATCAACACCATGGTCTGAGGCGTCAGTTGGTCTCCGTGTCTCTGTCTCTGCTGTCACTAATTGCTTCCCCCTCTGGTCACACTTAACGATCGATTCTGCAACAAATAAAGTAATAATAATAATAATATTCCTCGCATTTGATACAACGGCTCATCACGTCTTTGAGACGCCTCAAAGCGCTTCACAAAGTACAGCTCAGAAAGTGTAGTGACTGTATTTTGTCGGCGAAACAATGTCAAATTGATTTTGGTGGCGGGGGGTGGGGGGAAGATGAGGGGCTGAGATCAGATCAGAATAGACACCCTCTACCTCTCCGTCCCCCTTCCTCTCCCTCTCCAACTCCTCGCCCTCTCCCTCCCACAATTAAATAAAGTTAAACATTTGTAAACAAAGAATATGGAGAGTCGCCTCTTCGATGTTTAAAGGTTAATTGGGACTGTAAGCGATGTTGGGACGTTTTTCCAGATTTACTTACATTGTAAATAATGGTGAGATTTCAGTTAATTCCAGTCCTGGCGGCTCCTGGTGATGATGATGGTGATGATGATGATGATGGTGGTGATGATGGTGATGATGGTGGTGTGAGGAGCTGAGCACAATCACCTCTCACTTTCTCTCCAACTTTAATTCTCTGCAGATGAACTGAACGCAGAGGCGCGAGTTTCAGTCTATTTAAACAGTGCGAACCCGGAACCCGCAACTGTCCATATTAGGGCAATCCCTTCAGCACGTACACCTCCATATAAGGGCCGGGCCACGCCCACACGGCTACATAAGGTGTGGGGACACGCCCACACGTCTATATAAGGAGGGGAAACCCCCCCCTCTCGCCTGGTGTACATTCCCGGCCCCGCCCCGTGACACAGAAAGTCCCCTCTGAACAGACACTCACTGGAGGATTCCCCCCACACTCTGTAAAGCGGGGAAATTTACTCACATTCCCCCCCCACCCGCCCGCCTCCCCCCGCCCGCCCGCCTCCCCCCACCCACCCACCTCCACCCGCCCCCACCCGCCTGCCCGGCCCCACCCACCTCCCCCCGCCTCCACCCGCCCACCGCCCGCCTCCCCCCGCCCACCCGCCTCCCACCCGCCCGCCGTGTGTGTCAGCCCGGCGCAGTGGGTAGCGCTCTCTCTCTCTCCCCCCCCACCAGCGCTGCACTGGAGCGTCAGCCTAGACAATGTGATTCCAAGTCCCAACATGGGCCTCGAACCCACAATCTTCTGACTCTGGCAGAAGCGCTACCCACTGAGATAAGAAGCTGCTCTACATGAATTGCAAGATTTATTTATTATTCAAGAAACCTCTTAAATGGCCAAATATCAGAAATCTCAGAAGCAAAAATAACTCACTTTCATTTCTCTATTCTGTGAGTTATTGGATATTCCGCCCTGAGGGGAATTTCAATTTTCTTCCTCATAACAAGAACCACAACTGTGATATCTGCCTCTGCTTCTCAGTGACTCACTGGCTTCTTACACTTGCTCCACATAACAGTCCCAGGGTTGTTTCTGTAAGAGCTTCCAGTCATTTATGATGTGTCAGCCTGTGTGATATGTCAATCAGCCTCGGTAGCTCTCTCGCCTCTGAGGCAGAGGATTGTGGGGACCTGCCTAATGGTGATGGGTCAGACGTCAGCCTGTTTATGGGTTTGAGCCCATGTCAGAGACGCCTACCTTCGGATGAGACGTTAAACCTCACTCACTCCCTATCCGTGCCCAGTTAAGTTGGATGTTAAAGATCTCCCACGGCGCTGTTGGGAAAAGAGAATGGAGTTTCTCTCTCTCTCCGCCGGGGTCCTGGCTGACAATCCCCCAAATAAAATCAGTCATTCTCTTCATGATTGTTTGCGGGATGCTGCTGTGCGCAAATTGGCTGTTCCCCACAAAAACACAGTCACTTTACGTTATATCCCATGAAGTGCTTTTGAGACATCTTAAAATGTCTCAAAAGGGTGGGGGTGGGGGAAGCGATGTTTGTTTGGCAGACAGTGAACTGCAGATAAAGGAAGTTTGTATGTTAACGAGTTCAGGAGCTTTGACGTGTGATGTTCTGTTTCCACTTGATACCCATCTGAGAGGAACAGATTGTTCCACTGTCTGTCTTCAGCATCCGTTAAAAATAGCAACACCACCACCACCACCTACACACACACACACGCACTACACACACACACAATCACCACACACCCTCCCACAGTGAGTTGTGAGCGTTGGTTTGAGTTCCTCAGCTCCAGTTGACGTTTACTGGGGTTGAGGAAGGGACAGTTGGTTTACGTAAGACTTGAAGATCACAAGACCACAGACTGTGTGTGTCTAGGCTTCGACACCGAGAGATTCCCTTCTCAGCTCCAACCACTGAGACGATCACTAACAACAACAACAACAATCACTAAACACGCCCACAACTAGAGCCGAGGAACTCAAACCAACCTCAACTCTCAGCTTCTCAACTCATTTTCCCAACAAATGTCTCGACATGTGAAGGTGTCTGTGATGGGGCTCAGATCTTCGGTTTGATGTTCCTTGTGGCTGAGGCAGTTATACTTCAGCCGGGTGTCTGACACACACGGAAACCCGTCACCGTGACCAGCCGGGTGTCTGACACACACGGAAACCCGTCACCGTGACCAGCCGGGTGTCTGACACACACGGAAATCCGTCACCGTGACCAGCCGGGTGTCTGACACACACGGAAACCTGTCACCGTGACCAGCCGGGTGTCACACCACGGAAACCGTCACCGTGACCAGCCGGGTGTGACACACACGGAAATCCGTCACCGTGACCAGCCGGGTGTCTGACACACACGGAAATCCGTCACCGTGACCGGCCGGGGGTCTGATACACACGGAAACCCGTCACCGTGACCAGCCGGGTGTCTGACACACATGGAAACCCGTCACCGTGACCAGCCGGTTTGGGGGGAGCTCAGAGTGTGTGTTGGGGTAACTGCTGGAGTCTAACCAGCTAAAACCATAGCTTGGCCATTGATATCACTGTCTGACAAGCTTTCCCGCCCTTGTCCAGCTCGGACCACCTTACCCGTTAGTTAGGGCTTTGGCTGCAGGGTTAACAGGAGCTGAGGGGGAGGATTCCCTGAAGCCACTGATACCCGATGAGCCTCACAATTAGTGCGAAGATGTTTCTGACAGAAAGCAGAATGTGTGTTTACAGGAAGTGGTGTAGTATCTCTCGCGTATCGTGCCATCTGCAGAGAAAGTCACCATCACACGCATGTCACCATGGAAACCATCGACACGGGTTTACACGTGACAAAGGCTCCCGCTCTGTGAGGCGTGTCGCCCACTCTCAACTCTTACAGTAACATGGAGACAATTTCAAATAGCTCTAACCCTGAATTCAGGTCACAACAGCTCAATGGCTTAATACATACACCTTACTTATCACGTCATTGAAAAGCCTCCAAGCGCTTCGCAGGCTTCGCTGTCAAGTGTAGTGACTGTGTGTTTTGTAAGTTTGACTTTTGTTTTGATTTCTGTGTCACCGACTCACAAACTTTCCAACAAGTCAGGTCTCTCATCAAACGGCAGAAATGCTGCAATTAACACAGCTGTTTGTAGGAATCTGCCTGTACGTAAATTGGCCGCTCTGTGTGTCCACAAAATACACAGTCACTACACTTTGAATCCTGTGAAGCGATTATAATAATCATTGTATTTGATATAGCGCTTTTCACGTCGGGAGGACGTCCCAAAGCGGTTCACAGAATATACTGTAAAGTGAATTGACTGTATATTTGTGGGCGAACGCGGCAGCCAATTGCGCACAGCAATTATTATTCACCAGACGCCGATCTCCAGTCCCTCACAAAGGTTATAACATTGAGAAAGCAAACCTTCAACAAAACTTCTGGATAATAATAATCTTTACATTTGATTCAGCGCCTTATCGTGTCGTCAGGGTTGTCTCCCAGCGCTTCACAAGATATATTGTAAAGTGTGGTGACTGTGTGCTTTACGATTGAAAGTAGGAGTCAATTTGTGCACAGCGACGTCCCACAAACAGGTGTGAAGTGAGCGAGTGATTTTATTTAGGTGATTGCCGGCCAGGACACCGGGGGAGAGAGGGAGAGAAACTCCCTTTTCTTTTCCCCAAAACCCCGAGGGAATCTGTAACATCCACTTGAACAGACCTCAGTGTAATGTCTCAACTAAAGGACGGCATCTCTGACAACGGAGCACACTCTCTCTCTCTCCCTGAGCTGGAGCGTCAGCTTAGACCGTGTGATTCCAAATCCCCAACGTGGAGCTTGAACCCACAACCTTCTGACTCAGAGGCGAGACATAGAGCGACTGAGCCGGGCTGACACCCACTGAGCCGGACTGACACCCACTGAGCCGGGCTGACACCCACTGAGCCGGGCTGACACCCACTGAGCCGGGCTGACACCCACTGAGCCGGGCTGACACCCACTGAGCCGGGCTGACACCCACTGAGCCGGGCTGACACCCACTGAGCCGGGCTGACACCCACTGAGCCGGGCTGACACCCACACACAGCGTTGTTCACTTGGGAAAATCTTGGAGCTGAAAAGGGCTGAATTGACTGATTTTGTTAGAACTGAAAAGGTTTTAATATATAACTCAGTCACACACACGCGGGTCAGGCTGGCACAGGAAGCCGGGCAATGCTATGTTATTGTCGTCTGTGTTCCTACCGCACAGAGAGACGGTTGAACATCTGTTATCAGAGCCGCAAACTTCCTGTCACTAACCTACTCTCACGGCTCACATTCTGACTCATTTCCTTGTCACAGGGAAAGGCAGAGACAGCGACACAGACAGAGTGGTGCTGACCAGGTGATATGGACGGTGTAAGAAGGAGCTGGAGCCTGCAGGGCAGGTGCTGTGTGTGTGTGTGTGTGTGGCCTGAGGGAGAGTGAGTCAGAGACAGGAGCAAAGTGGAAAGTTTGTGAGTCAATCACAGGCACAAACTGACATTTGTCATCGTCTCGACCTGGGCTTATCCTTACCCAGACACTAGCAACAGCCACCTACCTACACACACACGCACACATACACCTACACACACACATGTACACATACGCACACATACACCTACACACACCCCTACACACACAACTCTAACATCACACACCTGGAGATCGGGAGGTCAACAAGGACAGTAACAACAACACATGGCATCTATTCTGCAACGCTTACACCGGGAGGTTCTAAACCATCTGCACCACTCCCCAAAGAGCAATTCTTTCAGTCCCATTTACCTGTCATCTCCCCCTGTACCTGAGGTATTTATCTTGTTCCCTCTTGAAGCTAATATTGATTCTGTCTCATCCCCAGCTCCCAGCTGGGAGTTCCATACACTCACCGTCTATGTGTGAACATCTCCCCTAACCTCCCGCTCTGTGATGTAGATATTTAGGGTTTTATGTCAGTTGATCACTGGAGAACAGTTCAGTCTCTATTACACTGGAAACACTAGATGGAACCAATTGAAATCTTGGGCAAATTTCCTTATCCCACACGCCTAATAATAATCTCTCCAAAATAAAACAGTGATAAATTGGTCACTTCAATCCATGACTGTTTGTGAGACACTGCTGCGCGCAATTGGCTGCCGCGTTTCGCCTACAAATATACAGTCAATTCACTTCACAGTATATTCTGTGAAGCGCTTTGAGACGTCGAGAAGACGCGAAATACGCTATATCAAATGCAAGGATTATTATAATGGCTTAATTCCTCACAGCAGTCGGGTGTGAATTGTCAAGTGCACTTTGACCCAGTCACACTGGAATTGGGAGGGGGTAGGAGGAAAACATCTTTCTCAGGGGTTTCTGAAGGTCACCCTTTCTCTGTTCACTTCTCCAAAGTTCACCTGTTTGTCACGTCCAAAAAACATGGGGGTAACAAGACTTTGCGAACACCTTGTAGGTTGTGAGGGTTGAGAGTCCGTTGGCTGTTGCTTACGCACATTTGCCTGGAAACTGGGAACTGGTGTTGGGTGGGGAATGGAACGTGGATCCCCGTCTCTGGTACAACAGCCACTCAATGACATGTGTGTGGGGGCGATGGTGGAGCTGCACAACATTCTGACGGCAGAATAACAACAGTCCTGAGATCGCCGGGAAGGTAGAAGTGATTTTTTGATTCCATTTATAACCCCGGCCACTAACAACAACAACAACAACTTGGATTTATATAGCGCCTTCCACACCGGACGGCGTCTCAGAGCCATTACCAAAACCCAATCTTATCTCAGATCAGCGCTCTCCCACTCACCTGATCGTTGTTTGCGGGACGTTGCTGCGGGGGAGGGGGGAGGGGGGCAATGTGTGAGGAGGGAGGTTTGGATTGGGGGATGTGGTGATGGTGGGGACTGTGTGTGAGGGAGTGGGGGCTGTCAGTCTGGGGAGAGGGGGAAGATTTATGAGGGTGTGTGTGTGTGTTGAAGCGCCGGCAGGTGGCGCTGCGCTCCTTTCCCGCCCAGTCTGGCACCGTTGCCGTGAGGAGCCCCTCCTTCCGCCCCGCCCACATCCTCAGCCCCGCCCATAACCCACGGTCCCACCCATAGCCCCGCCCATAGCATACGGCCCCGCCCACAGCCTTAGCCCCGCCCACGGCATCAGCGCCACCGAAACCTATAAAAGCTGCCGCCCCGCGGCCCGCGCTGCAGCCCCGGCCCCGCCCCCCGCGAACACCAGGCCTCAGCCCGATCCCCGGCCTCGAGTAGTAACAGCAGCCGCCGCCATGACGATTTACCGGCTGGTGCTGGTGCGGCACGGGGAGAGCACGTGGAACCAAGAAAACCGCTTCTGCGGCTGGTTTGACGCGGAGCTGAGCGAGCGGGGCCTGGCGGAGGCTCAGCGCGGGGCCGAGGCCCTGAGAGACGGCGGCTACCAGTTCGATGTCTGCTACACGTCGGTGCTGAAGCGGGCGGTGCGGACGCTGTGGCTCATCCTCGACGCCATTGACCAGATGTGGCTTCCGGTCACCCGCACCTGGCGCCTGAACGAGCGTCACTACGGCGGCCTGACCGGCCTCAACAAGGCCGAGACCGCGGCCAAGCACGGGGAGGCGCAGGTCAAGATCTGGCGCCGCTCCTTCGACACCCCCCCGCCCCCCATGGACCCCGATCACCCCTACTACCAGGTCATCAGCAAGGTACAGACCCCCTGACACAACCCCTCACACACACCCAGACACTACCCGTCAGAGAGAGAGACACACACACACACACAGCGGATCAGGACATCGGGAAGGTACAGACCCCCTGACACAACCCCTCACACACACCCTGACACAACCCGCCAGAGAGAGAGAGACACACACACACACAGCGGATCAGGACATCGGGAAGGTACAGAGCCCCTGAAGTTGTGAAAGCGCAGAGACAGTGAGTTTGTGGTTAATGTTTCCCAATTTGTTGGGCAGATTCTCTCTCTCCCCCTCTGTCTCTCTCCCTCTGTCTCTCTCCCCCTCTCTCTCTCTCCCCCTCTGTCTCTCTCCCTCTGTCTCTCTCTCTCTCCCTCTGTCTCTCTCCCCCTCTCTCTCTCTCTCTCTCGTGGTGGGATGTGCAGATCCTCACGTCTCTCTCGGTTCAGTGATTCACTTCGCGCTCATTCATCCGGAGATTGTAATGTGAATAAATCTCTCAGCGCCACATGGCGCGATGGCTGTGCGGAGCCCGGACAGTGCCCCCCCCCCCCCCCCCCCGGGTATCAGTCAGTGTTTGTATTAACATATCTGCAGAGCCACCACAGCATTGGCTTTACACACGTACACAGACTAACATGTAATTCAGTCTGTGGCTCAGTCGCTCACACCGTCACCTCAGAGTCGGAGGTTGTGGGTTCGAGCCCCCCATGTTGGGCACTTTGAGCTCCCAGTCCAGGCTGACGCCTCAGCGCAGTGCTGAGGGGAGAGAGAGAGCGCTGCATTGTCAGAGATGCCGTCCTTCGGATGAGATGTTAAAGATCTCGTGGCACTGTTGCGCAAAGAGAATGGAGTTTCTGTCTGTGAGAGAACCCAAAACCTCCCGACTCTGAGCGAGAGTGCGAGCGGCTGAGCCGGGCTGGCTGTTAGTGACGGTGATTCGGGAATCGAGGTAAAACTGCCAACTGTTTTAATGAATTATGTTAAATCTCTTTGCTGCCCGTCCCCAGGAGCGGCGTTACGCTGGGTTGAAGGCCGGGGAGCTGCCCACATGTGAGAGCCTGAAGGACACCATCGCCCGGGCCCTGCCCTTCTGGAACGAGGTGATCGCGCCACAGATCAAAGCCGGGAAACGTGTCCTGATCGCAGCTCATGGCAACAGCCTGCGCGGCATCGTCAAGCACCTGGAGAGTAAGTCAACTCCACTGTGTAGGGGGGGGGGATGTGCAACAGGTCTGTGTTAGCGGTATTGGACATAGGCTTCAAGCCTCTTGTACCCTAGCTGGGGGGTGAGAGGGTCATGCTCTGTATGCCCTGGGGGGGGTGGGGGGCAGGATTTGGGCTCAATGCAGTGTGGGTTACGGCTGACATTTAGGTTAGAGGACAGCTGTCTGGCCAAACGATGAGAGACCTCACCCACACTCTGGGTCACCGGCTTGTGTGGTAGCTCAATGTCACTCTGTGCAGTTGAGCAGAAGCTGAGGCCCCAGAAAAGGGCCGTCTGTGCTGCTCACCGGAGTCGATTCACTTTATAGGATGTCCTGTGACATCTCAAAGATGTGATAAGGCGCTGGGTCAAATACAAGGATTATTATTATTGAGCGAGGGAGGGAGGAAGGAGGGAAGAATGTAGTGTTCGCTGCTGTTCAGGCTCCAGTGTTAATTTGGAAGGAAGCTGCAGAGCCAGGAGACAGTAAAGGTCGAGGGTTACGTTGCTATTTGTGTCCAGGTCTCATTCTCTCTTCCCAGCACTATAATCAGCTCCTGGTGCTAAAGATAGAGGCAGGAGAGTAAAAGGAGAGAGAGCAGCCTGGCTCGCAAAAGGTCACCGGCATTCCATGGGGACCTGGTGCTCGATCCCAGCCCTGAACTGACTATCAGCAAAGGGTACAGGGCAAAGGGATGGCCTGAAGGCATGGGTTGAACCTAAATAAGGTCTTAAAGTCTCCGAATGCCCTTTAGATACAGCAGGTGTCAGCCTGACTCACGGCTCTCGCACTCTCGCCTCCGATTCAGGAGGTTGTGGGTTCGAGCCCCGACATCGGGGAATTTTTGCTCACAGACTAAGCTGATGTTCCAACCAGCCATCAAATGTGATGTTGAACGGCTTGGTGTGTGTAAACCCATATAAACCCATGTTGTTGTCCACAGATATGTCTGACGCGGCGATCATGGAGCTGAACCTGCCGACCGGCATCCCCATCCTGTATGAGCTGGACTGTAACCTGAAGCCGACCAAACCCATGCAGTTCCTGGGCGACGAGGCCACTGTCAAGGCCGCCATGGAGGCCGTGGCTGCTCAGGGAAAGGTCAAAGCCTGAGCCAGTCTTGAATCCCCCACCCCGAGCCAGCACTGAACCCCCATTGCCCTGCCCGCGTCCCTCCCAGAGCCGACACTGATCCCCATCCTGTCTCCCTCTCACTCCTGGACACTGTGCCTTTGTGATCGAATAAATTAAACATTACACAGTTCAAGTTTGGTGGATTATTTCTAAAACTCTTAGTTCATTCGCTCAAATCTCTGGAACTCTTTCCACCCCATTCCTAAGCTTGCTTTTGAGCACACCCTGTTCTGTGTCTAACACTGTCGCTCTCACCCTCAGACATTGCTCTATGTGCAGGTTGCTCTATAACTACACTGGATTTAGCTCCCTTTCCCCCAACGCCGTCCCACCTTTCCTGTGTCACGGGGAGAAGTAAGCAGGTCAGACAGAGCGCAGAGCCAGAGACCATTGGTTTCCATCAAGAGACCTCAAACAAGAGTATCATTGGGTCTTTGGCTCAATCGCGAGCACTCACCTCTGAGGCAGAAGGTTGTGCGTTTAAGACCCACACTGAAACACTAGACTTGTCAGGCTGACTAAAGAGAACGGAATTTGTCTCTCACCTGGTGTACTGGCTGCCAATTCCACTCACTTCTCACTTTCCCTACAAAATAGTCACTACGCTTTACAGTGAAGCCTTTGAGATAATAATCCTCGCATTTGATATAGCGCTTTTCATGTCGGGAGGACGTCTCAAAGCGCTTCACAGAACACACTAAAGTGAATTGGCTGTAAATTTGTGGGTGAACGCGGCAGCCAATTGAACACAGCAGTGTCCCACAAACAGGAATGTGGATTGAAAATTACCAATTTATTTTTGGTTTTGGAGGATTATTATTAGGCTCTGTGTGGAGTAAGGAAACTTGCCCAAGGTTTCGCCCTCTGCCTGGAATTGAACTCAGGTCTCTCACTTGCAAAGCGAGTGCTCTAACCACTGAGCTACAGGGCTCCACTGTCTGGATTTGATCAGTTTTTACCAACAACCACAGTCGGTGCATTTTACAGTGTAATCCTATGAAGGGCTTTGGGACGGACATTCTGCTGATGTGAAAGGCGCTGTCGCAAATGTAAGGATTACTGTGAATTCAGAGTGAGGGTTATCTGCAGTGTGACTGCCCTGTGATGAGCCGCAGCTGTTGGTCCCTGAGCGCAGCCCTGGCGCTGGGACATTGCTCTGGATCTGCCAGGGTGGGAGCGCCATCTGGTGGCGGAGAGTCATTACTGCAAAGGACGGGGTCCTGGCTGTGCATGGAGGCCGCAGGGCTCGGCCCCGGCACCTGAATATATTAATACCAAACCTTTCATTTGATGCAGAGGAGCAGGAGGAGGCCATTCAGCCCTTTTGAGCCTGTTCCGCCATTTAATTAGATCATGGCTGATCTGTACCTCAACTAATCCTTTCAATTCCATTTTCCCGCTTTCTTCCCATATCCCAATACAGACCTCTGGGGGCATTAGTTTTTGCCCAGTTGGGTGTCTGACACACATGGAAACCCATCGCTGTAATTAAGAGTCTCCGGACCAAGTTGAGAATTCTATGTCTCCCACCTACACACGGAAATCCCAGAGATACTCGCTTTGCAAGCGAGAGACCTGGGTTCTATTCCTGGCAGGGGGGAAATGTTGGGCAGGCTTCCTTACTCCACACGCCTGTTTCCCAAGCAGTAAGTAGGAAACTGGTTGGTAGTCGATTGGCGGATCGCTTTTCCGGAGGTAATAATCCCTCAAAAAAAGCAATAATAATTTGGTCACTCAATCCATGAATGTTTGTGGGACGCTGTTGTGCGCAATTAGCTGCCGTGTTGCCCACAATTATATACAGTCAATTCACTTTACAGTATATTCTCTGAAGCGCTTTGAGATGTCAAGAAGACGCGAAAAGGGCTATATCTGTATATTTATGGGCGAAACACGGCAACCAATTGCACACAGCAGCGTCCCACAAACAGTCGTTGATTGAGTGATCAATTATTGTATTTTTTTGTCTGGGTAGCTTTCCCGCTGCTTGTCCAGCCAGGACCCAACCTACCTGTTATTATAGGTTTAACAGGAGCAGAGTGGGAAGAGTCCCTGCTCCCAGTGACAATTTAATAAACTGGACTGGATTGATTCTACTCCTATTTTCCTATTAAAACACAGCCAGGAAAGCGATGCCAAGCCACAGACAGTGGGCTGGTTATTTCTGCGCCTGTTTATTCAGCTTTAGAGTGCCAGTGCTTGGGTTAGTAGCCACACGGTACAAAGGCTGAGCCGTGTATACACACCATTCATTAACAACACGTTAAAAAAAACTGTAAGGTTTTAGACTTTAGATCTGGAGAGATGTTTAAAGGCAGGACTTGCCTTCCCACTCCATCTACAGTTGTAGTTTCATCAACATTTTTACATTATTAATAACAATAATATTAATACTTCCCCTCTCCAGGTCACTGCTCAGCAACATTTGTTGATGCCACAGGAGCTCAATCCGTCCCGTGTGTGGAGCCGGTGAAGCTTGGTCTGGTTTGGGTCAGGAGGTGGCTGGTGGGTCTGGGAGGATTGACCAAGCTGCCTGTTTGTCACGTTTCTCACACAAGTGCCTCAAAAGTTGCTTCTCAGTCAGAGGTGGGCAGTGGTGGGGGGGGGGGGGTGCTATGCGTATTCCATCTGCTGGGAGCTGCTGTTCTCCTGTGGCCGCTCCGTGCTCTGCACCACCTTGTTCTCCGGGGTCTCAGGGACTTTGGCCACGATGTAATCCTTCACATTGATCTCCAGGTTCCTGGCTCGCACGGCTGCCTGATGCAATTTCTCCAGGAAATCAGGCATTCCTGAAACAAGGAACTACACCTCAGCCCCGCTCAGTCCTCAAGCTCTCAAGTCTCACTCCCTCAGCCCCGCTCAGTCCTCATGCTCTCACTCTCAGTCCTCATTCTCTCGCCTCCAGTTAGGAGGTCAGCGACTGTGATTTCACAGTCTAGGCTGTTGGGTTTCACCCACAAAATACAGCAACTACACTTTACATTGTATTCTGTGAAGCGCTTTGAGGCATCTGAGTGACACGATGAGGCGCTGTGTCAAATGCCAGGATTACTATTGTTCTATTCCCACCCGGAGCTACCCAGTGACTGAGCAGGAAACCCGCGCAGAGAACCTTACCGCTCGACACCATCCAGCTGACACAGTAGCGAGGGAAGGCTGACTCTGGATTATCGCTGTACGTCAGCAGGTAGTCAAAGCCGTTCTGGTAACAGAGCAAACAACAGAGGGTCAGTGAGCGAGAGGCCGGTCGGTCTCCACTGGGCACTCAATACAAATCATCAGCAACAAAACATGACGCTTATCCAGCGCTTTTCCTGATGGGAGGACATTCCAAGGAAAAGGGATGAAAGGTGTGGTTAAAAAGATGGAATTTAAAATTGAGGTGAGGCTGAGGGACTCTGGGATGGAGTTCCAGATGGCAGGGGCAGAATGGATGAAGATGGGGAGGGTAGGTAGGGGGGCAGGGCTGTCCCCGTGGCCTACAATTAGAGACAATAAATACAGTAAAGGGATTCGCCACGTTTCGCCCCGGTCTGTCGCTTTCAGGGTTACGTTTTTTCCAGGTTTCCTGCAGCCACCGCCCCTCCCGAAGCTAAGCCCTCTGTGTATCATGACCTGCTCTGCCTTCCACCACCTCCGCAACATCGCCCAGCTCTGCCAGTATCTCTCATCTGTGTGTTTATTACATCTAGGCTCGACTACGCCAACTCCCTACTTGTTGGCCTTCCCAACTCTTCCCTCCACAAGTTACAGATCATCCAGAAACTCTGCAGCTCGTGTCCTCTCCCAAACCAGGCTCCATGACCCCATCAACCCCACCCTCGTCCGGCTCCACTGGCTCCCTATCCCCCAAAGGGTACAGTTCAAACATCCTCGTCCTCACCTTCAAGGGCCTCCCTCCACTCAGCAGACTCCGGCCTGCTCCATGTCCCCCACCTGGCCCGCCCCACCATCGGTAGTTGGGCTTTCTCTGCCCCCACCCTTTGGAATTCCATCCCACAGTCCCTTCGCCTCGCCCCCTCCCTTGTCTCCTCCAAGGCCCGTCTCAAGACCCTCCTCTCCGTCTGCAAACCAAATCGCTGACTGTCCAGAGCCTTGGGACGTCCTTCCAACGTGAAAGGCGCCGTGTAAGTGTAATATATTGTGGGAACGTTCCTTACCTCATCGAAGGATCTGTGAGGCCGGATGATCATCTGCGATTCGTAGCTTTTCACTCGCACGTAAGTGCGGGATTCCGGGGCATTCGGGTGTTCTACAGCTCTTTATATTGACATAATAATAATAGCTCTTTATAATAATAATAACTCTTTATATTAACATAATAACTGCTCTTTATATTAACATAGTAACAAGGAATAATATCACACAGCGATAAAATAAGAATCCTTGCATTTGATACAGCGCCTTATCATGTCATTGAGATGCCTCAAAGCACTTCACAGAATACACTAAAGTGTAGTGACTGTATATTTTGTGGACGAAACGCAGTAGCCAATTGCGCACAGCAGCGTCCCCACAAACAGTTGTGGATTGAGTGACAACAATATTATTTTTTGGGAGAGATTATTATCCCCAGAAAGCAATCTACCAATCGACTAACAACTGGGTTCCTACTTACTGTTGGTAAACAGAGGCGTGTGTGGAGTAAGGAAATTTGCCTAAGGTTTCGCCCTGACTCGCCCGGGAATCAAAAAGATGAACTTTTCCCCTATTAGAAACTTGCGTCAGTGGAACCCAAGTGTCTGCTCTACCTCAACAACAACTTCTAATTTTGCACTGTTTCTTAATTCTTAATAAAGAAATTTGAGCCTGGGGAGAGAGAAGGGGAGAGAGAGAAAGATGGGAAACAGAGAGAGAGCAAGTGAGAGAGGAAGAGAGGAGGGAACAGGAAGGAAAGAAAGAAAGAGAGAGATGGGACAAAGAGAGAGCGAGTGATTGGGGGAAAGAGAGAGAGATAGAAGAGAGGAGGGAAGAAAGGGAGAGGGAGACACAGGAGAGGAAGAGATGAGAGAAGGAGAGAGAGAGAGGGAACATAAAAGAGAGGGAGAACGTGAAAGTGAGAGGAGAGAGAGAGAGAGAGAGGGAATGTGAAAGAGATCAGCCACCAAGGCGATCAATAGAGGGAAGTGGGCCGGGGGGAGAGAGCTGCAGTGTGACACCCCCCTCCACCCCCAGTGACGTCAGCTCACCTGGACACCAGCACCATCAGGCGGTTACTGTGATCCACGTGGTGACGACGGATATACACGTAATCCCGGGAATACATGGGGTACTGCGGAGAAACACAGCACTGAGCTGCCAGCCAGGCTAGTAAACCCTTTCTTAGCCCCACCTCGCTCCCTCCTCTCCCTGCTCGTAAACATTCCCTCCCCACTCAGAAACCCGCTCCCTCCCACACACCCGCTCACTCGCTAACACTCACTGACGTCCTCCCTCTCACCCTCACTCCCTCCCTCGCTCACTCACTCACACTCACCAACACACATCCTATCACATGCTCACTCACTCCCTCACGCTCTCACGTTAGTGATGGAGAGAGGCCCCTGGCTTCCCCCTGGCCGGGCAGGACTCACCGGGAAGTGTGTGACCCAATGAACAATCTCAGAGCCGCTGACCTCGTCCTTCTCAATTACCTCCAGCTTGATCACCAGCTCGTCCCATTTCTTCCTGTACTCGGTGTCCAGCTGTGGGGGTGGGGGGCCGGATGTGTGTTAGAGAGACACACAGAGGGCAGCACTGGCAGCCAAAGCTCTTTATACCCAGCAAACACATCACAACTGACAGACAACAACTTGCACTTACACCACTCCCTTCACGGTGCGCCTTAGAGCACTTGATAGTGATGGAGCTTGACACCGAGCTGGGTGGGGGGTGTGGTTCAACCCCTGTCCCCAGTTAGCTTGAAAACACAAGTCTCCCATTCATCAGTCAAGCCGGGTGAGTGACACTCACAGACATGTAAGACAGCACAGACAGACCATGTGTAGACAGACCGTGTGTACAGACAGACAGGACCTACCTGCACATTGAAGAACTGTCGAGGGGTCACGTCACTGTACGTCCCAAACACTGTTCGACACAAGGAGGAACAATAATAGTAATAATAATCCTTGTATTTGATATAGTGCTTTTCACATCTTCTAGACATCTCAAAGCGCTTCACAGAATATACTGTATACTGTGAATTGACTATATATTTGTGGGGTTAAACGCGGCAGCCAATTGTGCACAGCAATGTGCCACAAACAGTCGTGGGTTGAAGTGACCAATTTATTATTGTTTTTTTTCTTGAGGGATTATTATCAGACGTGTAGAGTAAGGAAACTTGTCCAAGGTTTTGCCCTGCCGGGAATTGAACCCAGGTCACTTGCTTGCGAGGCGAGCGCTCTAACCACTGAGCTACAGGACCCCACACGTGGTCATAACAACCTTCTAATCACCAACGCCCACTTCACAGACAGACAAACAGGCCGGTACCTCAGCCTGGGGGATAGACAGACACACACTGTGTGGGTTGATGGCCTGGGGGACAGACACTCACCTCGGTACTGGTACAGGTGGCTGCCCTGGATCGGTCTGCGCCACAGCCTGAAGGCTGCTCTGTCCATCACCAGCTCCCAGCTGTGGTCGGGGCAGCAGGTCACGGCCTCACTCGCTGCCGGCTTCTCTGTCAGCAACTCATTCAGGTCCTTAAACTCATCCACACACCTGTAACAGGACAGACCCTTCCCTCAGCCACAGGGTGTGAGCTTCACACGCGCACACTGCCCACTCACCCCCACAGCACCCTACACAGCGTCTCTGACAATGTAACACCCCCCATCTTAGACTGGGTTATTCCAATTCCTGACATGGGAGGTTAAACCCACAACGTTGTGACTCAGAGACGAAAGAGAGACAGAGAGAGAGAGAGAGCGCTACCACTGAGCCAGGCTGACACATGAGTGGCTGAAAGCTTGTCTGCGGATGATGTGGGCAAGTCAGTGTGTGCTGTGTGGAGGGGATTGAAGGGACATTTTATCACTGATTTCCCAGGATGGTGACAGCGATCTGGCCAGAGCGAGTGCAGTTAAGGGTTAAGTTGATGCTGTAAACAAGTCTTGCCCTTGGTCTGTCCTCACAGCCCTTCAGCTCAGTCTGAGAATGTGAGTACAACTCTCTCTGTAAACAGCTCAGGGCCTCTCACCCACAGTGCTGTACAACCATTGAGTCAAGAGCCACACGGGGCTCGTAGGGTATGAGTGTGGATCACAGCCACCTCAGCCTCAGCACAATAATAATATTAATAATAACAATAATAAAAATAATCCTTGCATTTGATACACGGCTTTATCGTGTCTTCGAGACGTCTCAAATCTTTTCACAGAATATACCGTAAAGTGAATTGATTTTGCATTTTGAAGCGCTTTGAGACATCCTTCTGATGTTACAAGATGCGATATCAAATTCAAGGTTTATTATTGTCACTATTGTTCCCAAAGCTGCTCACTCGTGAGGAGTAGGGCTGCGTCACGAGTTAAAGAAAAGGGAGCAAGTCTGTTTACAAAACGGCTCTGAATAGACTGGAGTTTGATATGGAAATCCGACCTCCCTGTGTCAGTGCGGTTCAGCTGTGCCTGTCAGTGTATTATCTCAGACTAGAGCATTAATGCAAACATACACTCACACACTCAGCAGCTCAGCCAGCCCCGGGAATAAAACACTGACATCTGCATTCGATATAGCACTTGATCACCTTGTTGAGACATCTCGAAAGAGCTTCACAGAATATACTGTAAAGTGTAGTGACTGTGTGTTTTGTGGGCGAAACACGGCAGCCAATTGCGCACAGCAGCGTCCCTCAAACAGTCATGGGCTGTGTGACCAGATTTTTTTTTGAGGGATTATTACCCCCGGAAAGCGATCCGCCGATTGACTAACAAGCGGGTTCCTACTTACTGCTGATAAACAGAGGCGTGTGTGTGTGGAGTAAAGAAACATGCCTACGGTTTTTCCCTGCCCGGCACACAGGCTGGTGACGTGAGTGACAGAAACTTACTTGTTGAGCTCCTCGTCGCGGATCCTCTCTTCGTCCCACATGAAGACGGCGGCGAAGGCAGCCACCAGCTTACAGGAGCCCGAGTGTCGGCTGTGAAACCTACGCCACAGGCTGGAGAGGAGGCTCCTCCGTGACTTCTCGGAGTAGATGTTACTGTAGAGCTGGGCGATCTGCTGCGCTCGCCTCAGCCTCAGCCCCGTCACGTAGCTACACTGACTGGCCAATATAGTCACCATTCTGCTCCTCCCGCTCACCCCGTTCCTCACCTCCCCTCGCAGGCAGCCCAGAGCCCAGCGCAGGGCACTGCCAGCCCGCTGGCACCACTCGTCCAGTCTCCTGCCCTCCTGCCATCCTGGAGCCCGGCTGGTAAAGCAGGCCGACTTCACGCAGTGAGAATACAGGCTGGTGAAGGGCTTGACCGGTGCCGAGTTCAACACGGTGGCTGGTCGCCTGAGAGTCAACATGGCGGCTGGGTCAGGGCGGACAGCGAGAGAGAGCAACGTCTTCACGTCTCTGGGAACAGAACAAACAAAACAAACGTCAGTGGACGGTTAGAAATGAAAAACAGCTTTCCTTTCTTTGCTTTTAACACTTTCAAAACTTTTCAATTACCACAGAAAAAAAATCCTAACTGCTGTTGTTAGGATTTTTTTCTATATACGTATATAAAACAAGCCTTTCACATCGCGGAGGGCATCCCAAGGCGTGCGTGTGGCTATCTATCCACTGGCACTCTCTGCAACTATATTTATTTACAAACACACTTGGTCATCGCCAAACTGGGATTAAACGACTGGCTGTGGAATTATAAAAAGGCCGAAAAGAACAAGCTGCGTGGGTTGAATGGCTTCCACCTGTTCCTGGGGTCTTTACCTGTTCGCTGCTGTTGGTGGTGGGGTTTTTTTTTAGAAAGCTTGTCTCCTTCAGCAATTTCTCAAGAGCAAATTTGTGCTCCACCTTATATACACACACATATACACATACACACAATGCTGGGTGCTGGTTCAATTGCAGCTGGTGTAGAGGGGAACAGGGGAGAGGGGAGACAGGGGGTGAGAGGCTGTGTTGCAGGCTGGGGACGGCTGGAGGCTGGGACTTTGCTGCCATTCACTTCCCTGTTGTAAACCACATGAACCTCGCAACACACACTGTAAGGACCCCGCTGCTCTCCCTTGCCTGGCCTGGCAATAGAATAGCAGCACCCCAGGCCTTTGGTTCCCCGCCTGCACACACATTGCACACACAGTGTTTTTTGCTGTCAAAATCCATGCGAAAAAAAATATAAATGCAGTTCCCCCAAAACCCTGACTTGGAGGTAAACCAAAAGGCGAATAGAGCGGCGGCACCACTCGCCCCGGAACGTGGATACCTACTCTCAGCACCACCACCAGGGTGCGCTGTGCACACACCGCCACCAGAGGGCGCTTTTATCACATACACACACATCAGATCAACGACAACAACTTGCACTTACATAGTACCCTTTACGCAGGGTAGTCTAAGAGCGCTTAGAACCCTCACATACTGTATATGATTGCCCCCCCCCCCCCCCACCCCCACACATATCACATCAATCCGCACACAGTGGCACTTTGTAACATGGGCATTCAGGCAGAGTGCGTGAAATAGACAGTGGGTGAGGAGCATTCACATTTACATTTACACAGCACCTTTCACATCAAAAAAACTTCCCAAGGCGCTGGACGGATTCGAGCTGGGGTTTGGTGGGGGAGGTGGGGAAATCACGATCATTGTGAAAAGTCTTGAGATGGGGTTTGACGGGGGCAAGGGAAGAGGCGGGGCAGAGGGATTCCAGGATGGAGTTATAATAATAATAACTACTTTAGAGTAAAATCCTGTGAAGCACTTTGAATTGTTCTCCTGATATGAAAGGCGCTGTATTAAATGCAAGAATTATTATCATTATGTACCCAGTGTAGAGAGATGCTATCCTGGTGTCAGGTCCTTCCTTGCAGAAGATCAAGAGAAAAGATACAAAGCCAGCAGATCCCAGCACCTGCTGGGGCAGCAGTGTAGAGATGGAGCTTATCCCCTTCCCAAGGGGTCCGTCAGTGAGAAGAACAGATCTATGAGGGAAGAAAAAGAGAGAAAACAACCAAATTACATTTGTATAGCATCTTTCATTGGGAGGACGTCTCAAGCTGCTGGAACACAACATATTTAAGCACAAGTTGTCCAAATAAGCAACAAATGCTAAGAGCGTCATATTGCATTTGATAGTCACCTTAAAAGGTAACTGTCTTAAAGTGCCTTTTGAATTATCAATGATTAGAAGTGAAAGGTATGTATTGTAACCCGGGGCTGATCACCACAGGGTTAGAATACACAGCCTTTAATTTGAAATTGGGCTAATTACTATCTGGGGAGATTGTTGGCCAGGACACCAGGAGAGATCTTGATTTCACATCTCAACTAAAGGACAGCAGCTCCGGCAATGCAGCACACCTCCTGGACTGTATTGTAGTATCAGCTTAGCTATATATATTCAGAGTCCCCAAGTGGGGCTTGAACCCACAATCTACTGACTCTGAGGTAAGAGTACGAGCCAGTCTGACGTTCTCACTCCCAGTTTCAATGTAAATTTACAGCAAACTGTAGCGACGGCAGAACAATCAGCAGCCAGCTATATTTAGGTCAAACAAACTAACTGATTTATCTCACACTTAGGTCAGACTGGAGAGGGGGCAATATATCCTTTCACTGACTAGTAGTGAACTCTTTGTTAGTGGATTTTAATCCCCTTTAAATTATTCCCCCCACCCCCCACACACACAATTGCCTCCTGATTTCTCATGGTGAGTTACAGACTATTCAATAAAGCCACCTCACTGAACAGGAATAACTTGTCTGATCTCTACTTTTAGCGCAGATACAACCTCAATACGTGGAGTTTTGGGCAAACAACAAAGGGGGCTGGTGCAGTGATTGATCACAGACTCCTTATAACCACAGCTGTGATCAATTCTGGAAAATGCAATTTTGAGGGTGAATGCAGCAGCCAATTTCCATACAGCAAAGTCCCACAATCAGCTATGAAGCCAATTTTATTTGGGGGATGTTGAGCAGGGCACTGGGAGAAATTCTCTTATCAAATTGTGCCACGGGGATCTTTAACATTCACCCGAACAGCTACAGACGGGACTTTGGTTTCATACCTCATCTGAAGCACGGGTCCTTACGCAATATTACAACAATAAAAGTACATTTATAGAGGGAGGACAACCCAAGGCGCTTCCATTACGAACCCCCAGCGATGCGTTAGAGTGTCAGCCTCGACTGTGACCTCAGTCCAAACATGGGGCTTGAGCCTTAAAGTGACACCAACTGAGCCAGGCTGTCACACTCACAGAATGGCCAGGATATTGGGATAAATTCTTTTAGAGAAACGTAATGGGATCTTTAATGTGAATTCAAGAACAGACAGCTAGGTCCTTCGTTTAATGACTCATCAAAACATACAACCCAGAGGTGAGACTACTACCATCTGAGCCAAGATGACACTACGTATTCAACAATGTATTTGGGTCAACCGAAAGAACAGGAATGTCTGACACTGTGCTTAAGCGTAACACCTACACATGAAAATTCCAATGGAATCATAGAATGGAATGAGTACCCTCTCCCAGAGGGACGTACCCTGCTGACCTAAAGTATTAGATGCAGTTGTGCACTCGGGTAACTGCTAGAGTCTAACCAGCAAAAACCACATAGCTTGCCATTGAGAGCCCTGTCTGGCAAGCTTTCCCACTGCTTGTCCAACTAAATCCACCCTACCTTTAGTGCTTAGGCTTGCAGGGTTAATGGGAGCTGAGTGGGAATATTCCCTGATCCCCGGTGACTGGTACTGACACTCAGTGGAAATAGCAGAAACAACGTCAAAATTACATTTGTACAACACCGTTCATGTCGGGAGGATGTCCCAAGGCACTGGACAATCAGTGTTTCGGCTTGAGCTGGGGGTCGGGATTGGAGAGGGAGCAGGGCAGTGGGGGGAAAGAGGGTGACTGAAGGCACGATTGATGAGGAGGGTCTTGAGACGGGTCCTGGAGGAGGCAAGGGAGAGGGCGAGGAAGGACTGCGGGATGGAGTTCAAGAGGGTGGGAGCAGAGTGCCAGAAAATTAGTTCGGCAATGGTGGGGTGGACGAGAGAGAGGGATGTGAAGCAGGCTGGAGGCCGCTGACTGGAGCGAACAGACAGGTTGGTCGGGGGTCAGAAGGACGCAGACGTAGGGGGAGAAAGGCCATGATGAGCTTTGAAAGTGAGGACCAGGATCTTGAACTGTATCCTCTGTATGATGGGAAACCAGTGGAGTTGGGCAAGGATGGGGGTGATAGGGTTGCAGAGCCTGGTGAGGGAGGGGACACAGGCTGCAGAGCTCTTGATGATCTGCAGCTTATGGAGGGAGGAATTGGGGAGATTGCACAGTTGAGCCTGGATTTTATAAATGAATATGAAACAGTGGTGGAGCAGCAGGGAGGGATGAGCAAGTATCTCATGAAGGAAAGATAGAAACATGGAGGAAGGGGTGGGTTAGCAAATGAACATATCTTGTCCAACAAGAAAGAAGGTCATCATTGTTCTGCAGAACTGAGTGCCTCCTTCAAACACATCTCCAAGGCTGTGGGTTGACACAGGCTCAGGTTAGTTTTGCAGAGACAAGCTAATCTGAACTCACTGAGCTTTAGGCAGTGATAATAATGTATATTTGCCAAAGGAGGTAAAGCTGCAGCCTCAGCAGAGCAGATTACCTGATACTGGTCACAATACTCCCTGATAATGGCCGTCAACAAACCCTCCCTGGGTATGAACATGTACAAGGACATGTTACTGTACACGGGGTCAAACCAATAAATAAGGGCTTGGTAATAATCCCCCACATTCAATCAAGGTCAATAACTGCTGAGGAACAGCAAATGGTTCACGTTTCATCTTGAAGGAGAGGCTCCTCTGTTGCATGCAATGGAGATTGACTGAGTCCAGAGCCACTTGACACACTGAGAGCTAATATTACTGGGTGAGAATTGAGAGTAATGGGTGTGTAGAGCTTTGCACAGGACAGAACTTGGGCAGCAAAGTTCTGGATTGCTTGATGCTTCGGCAAAGGGGAGCTGAGTGACAAAATTCACAAGGTGATCCATCGAACATATAATAGATCTTTAAAGAAAATCTGACCAGAGCTTTTCCTGATGTGAAAGGGACATCAAATAGAAGGATAATTATAATGTTCCAAAGGTGGCAGAAAGCAGTCTTGGTGATAAGGGTTTCAGCAGCAGTCGGGTTGAGATAAGGGCATTGATGAGTAATATCAGGAATCAGCCTGGCTCAGCTGGTAGCACTCTCACCTCCGAGTCCAAAGGTACTAGGTTCAAACCTCACGTAAGGATGTTGAGCTCAAAGTCTAGGCTGACACTTCACAGGGCGTTGTTGGAGGTGCCATCCTGAAGATTAGGCAAGGGAGGGGGCAAGGCGAAGGGACTTTGCAAAGGATGGAGTTTCAAAGGGATTCATATATTTCAAAGAAAATAGAAGTAATTTGTAGTTTGGAATTTCTTATATAACGTGACTGTCCAAACTCAGGTCATTGCTAGTGTTTGTGTAAACTGATTGCTGAATATAATGTTCATTTCACTACAACTTAATTTCCTATTATATAGGATCTACATTAATAATAAATAATAATAATCCTTATATTTGAAAGGGTTTTATCAAAGGTTTACTGCAGAGTGACTGTATATTTTCTAGGTGAAAGATAACTAAATAATCCTTGCATTTAATATAATCAAATAATAATCCGTCCAAAAAACAAAATAATAATAAAAATTGGTCACTTTCAATCCATGACTGTTTGTGGGACACAGCTGTGCGCAATTGGCTGCCATGTTTCGCCCACAAATATACGGTCAATTCACTTTACAGCATATTCTGTGAAGCACTTTGAGACGTCTGGAAGACGTGAAAATTGCTATATCAAATGCAAGGATTATTATTATTATTATTATTATTATATAGTGTCTCCCATGTCAGGACTATGTATTTTGTAGGCAGACCATTTCCACACAGCAATACCTTCTGACTCAAGGACGGGAGTGCTACCAGGTTACTTCTCCTGATGTTATGAAAGATCTAGAAGACATGAAAAGCGCTATATCAAATGCAAGGATTATTATTATTGTTATCTCTACTCATGAAAATACAATCATAAAATTACAACCCAAGAGTAGGCCATTTGGCCCATTGAACCTACGCTGGTGCTCGGTCCTCAAATTGGAAGGAAGTGTAGGTAAGTTGTTTGCATTACTGAGTGGTGGTACAGTGTGAGGGGTAGGGCGCTTCCAACTAACTAACAGCCTTCGGCATCTTGTTACACAGAACACTAGGAGTAACGATGGCTATCAGGTCAGTGAACGCTATTTGGCACTGAGACTCCTAAAAGACTGAAAAACTAAACTAAAAATAGGGCTAAATACCTAAATGTTAAAAGTCAGTACAGCTGCCTGGGGCGATTGAACTTTTGAGTAGTGTAGTGTAGATGGTAAGATAGCATCAGCGCCCACATAGCACATCCTCCTTGTGGCCCATCCAATTATATTCACAGGGAAAGGCAACTCCTCTTTTCAAGTGTCTCTCGTGTCAAGACTGTGTATTTTGTAGGCAGACCATTTCCACACAGCAGTGTTCCATAAGCAGCCATAAAGTGAACTCTCTACCTTCTGACTCCCTTTAAGTGCTGTTAATAAACAAAGTTCGGGGGTCAGCAAGGCTATCTTCCCAAATTCCCAGAGCGGTTCAACAGGAGGAGGAGCCCTATTTGTGGATGGACCTGGTGAGCACAGATTACACTTTGTCTGGTATTAACCAGAGTCGTAGCTATTAACAATAAGAATTCTTGCATTTGATATAGCGCCTTAGCACGTCGTCAAAATTCTCCAAGCGCATCACAGGAATCACTGTAAAATGCAGTATGGTAGGCAGATGTGACAGCCAATTTTCATACTGCAACATCCCACAAAAGAGAGTTGTTTGTCAGTCATTGCTCTACGAAAATGTGCTGCTGCGTTTGACTACAAGTACACAGTCATTCCATTTCATAATAATGCCTGTGATGCGCTTTGAGACATCCTTCCGACATGATAAGGTGCTATATCAAATGCAAGGATTATTATTATTATAATATCAAATGTAAGGATTATTATTATTATAATATCAAATGCAAGGATTATTATTAAATTCCCGGGCAAAACATTAGGCAAATTTCCTTACTCCACATGCCTCTGTTTTGTAGTAAGTAGAAACTCAGTTGTTAGTTGATTGGCGGATCGCTTTCTGAGGGCAATAATCCCTTGAAAAAAAATAAAACATGTAACTAAAAAAATGTGCGGTCACTCAATCCATGGCTGTTTGTGCGACACTGCTGTGCGCAATTGGCTGCCATGTTTCACCCACAAAATGCAGTCACTGCACTTTACAGTATATCCCAGGAAGCGCCTTAGACGTCTCGAAGACGTGATAAGTTGCGGGAGCAAATGTAAGAATTATTATAATTATTATTACATTAATAATTATTATAATTACAATGATTATAGGTCCCATCCCCATCTAGCTGTGCTCATACTGTTTGCTGCATGTGTGATACAGAGAAACTCTTTCTTCTGGTGGTGGGGGGAATTTAGAACAAGGTGGGGAAATCATCTTAAAATTAGAGCCAGGCCGTTTAGGAGTAAAATCAGGGGCAATTTTTTTCACACAGAGACCAGTGGGAATCTGGAACTCTCTCCCTCCCCGAAAGGCTGTGGATTACGGCCGGATCCATTCACTTCTTCATGACTGCGGTGGATCAACAACGACGACAACAACAACAAGATTGCATTTATAGAGCGCCTTTCGCGTCGGGAGAACGTCCCAAGGCGCTGGACAGTTGGGTCGGGACCCGAGCAGTGGGGGGGAAATGGTCAGGGTGAGGGGAGGGAGGGAGCGAGGATGGGGGGGAATGGTCAGGGTGAGGGGAGGGAGGGAGCGAGGAGGGGGGAAATGGTCAGGGTGAGGGGAGGGAGGGAGCGAGGAGGGGGGAAATGGTCAGGGTGAGGGGAGGGAGGGAGCGAGGAGCGGGGAAATGGTCAGGGTGAGGGGAGGGAGGGAGCGAGGAGGGGGAAATGGTCAGGGTGAGGGGAGGGAGGGAGCGAGGAGGGGGAAATGGTCAGGGTGAGGGGAGGGAGGGAGCGAGGAGCGGGGAAATGGTCAGGGTGAGGGGAGGGAGGGAGCGAGGAGGGGGGAAAGAGTTGGGGGGGGTTGAAGGATCAATATTAATAATAATAATCCTTGCATTCGACGTGGCGCCTTATCACGTCTCAAAGACGTGCGTCAGGGGTCAGGGATACGGGGGCGAAGGTCTCGAGGTACACATCAGCCATGAGCTTACAGAATGGCGGAACGGGCTCGAGGGGCTGAATGACCTCCTCCTGTTCCTGCGTTATCTGCTCTGACAGCCCCAGGGGTGACCCCGCGTCTGCTGTGGCGGCGGCGGCGCGGTGACGTGACAGTAGCACGCACGACGTGGCCAGGAGGGAGGGAAGGAGCGCGAGCGAGAGAGAGAGAGAGAGAGAGAAGAGCGCGCGCTGCCAGCGCTGGGCTGTCATTGCCAACAAACAGCCAGCGGCGCCTGACGGGGAGGAGGTGCCCGGTGGGGAGGGAGGGAGGGGGGGGCGGTTATTACACAGAGAGCGTGTGAGTGAGTGAGTCAGAGACCTCGACAAACACAGAGAGAGAGAGAGGAGAGGAGAGAAACCCCGACCGACCGAATCGAGGACAGGAAAGCAGTTAATCGGACGCGAACGAAGAACGAGAGAGAGCGACAGAGAGAGAGAGAGACGGGGAGACTGGGCTCAGGTGCGGTTGGACGGTGTATTTTTCTTGTTACCGTGTGTGTGTGTGTGTGTTGGTGGCGTCTCTCGCTCGGCGACCTCCTCTCTCTTTCCTTCCCTCCCTCCCCCCCTTTTCCCTTCACCGCCACCTTTCGCTCTCGCCTCAACAGTCGCTGCTCGAGCGGACCGGAAGCTGGCGGCTGACTGACGGACTGACTGACGGGCCCGGCCGGCCAATCGGGTGGAGGCGCGCGCTGTCAGGCGGCGCGAGCGGCGGCGGTTAGGGCCAGTGGCCAGGCGCGCAGCCGGGGCGGGACTTCCGGTGAGAATGGGCGGGAAGGCGTGAGGGGGTGTGGAGAGAGAGAGAGCGGGCGAGCTCGCGCGGGGGGAAGGCTTCAGTCACGGACTGACTGACTGATGACGGTCGAGGAAGATGCTGGAAGGTCATCTCACGTCACTACCACACCGGCCGGCGTTCCCTCTCCCCCGCGCCTCACACACCACATACACTGAGCTCCATCCCTCTCCTCTCCCTCAGTCACTGGTTGCCCTCTCCCCCCCCCCCCCCTCCCTCCACTACAGGAGAAATGACTCTCAAATTTTCCCTCAAAAAAGACTGAAAGAATTGTTCTTCACGGAGTGTTCCTAAGACCATGGCTAGAGTGATGAGGGTCAGGCTGGTTTGTGGGGCGAACATCAGTGAGGGTGAGCATCTGAGCATCCAGAGTTGCAGCCAATTTTGTCTATTTTAAGTTCCCCCCCCTCCCTCCTCAGCAATGCCCTCTTATTCTCATAACTCATAGTGCCCTAACCCTCAGTATGACCTCAGTGACCTCTGAGCGTGTCCTCTGGATAATAATAATCTTTGCATTTGATACAACAGCAACAGCAGAATTACACCTGTAAAGTGCCTTGCACGCCGGGACGACATCCCAAGGCGCTGGACAGAGTTTGGGGCCCGAGCTGGGGGTCGGGGAGGGTGGAGGGCAGGGCGGGAAGCAGAGAGATCGAAAGCACGGTTGAAGGGGAGGGTCTTGAGATGGGTCTTGAAGGTGGCGAGGGAGGGGGCGAGGCAGTGGGACTGCGGGATGGAACTCCAGAGGGTGGGGGCAGAGTGGCAGAAGGCCTGCCTGCCGATAGTGGGGTGAGCGAGGCGGGGGATGCGAAGCAGGCCGGAGCCCGCTGAGCAGAGGGAGTGAACAGGATGGTAGGGGGAAGCAAGACCGTGGAGGGCTTTGAAGGTGTGGGACCAGGATCTTGGACTGTATCCTCTGTGTGATGGGAAGCCAGCGGAGCCGGGGGAGGATGGGGATGATAGGGTCGAGGAGCCCAGTGTGGGAAAGGACGTGGGCTGCAGAGTTCTGGGGTAGAAAGGACAGTTGAGGATCAAACAAGACTCCAAAGTTCCAGCCTGACTTAGCAAGATGGAATGTGCAACCATGGATGTTGATACTGTCAGCACCTGAGGTGAGGAGGTGCTGACGGGAGCCTGGGCGCCTTATCATGACATTGAGTCATCTCAAAGTGCTTCAAAGGATACACTAAAGTGTAGTGACTGTGTATTTTGTGGGCGAAATCAGTAAACCCTGGTTACCCCCAGACCTCTGGGTGAGGGGGTTGTATGTGCGTGTTTGGGAAAAGGATTCACAGCCCCTAATCTGCACCCTGCTGCTGTGCTTCCCTCCAGGCTGATCTTTCTGCCCCCAACCCCTCTTTCGCAAATTCAGCCTGCTACAACGACTTGCGTTTACACAGCACCCTTCACACGGGGCAGCGTCTCAGAGCGCTTATCAGTGGCGGAGCCTGAAGCTGAAGGAAGGGGGAGGTGACTGTAAGCATGGTTGAAAAGGAAGGTCTTCAGGTGCAACCGGAATATGGGGAAGGAGGGGGCAAGGCGGAAGGATTGAGGGAACAGTTCCAAAGCTTCGGGGCGTGGTGACTGAAAGCACACCCTCCAATCTTAGAGCGGAAGGGACGAGCAGAGAGGCCAGAGCCAGCTGACTGGAGACAGCGGGTGGTGGGGAGTAAGCAGTTCAGAAAGGTAGGGAGGCAACTTAAAAGCTCTGCGCCATACCATCGAAAATAAATCCACACCGACTCCAGGATTTTGCGAGGGGTTCTTCACCCAGTTCCTCCAGGAAAATGTCTTCACTGTGTGGGTGCATTGTTTCCAAATACGATTATGTTTTCACCCTCCCAAAAGCTGCAGAATGTGATTCTGCAGGTAGTGTTAAGTTTCACATTATCTGCCCAACTGGGACATGTCTACGTTTCAGCGCTTTGGGACGTTCTCCCGACGTGAAAGGCACTCTATAAATGTAATTTTTTTTGTTGTTGTTCCAACACTCATTGCTCATCAGATAGGCTGTTCAAGGTCAGCATACCTTAGATCACTGCGGGTTTTTTAAAAAAAATTGGCTCTAAAAAAAGCCTGAAGGATCCAAACCCTGAGCCTCTTGATCACACGTCCCCTGCTCACCAAACTAGGTGCCCGAGTGGGGGGGGGGTGGGCGGCAGGGTGATGGTCACCTCTACTTTACAGTGTCTCAGGAAACTTAAGGTAGCATTGATTTTTTTTGATCTCCAGATTTGTTTTCCTCTTTCTAATCATTGATTCAACTCGTGCTGCACAAAGCATTGGGGATCGTATGAAGGAATGTCTCAAAGTATGGGAAAGCAATTGGGAGGGGAGTGCAGAGGAGGAAACTTGGAGGTGACTCGGATTATTCTTTAAGAAGTTCTTAAAATCATGGGTAGCGTGATGATCGGACTGATTTATGGGGCGAAGTGCGTGTTTAGGTGGTCAGTCGACCACGCCATGCTCCTCCACCGCCTCGCCTCCCTCATCCACCTTAGTAGGATTGCGCTCAAATGGTTCGACTCCTATATAATAATCCTTGCATTTGATATAGTGCTTTTCACGTCTTCTAAACATCTCAAAGCGCTTCACAGAATATACTGTAAAGTGAATTGACTGTATATTTGTGGGGTTAAACGCGGCAGCCAATTCTGCACAGCAGTGTGCCACAAACAGTCGTGGATTGAAGTGACCAATTTATTATTGTTTTTTTTCTTGAGGGATTATTATCAGGCGTGTGGAGTAAGGATACTTGTCCAAGGTTTTGCCCTGCCGGGAATTGAACCCAGGTCACTTGCTTGCGAGGTGAGCGCTCTAACCATTGAGCTACAGGACCAATCACCTCCATTTTGGGGTAACCCAGGGCTCCAGCCTTGGCCCTCTTCTTTTCCTTATATATGTGCTCGCTTTGGATGGCACACAAATCTACTTTGCCTCCTCCAGTACCAACTCCAGATCTGCCGATGTTCTATCAGCTTGTCTGGCAGACTTCAACCTTCCTCTTCGACCGTGCTTATGGCCACCTCTCCCCCCTCTCTCCCCCCCCCAGCTTGGAGTCAGGCTCTGCCACTGTAAAGTGTTCTGAAATGCTGCCCTGTGTAGAGGGCACTATATCAATAAAGTGTTAATAAAGGCATTTTCCCCTCACTATCCTTTTCAGCTGTTCCTTGCTCTGGTGCTCAGCCAGCATCTTCTAGATGTGAAAGGCGCTTATAAATGTAAATTGTATAGTATTGCTGCACTATGAGTTTACGAGCGAGGCTTTAGTCCTTTTAATTTGTTTCTGATAGTGCCCCATCGCCTGAAGGTATTGGACTGGGGTACTATTCTACAAGGACTGGTTGTTCTCCGGTACCTTGTCTAAGGGATCATTCTTCATGTGAGCTTAACAGTTGTTGCTATCAGTATTGGGAACAGTGTAACCTCAAAGTGACTAAAGGAATGGATGAGCGTTTCAAAAGCAGTAGGGGGAAAGGTATGGACAGCCGGGGAACGTGCTAGAGTTGGAAGAAGGTGACCTTAGTTGAATTGTAATTGGGCTTTGTAGCACAGTTGAGAAACTAGCAGAATGCTTTGTCGCCTTGAAGACGTGATAAGGCTCTATATCAAATGCAAGGATTATTGTTATTTTTAATGCTAAGATTGTATGAGCAGCAAGGTTCACATAGTTTGAGTCAGAAGTGGGAAGGTATTAGTCAACCGAGCAATTATTCAGCGTCATCCAGAACTTGATGTGGGTTAACTGAGAGAACTCCCAGTTATTTTCCTGAGGCCAATTGTATTGTATTTCTACCTTGTCTCCCTCCCAACCCCCCACCACACACACACACAAGCACAGATTGTGCTTCAAACATTCCTATTCTGTTAAACTGAGGCATCAGGGAAACCTGACAGTCAGGATTTTGTCATTGTGATCTGCTGTAATTTGTACGGTTTCACCGTATTTGGTATGTAGAAGTGACAGGCTGTGCAGTGTATTTCGTAACTTTATGGGGTTGGGTTCAGAAAGCAGTGAGGAGCTATATAAAGGAAACGTAAACATGTACATGGGTAAGCAATCCTTAAGGGAATGCAGTGAAATGCATTCAAATGTCCATCAGATCAATTCACTTTTATTTAATTGTATTAATACAATAAGCCAGCTATCTAATACCTTATTATTACCCTTCGGTGCTACACAAAAAAATGAACTTGATTGTCGCACTGAAATTTTGAGAGATCGAGAGTCCTAGGGATTTGGGAACAGTGTAGTTGAAAGGGCAGCCACTGATGGTTTGTGAGATGGAAAGAGTGAGGAAAGAGCAGTAGGCAAGCCATACTGTAAAGAGTGAAGGCTACAGGAGAAGAACAACTGAAGGTTTCACAGCCATTGAATGAAATGTGCGGCTTTTTGAATTGGATGAGACTCATTTCTGCTGAGCCCTGTTAGTGCTGATCCATGAGGAGAAGCCTGCTTGCCACTCATTACTTCCACTTTTGAACCAGTGATGATGATAATAATAATAATCCTTACATTTGATACAGCTCCTTTCCTGTCAAGAGGACATCTCAAAGTGATACACAGGATTTACCGTAAAGTGGAGTGGCTGTGTATTTTGTAACAGAGTCCCTTTGACTCCCTCCCTCCCCTCATTCAGGGTGTGTCTCGAAAACTGCTTCTTTGACTTTTTTGGGGTCATATTTGCTTCCCCCGCGCCCCCAGCTCACACTCCCAGCTCTGGTGCGTGGCCAGTAATGTTAAGTCCTCTGGTACATACTCCTGACGTGAAAGGCGTTATATAGTATGTGCGTGGACGTAATGGGAGCTTTCCCGGCATCAGCAAAGATCTGTCACTAAACACTCACAATAAATTGTTGCTATTTTTGGCCCTACTACTGGGTCATACTATCTAGAAATATCAATTTATACAGTAGTTGTATAGCTGTGATATTTGGCAGATATTTCTTTCCTGTTCCCTCAATAAATAGGTATCTGCTTGGGGCACTTGGGGTGGGGAAGGAATCCATTGAAAGAAAAGTAGGGTAGATCTTGTTCATCTGAGTGAAACACGAAATGTAAATCATTGCGTGGAGAAGAACTGGATATAGAGCTTTGTGAGGGGACTGTCAGCAACCCGGTGAAGGGTGGAATCCACCTGCAGCAATAGGAAGAGTTTCAATCTATCTCTTGTTTGTTGGTAACGGGAGAGAGACTGATTCGGAACGGGAGATTAAAAAGTAGATAACTGGGGCTTCAGGCTTGTTATACAGAGGTACATAAGATGCTTAATGGGATAGAAAACGTTAACCAGGAACAATGCTTTAACATGTGCTGAGGGCATAGTATTGAGCAGTGTTTAGGACAGATTCCAGGAAGTTCATTACAGAGTATATTTTCGGGTGAGGCCTTGGCTCATTTAAGAAACTGCTTGATTGTTGTACTGGGATTTCAGTAATCTGGGTGTTCCAGAAGTTGGAATTAAGTAGGATGAAAGTACACCTTCTCTCGAACCTCTCACAAGATTGTTTCAGATGAAGAAGACCCTTCGGCCCTTGCAATCTCATCCCTCCAGAACACCCTTTTAAATTTTATGCACCTTTTAAGGGGCCTTCTTCTCTTCTGGCTGAAGAGCCCTAGCTTGTTTATTCCTCTAACACTGGAAGATCATCCTCATTGCTCTTATTTGCTCTGACTCTGGGGCGTGGGATCCGCTTATGTCATAATGATTAGAACTGTATGCAGTGACCAGGTGTGGCCTGGACGTGATTCTGGAATGAAAGGGTTGTAAAGACTTATTGAACCTCAATATGAATTGATCAAAGAAAAAAAAGCCCCAGATAATCTTTCTATGTAGTGGTGGAATGGAATTAATTTTTAACAGAGGGATTTAAAAACAATTTTCTGGAGGGAGGCTACGTCTTATAGTGAAAGTACTGCTTGTATATCTAAAGGTCACTGACTTTTATTGATTCTGATGTACTGTTGATTAAGATTAAATTACACTTGACTAAGTGTGTTTTGATCCAAGTGTGTGTAAAGGTATGTAATATTTAGCACTTGCAGCATTGTGCTGTTATCGCTCTCTGGAGGGTCCTTTACATTTCCTTTACACTGGGAGCAGGGATTCTTCCACTTGGCTCCTGTTAGGTCTGCAAGCCAAAGCCCTAACTGGTAAGGTATACTAGCTGGACAAGCAGCGGGCAGAGAGTAGGTTATTCTCCTGTTACTTTAATGCTGAGAGTGGGACAAAGGGCCTGAATGACGGAGACAATTACAACATTTTAAGCACTTGCTTCTCCCTTTGAAAACAGAGCTGTGCTCATTTCCTTCGGGCCTGGGCTTGCCGTTTACACAGAATGGTTTCGGGTGGAGCAAGTTCAGGAATTGAGATAAGTAATGTTTTCCAGCCAAATTATCCTCTTAAATTCAGACTTCCTGTCTGACTTGGCAAATATCCCATTCACCACAGCCTGCTTTAGGGATCATTGAGCAGTTCCTGATTTTAGTGGAGGATTTTGTGTTTGGCTAGGCCTAAGGGTTACAGAACAACAACCTGCATTTCTGTAGCTTAACTTCTCACTGCTGTACAGTGGTGGGGTTGGGCACTGAGCAAGGGAGAAGGGAAGGATTTCAGGTGGGATTTAAAGATAAAGAGGGGGAGGGATGAGTATTGGAGACAGAGCCAGGGGAGCCTGTGAAGGGATGGGGTGATGAGTGTATGGATTTTGGTGTGGGTGAGAACATGGGCAGCGAGGTTTTGTATTCGCTGGACATTAACTTGAGTGAAGTGTAGCTTTGAGATGGCTGATCTCAGCAGGGGCAGAGGTTCAGTGGTATTGTAAACACTCTGAATATGGTCTTCTGCGTTTAGTTACTGATTTAGCAATTGGCAAGTTATCTATTTGGCTGTCTCAGCCGGGTGACTAATGCATGCAGAAACCAACGCTGTGCTTGAGGAACTAAATGGAGAGTTCTGTGTATAAGCTACTTACACATGTAAAATCCTGTGTCCACTCTCTTCCTGGAGGAACACATCCTGCCTTCCTAATTCCGGAGCGTTGGGCAACAGTCGAGGCTTGGGGAACACCAAACTGTGCGTTAGGGTACTGCTGAAGTTTAGCCAGCTAACACTGCCTTGCTTGCTATTAAAAGCACAATACTCTGCGTGAAGTAGTTCCTTCTAAGTTCTCTTTGAGATCCCCTAGTCGTTGTGTTATATTTGTCTCTCCTACTTATGGTTTCCACAACCGGTGGAAACAGCAGTGAATTTACTGACTGAGCCCGGTGGGGAGGAGGCTTTGGAATATTTCAGCTTGCTACGAAATGTTGGTCTCAGTGTACTGTTAAACGGCCTCTTTCACACAGCATCATTGAGGGTTAACATTGTGTCAGTTCCAACCCCGCCACAATTGTCCTGAAAATGGAACTGTCAGCTGTCAAACTTTTTTTGCACAAACCTCTTTGTATTGTAAGCAAAAAAGTACATAAGCAATTTTTGGAACTGTCTGTTCTGTAATTTTATGTAAATGTAGCGTTTTGTGCATTTTCATTGCACTATTTTAAATGTAGCTTTGGATTTGTTTTTTCACGTTTTCCAGTTTCTCCGCCTCTCTACTCATCTTTTGAATCTCCGCAGGTGTGATCTAAATCTTGTACAGTAGTCCATTTTGTAGCACGAGGAGTTAATGCAACATCTTCTATATATTGTAATCATAATTATCCTTGTATTTAATATAGTGCCTAATCTCATCGTGGGAGACATCTACAACGCTTCACAGGATTTTACTGGGACTGTACATTTTGTAGGCTAACGTAACAGCCAGTTTGCGCATAGCAATGTCCCACAAACAACCATGAAGTGATTGGGCGATTGTTAGCCAAATCACCAGGAGAGAGAAACTCCCTTCTCATTTCAAATAGCACCACAGAATCTTTAATGTACACCTGAACAGGATTGCGGGTTAATGTCTGTTTAACATTAAACATTTATACGGTTCCTCTCACTTAAAGAAGCGTTTTAACACTTTTACAGAATGAGCTAATAATAATCCTTCATGTTTGATGAAGGGCCTTATCACATCGTGGAGGTGTCTCAAGATGCTTCATAATTTTACTGTGGATTTTACTATGAGGTGCAGTGACTTATAGGCAAACACAGCATTGATGTGTACACATCAATATCCCATGAAATGAATGACTGATTTTTAAATTAGAAGTCTCATATAGGTAAACGTAGCTGCCTTTTTGGACAAGTTACCTTGCAAAAACAGCGATGAGATTAGTAGCCTGTTAATTTGAAATTGGGGGATGAATGCACAGCCTATCTAGTGGGGAATCTGCAACCAGTTTGATCTGTTCATTAATTTTCTTCATTTCTCTCCATTTCCAGCAGGGCTGTGGTGAATTCAGAAGCTGAAAGATGCATCGATTAAGGACTTGTGCTGCTAAACTGAGGCCATTGACTGCCTCGCAGACTATAAAAACATTGTCACACAATGGGCCAGCAGTGTCTAGGACGTTTCAGCAAGGCCGTTTCTACACTTTGCCTGTAGCTGCTGAGCCTTTCCTGAGTGGGACTAGTTCGAACTATGTTGAGGAAATGTACTTTGCCTGGCTTGAAAATCCCCAAAGTGTCCACAAGGTAAGCATGAGTGGAAGAAAGAAAGGCTCTTTATTGGTATTGATACCTCACTCACTGACCTTTTTCGGGAACCAGGTAAGTGTCTGCCAGCAAAGGCAATGGAAGCTTGAACTATGCTGCCCCTTCTTCGTATTTACAAGATCTCAATTTTGAGTGTACCATCGTTGGAGAAGAAGGAAGAAGCCTTTTTGATGCACTAAGTGAACAAGTGCTCTACACTGCTCGACGTTGGCTGACCATGTCTGACAGAGGATTGTGCTGCACGAGATTGCTTCTACCTTTCTGTGTGGATGGGGTCAGGATAACTGGTTCCTGTGCTGAGTATAACCATACCCTCTCTGTGTACTAAAATAGATGGAGAGAGGAAGGGGTTTGTGACAAATGCAGATTTACTTTTTAGATTGCCTATTTTTATATTTGAAACATTTCTCAGGACCATACTAATAGATCTGAATCATCTGCAAATTTTACATTTATACATCGCTTTTCACGTCTGGGGATATCTCAAAGCACTTTACACAGGTGGCTGGGTACCCAAGCCAAGGATGTGGTGGTGTGGGACAAATTATAACTGAAAGCAAGACTAAAGAGGTAATTGTTGATACAAACTACAGTCACTACACTTCACCGCAAATCCTGTCAAGCACTTTGAGGCATTCTCCCAAGGTGAAAGACACTATAAGCATTATCATCATTATGTACCAATCAGCGGGATTTGGGATTTAAACTTTATTTTAATCTCGGATTTGTAGATTTCAGTTTTATGCCAAAACCACTCTGGTTAAGTTCAGTATTGTAAAGCCTAACTTATAAGGGATCAGTGTGTCGCTTTCTTCAGCGTTGCTGCCAATTGTGCTCTTGTCAAACTGGAATGAGTTATTGTTTCTGGTATGGATATCAGCATTTCCTATCAGTACTTTGCCATCACAAGAGCAGTTTGCCTCGACTGAGCTGTATTCTGATAAAAAGCCCACAAAGGTCCAGAGAGAAGTTATTGTGTGGTATGGAGTAGCTGTGACTAGTGGCCTTGTAACTTGATAATAATCCTTGCATTTTATACAGCGCCTTTCACGTCAGAAGGACGTCTCAAAGCACTTCATAGCATTTACTGTAAAGTGTAGTAACTATATTGTGTAGGTGAACACAGTTGCCAGTTTGGCCCAGGAACATCTTGCAAACAGCCAATAAGCTAATTTATTTGTTGGCCAAGACATAACATAAGAATTGCTGGGTGAAAGGAGACCAAGGTTCATCCAGTTCACCTTCCACCATCCTGGCAGTTGTATGACGTGTTGTGGCCCAAACTATATACTGTATCCCCAGATAGTATTTCCTAACAGAAATCTATCTCATTTGTTCTTGAAACAAACAACACTTTCTGCTTACACCGTCTCCCTAGGGAGCCTGTTTCACGTGTTTACTAAACTCGAAGAAACTTCCTTCTCTTTTCCAATAGTATTCAGTGACTAGCAGTCTTACCTCTAAGTCAGAAGGTTCAAGCCTTGAGCTCTGTCTAAGCTGACACTGCAGTGCAGTGTTAGGGGAACACTACATTGTCAGATGAGATGGTAAACAGAGGTCCCGTGTGCCTGTTCATCTTTAAGATGGATTGTTCGACTTGATCTTCTGGGTTTGAAAGACAATGGTTTTCTCTGTTTCCTTGCCTAATTTAGCATTGGTTCATGTGGGAGGCTAGACTACCAGTGTATGCTGAATATTCAATTGCCTGAGGAGGGAGGGAGGAAGGAAGAAGGAGAGAGATGTGTTCCTCTCCTATTGTGCACGCATACTGAGGGGACTGTTTTTCTGTTACCCTAGCACCACTGATTATAAACATAGGCAGCTTTCTTGGCTGATATCACTTGACTCAGCACCGAGCAGGAATTGCAAATGGGATGTTTTGGGTCAGCAGAGCTTGATTTCACATAAGGCACCGGAGGCTTTGATCCTTCAGCAGCTTATTTACTCCCATTGCCCTGGCAGCTGTTGATGTTGTTAATGGTAACAATCAGAATGTGTGTTCAGTTTCTTTGATGTCACAAGATGATGATGTGAAAGTCTTCCGTTGGGGAAATGGAGGGACCACAACACTCTCTATCCAGCCATTCCCGTTTGGAGTTTTTCTGTGTAAAAATAATCCTGGCATTAGATTTAGATACAGCCTCATCACGTCGGAGAGATGTCTCAAAATGCTTCACAGAATTTCACTGTGAAATGTTGCCGCCATGTATTCTGTAGGCAACATCGGCAGCCAATTTGCACACAGCAATGTCCCACAAACAATCGTGGATTGAGTGACCCAGTTATTTTTTTATTTATTAACTCAGTGGTTAGAGCATTCACCTCGCAAGTGAGAGACCTGGATTCTATTCCTGGCAGGGTGAAATGTTGGCCAAGTTTCCTTACTCCACACGCCTCTGTTTACCTAGCAGTAAGTAGAAACCCGGTTGTTAGTCGATTGATGGATCGCTTTTCTGGGGATAATCCTCAAAAAAAATAATTTGGTCACTCAATTTGGTCATGACTGTTGTAACAATTGTGGGACTGTGGGAGACTGCTGTGCGCAATTGGCTGCTGCAATTTCCCACAAATATATAATCAATTCACTTTACAGTATATTCTGTAAAGCGCTTTGAGACTTCTAGCCGTGAGAAAAAGATCTGCCAATCGACTAACAAGCGGGTTCTTATTTACTGCTGGGTTAAAAAGTGGAGTGTGTGTGGTGTAAGTATGGAGTCTACACAATATAACAACGAATTACATTTGAAAAGCACCTTTCACCTCAAGAATGTCCCAGTATATCTATTGATCATATATATTACATACATAGTGATATATGTAATGTACACCAGTGCTGTAAAGTGCACTATAACATTGGCCTGTCATTAAAAAATCCATACAGTGAAGCCCCATTATAACCCTGCGATTGACTTATTTTGGGCATGTTGGCCAGGACACTGGGAGAAGCTATCTTTTTCCTAGTCCTCCCACGAAAATTTAAAGCCTAACTGAACTGCTTAATCTCTGTTTAATATCTCGTGGGGTTGGGGAAGGGAGCAAAGGTAGGGGTGACAATTTCTGTGATGAGTAAAGTAGAATGAGTTCAGGGATTCTCATTGAGTGGCATTATCTCTATTAATAAGGAAGAGAAGTTCGTACAACAAACAATCTGCAAACTCCCAGAGCTTCCTTTTATGGTGCAATTGAAAGGATGGAATGTTACGGCTGTTCTGTTTCACTCACAAAATCACATCATGCCCTGGCACCTCCCTATTCTCCAACTTGCTCACGTCTCACTCAAGGCAGTTTCTTAAAATAAGAAACAAGTTTATTTAAAGGGGAAATCTTTCCAATTTTACCTCCTAAAAGTATAATTTATCTGCTTTTTTTTAAACGACAAAAGTATTCAGAATGAAACAAGGCCAGGGGGAAAGATTGCGACAATACTGATAGACTTGTGGATTTGTGGCCATCTGATACATAATTCTAACAATTGCATAATTTTCTTAATGAAAACCAAAAAAACGCCTTGTGACTGATCCGCTAAATCTCCAACTTATGAGTCCTGTAGCATATTGCCTAGCGAGTGAGAGTTCCCGGGCAGGGCGAAACCTTAGGCAAATTTCCTTACTCCACGTGCCTCTTATTACCTAACAGTAAGTTGGAACCTGGTTGTTAGTTGATTAGCGGATCACTTTCTGGGGGGGTAATAATCTCTGGGAAAAAAAACGTTCACTCAATCCAGGATAGTTTGTGGGACTCTGCTGTGCGCAATTGGCTGCCACGTTTTGCCCACAAAATACACAGTCAATCTACAGTATATTCTGTGAAGCACTTTGAGACATCTCAACGACGTAATAAGGCACTATATCAGATGCAAGGATTATTATTATATTGTACCCCCCACCTTCACTCAGCCATCCTCGGCCTTCTGCACATCCCTCTGCTCCAACTCTGACCTTCTGCAACTTCTTACCTCAATCTCTCCCACAACTCCCCTCTCTCTGAGGCTTGCTGTCAAAACTAGGTCATTAAGTGCTCCGAGATGCTACCTTCCCACGTTGTTTATCACATGGCTGCTGCGTCCCTACTTTACAGTAAATCCTGTGAAGAGCTTTTCGGCACGCTCCCGACTTGAACGATGCTCTGGGACACTACTCTGTGTGAGGGGTGCTTTATACATGCAAGTTGTTGTTGAAAGACCCTGAATCAGATGTAATTTTATTTTATCACCATTTTTCTAAATGCTGCCTAACCCAGAAAATGCTCAGGTCACATAGATCACTAACTATTTTAGCTGAATTTTATATAATGAAACTTGTTTTTAAACTCTCTCCTTGATTCTCTTATCTCCCCCCAGTCAGCACCCAACGCCGTCCCCCCCACCCCCGAGATAAGGCCTCACATCAGCCAATCCCTTATTATTGTATTGTGTGACAATCCTGTAACCATGACCTTTGCTGAAGAGGAAATCTAATGTCAAACAGCCCCTCTTTGCCACACCCCACTAGTGCTGCACGGCACATAATTGAGCTCGAGCTGGGCATTGATTTCAATGACCTCTAGTCAAGATCACGCATTCCAGTGTTCCTTCACAGATATAAAAACAGCACATTGTGCACCCAAGTGAGTCCAGGCAAATAAGTACCAATGTCACACGTGGTTAGGTAAACAGGGGTGTGTGAAGTAAGGAAACATACACAGGTGTAGAGTCTCTATTTTCGGTGAACGCTAAGCTAATGCAGCACTGCTGCGCTTCAATCGAATAAAATGCACACAAGCAACCAGAAGTCGGTTGAGGTCAGGCCACTGGGACTCATTTACAAAAAGCAGCTTGATGGTGTGATGTGAAGAATGTAGGATGGTTCTTCTGGAAGGATGAGATCAAATGGCCAAAAAGGCTTTCTTCACCTGTACCATATAGTCCAGGCTGAAACTTCAATGCAGTCACCCTTCAACAAATTGTCAGTTCCTAAGCCAGGCGGGTCCGCAGTGCTTAGGCTAATCCTGCCACAGGGAGTGATGTATCATTTGGCCCAACTAATCCATGAAGATGCTTAAACTCCATACAAGTTGCACATCTTCTATTCCCCTTCCCTCTATTCCCTTCTCCTTCACGTACGCATCAAGTTTTCTCTTCAATACATGGACGCTGTTTGGCTGGTCAGCTAAGGCGGCTGAGACCTGCTGTGGAAACTTACTTTGTTCGGTTCAGGAACCTGCCTCATGAGCAATGGAAATGATTCTTTGTTTAAATCTTTCTGAAAATCAGCACATACTAAATTGCATGAGCATCAAACTTGCTGATCTATACAAATGTGGAGGCATAATTCAAACCAGTTGCAAACTTGGCATCTTAAGCTGCACTGGATGTTCTGATGGTTGTAATTTGGCACGGGGGCAACTGACCTCTGTTTACAGCTTGATTTACTTAGGATGTTTGTCCTTGTGGATTGCTAAATTGCTAGGATCTCCTATGTTAAATGGTAACACACAAAACACAACAAACACGAGGCCCTCGCGCACTCCACCCAGGTCCTTGATGTTCCCTACTGTCCCTGTTGGGGTGAGTTCAAGGTGAAAGTATTCACAGAAACATGTGCCTCGAGGAAGGAAATGTTCCCCTTCTATTTACGAGCATTCTTGTGTGGAGAGTGTGCATGTCGTATTGTTCAGGATGTTTGCACTTATGTTCCGTACATATATTCCTCCCGACGTGACAGGCACTATACAAATGTAATTTCTTGTTGTTGTATAAACACTGTATGTATAGCACACTTGTGTATGTCTACAAAAATGCACAGTCACTACACTTTACAGTAAAATCTCATGAAGCGCTTTGAGAAGTCCCCCCCCTGCTGTGAAAGGCGCTGTATTCAATGCAAGAATTATTATTATTATTAATTACAGTTTTTTTTGAACATTGATCTTTCACTTGTGAGACCCAGATTCTCACATAATGAGATAAGAGTCAGGCAATGCCTCATTTGGATGAGCCATTAAAGCGAGCTCCTGTCTGCCTGCTTAGGTGGTATTAAAGATTCCAAGACACTATTGGAAAAGAGAAGCGAGTTCTTCCTGGTGTCCTGGCCAATAATCCCCTGGATAAAATTGATCATATATTCCATGGCTGTTTGTGGGACGTTGCTGTGTGTAAAATTGGCTGCTGCGTTCGTCTACAAAATACACACTACACTTCACAGTAAAATCCAGTGAAGTGCTTTGAGATGTCTCAACGATGTTATAAAGTTCGATATCAAATGCATGGACGATTATTATGATGTAGCGTTTCTTCATGTTCTAATGATTGGCACAGTTTCTGCTGCATTGTCTTTACTCTCTCTCTCTCTCCTCCGCCCCCTCCGTCCTACACGCACACATACACACACAAAGATTCAATCCCAGCTGCATCAAGCGGAGCAGCTGAAAATAGCTCTGAGATCCTGTGACTGGGCGCAGATGCAGTGACACTGCAGGGAATGCGTTTACCATATGGCTCCTGTTTGTTCACGGTGTGCGAGACTGAGCGGCCTTTTAAGAGAGTTTTAAAAGGCTTTTGCAAGATGGATAATTCTTATTTATGGACTAATCTGAATTAAATGCAGCTTTCATTTATTTAATCAGTACTGCTGTAGTGCTGTGTTAGAAGTTGCACAATCTATTAGACAGGCTGCCTTTTCTTTACTGGACAAAATGGAAAATTGCTTTTTTTTCCTGCTTGTTCTGTGGTCTTTCTCCATTGTTTGGGTCTCACTTGCGGTGGTTTTTCCCTCCACCCCCCGAGGTTTTATTTTGATAATAGCTAATCTTTTTTTAAAAGGAGGGAAGGCTTTTGCAAGATGGATTGCTCTTATTTATGGACTAATCTAAATTGAATGCAGCTTTCATTTACTTAACCAGTGTAGCTGTCAGCATCTCGGTAAACACGGAAGAGAACAACTACAAATCACGTTGCTATATAAATGTAATTCCTCATTGTTCTGTTTGTGTTTACCGAGATGTTGACTTGGCCCAATGCCCTGGTTGATCTGATATGTACAGTGCTCTCAATGGCAAGCTATGCGGTTTTAGCTGGTTAGACTCCAGCAATTCTCCCCCATATACACTCCGGGATCCCCAAGCTTTGCGTCTTGCCAACCTACGCCTAATACTCTTCGGAATTAAGTAAGCAGCTAGCTTGAGTGAGTGTCAAAGGCGTTAAGGAAATCACTTGCTGACATAAATGTCTATCTGGAGGCTGTGGCGCCATTTAATGACATTGCAGAGAGCACCGGGACACCAATAAGCACAATAAACTTCTGATATCTCATCTCCAAGGACAAGAGCTCAGTTATCAGGAGAGGCGAATTAAACATATGTATGCATATATAATTAACTGCATCCGGGATATGGACAGCACAATGACTTATGTGGTAGTGACTAGTTAAGCCAGGGTGGGGTTATCAGGAGTTCACTGTATTGTATTGAATCTACGGCAGTATATGCTTTTTCTTTGGTTTCAGTCTTGGGATATATTTTTCCGGAATGCCAATGCAGGAGCGTTACCGGGTACAGCGTACCAAAGCCCCCCTCCCCTGGGCACCAGCCTGGCCACCCTGACCCATGCTGGAGTAAAAGCACAACCAAATGTGGAGAAGTTGGTGGAGGATCATCTGGCAGTGCAGTCGCTGATCAGAGCTTATCAGGTAACCATGTGTACCCCCGGTCTGGGGGTTGGGTGGGGAGCCTCCATTGTAAACAGATTGCTTGATTATGTGGGTGTGGGTAGCTGCTATTGATTCCCTTTTAATTCCCCCTGGGTATGATCCGCCAGAACTCTGTGAAGTGAGACAAGGATAAGCTTGAGCTCCTGATCTCGCTGGAGGTAAGTCGTGCAATGTGCTTCCCACGTGTACGTTGCTTGCAGTTATGGAATAATGGGAATAATTTGCACACTGCTTTGCATCTCACTGAATAACACTTGGGATGGTTTATTGAACAAACCTCTTCCACACATATCTGTAACCTCTTGTTTTTTTTTGGATGTTCTTGTTCCTTGTTTGCAGGTCAGGGGTCACCACATCGCAAAGCTTGATCCTCTTGGCATTAATCTAGTTGATTTTGATGAATCGCGTTGTACTTTACCTGTTGGTTCCTCCAGTTGTGGTGAGATTAGTTTTGTAATATCTTAACAGTTTTAAGAAAAACTGATGTTAAATTGTGTTTTCCATCCCTTTGCCCCTCCCTTTTCCACCCCCTTTCCATTCTGTTCCTTTCTGTAGATACGAGGGCATCACGTAGCTCAGCTGGATCCACTAGGAATTCTGGCTGCGGACCTGGATTCGTCCGTACCAGGAGACCTAGTCACCGCCTCAAACGGAATTGGTGAGGGCTCTGGGATAACTGGTGTTCCTTGGTTTGAGCTCCTCTCTGTTTGGTTTTGTCAATTAGGGTTTGGGCTTTCACTGCTGAGCTGTGACAACTGCATGGGCTTCTGAAGACTAAACGCACCCTATGTTTCCACTCGCTCGCGTCTCCCAACGCTGTCTTGTAAGCGGCTGTGTAAAGAATGAACCCAGTGGCTGGGTGGGGCCTCCTTAGCAAATAACACATCTGGTTTGACCTCCATCTCTCTCTCGCTCTTCCCTCCCCCTTTGAGCTCAGTTTGCCGCTCTTCTCCTCCACCAAAGGATCAACCTTTAACATGTGGCAATACATCTCTCCAACTAGATCTTGTGTCTCCCCCAATGGCTGAGGGAGTGCAAGCGGATCAGTGGCACGGATTTCGAGCCCAGACGCTCCAATGTTCTTAAGCACCGGCTTCAGTTTTGATTTAATCTTGAATTATTTGCTGGTGGCCTGGCAAAATAATTTTTTTAATATATATGAAAATAAAATCTCAGAACAGAACCGGTCCCTTTCAGAGACAAAGCCTCTCCAGTCCTTGGATAGAGTTCCTGTCCTGGTGACCCTTCAGCATGGCCATCATCACCATGCTGTCCGCTGCTGGGTTCCATTTGGATAAGCTTTATCACCAGGGAATACCAGTAACCCTTCAAAGTTGTAGATAGACTTAGCTGTGGTATTGGCCGTGTCCCCATCACCTTGCTAATCCACTCTCCACCCCCATCCCAGAAACGTGTTTTATATCTAACCGTTTGCATTATAATTCTCCGTACTAATCGTTTAATACTTCACATAACTGCTTGACCGCAGTCGTGATCACTATGTTTGTGTGGAGTTACTCAAGTAGTGACTTGCGTTGCTGCAGCAGAGATCTCACTGTAAACACATTCCTGAGTTGGTTCCTTTAGTTTTAACCTGACTTTGCTTGACAGTGAGGTGCAGCACCAGCTTCTTACCAGAGGTGTGAGCGAGTGTAACAGACTGGCCTTTTCCATGTCTGTTCCGAACACTTCCTTTCCAGCTGATCAGGCAGAGAGCAGTGCAGTGGAATTGGACGAGGCCAATCTATTTCAGTCTTTGACCAGCCTGCTCTTCCCAGCGACAGTTAAAGCAACATTAACAGACTCTGGGATCAACTTGTCTGATATCTTCCATTCCCCCCTCCCCCCCTTAGTGTGTAGCGTGAAGGTCAAGGAAGTCAAGGACTTGTAGATTAAATCTTTTCACTAAAGCAGCAAATTGTGAAATCTTGTCCTTGTTTCACACGTCACTAAAAACCTGCAGCTCTTACTTACACCCTCCAAGTGCTGCTTGGGATTTCATTAGTCTTGCAACAAATATTACACTTTCTAAAACTTGATGGATTAATGTTCTGAAGGCTCCTTGCAGCCTGAGGGTAAAGGAGCCATGGTGAACACTCAGTCGTTGTACTTTCTCTCGTGATGGCCACTTTCAGTGCTAAGTAAATGACCAGTGGTGGAGGAGGGGGAATGTTTCAGTTTGCAGTGTGATATCGCTGGCAGTGAAGTGGTTGGCACGGGCTGCTGTGGGGGCAGCACGGCTGGAGGTTCACTCAGAGATAAGATGCATTGGCCCTTAGTTGGCTTCCAGAAGTTAATCAACAGTTAACCCGCTGCCAGGATTTGTAATAACAGTGATAATGCAGCTCATGTAACCGGGCAAAGAGCCAGCTGTTACAGTCCCGGCCCCTGTAACTGAGGAGGTGCCTATCTCGCATATCACAAGCCCCTATGTACAAGGTGTCTCAGTTCTGCTGCTGTAACCACCTGCTTGTTATTATTAAACCAGCTCGAGATAACCGGGTTAGTGACTAGTAAACAAGACTGAGAGCAGAGCCTTTGCCTGTTTGTACTGATGGTTATCAACCTGTCTGGGCATCCCTGGCTGAACCTTCTGCACCTCAGGGGTCCTCATTGTAACTGAGTTTGGTTCTGAGTATCTCAGCTGATTTTTAAAGCTGTTGCCTTCCATGGTGAGGTCAGAAATGTGATGTTTTGTGGACCATGAGACACACCCTGCTACCAGTCTGTTCAGTCTGCTCTCTTGTACAAGATTTAAAAAGACCGTCTCGTCTTACAAGATTGGTGTGACTGAAGAAGGCCCTTCGGCCCATCCAATCTCATCCCTCCCGAACCGCGACCAATCTTCCCCTCACCCCGTGTAGATTGTAGATTGCCGTCTACAATCCTAGTGCAGCCTGAATTTTGTTTCTGGGTTTACTTTTTCAATTCCATTTAAAATTCCATGCACCTCGGTGCGGTCCCCTCTGAATCATGGATTCAAAGAGGTTTGAGTGTGCCGGGAGAATGTGGAGAGCAGAGTGCGTCAGTCAGTCAGCACTGTAATATGCTAATGTTGTGGCCGCTGCTGCCTCTGTTCATGTTCAGCCTCGATGACTCAGTTCGAAGCGTGCGTTTCTACTTTGTATTTTTCAGTTCCTTTGTGAGTTCCCTGGTGGGAGGCAAACTTCCACTGCACCAGCCAGAGACATTCAGTTTCTATTTATTCATTCTCTTCTCTCCCGCTTCTGTTTTCTAAACAACCTGACCTTAGTGCTGCTGTGTCTGTGGCTTTAACCATTGTGCAGGCTCGTCCAGGAGAGATGGACGGACAGCCTGGGCCAGGCAAAGAGTTGAGTGTCAATAAGCTGTTCAACATTAGCAATATTGAGGTACGATTCATGGAGGAAATGAGCCTTTAATTGACTGCACAGTGATGCCAAGCAGGTTCAAAAGATAGCTTTTGCAAGCTATGTGGCTTTAGCTGGTTAGACTCCAGCAGTTACCCCAACGCGCACACCAGGCTCCCCCAAATGTTGGCTGTTGCCAACCTGAAACCTAACACTTTTCGGAATTAGGTAAGCAAGGTGCGTCCTTCAGCTGGGATGTGAGTGCGCATTCCATTCCAGACACGGGGAAATATCCATGTGTAGGTGGCAGACCTGTGGGTCTGGTTCAGATACTCTTAGGCACGGTGATGGATTTCTGCGTGTGTCAGACACCTGGCTGACCAACAAAATCACAGACAGCCTGTTGTCAGAAATTCTTCTTAAGAAACGGATGCGCTTCTCACAATTGCTGTGATCTATGTGTGAGATTCGCATCTGTGAGTGGTGTCACATCCTGATAGTAGTTTGGCTCGGGGCCCTAGTTTAGCTGAGCACATTATACCTGCTGGACCAGGTTTGCTTAATGGGGGCAGAATGCAACCAAGGCAGTTTGGATTAGTTGGTATCAACCAGAGCCAGTTCAGCCCTCACTGAGAGGTGCAGTACAGACACTCCTTCTATGGCTTCAAACCTGTTCTGTTCCTCTCAGAACTGAGGCATTTGCTTGTGCAGCGAGCGTGGCCACGGAAGGAGTTGGAATTAGTGTGAAGATGAGCAATGGGTTCTTAAGTCAAACAAGGTCTTTGTTTCTTGTGTTTCCAACCCTCTGTCCAAGGACAGTTTGGATTGTTTATCAGTACTGAGTACAATCTGTCCTTTATCTAAAGCTGCTAAACAGCTCCCCTGCAGCCCTTTGCACTTTCCCCTGTACAGTGCGGTGTTTCTTCACTCTGAGGAGCTTCAAAGCTGTGTTATCCTGCCTCCAGTGGACATTGCTGTAACTGCAGCGCATCTGAACTGCACTGGTTTTGTAGGCCTGTTCTCGACTCGTCCCTGAGCACATGTGTTTGTGTCAGTCACTGAGGACTCTCACATTGAATGTGAGCAGGATTTGGGATTGTTTAAATGTTGGAGTATAAATGTGAAGGAAGCTTTTGGCACTGTTATCCTTGGTGTGCAGTTGACATCATTGACCTTATGTCCTCATTGTGCGTAACAATGCAGAGGTTTTTTTGATTTGTAGATTCACTGCGTTGTTTTACTGGAATATTTACGCAGCCAGCCAGATGAGCCTTAATGTCTCGAATCTCACAATGGCTGCTTTATTATGAATTGCAAATCTCCTTAGGTGAGAGCAAGCGGTGAACTGGTAAATTGGAGCAAAGTTGCCTCCTAGCTTAGCTCAGCCAGCTAATGTTTATCTTGTCTGTTTGGCCCCAATATTGGAGTTGGGTTGAATTGAATTCTTTCCCAGTCAATCCTGTGTTCCCTGCTCCGAACTTCCCTTTGCACTTCTGTGTTCTGTGGCTTTGAGAGTCTGTAGATGGCTGTGAGAGCATTGTTCGGTTATCATTTATTCACCCAGTCTTTAGAATGAAATTGAAGCCCTCTATTAGCTCCTCCCAGGCTGTTTGGGGCTGATAGCTGGATCCTGCCTGCTGCGTGTTTGCTCTTCCATACCTTGAATGTCCTGGAAGGTACCCTGTGAATGGGGTGTGCTGCTGCAACCACTACCCACTCTTCACCACATTCCATGTATCCATTCCCCACATATTCATTGGATTTTTTTTCTATAAAATGACTGTTTTTCATTCTGCTTGATTAAATTACTCAGTTGTTAAAGCAAAATCTCGTCTTACTAGAATCAATCTTGTTCTGTACTGGTAGTGTTTGTACATACTGACCCCCTCCCCCCTCCGCACGCTGTCATCCACGAGGTTGAGTCTAAGTGGGCCCTGAGTGTTTCACTGTATTTGCCGCCTGACCTGGACAGCCTGTAGATAGATCACTGTTGTCTCATGGTCAGCTCACCCAAGGTGTACGATGGAATATCCACAAAAAAGGAAGTGATCCCTTACTGAGTGGGCCAGAGGCTGGGATTGGAACCTTTCTTTCTTGGCAACTTTTTTAAAATATATATAAATGTTTGTAATAAATGCTAGATGGATTTTAAAGCTCTTTATTTGCGCTGTAATAGAGTGCTGTGTGTTTTGCTTTCAATAGACAATTAGAGATGGGACGTGTCAGCCCTAATAATAATAATAATAATAATCCTGGCATTTGATATAGCGCTTTTCACGTTGGGAGGACGTCCCAAAGCGCTTCACAGAACACACTGTAAAGTGAATTGACTGTATATTTGTGGGCGAATGCGGCAGCCAATTGCGCACAGCAATGTCCCACAAACAGTCGTAGATTGAAAATGACCAATTTATTATTGTTTTGTTTTGGAGGGATTATTATTAGGCTCTGTGTGGAGTAAGGAAACTTGCCCAAGGTTTCGCCCTCTGCCTGGAATTGAACTCAGGTCTCTCGTTTGCAAAGCGAGTGCTCTAACCACTGAGCTACAGGACTCCACAATGAGTGGAGTCCTGTCTTAGTGTGAGTGTCTTAGGCACAGGCCAGGACTGATGTGGATGGGTCAGGGGATGCTTTAAGCACAGTATTGCAGGGAAGGTTAGAAGGAGCCTTGCTGTATGTAGCATTACCGCCCCCACAAACCCTTTCACCACGGACAGGGAGCAGTTTTAAAAGTGAAAATTGCATTTTGACTGAATACATAAGTGTCTGGAATGTATAGCCTGTGAAAACCAAAACCCACCTTCTCTCTGTTAAAACCAATCCTTGATGATTGTGATGTGTTTACAGTTCATCAGCAGTTAACACTAACCGTCACTGACTTGATGTGGAGTTGTGTTTAACCTTAGTTTATCTCTTCTTTTTGCTTCTTGCGCACATTTTTTATTTATATTTATTAAAAAAAGTTTTTTTCCCCCCTAAACTAACTATTTTGCTCGCTCTTTCTGTTTTGTGTGTGTGTCTTTCTCTCTCTCTCTCTCTGTTTCTACACTCTCACCCATAGACGTTGCTGTCTGCGAGGATCGCCTGAGAAAGTTGACGGTAGGAGGTAGGCAGATGCTGGTCTTAGTCTTCGGCCAATATTTTTTGGTTAACATCCCCTCCCTCCCTGCCTCCCGTGATTTTTTTAGTAAGAGGGAGAGAGGAAAATCCCAGCACCAGCTTCAAAGGGATTAGAATGAACTAGATGCTGCAAACCTAGCTCACTAGACAAATCACTGATGTCATGATACGGCGGGAGAGAGGATGGGTTCATCCTCGGTGGCCTCTCAGGCCTGGGCAGTCCCTTGTGTTGTCTGCACTACTGTAGGTGTGGCCCAAACAGAGCACCATGTGGCTTGGTAATAGCATGGCTCCTCAGCTAACGCAGCCTAGGCTGAGTTTTAAAGCTGTGCCATGTAGTACTGTACTGAGAGCCAACAGATAATAAAACTCTAATGGAGGAGTCTACATTGACTTGTAAGCCAGTCAGTGGTGTGTGTATGTGCATGTACACACATGTTGGACTCAGGGTTGAAACAGTGACTGCAATAATACAAAACAATTTACATTTGCACAGCGCATTTCACACTGGGAGGACAACTCAAAGCACTTAATGCTGTTGGCTGGCTGGCCACCTGAGCTGGGCCCAGAGATGTTTAAACAAGATGCCAATCTTTTAACTCTTTCTCCCCCCCCCCCCTCCCGGAAAAAAAGTGATCCGTTGCTTATCATTGTGTTTGGTTAGCGAAGTGGGATGGGGGGGGTGCACTTGTGCTGTTAAAGGCCGCGATGGCCAGGAAATGTGGAAATTGCCCCATACATTCTTGTGCAACGCTTTATCATGACATCTCTGATTATTCTCTGCTCAGTCGTGTGATCCAGGGATTAATGTTGCAACGAGTGATTGTGTTTTTCGTTTGTGCTGAATATCGACTGATGTGCACTGCAAGGAAATTCAATAGAATGTTACCCACACTGCAAGGAAATGAAGCTTGTTTTGGCTGAGTGGGAGTGTGGGGGAGAGGAAAGGGGAAGGAGAGACAGAAATTCTGCCACTTGTATCCCAAATCCACCTCATGGCCCGTGGGATATTATACCATTTTGCAATGGTTCCAAAACGCAGACAATTCTTAATTTGTAAAGTGGTTCCTTTAAGAGCTGAGGCAAACTGGTTTCAAGATGAGTATGAGTTTAAGAACACTCAGCTATTCATCACTGTCTTACCTTTTGAGACTCATTGGCCTGACAGGCTGAGATAAGGCAGGTTGGTAGCTGCAGTTCCAAAGGTGGCTATTTCTGTATACGAGTGACTCAATACTTGACAGTTTTCACTTGAACTGCTCAGTTCTCTGGCTGATACACATCTGGTAATTGGAGGAAGTTTAGTGCAGGAAAAAACTCTTTTGCAAATGCCAAAAACTAAATATTTAACAGACTCTCTTTTCCCTAACGCCCCTGCCCCCACTCCCCTCCTAAAAATAGATACCCTATCCCTGAAACGTTGTTTAGAAGTAGACATCACCTCTGCTGAACCATGTCTGTCTCCATCTGTCCGTGTACTCCTTCTACTTGTATCTTGAATCTTAGACTACAACTGAGCAATGTGGGCTGAATCCAAATGTCTATATTTTGTGCGCTGGGCATGCCTGCCTGGAGATATCATCCTGATTATCCTGGTTTGTTAATAGCCCTTCTCTCCCGTTAAGGTAACTGAAACTCATCTTTGCGATTGGGCCCCACAGATCCTGCCATTAGCTCCCACTTAATAATAATAATAATAATCCTTGCATTTGATATAGCGCTTTTCACGTCGGGAGGACGTCCCAAAGCACTTCACAGAACACACTGTAAAGTGAATTGACTGTATATTTGTGGGCGAACGCGGCAGCCAATTGCGCACAGCAATGTCCCACAAACAGTCGTAGATTGAAAATGACCAATTTATTATTGTTTTTGGAGGGATTATTATTAGGCTCTGTGTGGAGTAAGGAAACTTGCCCAAGGTTTCGCCCTGCCTGGAATTGAACTCAGGTCTCTCGTTTGCAAAGTGAGTGCTCTAACCACTGAGCTACAGGACTCCACTTGGTACTGAAGTAGTTAAATAATCTTTACAAGTGGTTGGTTTGAGTGCCTCTGAGCTGGGGAGGGAGGTGGAGTGGGAGAAGGGAGGGGGAGAGATTGGGTGAGGCACAGTTCCTGCCTCACTACCCACTGACCCGCTTGGAAACTGGATGTAGACGGAGAAGAGTCCCTGGTCTTGCCTGTGTTGTGACTTAGCGTCTTGGGATGTCCTCCTGACGTGAAAGACACTATACAAATGTAATTTGTTACTGTTGTAGTGACGTGCGTCCTTCCCTCCACATGGGACAACCTCATTGACGTTGTCCCCATCTGTGCTCAACAGTGGAGCTGTGGAGAGACAATACTGTCAATTAGTGGTACAGTATGTTTGATATTTAACACCAAAAGTGCCACTGAACTGATCATGTAGTCACCATATTGAATATAATAACAACAACTTGCATTTATATAGCGCCCTTCGCGCAGGGTAGTGACCCAGGGTGCTTCAATATACAGCATCACAGCTTGCCCTTCAAATAGGGTACATCTCGGTGAGTGCTGTTCTGGTCCAGGGTTAGATGCCAAGCAAGGAGGAAGAGAGAGGTGACCACAGCTACAGTCGAAGAGGCAGGTTTTAAAGTGAGATTTAAAGATGGAGAGGGGTGAGGCGGAGAGATACAGATAGGGAGTTCCTGCAGTTTGAGGTGTAATGACTGAAGGCCGTTGATGGCGACGTGACAGGGGAAGGGTAACCAATAGCTGAGGTCACTCTCACTTTGCTGGGCTGATGCATCACCGTTGACCCTGAGATACTTCAGGTTTTGGCCACTGAGGTCCCTGGACACTTTGTTCTGTCCTCCACATTGTTGGTTCCATCATCTTTAAGGACTTCTCTCTCATTATTGACTTGTTCAGTTCAAGATTATGTTCTCCTTGTCTTGATGTTGTGTTGGTTTGTGTTGTGTTGTGTCATGTTGGTTGTGCTGATCCAGCCACAACAATAGGTTTTAGTTTGAGAGATCTTGAACTTTTCTCAATCTCATCTGGGCCAAGTGGCTGCAGTACTGTTTGCACCTTGGTTCCTGTGCACTGTGTCTATATCACAAGTCATCAAACCCCAGTCTGTCTGTACACTGCTGTTCTGTTGCAGTCCTCACCGAAAACTCACTTCCATTCTAGTCTCCAACAGCATTAATAGCAGCCTTGTGATCTTAGCAGAAGCAGGCACCAAGTTTCCTTCCCTACTCCATAAGAGAATGTTAAGCCACTGATATCTAACAAAGATTAAGCTCCATTTAGTTTCAGGTTTGCTTTGCCCAGTGAATCCCTCCCTCCCCCCCCCCCCACCCCACCCCCAGTGGAAGTATACACTTGTGTACGTTAACTGAATAGAAGATTGGGATTTGCTCTGAGGCTTCACTGTCTGGAGGGCAACAGGTACCATCACATCCTAGCATTAGTCAGGTGGTGTGGGAAGGGGTGGAAGGTTACATCGCAATGATGGCTGTGTTCTCAGGTCTGATCCCTGCTCTGAAATGAAAGTTGGCCTGAACTTGCCTACTTGGCATGAGCATTGGGGTGTCCAGAGCTGGGTGTGACTAAGTCAACAGATAAAAACTGACAGTGTAACTAGTTTCACAACTTTTCAAAATCTGTTTCCCAAACTCCACTTGAAAGTCATTGGCAGATATCCGAAAGATTAGAGCAGAGTGTGAGTGTGTGGCGGGATGGTAGTGAGAGGGGAGCATTTCTGTCTAATAGTCCAGCCTAACAGTGTGGTGTGTTCTATTACTATACTAATCCTGTAGTTGGTGTGCACGTGCTTGCTTAGCTATTGGGCTCCCAGCACTGAGCGCTCACTGCCTGTGATAGTTGTGTGTTCACATAGTGCATGTTGGTGTGTAACTCAGTAATTTAGGGGTGCACCTGTTGTGGTTAACCTTCAGTGGATATTGTGTTTATTGCTTTACACAGTACTGTACAGCCAAGTGTTCCATAGTAAGAATTAACCTGTTTTTTCTTGTTTACCCTCTGTCACTTTCTCTCTTCCTTGCCTCTGGTTGTTTGTACCAATAATGTATCTTGATTTTTCTACAATGCTTTCCTTTCTTATTCAAAATCTTTCCCCCNAAAATTATATATCTATAAATTGATCATGGCCCAATCCCTCATCAATGACTGCTTTCCACCTGCCTTGACTTTGCAACTCCCTTCCCTTGTGCCCGCTTCCATGACTCCAAAATGGTCCTGTCTTTTACAACATTGAACGTGCTTGTAATGCATGGTTGCTCTGTTAAATCTTGGATTCCTGTTTATTCTCTCTCTCTCTCTCCACCGTTTGCCTCAACCTCCTTCCCTCTCTCTCTTCTATTTGAACCCCACATTGCTGTGTGTTGCTCTCTACCCCTCTCTGCTGCTGCTCTCTGGCTTTCTCTATCCACTCATATCTCACTGGCAAACATCACTCAGGCTTTTACGGCCTCCACGAGTCTGATCTGGACAAGGTCTTCCATTTACCTACAACTACCTTCATTGGAGGCAACGAGTCTGCCCTTGCTCTTCGGGAGATCATTCGGAGGCTGGAGGTAGGCCAGTTGATTTCTTTAATTATAGAACTCACTAAATTGATGTCAAGGTCCTCATCCTCGCATCTCCCTAACCCTCTCACACCCCAAGCCTCGGTTCTCGTCTAATGCTCTGCAGGATTAGGTAAGCGGGGTGCGTCCCTCCAAGAAGAGAGAGGATCTATTCCTGAATCAGGAATTTCCATAATATAGAACTCGTGTCTAGTTTGATCTATCTCCGTCTCAAGTCCCTCCTCTTTGATCATGCCTTTGGTAACCCTCCTACCCACCATCTCATCTGATCCCAACCCCATGCTCCGGCCCAAATCCCTGACTGTCCAGTGCTTTGGGACGTCCTCACAGCTACAAATTTAATTTGTTGTTGTAGTTTGGAGTCCTTTAAGCAAGGGTTAGTTTCTGCATATGTCAGACCAAAACAAAGCTGATCTAAGGGGGAAATTTGCCACAAATTCATTGGTGTCCATGGTTATGACATGCTGCCTCTTGCTGACCACATTCCTGCTTTCTTCCCCTCAGATGGCTTACTGCCAGCACATTGGTGTGGAGTTCATGTTTATCAATGACTTGGAGCAATGCCAATGGATCAGACAGAAGTTTGAGACTCCTGGGGTCATGCAGTTCACCAATGAGGAGAAGAGGACCCTTCTGGCGAGGCTGGTCCGCTCCACCAGGTCAGAGCTCCTGCCTCGCTGACCAGTAACTGATTGACACACATTGGGGTTGGGAGCTGTGGAAACATGTCCTTCAACAGCTCTGCAGTTCCTCATCCCAACACTCACTATATCAAAGCAGAGTGAAGCAGCGATAAACAAGACAAACGGGAGCTTGGCTTTATCTAACCTTCCCAGGTGCCATCACTCACTATATACTCAGGCTGTGCAATGCTTTGGTCAGGGTGCACCTAGAGTACTGCATAGAGTTTGGATCACCACGACATTGGCTGCAAGATACACAGTCACTACACTTTGCAGTAAATCCTTTGAAGTGCCTTTTCCCTATGTGAAAGACGCTGTATCAAATGCAAAGATTATTATTTTAACGTTAGTATTGGCTGTTAAATTTAAGCAGCTGTACATTTTCAAAAACTGTTTTCCGATGGCTGAGATTGACCTGTTTATGTGGTTTGTTTCCCAGGTTTGAGGAGTTTCTGCAGAGGAAATGGTCCTCTGAGAAGCGCTTTGGCCTGGAAGGCTGTGAGGTGCTGATCCCAGCGCTGAAAACGATCATTGACAAATCTAGCGAGAGTGGCATTGATAACGTCATCATGGGCATGCCTCACAGGTAACTCAGGTCTCCGGCACGGTGAGTGGGAGCAGAAGAGTTGAAAGCGAGTGTGCCAAAACTGAAACAGGAACATAGGAACAGGAGGAGGCCATTTAACCCCTCGAGCCTGTTCCGCCATTCTGTAAGATCATAGCTGATCTGTACCTCAACTCCATTTGCCCGCTTTTGCTCCATATCCCTCGATACCCTGAACATCTTTACACCTCAGTCTAGAAACAGGCTGTTGTCTGCGGGAAGAAAACGGCCCGGTCACTAGGGTTGAAAACTTCATGTTCTCTGTCCCGTTAAACCCTCTGCTGTCCTTTGCAACCTGGTGTCTGAAAGCCAGATCTCACAGCAGCCGTTTCCTCATTGTAGTTTGGTCTGTTTGCTCCTCTTGCAGAGGTCGTCTGAACGTGTTGGCCAATGTGATCAGGAAGGAGCTGGAGCAGATCTTCTGTCAGTTTGACTCCAAGTTGGAAGCCTCTGATGAGGTGAGATCCCAGCCATCGATGGAAATTCCTGTGTCACTGAGTTACAAGCTGTTGTGGTTTAAAGCTTTGAGGTGCTGTACAGACTGACTTCAGTTTGTTTGATACAGCTTCCAGCCTTGTTACTTATTCCTTTGCATTTTCCAAAAACACAGTCTCCGCTCGGTGGGCACCGGCCTGCTTCACATTCCCCCACCCTGCCCACCCCACCATCGACAGTCAAGCCTTTCTGCCCCCATCCTCTGGAACTCCATCCCACGGTCCCTTCACCTCGTCCCCTCCCTCGTCTCTTTGAAGATTCCGTCTTGGGATTTAACTCTTTGATCACGCCTTCGGTCAGCTTTCCAAACCTCCGGCCTCCACCTCGCGAATCCATCCTCCAGGTCTGGTGCAAAGTCTCGACCGTCCAGCGCTTTTGGACGTCCTCCCGACTTAAAGGCTGCTGTGTAGATGCAATTTATTTTTGTTCCCTCTGCAGCCCGGGTGGGTACTGTACTCTGCTCTTATTAATTCCACAGGGCAGTGGTGATGTAAAGTACCATTTGGGGATGTACCACAGGAGGATTAATCGTGTGACAAACAGGAATATAACTCTGTCGCTGGTGGCTAACCCGTCTCACCTGGAAGCCGCGGATCCTGTGGTACAAGGCAAGACTAAGGCAGAGCAGTTTTACCTCGGTGACACCGAAGGCAAGAAGGTAAAATTGGGTTCCGCACTGGTACAAACTGAAGAGAGGTTGACGTGAGAGACAGCCTGATTGTGTTGGTAGCACTCTTATCTCGGGGTCAGACGGTTGTTCTTTCAAGCCCTGAGCTTACCTAGTTCTAGAGAAGGCTAGGCTACAGGAGGCAAACGTCAAGGCTTGGGGACCCCAGAGTGTGCGTTGGGATAACTGCTGGAATTTAACCAGATAACCACTTAGCTTGCCATTGATATCATTGTCTGGCAAGCTTTCCCGCTGCTTGTCCAGCTAGAACCACCCTACTTGTTAGGGTTTTGGCTTGCAACGTTAACATGACTGAGTAGAAGGATTCCCTGCCCCCAGTGACTGGTCTGTGCCTCCAAGTCCTGCTGATGAGCCAGGCTGGCTGTGCTGTGATCAGCAGTGCCCTGGAATACTGCGGACCCGCCTGGCTCAGGAATCAGATTGGAGACCGTCACAGAGGGTGAGCTTGATTCTGACATTCCTGCTTAGCTCCAAGGATAGCCACTAGTCATTGACAATGGGGAGGTGTAATTGTGAAGCAAACCACAATTGTTACACAGTAGATGTTAACCTTGTCTATTTGCCAGTAACTAAGGCTGTGTTGGGTGTTGCTCTGTGACTATTCCAGGTGATGTCCGTCCTCCTACACGGTGATGCTGCGTTTGCAGGGCAGGGCATTGTCTACGAAACCTTCCACTTGAGTGACCTCCCGTCGTACACCACCCACGGTACTGTCCACGTGGTGGTGAATAACCAGGTACAGTGACCATCTTACTGACTAACCCAACGCTCGCTCCTCCACTGTCCTGATCTTATCTGCCCTTTTACACTGGGACATGCTCCGGCCTGGACTAGGGATATATTGCACTCTTTCATGGAAGGTCTAGTGTAAATGATGAACTGACTAGTCCTTGTTTAGAACAAGGCAAACAGGATGCTGGGCTCCGTCACAACACCTACCTCTTTGTCCATGCTTTCGATCATCTTTCCCCTTCCACTCCCCTCAGATGCCAACCCCAGCTTGGGTGCCAAGCCATTATTGTTAGGCGCCTTGGGACGTCCTCCTGCTGTATAAATTTATATTTGTATTGTATTGGGCTGCCCTGCCAAGCTCCGAGTCTCCCCAGCAGTCATTGTCAGGCTGTGTGATACTCTGGTCAGGGTGAACCTGGGGGACTGTGCCTGCTGCGATAGCAAAGGGCTGAGCCCAGCCTGGGCTGATACTCACTGGGCTTTTAATGAAGTTTATTCTCTTGAGTGAAGAGCAGAATTGCCGTCTGCGAGCGAGCATGCCGTATGCTATGTGTCCTCAGGTCAGGCTTGTTTCTCTCAGATCGGCTTCACCACAGATCCGCGTGTGGCCCGCTCCTCTCCATACCCCACTGACGTGGCCCGCGTGGTCAACGCTCCTATCTTCCACGTGAACGGCGATGACCCTGAGGCAGTGATGTACGTGTGTAATGTAGCCGCGGAGTGGAGGAACACCTTCCACAAGGACGTGGTGGTCGATCTGGTGAGTGATCAGCTGTGACTCTGCTCACATCTTGTCTGCCTTGACACCTGCTCCATCACCCAAACTGACTGCTGCAAGTACCTACAATATACACAATAAATCCAATGAAGCACTTTGAGATACCCTCCCAATGTGGATCAGAAGGCGCTATATCAGATGTAAGGAGTGGTATTGTATTGTTGGGGCCTGAACTGATTATGTTCTCCTTTGACAGGTTTGCTATCGGAGGAACGGGCACAATGAGATGGACGAGCCTATGTTCACACAGCCGCTGATGTACAAGCAGATCAAGAAGCAGAAGGCGGTGCTAAAGAAGTTTGCGGAGAAGCTGATGGCTGAGGGGGTGGTCAACCAGCAGGAGTTTGAGGTTTGGAGTTGCCTTTTCCAAATGTTCCCTGTTGGGTGCCACCTCCACATGGAAATTGTGCATGGAATGTGCACTCTTGTCTCTTTCTCTCTCTCTCCCTGGAGGGATGCACGTTGCTCACCTAATTCTGGAGAGTATTAGGCGCAGGTTGGCAAGAGCCAAGGCTTGGGGGGAGTCCAGAGTGTGCATTGGGGTAACTACTGGAGTCTAACCAGCTAAAACCACAAAGCTTACCATTGAGAGCGCTGTCTGGTAAGCTTTCCCACTGCTTGCCCAGCTTGGACCATCCTTCCCAAGCCATTGTGATGTTTTATTTTCAGAGGCCGGGAGGTATTTCTGCCGAATACTGGATCAGAAATGTTTGTTTTTACATGGAGAGGAGTTAATTGACTGTGAGGCCAAATGGTTTTCTTGTCCTGTTCTTATGGTTCACACTACTGCTTCTCAGGTTTTCTCATTTGTGTTACTGTAGGAGGAAATGGCCAAGTATGATAAGATCTGTGAGGAGGCATACACCCGATCGAAGGATGAGAAGATTTCTCACATTAAGCACTGGCTGGACTCGCCCTGGCCTGGTAGGTTTCAGTGACTAGTTAGGCCTAAGTTCCTTGGGAGCCAGATCTATCACAAGGAGGTTTGTCATGTTCTCAGTGGGGTGAAGAACAACAGACAGAAACCGTAGACATTTACAGCACAGAAGAGAACAGAGAAATAGTCTATAGCTTTCAAATATGTGGTGTCAACTGCACTTCATGCGTTTCACTTATACAAGACCTTCCTCTCTGACCGTACTTTCGGTCAACTTTCCCGCCCCCCAGCTCAGGTGCTCGGCCAGTAGTAGTGTTGAGTGCTTTGTGTTGGGACATCCTCCCAACGTGAAAGCTGCTGTGTAAATGTAAATGGTTTGTTGTGTTTCTCGTTTTCTGTCTTAGGTTTCTTCACTCTGGACGGCCAGCCGAAAAGCATGAGCTGTCCCCCCACTGGCTTAAATGAAGAGATGTTGGAACACATTGGGAAAATTGCTAGCTCCGTCCCTGAGGAGGATTTCACCATCCACGGAGGTCGGTATCTGCAGTAACTCTCAGGGTCTCAGCAGCCTCTCAGTCACAAGGTTGTAGACTCGGAGCCCCCACGTCGGGATTTTGAACTCAGTCTAGCTAACGCGCCAACACAGGGCTGGGGAGGGAAATGGGGGGAGAGAGCACCGCATTGTCAGTTAAGTATCCTTCATCCTGAAATGTTAACTCTCTGTCTGTGTCTGTTCGCGTTGAAGATCGCATGACACTATTGTGAAGGGAGTTTGTCACTCACTACATGGCTGTTTGTGGGATATTGCTGTGCGCGAATCGGTTGCCGGGTTCACCTACAAAACATTGATACACTTCACAATAAATCCTGTGAAGCACTTTAAGACGTCCTCACAAAGTGAAAGGCGTTGTATTAAGTGCAAGGTAGATTATTATTATTAGAGCACGCTGCGATGCTGGCTGGGGTCAGACACTGCCAGCCTTCGCTATCTAGACTAGCAGGTCAAGAGAGGAGGAGGAAAGGAAGTTCATTGTGGATTTTATCCAGTCAAAGCCGTGTTAGGTTGGTGAGCAGCAGAAGATGGTGTAATTCAGACCCTCTGCCATGTGAATGCTCCTGTGTTTGCGGTGTATAGTGTAGATGCCTTTCTGATCACTGACTGAATTAACAGTTAGAAACCCCAGTCACTGTGCTGGCCTGCAGTGCTGTTCATCCTGATGTTCTATGCACTTGGCAGGCTTGACTCGCATCCTGAAGGGCCGGGCAGAGATGATAAAGAACCGCACTGTGGATTGGGCCTTGGCTGAGTACATGGCCCTTGGCTCCCTGCTTAAAGAAGGCATTCACGTCCGTCTGAGTGGCCAGGACGTGGAGAGAGGGACCTTCAGGTAATGGCAAACGCTTGTCTGCCTCGTGCAGCTGCGGGATGATAAGTCTCTATATCACATGTAAGGAATAGTCACACACTCCCAGTGTATGCTGTGAAGCACTTTGAGACCTGAAGATCGCTGTAACAAATGTAAGACTTATTATTATGAGGATCTGACCCTTCCCATCTATATTTCCTTGCTGTTTGTGTAGCCTTGTGTGCCGTGCCCTTGTGATGGTAAAGGACGTTTTAACCCGTGCTGTCTTTCCCCAGCCATCGCCATCATGTTCTCCACAACCAGAATGTGGACAAGAAAACCTGTATCCCAATGAATCATCTGTGGCCCAACCAGGCTCCATACACAGTGTGTAATAGCTCCCTGTCAGAGTACGGTGTGCTCGGTAAGTCACCTGCCTTGTCCAACCGTGTGTGGGAAGCCGGCTGCTGCTTTATGTTTGTGTTTCGGTGTTGTATTGTCTTATATATTGTATTGTAGTACATTATATGTTAGTTTATATTGAAGGTCAGGCCTTCAGCCTCTCTGCCTACACCCTTTAGAACTCTATCCCACAGTCCCTTTGCTCGCCCCCTCCCTTGCCTCCTTCAAGGCCTGTCTCAAGAACCTCCTCTTTGACTGGTCACCCTCTAGTCACTGACTCACTGACCAGTGGAAATAATGTCTCCATATTGACTCTGTCAAAACCCCTCATCATTTTATAATCCCTCGATGAGGTCACCTTCAACCTTCTTTGTTCCAGCAGAGAAAGTCCCCCCCCCCGTCTCCACTCACAGTGTCTGAGTTGAGTTATGGGCACTGCACTGTGTAATAGCTTTGTAACATGTAAGTGGATACATCTCTCTGCCTCCACCCTTGACTTCTTTGACTCCAGGACCACTGCTGTCCTGACAGAATGTCTGTCAGACACCAAGTCCTGGATGAGAGCGTACTTTCTTCAGTTGAATATTAACAAGAAACGAGGCTCTCCTGATTGGCTCCAGTCAGCGCCTCCTCACCTCAGATGCCCCACATCCGTGCTATGACCCGCTCTTCCTTCCCCCACCTCCGCAACATCGCCCGGCTCTGCCGACTCCACTGGCTTCCCATCATACAGAGGATACCATTCAAGATCCTGGTCCTCACCTTCAAAGCCCTCCATGGCCTTGCTTCCCCTACCTCTGTGACCTTCTAATCCCCTACCATCCTGCCCATTCCCTCCGCTCGGTGGGCTTCGGCCTGCTTCACATCCCCCACCTGGCCCGGCCCACCATTGGTGGGCGAGCCTTCTGCTATTCTGCGCCCACCCTCTGGATCTCCATCCTGTAGTCCCTCCACCTTAACCCCTCCCTTGCCTCCTTGAAGACCTGTCTCAAAATCCTCCTCTTCGTCCATTCTTTCGATCTCCCTGCTTCATCCCCTGCCCTTCACCCTTCCTGACCCCAGCTCGGGTCAGCACCTTGGGACGTCCTCCTGACATGAAAGACGCTGTACAAATGTAATTTTGGTGGTGTTGTAACAAGTTTCTGTGGATCTGTGCTGTGCTCTCTCCTCTCTTGCAGGGTTTGAGTTGGGCTTTGCTATGGCTAGTCCCAATGCTTTGGTTCTCTGGGAGGCTCAGTTTGGGGATTTCCACAATACTGCACAGTGCATCATTGACCAGTTCATCTGCCCTGGTCAGGCCAAGTGGGTGCGTCAGAACGGCATCGTGTTGCTGCTCCCTCACGGCATGGAGGGAATGGTAAGGCTGGTCCTCCTGCTCATATAGGTTAGTCCGTGTGTGAGCCTGGCTCAGGCGGTGCCAGCCCGGCTCAGGGGGTGCCAGCCCGGCTCAGCGGGTGCCAACCCGGCTCAGCGGGTAGCGCTCTGACTCACCCCTGATTCAGAAGGTTGTAGGTTCAATGGGACTTGGAATCACAGTCTAAGCTGATGCTTCAGTGCAGCGCTGGGGGCTTTGTGAAGTGTTATGTGTGACAGTCGTGTGTGTCTGTGTTACAGGGACCCGAACACTCGTCTGCTCGGCCAGAGAGGTTCCTGCAGATGTGTAATGATGATCCTGATGTGGTCCCGGTGAGTCTCAGGCACGCGGCGTTTGGCATTACGGGGTATGTGGGGTGTGGGTAGTGTGCGCATGTGGTGGGGGGATGATAGACCGTACACAGCGCTGCTCTGTATATGTGTGGGGGGAGACACACTGCACTCAGTGCCGTTGTGGGGGGGAATGTGGGGGGAGTATATGTGGGGTGGGGGTGTGGGGAGGACAGACTGTACTCAGTGCCGCTGTGATTACAGAAAGTGACCGATGACTTTGCCGTACGCCAGCTGTACGACTCCAACTGGATTGTGGTGAACTGCTCCACCCCGGCCAACTACTTCCATGTTCTCCGCAGGCAGATCCTCCTGCCCTTCAGGAAGCCGGTCAGTGCTGTGTGTGTGTGTGTCAGTGTAGCCTCCACTGGTACAAGGGGTGGAGGTCAGTACAGTACAGAGCCCTGCCCGGGATAGGGGGGAGGGGGCAGTACAGAGCCCAGCCACCCAGCGCCTCGCAGGTTAAATCCAATCTTGGTCACTGCCTGGGAGTGGGACGACACTGGCTCAGTGCAGAGGCTACCTGTGCCATTCCTCACTATTGCCACCTGATGGGAGGGGGAGGAGGTCCTTCTGACATTGAAAGGCACTAAATAAGTGTTATTTGTTGTTGGGGAGGGGCTCACAAGAATTCTGTGTGTCGCGGGACCCCATGTGATGGATTCTCACCCCACTCGGTGTACAGGCCACACACACTGTGCCCTCTGCAATAACACAGGGTGAAACAGAGTAACTGTGCTGTTTGCTGACCAGCCTCACACCTTCTCTGCTTGTTGTTATCTCTCAGCTGATCATCTTCACACCCAAATCCCTGCTGCGTCACCCTGATGCCAAGTCCAGCTTTGATGCCATGTTCTCAGGTTAGTGGTGACTGAAATTATGGGGGGCGTTGGTGTGGGGAAGGTGGGGAGGTGTAACTGGCTGTGTTGGAGACTAATCAGTTGTGGTCCATTTGCAGAAGGTGTAATCTGCCCCCACACACCCCCCACCCCACACACACACACAAGCAAACCCTGGTTGTTGGTTCAAACCCCTACGTCAGGCCTTTGCGCTCACAGTCTAGGTTGACGCTGGAGTCCAGTGCTGGGGAAGTGCTGCATTGTCAGGCACCATCCTTCAGATGAGACGTTGAACCTCGCTCCCCGTAAGTTAAAGATCCTGTGACACTATTGGAACAGAGAACAGAGTTGCTCTCTCTCTCCAACAACTTGGCCAACAATCCCCTCAGTCACTTCATGGGTGTTTGCAGGGGCGTAGCTGTGTGCAAATTGGCTGCCGCGTTCACCCACAAATTACAGTCGCTCCACTGTACAGTAAAATCCTGTGAAACACATTGAGATGTCCTCCTGATGTCAAAGGCGCTGTTTCAAAGGCGAGGGTTGTTTATTTATGTATTTATTAGTGACACTATTTCCGTGCTCAGCATTCCCGAAACGTCATCCTACGTGAAGGCTGGCGTACAAATACAAGTTGTTTTTGTTCCTTTAACACATGATATCAGCCTGTGTTATTAATATGGATATGAGTGAGGTTGGGGTTTGGGAGGCTGTGGGGAGTTGCTGTGTCCCACACGAGGCTTGACTTTCCCTGTGCCAGGTACGGAGTTCCTGCGAGCTATTGTTGAGGAGGGACCGGCAGCTCAGAGCCCGGAGCAGGTGAAGAGGCTGCTGTTCTGCACTGGGAAAGTGTACTATGAGCTGGCAAAGGAGCGTAAGAGCAGAGGGATGGAGGCGGAGGTCGCTATCACCAGGCTGGAGCAGGTAAGCTGCTGACTGACCAACATGTACCCACTATGTGTATATGGTTTATAGCAGTTAGTGAGGCCGGTGGGGGGCAATTGGTGGGACTGAGTGCGTTTCTCTTTCTTATAATACGGAGCTGGTGGCCTTCCATGCTCTCTTAGTGTCAGCCTGGCCCAGAGTGCGTGGATCAGCCCGGCTCAGCGTGTGTGGTTCAGCCCGGCTCAGCGTGTGTGGGTCAGCCCGGCTCAGTCAGCGTGTGTGGGTCAGCCCGACTCAGTCAGCGTGTGTGGGTCAGCCCGATGAGTGTGTCACAGTCAGTGTGTGGGCTCTTGCCACAGAGTCAGAAGTTTGTGGGTTCCACATTGGGACTTGAAATCACATAGTCTAATCTGATGTTCCAATGCAGAGTTGGGGTGCGTGTTGTAGTCGGAGGTGCCTAAATTCTCTTTTAGACCCCCCCCCCCGTCGTCGCTATACTTATACCAATACTTATATTTATACTCACATTATATGATAATTATATCACTATTAAGTCGCTATCTTATACTTGTGTACCCTGGGTACGGACTCCGTGACCAGTGGTAGCGGTGTTTGCCTTGCTTGGAGGTGATGCTGATTTTAGGAGCTTGACGCAGGCTGTGTGTATGTTGTCTCCCCAGCTGTCCCCCTTCCCCTTTGACCTGGTAGATCAGGAGGCGGGGAAGTACAGCCAGGCTGAGCTGGTGTGGTGTCAGGAGGAGCATAAAAACCAGGGTTACTACGAGTACGTCAAGCCTCGCATCCGCAGCACCACACACCGTACCCGGCCCGTCTGGTGAGTGTCTGACCAGGGAGTGGGGAGAGAGTTCCTGTAACTGGCCTCTCTTGTGTCTGTCTTTCTGTCTGTGTGTGTGTGTGTGCGTGTATCTATGTGTGTGAGTTTGTGTGTGACTGTTAACCAGTGCTAACGGTGCCTGTGCCCGGCAGGTACTGTGGGCGAGAGCCAGCCTCGGCCCCTGCCACCGGCAATAAGAACACACACCTACACGAGCTGAAGCGCTTCCTGGACACCAGCTTCAACCTGGAATCCTTCAAACACCTGGAAAACTAACCTCTCCTCTCGGATCACCTTCTGTTCTCACTCTGAGGGACATAGACTGTGCATGCTACTGAGCTCTTTGGCGGGTGGGGTGGGGGGGACGTTTTGGGGGCTTTCACTTCAAATAGAGAAAACATACCTCGAATCAGTGCAGGAATTATGAGGGGGGAGGGAAAAATGTGTATAAACAGGCCACCGGTGTGCTTTCCTTTCCAACGCCCGGCCCCCTCTCTCTCACGGCGGGGGAGGGGAGGAACTAGGCAAACAGGGCGGTTGAAAAGGCAGGAAATTTTAGTGGTTTGTACATTTTTGTGAATAAGGAATTTTTTTCTATTTCTGAACTAGCCGTAGACTGCCTCGCCTCCCCCCCCCCAACCCCCCTTCTTTTCATGGCTGAATCAGGCTCTGATTTTAGCGCCCACACACCCCAATCACCCGCAACCTCCCCTCCTCTCTCCCCCCCACCCCCCACCCCCCCCCCCCCCCGCTACTGGGTAACCAGAAATGTTCTTGGTCCTTGACTTGTGAGGAGAGAGAGAAGGGAAGACAATGACAACAACAACGCACTTTTCATCCAATGCTTCTAGGAGGGAGAGGGAGAGAGAGATGGTGAGGGGGAGGGGGGAGGCGTTGGCAGGGAGGGGAGGGGGGGAAATCCTTATATCTCGATCACCACTTCTGGGAGCGAGCTGCCAGTGCAAAAACTGATTTATTTATTTTGGTACCAGATAAAGTTTTCAACTGAATTTTAGCTTCATCAATAAAGTCACTCCTTGTCATGCAAACTCAACACGGGCAATTTTTGTTTGTAACTGCTTTGGTGGCAAAATACTTTTGCTTTCTCCACATCCCCCCAAGCCACCTTCTCTCCCACCCTCCCCAACCCCCCCACCCCCCACACCCCATCAGGAATGATCTACCTTCAGACCATACTGGAGGTCCTCATGGGTCAGAGCTTGGGCTGCTTTGCCCCTTCACTCACTCACGGTGTTGTGTGAACGAAACTGTACAGATGCCCAGCCCGTACATCACTTCTCAGCACCTCTCCTGGAGGTGTTATCGTTGACCTTTAATGGAGGGGAACAGCAGACTGAGGTACAGAACTGGAGGGCTCTGGGATCATGGGACCAAACATTCAACTCATCACTTCTCAACTCAACATGTCTCAATAATAATAATCGTTGCGACGTCTCGAAGCACTTCACAGAATATATTGTAAAGATTGTATATTTTGTTGGTAAAACGCAGCAGTCAATTGCGCACTGCAGTGTCTCAGTCATAGGTTGAGTGACAAAGTATTATTTATGTATTTGTTTTTTTTAGGGACTATTATCCATGGAAAATGAGCTGCCAATCGACTAACTACCAGGTTCCTACTTACTGCTAGGTAAACTGAGGTGTGTAGAGTAAGGAAAATTGTCTAAGGATTTGCCTTGCCTGGGAATCGAACCTGGGTCCTCGCGCTTGTGAGGCAAGCGAGAGGACCTGGGGTAACATTAAGGGGTAAACTGGGATCAGCAAATGTGCGTTGTAGATCTCTTTCTGGCTGTAGAAAGGAAAGAATTCACTAGGGGGAGGGAGCAAAGGGTTAAACCCTGAGACCAAGTGGATCAGAGCTCCTATCTTGATCAATCTCTCCCTCATTGGCTATCTTCAGATCACGCCTGAAGATCTTTCTCTTAACCATGCCTATAATAATACTTGCATTTGATACAGCGCCTTATCACGTTGTTGAGACGTCCCAAAGCGCTTCACAGGGTATGCTGTAAAGTGAATTAACTGTATTTTTGTGGGCGAAACACGGCAGCCAATTGCTCATAGCAGTGTCCCTTCCCACAAGCAGTCGTGGGCTGAGTGACCAAATTACTGTTATTTATTTATTCATTTATTATGATTGAATAGAAAGCAAACGCTCTCTCCGGGGAGGGTGTGACTGTGTGTGTGTGTGACTGTGTGTGTGAGTGGCCACACTGCCGGTATCAGACTCACACAGTGCACTGATCTCTTATATGATCTAACAGCGCCACCACTCAGCCACATGAGGTATTGCACCCTCGTGAAACTTCACTCTGTTGACCTCATTGACTGTCCCAATCGCTGGAAAAAGAGCAATCAGGTGAATCTGCAGCCGTTCACCACTGTGTAAATGTTATATTATAATAATAATAATCCTTGCATTTGATACCGCGCCCCATCACGTCTTCAAGACGTCGCAAAGCACTTCACAGAATATATTGTAAAGTGAATTGACTATAATTTGTGGGTGAAACCAGCAGCGTCCCACAAACAGTGGTGGATTCAGTGACCAAATTGTTCTTTTTCTTGTTTGAAGGGATTATTATTCCCAAAAAATGATCTGCCAATCGACCAGCACCAGGTTCCTACTTGCTGCTAGGTGTGGAGTAAGGAAACTTGCCCAACATTTCACCTTGCTGGAAATTGAACCCAAGTCCTCTCGCTTGCGAGGCAAGTGCTCTAACCACTGAGCTGCAGGACTCCTCATATTATAATAATCCTTGCATTTGCAATAGCGCCTCATTATGTTGAGACGTCTCAAAGCGCTTCACAGAATATAATGTAAAGTGAATTGGTTGTATTTTATGGGCGAAACATGGCAGCCAGTTGTGCTCAGCAATATCCCACAAACAGTAGTGGAATCAGTGACCAAATTATTATTATTTTTTTGAAGGGATTATTACCCCTGGAAAGCGATTCGCCAATTGAGTTATCAACTGAGTATAAAAACAGATGTCGCTGGAAACACTCAGCAGGTCAGGCAGCATCTATGGAGAGAGAAAAGTGAGTTAATGTTTCAGGTCAGAACAAGTGTGTTCCTACACTGCTAGGTAAACAGGTGTAAGAGTCTCCTATGGTTTTGCCCTGACCGGGTATTGAATTCAGGTCCTCTCACGTGCGAGGCGAGAGCTCTAACCACTGCACTACAGGATTCCACATGTCCAGGGACATTGGTAGAAAGACACAGGCTGACCGGGGTATTACAATCCCTCCAGTTATAACAAACTCCATATCAAAACCCACTTTCCCTGTTCATTTCCGTCCCCCCCCACACGCGATCAGTGAAGCCGCCCCTGATATTCAGAGCAACTTGTGACTGGCTTAATTTTGATTCTGAATCGGCCCTCGTCCTCGCCCTCGATTGGTCTTTTGGTTCAAGAATCTGATTGAATGGTGTGTAAGTTTGTCAGCCTCGTATTGGCTCTGTGCAGGGGGGGGTTGCTCGGAATGCGCCCCTGAGGGAGGGCAGTGGGGAGGTCGCCTCTTTGATGGCCAAACTGTTCTATAGTGAGCGCTCTGGTATAACAATCTTTGCTGCCGGTCCCCAGAGCGGGGCATTGTATAGTAGTGAGGTTTGACTGTAGTTATCAAGCGAGTAATGGGAGGGGGGGGGTGTGGTGGTTAGAGAATGTTTTCACACACGGCGGTTAGGGTAATGAACTGGTCACAGCACAATCCATATTGGCTGTTAAAAGCCAAGATGTAATAATAATCTGAAGCGCCTCATCAAGTCATTCCCTCTGTCTTGCCCCTTCCTGGCCAATTCAGCTCCAAGGAGACCCTGCTTACCCCTCCCCCCCCCGGAGTATAGTCACTACAATACAAAATTACATTTGTATAGCACCTTTTATATCAGGAGGACGTTTGTATTTGACATCCGACAGGCGGAGGTTTGAATGAGTGGGAATGTATGTGTGAGTGTAAGTGATTGTGTGAGTGTTAACAAGTGTGAGGTTGGTGAAGTTTTAATAGGTCGCAAAGGTGGGGAGGAATAAGACCTTGAGGGGTTTAATGGTGAGGACAAGGATGTTGAATGTGACGCTCGGGGGGAGGGGAGGGGACAGGCTGGGGCGGGAGGGGAGGGGGCGTGGCGGGGGAGGGAGGTGGCCGTGGTGGGGGGTGGGGGCCATGGTGGGGGAGGGGGGGGAAGGAGGGAGGTGGCGGGGAGGGGCCGTGGCGGGGGGTGGGAGGGAGGTGGGGCGGAGGGGCCGTGGCGGGGGTGGGGGGGGGGGAGGGGCCATGGCGGGGGGTGGGGGGAGGGGCCGTGGCGGGGGAGGGGGGGGCCGTGGCGGGGAGGGGGGGGTGCGGCCATGGTCGGGGGGTGGGGGGGGGGAAGGTGGCCGTGGGGGGGTGGGGGGAGGGGCCGTGGCGGGGGGTGGGGGGAGGGGGGAGGGGCCGTGGCGGGGGGGGGGGGGGGAGGGGCCGTGGCGGGGGGTGGGAGGGAGGTGGCAGGGAGGGGGCGGAGGGGGACCAGTGAATCCGGGCTGTGAGTTGACTGTTATTGGCAGCAGTTGCTGTAAATGGAGACGCACTCAGGGGTCCTCTTCAGCCTCTGGGTTGCCCGAGGCTCTGCCTGTTAGTAAAGACAGGATGTATGTCTCTGCAGTGTCTCCAGGGTTGGGGTTGCCTCAGGGCCCCACCGCTCCTCCTCTACGCCCTTCCAGCACATTCCACTGTCACTCATTCTCTTTCCTGTTTTCCTAAAACATTCCACTGGTTATCAGCTTTTGGGATCACATTCCACATTCCTTTCCTCCTCCTCCCTCCCCCCTCTCCTCCTTTCCTGAAGACACAGTCTGGGTCTGGGGAACAGATGGACAATTTCAGCTCACAGTCTAAACTGATGCTCCAATGCAGTGCTGGGGGGGATGGGGACTGCATTGTCGGAGGTGCCACCCTTCAGATGAGATGTTAAACCAATCTTTCGTCTGCCTGTTCAGGATCCCATGCTGCTATTCGAAAAGAGAAGTGGAGATTCTATCTCTCCCGGTGTCCTGACTAACAATCCCCCAAATAAAATTGGTCTCTCACTCATGACTTTGTGGGTGCATTTTGTGGACAAAGTGCGGCAGTCACTGGCGCAATTGGCTATCGTGTTTCGTCCACAAAATATACAGTAACTTCATTTTACATTAAATCCTGATGTCCTTCCGACGTAACAAGCTAAACAGAATGGAAGTATTATTATTAATTGTTTATCTGTCAAGCCATGGCTCAGTCAATCGCACTCTCGCCCGATTCAGGAGATAGTAGTGGTTGGGGAAGGGGCAGGTCTGTCTCTCCAGTTCTCTCTCATGTCGGGGGGAATCACTCAGGAGTTTTGCTAGACACTACCCTGGGAGCAGGTTCTGGGTTAGAAATGAACGAGCTCCTGGTTGTAATTAGAGCATGTGAACTGGATGGTGGGGGTGGGGATTGAGCATCTGACGTGCTGGGCTCCATGTTCCACAGCCCATCACAGGGTCACTGTCACCGTCAGCAACACTGACACCATTTCACACTCATTCACACACACTCACACACACTCATTCACTGACTCACACAACCACACACACTCATTCACACACAACCACACACACACTCATTCACTCACTCACTCACACATACACTGACACACTTCCCTGTGGGATTATAGCCAGCGCTCGTTCCTTCCCCTCCCGCTCTGACCTCTCTTTCTTCCTGTTTTGCTCTCCTCTCTCTCGCTCTCTCTAGTTCCGCGTGAGTGTGAAAAATAGGGAAAGCGCTCTCTTTCTCTAGTTCTCTCGCACACTCTCTTTAATAATAATAATCCTTACATTTGAACCAGCACCTTATCATGTCTTCGAGTTGTCTCAAAGCGCTTCACATAGTACACTGTAAAGTGAATTGACTATTTTGTTGGAGAAAATGTCTTTCAATCTCTTACTGTCTCAAGTTCTTTCTCTTTCCAGTTCTCACCTGCTTGCTCTCTACTTCTTTCCCCGATTCTCTCTCACACTCTCACTTGGGTGCTCTCTCTCTCTAGTTCTCTCTCCCTAGCTCTCCACACCCACCCACCCCCCATCAGTCACCCCCTCTCTGCCCTCAGAGGAGCCTGTGTTATTTACACACTTTACACTCAGCTCCAGATGTCCAGAAAACCCGGAATAGGGTGGAGGTGAGGAGGGGGGGGGGGGAAGGTGAGGGGGGGGGGGTGAAGGTGGGATCCCTGTTTGGATTTGTGGCTCAAAACACCAGCTACACTTTAGGGGTAAAATAAAAGGTCGGTCCCTCGCCCCAGTGTCGGGGGTCTTCAATCTCCAAGAATATCCCACTTGGAATTTCCCTCCTTCAAATCACGATAACTCGGAAACGGGTCTAGTTTTAATCTGCCCTGATCCGGGCCAGATTCAAAATACACAGTCACTACACTTAAACCTCACTCCCTATCTGTACCCAGTCAGACGGACAGTAAAGATCTCCCACAGCACTGCTGAAAAACAGACCGGCTGAACAGGGAACAGACTGGTAGTGGTTTTTTTTTTGGGGGGGGGTCTTGACACGCGGAAACCCATCACTGTACTTAAGGGACTCCAAATCCAGCTGAGAATTCCCCACCTCCTGCCTACATATGGGAATCCCAGAGATAGATTGTTGGGAAGGAATCTGCGCTCTCTCTCCCTGGAAGGGACATGCCCTGCTCGGGGGGGGGGGGGGGGTGGGGGGGTTTAACAGCTCATCCAAAGGACGATGTCTCTGGCAATGCGGTGGCTCTCGCTCTGTCTCCCCCCCCCCAGGGTTGTGCTGGAGTGTCAGCCCAGAGCCTCGAACCCATAGCCTTCTGGCTGGGAGGTGAGACGTGAAGGAGCCAGACTGAGCGCTGTCTGTCTAGGTTGTGTGTCTGTCTGTCTGTCTGTCTGTCTGATTGTCTGTATGTCTGGCTGTCTGTCTGTCTGATTGTCTGTCTGTCTGTCTGATTGTCTGTCTGTCTGTCTGGCTGATTGTCTGTCTGTCTGTCTGTCTGTCTGTCTGATTGTCTGGCTGTCTGTCTGTCTGTCTGTCTGTGGCTGCCAAGTCGGTCTGGTTGGCGAGATCTCTGATCCATTCCACTGTCTCTGGGCTCCTGTTAAGGTTTTCCCAGTGGCCGCCAAAGCTGAGAGGAATCGCCTCCAGTAACAGTATCGCCGTCTGTAACCTGACGCCTGACTCTGTAACGTGAGGCTTCAGCCACAGCTCCCACCCAACCTGAGACACAGACTCCCACAGACACAGACACACAGAGAGGCACAGACACGGGGATTGCAGCTTTCAATCATTCCTTCAATTTGCAGGTATGTTGATATTTGTGTGTGTCTGTGTTGTGTGTGTGTCTGTGCCTTTGTGAATTGAGAGAGAGAGAGAGAGGAGGGTGTGATTTTAACGTGTGTTTCGAGAGCTTAAGAGATGTGACTGATCACAGGGTCCCGTGTCAGGGCTGTGAGCAGGCAGTGCAGTGACTGGTTACCACAGAAATACAGACAGACTCATAGACAGCGAGAGAGAGAGACACACACACACAGACACCGAGAGAGACGGAGGGACAGACGTACGCAGTATCGTCGTTTGAAAAAAAACATGTCCATGTGTGTCAGGAGATGTTACAGTGTGTACCAGTGTGTGTACCAGATGTGTGTATCTACAAAATGTAGATATCTGGTGTCTGTATATAATAGATGTGTGTGTATACCAAATATGTCTGTATACACGAAATAAGTGTGTGTGTATTCATGTACCTCGTACGTGTGTATCGGATGTTTGTGTACATCTGGTGTGTGTGTGAGTATCTGGTGTGAGTGGGTGGGTGTCTGGTATGGGTGTGGGTTCCTTGGGTGTGGGTGTATCTGGTGTGTGTGTGTGAGTATTTGGTGTATGCGTGCGTGTATCTGGTGTGTGTGCATGCGTGTATCTGGTGTGTGTGCATGCGTGTATCTGGTGTGTGTGCATGCGTGTATCTGGTGTGTGCATGCGTGTATCTGGTGTGTGCATGCGTGTATCTGGTGTGTGCATGTGTGTATCTGGTGCGTGTATCTGGTGCATGGGTGCATGTAAATGGTACAGGCGTGTGTGTATCTGGTGCGGTGTGTGTGTGTATCTGGTGCGGTGTGTGTATATATATATGGTGTTTGGGTGTGTATCTGGTGTTTGGGTGTGCGTATCTGGTGTGTGTAGCTGGTGTGTGTATCTGATGTGTGCTCGTGGTTGTGTATCTGATGAGTGCGCATGTGTATAATCTGTGTTTGCGCGCGTGTGTGTATCTGATGTGTGTGTGCGTATCTGGTGTGCATGCGTGCATATCTGGTGTGTGTGTGTATCAGGTGTGTGTGTGCACGCGCACGTGTGTATCTGGTGTGCACGCGCGTGTCTATATCTGGTGTGTGTATATCTGGTGTGTCTGATCATATACCACGTGTGTCTGTGCACCGCGCGCGTGTGTGTGTGAGATTGTGTGCTCCGAGTGAGTGTGTGCGAGTGCGTATCGCTGAGGCTGTTTAGTGAACAAGCTCACACGTTAATGAATTGTTTCCAGCTAGGGTGGGGTGGGCACACAGTGTGTGGGTGAGGGTGGGGCGGGGGGGTATTTCACACCTGCGTGTGAGACTCGTTCATAATTTACTCAGTGACGCTTGGTGGGATGGGATAATAATAACAATTTAATGGCAGCCAATTGGTACACAGCGACCTCCCAGGTAACATCACTTGTTCGCTTCACGGTTGTTTGCGGGCTCGTCGCTGTGTGCAGACACGGTCACTACCCTTTACAGTGGAGTCCTGTAGCTCAGTGGTTAGAGCACTCGCTTTGCAAGCGAAAGACCTGAGTTCAATTCCAGGCAGGTCAGGGCAAACCCTTGGGCAAGTTTGCTTACTCCACACAGAGTCTAATATTAATCCCTCCAAAATAACAAAAACAATAATAAATTGGTCATTTTCAGTCTACGACTGTTTGTGGGACATTGCTGTGCGCAATTGGCTGCCGCGTTTGCCCACAAATATACAGTCAATTCACTTTACAGTGTGTTCTGTGAAGCGCTTTGGGACGTCCTCCCGACGTGAAAAGCGCTATATCAAATGCAAGGATTATTATTATTATTATTAAATCTCATGCAGAGCTCCAAGTCGTCCTCTTGGCGTACAAGGTTCTGTATCGAATATAAGGATCATTATTATATTTATTATTAATGATAATAACAGTTATTGAATGTTCAGCACAGTCTGAATATTGGTCAATTCTGTGTTGGGAATACAGCAGCAATGATTTCCACACTTTTACTTTACGCAGGAGATATAAATATTCAGAGAAAGTTCGTCAAAGTTTGTCAGGGAAAGGATGCATGGAATTCTCAGCTTGGTTTGGATAAACTTAAGCATAATGATGGATTTCTGCGTGTGTCAGACACCCGCTGACCAAAAAAAACGTAAAAGGGAAAGTTACACTGGAATTTTACACACAATGACGTCCCCGCAAACAGCCGTGAAGTGAACCGGCGACTTTATTTGGGGGATTGTCGGCCAGGACACCGGGAAAGAGAGAGAGTGAAACTCCCTTCTCTTTTCCAACAGCACCACAGGAGATCTTTAACATCCGCCCGAACAGGGCACAGGCGGGAGGATGGGGAGTGGTGAGGTTTGTCGTCTCACCCGAAGGACGGCGTCTCTGACAATGTGGCTCTGGAGCGTCAGCCTGGATTAGACACACAATCCTCCAGTCAGTTTGTTCGTGTTACACAAATAATGTCCTGGTTAATCTTCGGGATGTCTTTGTGGAGCCTTGTAATCTCGGTTGATCTTTTAATTCTGTTATAAACTGCACCTATGTCCTGCCCCGATCAGCTGGTAAATATAATAACAGCTGTAAATATGCTCATACAGAACCACCACCCCCCCCCCCCCCCCCACCTTTCTTACTTGGTTTTACTGAATGCTTCACCACTGTTTGTGGGACGTCGCTGTGCGCAAATTGCCCAGTCACTGGGCAGGGAATCCTCCCATTCAGCTCCTGTTAACCTGCAACCCAAAGCCCCAACTAACGGGTAGGGTGATCCTAGCTGGACAAGCAGCGAGAAAGCTTGACCAGACAGTGATATCAATAGCAAGCTGTGTGGTTTCAGCTGGTTAGATTCCAGCAGTTACACCAGCACACACTCTGGGCTCCCCTCAAGCCTTGACTCTTGCCAACCTGAGTCCCTCCAGAGAGTGAGAGAAAGAGCAAATCCCATTCCAACAATCTATCTTTGGGATTTCCATGTGTAGTGGGATGTGGGGAATTCTCCCCTTGGTGATGGGTTGCTGCATTTGTCAAGACACCCGCTAACCACGTTTGCCTACAATATCCAATCACTTACAATCGCACTTAGTGTGTGCGTGGGCCTGGCTTGGTTGGTAGCACTCTCGCTCCCGCATCACAAGGTTGTGTCTCTCTCTCTCTCCCGGTGTCCGGACCAATAATCCCACCAAATAAAAATTGGTGGTCGATTTCATATTGTTTGCAGGACGTCCATGTGTGCAAATCGGCCTACCCCGGCCCATGTCAGCCCACCTCCTTGTGTGTGGTGGGTGGGTGGGGGGGGTTATGTGTGTGTGGGGGATTCTTACTTTGTGTGTGTGAGTGTATGTCTATTGTGTTATTTAGTGTGTGTGTGTGCGCGCGCGCGTTGGGGTAACTGCTGGAGTCTAACCAGCTAAAACTGCCATTGGGAGCGCCGTCTGTCAAGCTTTCCCGCTGCTTGTCCAGCGAGGACCACCCTACCTGTTGGGGTTTTGGCTGGGAGATGGATTATTGATGTACCAGTGGAATTTCTCCAGTTGAGGTGGAAAAGAACACAGTTTAACCCTTGAAAGGAACCCTGTCGGTGGGCCTGGGTGGTGTGTGTGAGTGGGGTGGGGGGGTGAGTATGGGAGTGTGTGTGTGAGGGAGGCAGAGTGTGTGTGTGAGGGGGGGGAATGTGTGTGAGAGGGGGAGTGTGTGCGTGAGGGAGGGGAGCGTCTGTGTATATGTGAGGGAGGGGAGCGTCTGTGTATATGTGAGGGAGGGGAGTGTGTGTATATGTGAAGGAGGGGAGCGTGTGTGTATATGTGAGGGGGGCAGTGTGTGTGTATGTGAGGGGGGAGTGTATTTGAGAGGGGAATGTGTGTGAGGTGGGAATGTGTGTGTGTGAGGGGGGTGGAGTGTGTGTGAGGAGGAGAGTATGTGAGGGGGAGTGTATGAGGGTGTGAGGAGCGGAATGTGTGAGTAGGGAAATGTGTGTGTGTGAGGGGGAGTGTGTGTGTATGTGGAGGGTGGGTGGGGGGTGATGTAGATAATGAGCCGGAGGACGGAGTGTAGAAGGGTTTTGCTGGTGAATGACTTCTCTGCTGCAGTAACGGGGGAGAAGTTCAGTCGTTCCTAATCAAATTGTGTAGGTTCACAAAAAAACAGTTTAATGACTGCAGCACTGGCTCGCTGCTCGCTGCTCGCTGCTGGCTCGATTGATTTTTTTTGGGGTTGGAAAGTGCTCCCTTCTTGTCACCAAGGCAACGGAGCAGAGCGCAGACGAGAGCAATAAATCTGAGAGAGAGAATAAGAAGGTGATCGCGTGCGGGGGAGGGAGAAAGAGGAAGACACAAGTGAGTGAGGGAGGGGATGGTCGGAATAACGGGTGGAGGCTTTAACATGTTACAGGATCATTGCTTTGCGTGATTTGGGATGTTTTTGATAATATATAATAATAAGATTTGTATATTTCGTTCAGCGCCTCATCATGTCGTTGAGACGTCTCAAAGTGCTTCACAAGACGTACCGTAAATTTCACATACCGTACGTCTTCACAAGACGTACCGTAAACTGCATATTTTGTGGGCGAAATGCGGCGGCCAATTGCTCACAGCAGCGTCCCGCAAACAGTTGTGGATTGAGTAACCAGATTTTTGTTTCGGAGGGATTATTACTCCCTGAAAAGCGATCCGCCAATCGACTAACAACCAGGTTCCTACTTATTGCTAGGTAAACAAAGGTGTGTGTGTGGAGTAAGGAAACTTGCCTGAAGTTTTGCCTACCGGGAATCGAACCCGGGTCTTCTCACTTTCAAGGCAAGCAGGGGGCTCCAATGTGCCGTCCCCCCCTACCCCCACACACACAGAGACACACGCACACTCATCCTAAAATATGTCAACTTCCCTCAACTGAATTTGTTCTGAACGTAGGGATGTGTGCACAGCGCTTTCCAGCTGGACACAAGTGTTTTGGCAACTCATTAACTTGCAATGTTGTTATTGTTGTTGATATCGTTGTTGTTGTTGTTGTTGATGCTTTTATTGTTCTGGTTGATTTTGTTGATGTCGATGTTGTTGTTGTTGGTGCTGAAGTTGATGATGATGTTGTTGTTATTGTTAAGAACATAAGATTTGCTGGATGAAACAAAAATGAGGTCCATCCAGTTCGCCTTCCACCAGCCTCCTGGCAGTCACTTGACATGTCGTGTCCCCAACTATATGCTGAACCTGAGATATTATTTCCTAACAAATCATTTGTTCTCGAAACAAACAACATTTTCTGCTTCCACCGTTTGTCTCCCTAGGGAGCCTATTCCATACGTTTACTACTCACTCACTGAAGTCGCGTTTCCGCAGATTTGTTCTTATTGTTGTCAATGTTGACATTAGTGTTGTTAATGTGAATGTTGTTGTTGCGAGAGGCCTCTATGTGTTAATGTTGTTGTTAAACTTATTGTTGTTGCTGCTGATGTTAATGTTATTGTTGTTGATGTTAATGTTGTTGTTGTTGCTGTTGTTGACATTAATGCTGATGTTGTTGTTGTTCCTGAAGGCTCCAGTCAATGCCAGCCCCGCTGTGCGTGTTGTGCCGGTGCTGACAGCTGCCGTTGCTGTGAGGTCCCCAGGTCGGGGCTGGGTAAGGGACAGACAGACACCATGAACCCCCTGGGCTCGATGGACAGACACATCCAGCAGACCAACGATCGGCTTCTGTGTATCAAACAGGTAAAGAGACGGCATCGAGTGTCAGAACATGCATAGTACATGCATGTAAACGTGTGTTATCAACACTGCTTTTACATCCCCGTGTATCAACACAGCTCAGTCTCTCTCTCGCGCTCTCATCCCAGTCAGGAAGTTGTGTGTTCGAGTTTCCACGTCAGCGACTCTGAGCTCACAGTCCAGGCTGACGCTCCAGCACAGAGCTGAGGGGAGAGAAAGAGAGCCCCACATTGTCAGAAACAATGCGACAATGTTAAACCTCATTCCCCGTCTGTACTGTTAGTTAAAGATCTCCTGCGATACTGTCAGAAAAGAGAAGGGAGTTTCTCTCTCTTGCCCGATCCTGGTGTCCTGGCCGACAATCCTCCAGATAAAATCGCTTGCTCACTTCGTGCCTGTTTGCGGGACATCGCTGTGCGCTAATTGGCTGACCGTGTTTTGCCCACAAAATACACCCAGTCACTGCACTTTACAGTATATTCTGTGAAGCACTTTGAGACGTGCTCCTGATGTGAAAGGTTCTGTGTGAAGTGAGGATTATTATATTTATTATTGACTGCGTTGCCTGTTGTGTCGGAGCAGCACACACCGGGTTAAACACCCTAACCCTGTTTGGAGGTGGGCAAACGTTTCCTTTTACACTGGCTGCCAGGGGAGGGCATGGCGGCGGGGGGTGGGTGGGGGCAGGGAGTGCCTTTCTCATGTCAACGTGTTCCATCACGTGATGTGCGAGCTTTAGGGAATACACGTGTGCTTGCTCACACTCACTTTCATGCACACTCGTGCTTGCACGCTCATCCTTGTAGGCGGACGCGGCAGCCAATTTGCGCAGAGCGTCCCCCCCACACACAGCCGTGAGGTGAATGAGTGAATGGGTTTGGGGGAGGAAGAGAGCTGTGTGTGGTGGGGGAGAAAGGGGGAGAGCTGTGTGTGGTGGGGGAGAAAGGGGGGAGAACTGTGTGGGGGGGACAGAATGACGGCTATGAGGGAGGCTGTGTGTTTCTGATGTTGCCTTTCCCTAAGTGTTCCAGGACACTCCCCCGCATGAAGGCGCTATATAAATGTGATTTGTTGTTGTTGTCTCTTTTTTTCTCAGCATCTCCAGACTCCAGGCAGTTTCCAGACGGCTGCTCGCGAGCTCATCGACTGGTGCGATGACCCCAGGGCCTTCCAGAGAGCCTTCGAGCAGAGCCTCATGGGATGTTTGACGGTGAGTCTGCCCCCACCACCCTTCCCCTCCCTCGTCTCCCCCTCTCCCCCCAGTCTCCCTACTGCCACACGCCCATCCCCCGAGTCTCCCACTATCACAACATGGGGCTTACAGTGCGGGGGCGGAGGAGGGGGGGGATTGGGAATCACGGCTGCTCTGGGGTGAGGCTGTGATGATGACTAACCTGTGTCTCTGTATCTGGCAGGTGGTGAGCCGCGTGGCCAGTCAGCCCGGCTTTGACGTGGAGCTCGGGTACCATCTGCTGGCCGTCTGCACCGCTCACAGGGAGAAGTTCACCCCCAAATCAGCAGGTAACCGGAACGATAGTAAGAGTGGGGGTGGGTGGGGGGGGTGGGGGGTGAGGTGAGGTGAGGACAGGTGGTGGGGGCTCAGGGGGTACAGGAGACTGCACAATCCAGAATCTATGGAGGCCATGTGTGTACCCGTGTGTTAAGTACTGTATATTATATTGGGTCTTTCCACACAGACACACACACACACAGTGACAGTCACACACACACACACAGTGACAGTCTCACACACACACACACACACACAGTGACAGTCCCACACACCCACAGAATAACAACAACAAAAACAACAGCAAAATTACATTTGTATAGCGCCTTTCACGTCGGGAGGACTTTCCAAGGTGCTGGACAGTCAGAGTTTCGGCCCCGAGCTGTGGGTAGGGATCGGGGAGGGTGCAGGGCAGGGGGTGAAGCTGGGAGATCGAAAGCACAGTCGAAGAAGAGGGTCTTGAGATGGGGGCGAGACGGTGGGACTGCAGGAAGGGAACACACATAGTAACAGTCACACACACACGGCGCCACCCTCTGTCCTCAGTTCCCCATTCTTTGCGGACTTTGTGTGAAAGACTATGTGTGTGTGTGACTTACTGCGTGTGTGTGACTTTTAGTGTGTATGTGTGTGACTTATTGTGTGTGAGAGACTATTACTGTGTGTGTGACTTATTGTGTGTGTGAAACTATTACTGTGTGTGTGACTTATTGTGTGTTAGAGACTATTACTGTGTGTGTGACTTATTGTGTGTGAGAGACTATTACTGTGTGTGTGACTTATTGTGTGTGAGAGACTATTACTGTGTGTGTGACTTAGTGTGTGTGTGAGAGAGACTATTACTGTGTGTGTGACTTACTGTGTGTGTGAGACTATTACTGTGTGTGTGACTTACTGTGTGTATGAGAGACTATTACTGTGTGTGTGACTTAATGTGTGAGAGAGACTGTTACTGTGTGTGCGAAAGACTGTTAATGTGTGTGTGTGAGAGACTGTGTGCATGCGCGTGTGTGTGCGTGTGTGTGGGGTGGGTGGGTGGGCGGGGGGTGGTGTGAGGACTGGCGTGGGTTACACCAGCACTGCCTGTGTCACTTGTCCATATTTGGTGTGAAAGCTTGTCAGCCAAGAAGGAGGGGAGAGTGGAGGGGAGGGGGAGGGGAGGGGGCCCAGATTGTATCCTGAGGAAGTGCTGTGTATGAGTCACTGAGACATTGATTGCATTGAGTGAGAGAGAGCGAGGGAGTGAGCAGTCTTATGACCCAGCCCCCAACCCCCACCCGAGAGTGCAGAAATCCACATTTTACCATTACTGCAACCCAACAATCTGTGCTCCCCCAGTGCATTTCATGTCAGGAGGACGTCCAAGCGCTTCCCAGGATTTCACTGTGAAGTGACCGTTTGCTTTGTGGGCAGACGAGGCAGCCCAATTTGTGCACGGTGATGGCCCTGCAAAAACAGCCATGAGGCGAGCGAGCAATTTTACCTGGGGCTTGTTAGATGGGACACAGAGAGAGAGAGAGAGAGAGAGAGAGAAACGCCCTTCTCTTTTCCAACTGCACCGTGGGAGATCTTTAACAGGGCACACGAGAGGAGTTTGTGAGGTTTAATGTCTCATTTAACTGGGATGTGATAGAGCCAAGAAAAGATGGGGCGCAGCAGCTGGAGAAGACACAGATTTAGAAGTGTAATTTCAGGACAGACACCTGGAAGTGTTTCTGTACCCAGGAGGGTATTAATGATTGGGACAAGGTTATCAGGAAGGGGGTGTTGAGGCCAGAACGCTGGGACTCATTTAAACAACAGCTGGATGCTATGATGGGGGGGTAGAAGGGGAGTGTTCTGGAGGGAGGAGATCAGATGGACCGAAGGGCCTTTTTAATCCAAACTGATTTTATGATCTTAAATGTCAATAAGATTCACCAACGGATTAACATCAATTCTAGCACTGATTGAGATCAGACGCTCAGCCCATGAATAACAATAATAATTAATAATCCTTGCATTTGATACGCTGCCTTTCACATCAGGAGGATGCCCAACGCGCTTCATGGGATTTCACTGTAAAGTGTAGTGACTGTACGTTTCGTGGGCCAACACGGCTGCCGATTCACACACAGCGTCGTCCCCGTAAACAGCGGTGAAACGAGCGAGCGATTTTAATCTGAGGGATTGTCGGCCAGGACACCGGGAGAGAGAGAAAAACTCCTTTCTCTTTTCCAACAGCTCCGCGGGTGATCTTTAACATCCACCTGAACAGGGCATAGGTGGAGAGTGAGTGAAGTTTAACGTCTCATTCGAAGAGTGGGGGGAGGGGGAGAGGGAAAGAGTTGGGGGAGGGGGAATGGACAGGAAGATGACTAGAGGAAGGGGGGTAATGAGCTGTTAATTGGGAGTCGTAGCTTCCTGAACACCCCCCACACACACACACACACACTCGTCGGCAGAGATGGGCGTTGTACGTTGCGAGGTTTATCAGTAATTGTCGGTGCGTGACTGAGTGAGAGAGCGAGGAGAGAGAGAGGGAGGGTTGGCTGTTTGGCTGTTTCCCAGCACTGACTGAGAGCAGCCGAGGTCTCTCACAGCTCGGCACAGACACGCCCATTGACTCAGTGTCTTGGCAGCGCTCGCTGGGGGAGCGGGATTTAAAGAGAGAGAGAGAGAGAGAGAAAGAAAGCAACGGATTTACTGACTCCAGGGGCTGGGAGCAGGAAGCTGTGGCTACACTGAGCTCGGCTCTGGGTGTCTGGGGCAGCGGCGGGGGTTAAGGTCAGTCAAGGTTGTGATCCCGGTTCTCAGCTAAAATAAACCCACCGCTGCTCTCTCTCTCTCTCTTCCCCCGCTCTCTCTCTCTCTCCCTCCCTCCCGCACGCTCGCCCTCTCCGACAAGCCGCAATCCGTATTCTACTGCTTCTGCCTAGAAGCAAACATTCAAGGGTTCAAGACAGCTGTGTAATGAATAGGTATTGTGTAATAGTGAGTGAGACACACACACTGCTGGCTGGGAGCTCTCTCTCTCTCACACACATACACGCACACACAGCCAGCAGCTCTCTCTCTCGCTCGCTCGCTCGCTGCTCTTTGTCGTACCGCAGTGGGTCTGTGGGTAAAACAATGCTGAGCTGATGCCAGGCGGAGGAGACGGAGGGAACACATCACTGGGGAAGAGAGAGAGGAGACAGAGAGAGAGAGAGAGAAAGGAAAGAGAAAGAGCTGAAGGAGAGAGAGGGAGAGAGAGGATGGGGCTGACTGTCTGAGGGTAAGAGACCACCTCAGCAATTCTAGCTCCATTTGCTGCTTGTATTAATCTACAGCGGCCATTGGTGTGTGTGTGTGTGTGTATGTGCACTGTGTGCGTGATGATAATAATAATCTTTGCATTTAATATAGCATATTATCACGTCGTTGAGACGTCTCAAAGCGCTTCACAGAATATACAGTAAATGGATTTTGTCTGTATTTTTGTGTGCGAAATGATGGTAGGTGTGTGTGATTGTGTGTCACAGAAACACACCCCCTAATAGGGAGTGCAGCCACACAATCACGCACACCTCCACAAACTTATTGACACACATACTGACAAGCACACCGAGCCTCACTCTAACATATTAACATAAGCACACACTCACTCACACACACAGATGATGTAATTTAGGGTGAGATGATTGTAAACAGTTAGCGTGGTATAAAAACAGTGGTCGCTGGAGGGTGAGAGGTAACAAGTGCTGGAGACGCAATCCTATGTGAAGGCTATTATACATGTTATGTTGTTATAATACAGAACCTCCTGATAACTCAACACTGGCTTAACTTGTCGCTAACACTGTCAATATTTATTTCTGTATTTCTACAGAGGGGGGCGTGAGGTTATAGATAAACATAAATTAAAAACAAAAATCTCTTTCTCCCCCCCCCACCTCTCTCTCTCCTCTGTCTCGCCACACTCTTTCTCTCGCTCTCCCCTCTCGCTCCCCCCCATCGCTCTCCTCTCTCTCTCCCCCTCTCTTCCTCTCTTTCCCCTCTCTCTCCCAGCATTGCTCACTGTGTGGTGTGAGGAGTTGGCACGGTTGCTGGTGCAGCAGAAGCCGGGAGCCGGCGGTGGGAAGGACACCCTGGCTTTCCACAGCCACATGAACCCCCTGAAACCAGGCCCTGGCCCTGGCCTGGCCCCCACTCACAGGTTAGCATCAAACACAGTCACAATACATCGTGGGGAGGGCGAATTGTGTGTGTGGGGTGGGGAATGTGGGGAGAAATGTGTGTGGGGGGGTGGGATGTGGGCGGGTGTGTTTTGGGGGGGTGTGGAGTGTGTGTGTGGGGGGTGGTCGGTGAGGCTCTGGTTTGTTAATGGACAGACGCATGTCAGACACCTGTCAGGTTGGCCTGTGACAGCACTGACCGGCTGCCATGTTCCCCCCCACAGTGATGGGTCCTACAGCTACAATGACTCCGTGCCCTGGCAACAGAGCAGCAGCCAACCCCCCGGCTCCCTGTCCGTGGTCACCACAGTGTGGGGGGTTAACAACCCCCCTCAGAGCCAGGTAAACCACCCCCCCCTCGCTTTCCGCACCTCCCTCCTGAGCCTGGTATCCCCTCTCTCCCTCGCTTCTCCCACGCCCCCCCCGAGCCATCGCCAGGTAACTCCTCTCTCCCCCTCCCACCTCGTTCTCCCCCCCCCCCCCCCCCCCGTTCGCACTTTCAACCCTCATTAGCAGTGAGTTAGGGCCGAGTCCGCAGTGTGGTGTCTAACCTGTGCCTATCCCTCCCTCCCTCCTTTTCTCCCCCCCTCCCTCGCTCTCTCTCCCCCTCCCTCGCTCTCTCCCCCTCCCTCCCTCTCCCTCCCTCTCTCTCCCTCCCTTCCTCACTGTCTCTCCCCTCCTTCACGCTCTCCCCCCTCCCTCCCCCGCTCTCTCTCCCCTCCCTCCCTCGCTCTCTCTCCCTCCCTCTCTCTCTCTCAGGTGCTGGGAAGCCCTATGGCCAGCGGGGGTAATTCCGGTGGGAATCCCATGGCTTCCCGGATGGCAGGGAGCAGCCCGGGAATGAGCTCTCCACAGTACATGGGACAGCCAGCATTCCCGGCCTCAGAATCCGGCACAAACAAGGGCTACTTGCCCCCCGGGGGATATGTCAGGCCCGGCTACTCATCAGCCTCCGCCTACACAGGAAGGTAATCCCCCAGCCCAACTCTTCCCCTTCTACCCCAGCCCATCCCACCCCAACCCATCCCCTCCTACTCCAGTCCCTTCACTCCCACCCCAACCCTTCCCTTCCCACTTCACCCAGACTCTCCCATCACATCCTGAATGGCCTTCTCTGATGTATAATTCTATGATTCTATCTTAAATGATATTTTTGTGTTTTTTTAAGGTAATAGGGTAGATATCACAACTTTTTGGTCATCCTGTATGTCTGTCTCTCTCTCTCTGTGTATCTCTCTCTGTTCTGTGATTCAGTTTTCTAACCCTGTCTGACTCTGTTTATCTCACTCTCAGCTCTGTAACTCGCTCACTTTCTCTCCCTTCCCTCTCATACATTCTCTCTGTCCCTGTGCGCAGTTACCCAGGAGGAGGGGGGGTGACAGGCCCTCATGCTCGGCCGCCCACACACTTCGCTCCCCCTGCGGCGGCCGCTGCTGCTGCTGCTGTTGCTGCCGCCGCTGCCACCGCTACAGCCACCGCCACAGCCACTGTAGCCGCCCTGCAGGACAAGCAGCATGGGGACCTCAGCCCCTACAGCCAGGTAACCCCCACCCACCACACACACCTAATACACACTCGCGTCCCTCACCCTCACTCACTGCCTGACGCACTCGCATACATCAGTGGGGGAGCGAGCACCGGCACAGACACGATGGGGAGAGAAAGGTAATGAGGATGGCGTTAAGCTCTACACTAACCTGTGTTCCTGTTTCCCCCAGATGAACGCCGCCTCCTACAACAGCCAGTTTGTGGGCCCCTCTGGGCCGCGGGGGGGGCAGATGGTGGGGGCCATGTCACACGTCGCTATGAGCCACGCCAGGCCCCCAGGAAGTCCAGTGTACAGTGGGCAGCGCCTGCCACAGCACGGCTACCCCTCCCCCAGGCCTGCTCAGCACCCAGCAGCGCAAGCCATCAAGAGGCCCTACCTCAGTGAGGTGAGCTCACAGCTTGATCCTCTCACTCTCTCTCTCTCTCTCTCTGTCTCTGTGTCTGTCTCTCTCACTCTCTGTCTCTCTTTCTCTTTCGCTCTCTACCTTTCACCCTCTTGCTTGTTCTTTTTCTCTCCCTTTCTCTATCTCCCTTTTTGTCTCTGTCTTTCTCCTTCTCACTCCCTCGTGCTCACCTTCTCTATCTCTCCCTTTCTCCCTCTTGCTTGCTCTCTCCCTCCCCTTCTCTCTCCACTTCTCTCTCTCCCATTCTCTGTCTCCCCTTCTCTCTCTCCCTTTTTCTCGCTCTCTCCCTTTCTCCTCCTTCTGTCTTTTCAGTTCTATCACTCTCTTCCTTGGGGTCTCAGTCTGGCTCAGTGGTAGCACTCTCTCTTATCTCTTGAGTTAGAAGGTTGTGGGTTGAAACTCCCATGTCAGGACTCGGAATCATATAGTCTAAGGTGGCACTGCAGTGCAGCGTTGGTGTTGTCTCATTGTCTGAGGCTCCGTCCTTCGGATAAGACTTTAAACCGAGCTCCTGTCTGCCTGTTCAGTTGGACATTAAAGATCCCGTAGTGCTACTGGAAAAGAGAAGGGATTTTCTCTCCCTGTGTCCTGGCCAACAATCTCCCAAATAAAATTGGTTGCTCACTCTGTGATGAGAATACTGTGCGTAATTGGCTGTCGTGTTTCACACACAAAACACACAGTCACCACACTTTATGGTATATCTTGTGAAGGCTTTGAGATATCTCGATGACTAGGTGCTATATCAAATGCAAATATTATTATTGTTGTTCTATCAAATGCAGGGGTTAGTATAACCTTATTGTCTCTGAATACCCACAGCAGGGTTTTCCCGGCCAGCAATACGGAGCTCCCAGCCAGTATGTGGGTCAGGCCGGTCACTACCCCTCACGCTCTGTGCCGTCCCCCAACTATCCCACTCACCGGGGGGCCGCAGGACCCGGCGGGCAATACCCCCTGGCTCAGTACTACAAGGTAACTCTTCCCCCCCACCCCCCCCCTCCAACCACCGCTACTGCATCCCCCAGTCCCTGCTCTCTCTCCTTCCCTCGCTCTCTCTCTGTGTCCCCCTTCCTCCCTCCCTCTAAACTCCACCCCCCGAGCGCCAACAATGTGAAGTGCTCTGAGACGTCTTCTTAACGCCGCTGTGTAAAAGTAAGGATTTGTTTTCGGGTAATCAGCTCAGTGGGGTGGTGGGGGGGATGCAGTTATGAGAGGTAAGGGGATGGGGCAGGGTTGGGGAGGGTGGGTGTTACTATGTCACTCACTCTCTCTCTGGTGTATGTTACAGAATGAGCAGTATAACAGCCAGACTGGCAGCTACCCTCCCGGCTCCTATAGTACCTACAGCCCGGCTGGCGTCAATGGGGTAAGTGTATGTGAATGTGTGTGCTGGGTGGGGTGTGTGCTGGGTGGGGGCTGTGCTGGGCGGGGATGGGGGCTGCTCTCTCAGCACGTACCCCACTGCGCTGGCGAATGCATTTCTCCCAGCCTCGCACTGTGATGAGAGACACTCCTCGTCACCCCCGCTCAGTCACTCTCTTACTCTCTCACCTCCCGGTCAGAAGGTCGTTGGTTTGTGTCGTCCCCACCGCACTGCCCCCCCCCCACCCCGACTCTGAGCTCACAGTCCAGGCTGAGGCTCTAGCGCTGGGGGGAGAGAGAGAGAGAGCGCTGCATTATTGGAGACGCCCGTCCTTTGGATGAGACGTTAAACCTCACTCCCCATCTGTGCCCTGTTCATGCGGATGTTAAAGATCTCCCTCTCGGGGCAAAGAGAAGGGAGTTTCTCTCTCTCCCTCTCTCTTTCCCGGTGTCCTGGCCGACAGTCCCCCAGATAAAATCACTCATTCGCTTCACGGCTGTTTGTGGGGAAGTCGCTTTGCACAAATTGCCTACAAAGTACACTTTCTAGTCAAATTTTAAGATCATTAACAGCACAGAGTGAGGCTGGGATAGACACACAGACACACACACAGTGACACACACAGTGACACACACACAGTGACAGAGTGGGGCTGGGATAGACACACAGACACACACACAGTGACACACACACACAGTGACAGAGTGGGGCTGATAGACACACAGACACACACACAGTGACACACACACAGTGACAGAGTGGGGCTGAGATAGACACACAGACACACACACACACACATAGTAACGGAACTCTCTGTCTGTGCAGCCGGTCAGGACGATGACAGGATACCCCAGCTCTCCGCTCTCTGGGACCCCCACCCCCCCACTGGCCCCCGCCAGCAGTGTCCCACTCTACGTGTCCCCGGGTCAGGACATCAAATCAGCCTTCCTCCCCGACATCAAACCCAACCTCAGCTCCCTGCCCCCCCCTCCCTCAGGTACGTTACACACACATTGTGCACACACACAAACACACTGTACACACAGTCAAACACACACGGTGTACACATGCAGACACGCACATATACTCCCGTACAAATACACACAAATGTGAGCACATACACTCACGCAGTGTACAAACAGACACATGGACAGACACACATACATACACACATGTAGACACGCATACAGGCACACATGTACACATGGGAGTACACATGGGGAGGAGTGTGTGCGAGTATGTGTGTGAGAGGGGGAGGTGTGAGTGAGTGAAGGGCTGTGTGTGCGTGAGGGGTGTATGAGGGGCTGTGGGTGTGAATGGATGTGTGTGTGTGAGGGGGGAGGTGTGGGTGCGTGTGAGGGGGTTGGGAGTGAGTGTGGGTGAGGGGCCTGCATATGTATGTGAGAGTGGGGGAGGTGGGGGGGGTGAGTGCGTATGTGAGGGGGGATGCGTGAAGAAGGCGTAATGATTGTTGTTGATATTGTGTTCAGGGCCGGGTGGTGATGAGCTGAGGCTGACATTCCTGGTGCGAGATGGGGTGGTGTTGGAGCCGTTTCGCCTGGAGCACAATCTGGCCGTCAGCAACCATGTCTTCCATCTCCGTCAGTCAGTGCATCAGACCCTGGTGTGGAGGTGAGGGGAGGCCGGGGGGTAGGTGGGGAGTGTGTGAATGTGACTGTCTCTCGCTGGGCTGTGCTGGGGGGTGGGGGGATGTGTGGGGGGTGGGGAGCGTGTGAGCGTGACTGTCTCTGGGCTGGGGTTGGGGGAAGTGTGGGGGGTGGGGAGTTTGTGAGTGTGACTGTCTCTCTCTGGGCTGGGCCAGGCCGGACCTGGAGCTGCAGTTTAAGTGCTATCACCACGAGGACCGTCAGATGAACACTAACTGGCCGGGGTCGGTGCAGGTCAGTGTGAACGCCTCCCCCTCAGCATCGAGCGAGGGGACAGCAAGACATCGCACAAGCCTCTACACCTCAAACATGTGTGTCAGCCTGGCCGCAACACCATCCAGATCACTGTCACCGCCTGCTGCTGTGTGAGTAACACACACACGACACATGCTACACACACTACATATGCCACATACAATACAAATTTACATTTGTAAAGCGCCCTTCACGTCGAGAGGATGTCCCAAGGCGCAGTCAGAGTTTAGCCAAACCAGGGGGTAGAGAGGTGTTGGGATCAGGGAGGGTAGAGGACAGAGAGGGTCGGAGGGTGGCTGAAGGTACGGTCGAAGAGGAGGGTCTTGAGACGGGCCTTGGAAGAGGCAAGGAAGGGGGCGAGGCGAAGGGACTGTGGGTTGGAGTTCCAAAGGGTGGGGGCAGAGAGGCTGATGGTGGGGTGAGCTGGGCGGGGGACATGGAGCAGGCCTGGTTTGGGAGAGGACACGAGCTGCAGAGTTTCTGGATGATCTGTAGCTTGTGGAGGTAAGAGTTGGGAAGGCCAACAAGTAGGGAGTTGGTGTAGTCAAGCCTAGATGTAGTCGAGCCTACACACACTACAGACACACTATGCACACCACACATACACCACATGCACACCACACGCAAATGTGTGTGTGGAGAGTTGGCGTGTGTGTAAACACGGACACTGATCAGGTGCGGTGTCTTCTCTCTCTCACAGTCTCATCTCTTCGTTTTACAACTGGTTCATCGTCCCTCGGTGCGCTCTGTGCTGCAGGGCTTGCTGAAGAAACGGCTTCTACCTGCAGAGCACTGTATAAACAAGAGTGAGTACACACACACCCTCCCCCAACCCGGGTAAACAAGTGTAACCATACAATATTGGGTGTTTTTGTCAGTTTGTGGCTCACTCTCTCTCTCGCTTTTGAATCAGGAGGTAATGGGATGTCTGTGTGAAACATCAGAAAGAAATGGAAGGAAGGTATTATTCAGTCTCACTCCTGGTGGGTGTTCAGGATCGGGGTCTCACTTGCCCCCCTCTCTCTGTCCGCAGTTAAACGTAATTTCAGCAGTGGGGCATTGCCACCGGGCAGTGCAGGGCTGAACGGGGAGGATGGGGTGGAGCAGACGGCCATTAAAGTCTCGCTCAAATGTCCCATCACCTTCAGGAGGATCCAGCTCCCAGCCAGAGGTCACGACTGCAAACACATACAGGTGGGTGTGACCATCTCCCTCCCCCATCCCTTCCCCTCCAACCCCAGCCCCCTCCAAACACATACAGGTGGGTGTGGTTAGCACGCTCGCCTCGCAAGCCAGAGGACACATCCGTGAAGATCTGTTGAGACGTTACCCTTAGCGAAGGGTGATGAGTAATTTCCCCCGTTGTTGAGGGACGTTGTGTTAGTTCAGACAAAGATAACCTGCTGTTTCCTTGTCAGTGCTTTGACCTGGAGTCCTACCTGCAGCTGAACTGTGAGCGAGGAACGTGGAGGTGTCCTGTGTGCAAGTAAGTGACAAAGGTGGCACTGCACAGTGTGAGCGTTTCTCTTACAGTCTCTCAGCCCGGCTCAGTTCCTCGCTGTCTCACCTCTGAGTCAGGTGGTTGTGGATTCGAGCCCCCTTCGTTGGGGACTCTTTGAGCTCACAGTCCAGGTTGATACTCTCGCGCTGCGCTGCGGGGAGGGGGAGAGAGAGAGAGAAAGCGACGAATTGTCAAAGACTCTGTCCTTCAGGTGAGATGTTAAACCTCACTGACTCCCTGTCTGTGCCCTCTTCAGATGGATGTTAAAGATCTCCCGTGGAGAAGGAGTTCTGTAGCTCAGTGGTTAGAGCACTCGCTTTGCAAGCGAGAGACCTGAGTTCAATTCCAGGCAGAGGGCGAAACCTCGGGCAAGTTTCCTTACTCCACACAGAGCCTAATAATAATCCTCCAAAACCAAAAACAATAATAAATTGGTCATTTTCAATCCATGACTGTCTGTGGGACATTGCTGTGCGCAATTGGCTGCCGCGTTCGCCCACAAATATACAGTCAATTCACTTTACAGTGTGTTCTGTGAAGTGCTTTGGGACGTCCTCCCGACGTGAAAAGCGCTATATCAAATGCAGGGATTATTATTATTATTAAGTGAGTTTCTCTCTCTCGCTCTCTCTCCCATTGTCCTGGCCGACAACCCCCCAGATTAAATCACTCGCTCACTTCACACTGTTTACGAGAATGTCAGTGTGTAGAAATTAGCTGTCGCATTCATCGACAAAACACACAGTCACTACACTTGACATAGATCCTGTGAAGTATTCTGAGACGGCTTCCTGGTATAAATATAAGGATGATTATTAGTATAATTTGCTGTTTGCAATCGTTCTTTTTGAAATCACGTTTATGTAAATGAGGCTAACTGTCCGTGTGTGTGTGTGTGTGTGTGTGTGTGACAGTAAAACAGCGGTGCTGGAGGGGCTGGAGGTGGACCAGTACATGTGGGGAATCCTAGCGGCCATTCAGAAGTAAGTACACAGGCCTGTGTGTAACAGCACGTACACCCATCCTCACACTGCGTAACCCCTTTTACCCCCTGGCATAGAGCACGCGGAGTGAAGCCGTTTGAAACATGATGTGGGGTGGGGGGGTGTGGGTGATTTTGGTGGGGGGGGGTTGCGGCTGGTGATGGGGGTGGGTGGAGGGAGGACGGCGGGTGATGGGGTGAGAGAATGAGATCAAATGGCCCAAAGTGTCTTCTTCCTCGAAACTAACGAGCGATGTTGTTGTGTTGTGTGTGTGAAGCACGGAGTTTGAGGAGGTGACCATTGACCCCACGTGTAGCTGGCGGCCGGTGCCGGTCAAGTCTGAGCCTCACATTAAGGACGATCCCGATGGCCCTCTGGCCAAACGCTGCCGCACCATGAGCCCTGGCCAGATGGTGCTGCCCAACGTCATGGACATGATCGCAGCCCTGGGCCCCAGCCCCAGCTCAGCCTACCCTGCCCTAGGGGGCAGCACCGAGTACCCCCATCACAGTGAGTGTCTAAACTCGCTCAGCGTGTGTTAGTGCGAGGAGCTGTGTGAGTGTGTGTTAGTGAGCGAGTGCGAGGAGCTGTGTGTGTGTTAGCGAGTGCGAGGAGCTGTGTGTGTGTTAGTGAGCGAGTGCGTGTGTGTATATTAGTGAGTGAGTGTGAGGAACTGTGTGTTAGTGAGCGAGTGCGAGGAGCTGTGTGAGTGTGTATTAGTGAGCGAGTGCGAGGAGCTGCGTGTGTTAGTGAACGAGTGCGCGGGGCTGTGCTGATTATGAAGGGAATGTCTTCTCTCTGTTCAGGCTCGCTGTACACTCCGGGCAGCTTCCCCGACAACAACCCCGGCAGCGCCTCCATCAGCGAGTTCATGCACGGCCCGTCCTTGTCCTACCCCACGGACATGCTGGCCCTGACAGACAAGCCTCACTCCATCCCAGACCAGGTCAGCCTGCCCCTCACACACACACACACACCCTCTCACACACACACCCTCACACACCCTTACTCACCCTCACCCTCTCACACACACACATACACTCCCTCTCACACACCCTCACACACACACACACACCCTCACACACACACACCCTCACACACACACCCTCACATACACACCCTCATATGCACACACACACCCTCACTCTCTCACACACACACACTTTGCTCAATTTCTAATAATAATAATACTTGCAGCGGAGCCCTGTAGCTCAGTGGTTAGAGCATTTGCTTCATGAGCAAAAGGACCCGGGTTCGATTCCCGAGCAGTGCAATATGTTAGGCAAGTTTCCTTACTCCACACACACCAGCAGTAAGTAGGAACCCGGTTGTTAGTCAATTGGCGGATTGCTTTCTGGGGGTAATAATCCCTCCAAAAAAATAATAATTTGGTCACTCAATCCATGGCTGTATGTGGGACACTGCTGTGCGCAATTGGCTGCCACGTTTCGCCCACAGTCGCTCCATTTTATAGTGAATCCTAACAACAACAACAAATTGGATTTATATAGCATCCTCCACACCAGACGGAGTCTCAGAGCTTCACAGTAATGGATCCTGGGGCCGAGCCGGAGGGAGGAGAGGGAAGGTGACCAAAGGCGCGGTCGAAAAGAAAGGTCTTCAGCAGGGACCTGAAAATAGGAAGAGAGGGGACGAGGGGAAGGGAGTGAGGAAGGCAGTTCTAGAGCCTTGGAGCGTAGTGGCTGCCACCGAAGGTGGAGCAGAGGACTAAGAAGCCCTTTGAGTCGTCTCAACAACATGATAAGGCAATATATCAAACACAAGGATTATTATTACTATTATTACTGTGATCTGCTGAAATGTCCATATTTAGCCCAGCGTTAGGGAGACAAGACGGTGGAAGCAAAAAATGTGTTTATTTCAAGTGAGATAGATTTCTGCTACAAAATAATATGTGAGGATACAGTAATAATAATAATAATCCTTGCATTTGACATAGTGCTTTTCACGTCTTTTAGACGTCCCAAAGCGCTTCACAGAATATATTGTAAAGTGAATTGACCGTATAGTTGTGGGCGAACGCGGCAGCCAATTGCGCACAGCAATGTCTCACAAACAGTCGTGGATTGAAAATGACCAATTTATTATTGTTTTTGGTTTTGGAGGGATTATTATTAGGCTCTGTGTGGAGTAAGGAAACTGCCCCGAGGTTTGGCCCTGACCCCCCGGGGATTGAACTCAGGTCTCTCACTTGCAAAGCGAGTGCTCTAACCACTGAGCTACAGGACTCCAGTATATAGTTTAGGACACGACATGTCAAGTGACTGCCAGAACGGTGGGAGGCGAACTGGATGGACCTTGGTCTTGTTTCTAGCAAATTCTTATGCTCTTATGCTTGTGTGTGTGTGTGTGTGATGTATGTGTTGGTATGTGCGTGTCTGTGTGTGTGTGTCTCTCTCTCTCTCTCCCCATAGCTACTGACGGAGATCACAAACCCAGATGAGTTGCTGACGTACCTGGGCCCCCCTGACCTGCCGTCCAACAGCAACGATGATCTCCTGTCCTTGTTTGAGAACAATTGAAGGGGCTTCGTGTTGTGATCGGGGCTGAGACCCGGGACCCAGAGAGACAAGCCCCTTCCCCTCACGTCCGCCCCAGACCCAGGCTCTGCCTTTAGCAGTGACTGACAGACGCCAACGAGCGAGGCCTTTTTGTTTTGGAAAACACGGAATGCCGATCCATACTTGGTCCAAGATCCGCCTACCACACGCGTGTCCGTGTGTCCATGTGCTCCTGACAGCATCGACTGAGTCTCCATTATCAGGTGGGATCGATGGAGCCCCTCACGGAATCTCTCTCCGCTCAGGAACACTGGAATCCTTCCCCCCCGAGGCTGTGGGCTGGTGGGAGCAAGTGCTGACACGGAGCCTCAGCCAAGACAGTACTTGTTCAACATCCTCGTGTCTGAGCCCCGGCTCTCGTCACAAACAGTTACCCCTCACCTCCTCGTCAGACACAGTGCCCTCCCCCCACCCCTTCACAGTGGTGTAGGGGGAGGGGGTTAGGAGGGGAAGGGGGTGACACAGGTAAGAATGGGATTCAATTTTTCTTTATAAAAAACAGCACAAGAGGAGAGACACATCAGCGCAATGTAACTGAAAGCCTCTTCTCCCCTCCGCGACAAACCATGTTACTGCCCGGCTCACGGTGACGGGTTGGGATGTGTGCAGGATAGGGGGAGCTGTGTGTTTGGGGCTGTATTGGTGGGGTGGGGGTTTTTCTGATGGAGCCAGGCAACCAACGACAGATGAAGACACTCTTTATCCCATTAAGACCTCTTTCTCGCAGAGAGGTCGGTCTCTGACGTGGGTTTGAGATGGCAGCGATCTCTGGTGTCATCAACACAGAGCCCCAGCCACAGGATAGCGCCTCAGAGCCTCATGCTCTCCACAAGTGAGTGTGTGTGTGTGTGTACGTGAGTGAGTGAGTGTGTGAGTGAGTGCCATAATTTTTCACAATAAAAAATGATCCATCGCATTGTTCGGAGTTTGACATCTTCCGTTAACATGGATGGAGTGATACGAGGAAAGTTACTGGGATCAGCCATTGTTACACCCTCTTCCCTCTCCCCCCCACCCACCCCTCTCTGTCTCTCTCTCTCCATCTGTTACAGATAAAAACAAATCTACAACAGAAAAAAATTCATTGGAATAGAGAAAGAGAGAGAGAGACAGAAAAAAAGGTAACAGGACTCTGCGGACAGACTCCAGACAATGAGACAAGTTATAAAGACATTGTTTCAAGGTTCTGTGAGAAACTCTCTGCTTTGGGTGTCCAGTCTGACCCGGGCACAGAGAGCGAGCGAAAGAGAGAGAGAGCCGTCAAACTGCAGAATACAACTCTCTGCTCGTTCCGATTTACGCTGAAATGCTGAGATGTGCACATCAATGCTGGGTCTGATTGTTAGTGGGCGGGAGAGAGAGAGAGGCGGGGGAAGGGGGAGTAAAAGTGTAAGACTAATATTGTTTGAATTCCCTCCCGCGCCCCCTATTTTAGGACTTCAATCTGATTTGTTTTAAAATGTGTGTTTTTTTTTATACAGTATAAATATATATATAATAAAGCTTTGTTCTTGATGTCCAGCCTGACGTTTCCCAATGGCCCTACTATTCCGTGTTTGTGTGTCCTTTGCTAACAGTAGCCTCCCCTCCAGCTCGAGGCAGCTCACAATTGTCTGCTCTGGAAAGGTTGATTAATTAAAAAGGAATGATTCATAAGAAGAGCGAGCGTTCCTGAGCCGGGTGGGTCCGCAGTACTGCAGGGCACTCACTGCTGAGCACAGCACAGTACAGCCTGGCACATCGGCAGGACCTGGAAGGACAGGGAATCCTCCCACTCAGCTCCTGTTAACCCTGCAGCCAAAGCCCTACCTAACGGGTAGGGTAGTCCCAACTGGACAAGCGTTCCAGGAAGCACTGCGCTGGAGCGTCAGCCTGGACTGAACTCAAAGCCCCCTCCCCTTGACGTGGGTCTCGAACCATGAGACTCAGACGCAGGAGACGGTCAGGCCAACCCCTCCGCTTGGTTTATGTGGAACAAATAACACTGTGGTTTGTGAGTGCGATAAAATGCAGCTTTTTTTTATATACTTAAAAGAATTCAAGGAATACAATTCTTTACAAGTGTCAGTCAGCTTTGTTTTGAGGGGGAATTATTTTTATATTTTGTGAAATGAATTGTTAAAATTACTTTTTTGCCAAATTCTCAGTTTGCAGTTCTGTTTGGGATTGTGTCAGACTTTTATTTGTGTTGTCTCTGATGGTAATATTAATATTAATTCAGTGAACTCCCGATAGCTGGACCCTGGCTTAACTTGTCACTACCCACTTAAGCCACCGTGTTGTCAGTATCCCGGCCACGTTTATTTATGTATTTATACATGTGCCTAACTCGCTCACTCACACTCCTGATAACTGGTCACTGAGCTTTTCCCTCAGTGAGTGACAAGTAATCGGGAGTTTATAGTAACAACAATAATCCTTGCATTATACACTGCGTCTTTCATGTCAGGAGGACGTCTCAAAGCACTTTCACAGGAATCTGGATGAATCTTTACTGTTACGTTTTGTTAAACACAACTTTGGGCTCTAGATTAACTGGTTCTAGATTCACTCTGGTTGCTCCGTGTTCTAGAGTATTCCAGACACTTGTTCCGAGGCTGAGTTTCCTGGACATTCCCAGCCAGATTCTGGTTAGACACGCACTGCGGAAACGGAGGAAGTGTAGAGCAGTTTCTGGCAAACGGGCAGAGAATGAACGGGTAACTCACAGAGTGGCATCTCACAGCTTCCCTTGTGTTGAGGGACTCTTCCCTCCCTCTCCGTTTGTCTGACCTGCAGTATCAACACAAGGGGGTTTGCTGCAGTGAGAGAGAGACAGAGGAGAGAGACAGAGCGTAAAATACTGCTTAAGAATATCGCAGTTCTCTTGTCTGTTTGTCTCAGACATTTCCTTTGTTGGGGGTGGGAAGGGGGTGGAGGGGAGAATGTGTTTTTAATGCTTAAGAAATAACATGCGTCCCTGAAACGGCACCTGTAATTCCGATATGAAGTGGGGGACGGGTGTTTGGTTAAATAAACCCACTCCTCTCCATCTTGTGGCTGCGTCCATTAACTGTAAATGAAGCAATGTCATACTCCACTCTGGTGCTATCCCTATCGGCAAATGTAAATTCACAACAGGAATCAGTGTAAAACATTTTCATACGTCGTGTAAAAAAAAAACCTGGGTTTCTAATTCTGATTTCTGTTGTAATATTAATAATCCTTCCATTTGGTATCGCGTCTTTCATGTCTGTCAGGATAGTGGACCCGAGTCTGTACTGTTCTGGAGAGGGTGCGGAATCCTTGCATGTGGCTGAACATTGTATATTGAAATGATTTCTTTTCTGCACAGAAGCAGGAGTGAACCCCGTCTGTTTTTTTAATAAATCCAGCCAATTGGTATGTAACAATGTGATATTCCATATTTATCTAATAAATGTGCTTCACAGAAGCCGCTACATGGGAGTGTCTTTCTTTCAATCATCAAATATAGGGATTATTATTTGTAAGTGAAATTTTAAAAAAATAAAAACGCGGACCACGCTGGGGGTTTATTTCCGGTGCCTTTTATTTCCCCCAAAACATTCAAATTGTTAATAACAAACAATAATCCTCACATTTGATGCAACGTCGTTGAGACGTCTCAACAATGCTTCACAGGACATACTGTAAAGTGGAGTGACTGGTGTGAGTGTGTGAGAGTGACTGAGGGAGGGAGTGAGGGAGGGGTGGGAGGGAGGGAGTGTGACTGTGGGAGGGAGGGGTGGGAGGGAGGGAGTGTGAGAGTGACTGAGGGAGAGTACGAGGGGGGAGGGAAAGTGGGAGGGAGTGTGAGAGTGACTGAAGGTGGAGTGTGGGAGGGAGGAGTGTGAGGGAGGGAGAGTGTGGGAGTGACTGAGGGAGGGAGCGTGAGGGAGGGAGGGGTGAGGGAGGGAGGGAGGGGTGAGGGAGGGAGGGAGGGGTGGCAGAGAGGGAGGGAGGGAGGGGTGAGGGGGGAGGGAGGGGTGGCAGAGAGGGAGGGGTGAGGGAGGGAGGGAGGGGTGAGGGGGAGGGAGGGAGGGAGGGGTGAGGGAGGGAGGGAGGGGTGGCAGAGAGGGAGGGAGGGAGGGGTGAGGGGGGAGGGAGGGGTGGCAGAGAGGGAGGGGTGAGGGAGGGAGGGAGGGAGGGGTGAGGGGGAGGGAGGGAGGGGAGGGGTGAGGGAGGGAGGGGTGAGGGAGGGAGGGGTGAGGGGGAGGGAGGGGTGGCAGAGGGAGGGGGGAGGGAGGGAAGGGGGTGGCAGAGGGAAGGGGAGGCGCTGCTGTGTAATTGCTGTGTAATATCCTGTCTCTCTCTCTTCCTCCCTTTCTCTCTCACACTCTGCCTCTCTGCCTCTCTCTCTCTCACTCCCTCTCTCACACTCCCTCTCTCCCGCAGCCTCACGATGGCGGAACAGGTTGTGAACCCGCGAGTGTTTCTGGACATCGCTATGGATGGGGTGAAGGTGGGAAGGATCGTCATTGAGGTCAGTGTTCGGGAAAGAAACAATGAGAATCACCCGAGACGACCACTGCCCTCTCTCCCTCTCTCCTTCCCTCCATCTCTCCCTCCCTCCCTCCCTCTCTCTCCCTCCCTCTCCTCTCCCTCTCCTTCCCTCCATCCCTCCTTCCCTCTCTCCTCTCCCTCTCTCCTTCCCTCCCTCCCTCCCTCTCTCTCTCCCTCCCTCTCCTCTCCCTCTCCTTCCCTCCATCTCTCCCTCTCTCCTTCCCTCCATCCCTCTCCCTCTCTCCTCTCCTCTCCCTCTCTCCTTCCCTCCATCCCTCTCCCTCTCTCCTTCCCTCCCTCCCTCCCTCTCCCTCTCCTCTCCCTCTCCTTCCCTCCATCTCTCCCTCCCTCTCCTCTCCCTCTCCTTCCCTCCATCTCTCTCCCTCCCTCTCCCTCTCCTTCCCTCCCTCTCTCTCCTTCCCTCCCTCTCTCTCCCCTCTCCATCTCTCTCCCTCTCTCCTTCCCTCCCTCTCCCTTTCCCTCCCTCTCTCCCTCCCCCTCTCCTCTCTATCTCCCTCTCGCTTCTTCTCTCCATCTCCCGCTCTCCCTCCCACTCCTCCCCCTCTCTGGGGGATGTTATCCGCCTTTATTTTATTTTTTAAATTAATTTTAATTGAACTAAAAGCCTTTTCAGAGAGAGGGAAGGAAGGAGAGAGAGAGGGAAGGAAAGAGTGAGTGAGGAGGGAGGGAGGGAGAGAGGGAAGGAGAGAGAGAGAGAGGGAGGGAGAGAGCGTGTCTGCCATGTGCCATGTAACAATCTGGGGTTTGTGTCTCAGTAACACTCTGAGCCTTTAACACAACAATAATATAATATAATGTATAATATAAACCTCGCAGTTGGTTTTTGTCTCGTCAAACATTTCACAGAATATACCGTAAAGTGTAGTGACTGTATTTTTTTTTGCGGGCGCAACGCGGCAGCCAATTGCGCTCAGTAATGCCCCACAAACCGCTGCGGGACTGAGTGACCGAATTATTTTTTTTTAAATGGTTTTATTTTAATTGAGAGTGGTGTAAGAATCTGAGGTTTGTAAACGAGGTGCGTGACGATCTGCGGCTCAGTGATGCAGGAATATTGTTGCTGTTGTTGTTGTTGTAACGGAGTCGAATGATTATTATTTTTCCAATTATTGTAACCGAGTCTCCAAAGCCATGTTAGGATTGATACGGTTTCTCTGCACCGCCAGTGGTCGCTTAGCCCAGTTCCCACCGTTTGAGTCGCGCCTTTTTCTTGAGACTTGGCTTTTTTTATTCAAACGAATTGGCACAAATTTTCTTTTGGGGTTAAAAACAATTCAGTTGTTTTACCCCGAACTAAACGCCTCTTTTCTCTCTTGTTTTCAGCTGAGGAAGGATGTGGTCCCAAAGACTGCAGGTGAGACAGAGAGAGACCGACACACACACACACACACACACATACGTACATACACGGAGGGAGGGAGGGAGGGAGATGGTTGTGGATGATGGCTGCAGTTTGGAGACTATTGGCGCCGGCGGTGAATAGTTAGAAAATGGCCGTGTTTTTGAGCCTCTGTTGTATGGGTGGTTCTGCCTTTTTCCGGATAGTTAGTGGGCGGGTTAGTGAGCGAGCGAGCGAGCTTTGCTGTGGCTGAACACAGCCCCGAGCCCCCTCCTCCTCCTCCCTCCGTCCCTCCCCCCCCCCCCCCCCCGCCCATGGAGAGGTTTTCCTGAATCATCCAACATCCGAGAATTGCACAAAGATGACATTTTGAATTTGTCAGGGAACGAGCCTTCCTTTCGCAGATTTTTCGATCGTTCTTAACAATAATAACCCTGGCCTTTGATACAGAGCCTTATCACATCATTGAGACGTTGCAAAACCTTTCACAGAATATACTGTAATAATAATAGTGTAGTGTGTGTGTACTGTGTAGTGACTGTATTTTGTGGGCGAAACTCAGCAGCCAATTGCACACAGCAGCGTCCCCACAAACAGTTGTGGATTCTGTGACCAATTTTTTTTTGAGGGACTATTACTCTCAGAAATCGATCAACCAATTGACGAACAATTGGGTTCCTTCTGATCCCTTGCTGATCTGTACCTCAACTCCAATTACCCGCCTTTGCCCCGTATCCATTGATTCCCTGAGCCACCAAATAAAAATATGTGTGAAGTAAGGAACTTGTCTTAAGGTTTTGCCCAGACCCGCACGGGAATCGAGGCGAAGTGAGCGCTCTAATCACTGAGCAACAAGACTGCGCTTGCGCGGGCGCCAAACCAGTCTGAGCTGTTGACTGTTTGTGTCTCACAGAAAACTTCCGTGCCCTGTGCACTGGAGAGAAGGGCTTCGGTTACAAAGGATCCGTGTTCCACCGAGTAATCCCTAAATTTATGTGCCAGGTAAGACCTCGCTCCCGGCTAGAACTTTACGCCCCTCGGCAGCTTGCACACTATACACACCCACAGACTATATACATACACACTGCACATCTTATACACACACACACTATACATATGCACATACCCTCTGGATTAAGTGTCTGGTTAGAATTACATGGAAATAATAAAAATTAATAATGATCATTCTTGCATATTTGATACCGCGCATTTTCAGGTCTCAAAGTGCTTCATGGGATACACTGTGAAGTGTAGTGACTGTGTTTTGTGGGCGAAACGCACCAGCTAATTGCGCACAGCAGCGTCCGACAGACAGATGTGGATTGAGTGACCACCTTTTTTTTGAGGGTTATTACTGGCACTGACTCACCAACTACAGAGGGTTAGGAAGAGACACAGCAGATTGTTCTAACCCTCGTTAACGTGTAGTCTGATGTGTGTGATCTGTGCACAGGGAGGAGACTTCACCAGGGGCGATGGCACTGGAGGCAAGTCTATCTATGGGACCAAGTTTGGAGATGAGAACTTCAAGCTTACGCATGATGGGCCAGGTAAGTGTGAAGCTCCCCACATTGTGGCTTCATAAACCGACCGATCTCTGCCGATACAGTCGTCAAGACAACAATAACCTGATGTCACTGTCTGGCCAAGCTTTCCCGCTGCTTGTCCAGCGAGAACCACCCTCCCCGTTAGGGCTTTGGCTGTGGGGTTCACGGGAGCTGAGGGGGAGGATTCCCTGCCCCTAGTGACTGGTCGGCCCTTCCAGGTTCTGCTAATGAGCCAGGCCGGGCTGTGCTGCCATCAGCAGTGAGTACCGTCATCAGAGACCGTCACAGAGAGGGGGTCTCCATTCATATATTCCATCTCCTCCGCTGCCCCCCCACACACACACACACACACACACATACACAGGGAAGATCGATGGTCCTTATTTCCCAGCTCACTTCACGAGCGGCAGCCTCTTGGAAGCGCTTAACAGCTTGATACCGAGCCAGGGAGAGAGGGGGGTGACTGGCGGGCAGAGGGCTGGGAGTTTGGCTGAAAACACGGCCACTAACGGTGGAGTCGAGGGGTCGAGAGACACGCAGAGAAGGGCGGCTGGAGGAGAGGAGAGACGTTCCATTTGTGTTGACACTGACTTTTGTTGGGATTAAACCTCAAACCCCATCAACCCATTCAAATGGATTTTATATCTGTTCCCCTGTCAGGTACCATGTCCATGGCCAACGCTGGCAGAAACACAAACGGCTCACAGTTCTTCATCTGTACCGAGAAGACCACCTGGTGAGTGCATCTCATTCACCCTCCAATATCTGAAATGGTCTGGTTGAGCTGCCCGACTGACAGACACACTGTGCCGCAGGTTGGGGAGAGCCAATGCTTGGGGGTGGGGGGGGAACCCAGAGTGTGCGTTGGGGGTAACCGCTGAAGTCTAACCAGCTAAACCCACATAGCTTGGCCATCGAGAGAGAGAGCGAGCGAGCGCTGTCTGGCCAAGCTTTCCCACTGCTTGTCCAGCGAGGACCACCCTCCCCATTAGTTAGGGCTTTGGCTGTGGGGTTAACAGGAGCTGAGGGGAGGATTCCCGGCCCCCAGTGACTGGTCGGCCCTTCCAGGTCCTGCCCATGAGCCAGGCCGGGCTGTGCTGCCGTCAGCAGTGAGTACCCTGGGATACTGTGGCCCCTCCTGGCTCAGGAATCGGGGAGGTCACAGTGGGTGCTGTGCTGTGGGGGAGATGCCGTTCATCCAAAGGAGGTACCCCAACAACGCAGCACTCCCCCAGCTCTGCCCACTTCACAGCTGTTTGTGGGATGTAGTTGTGTGTGTATTGGCTTCTGCGTTCGCCCACAAAATACACACACGGTCACTACGGTTGATAGTGAATCGTGTGATTCATGTGGCGTGAAAGGTGTTTCAGAGGATTCGCTGTGAGGTGTAGTGACTGTTTTTGTTATCAAACGCAGCCGCCAACTTTGGGTGTATTGATGGCAAGGGTTGGGTGGGGGGTTGGGTGTGTTACGGTTGGAGGGGGTTGTGGGGGTTTGTTGCTGTTGGTATATATTAAAGTTCCCTTCCCCGGTTTCAGGTTGGATGGGAAACACGTTGTTTTCGGGAAAGTTGTTGAGGGCTACAGTGTGGTGGAGAAGATGGAGAAGAAGGGAGTGCGAACGGCACCACAAGCAGCGAAATTAAAATCATCGACAGTGGGGAATTATAATAAGACGTAAAGTGTTTCCGCGGGGAGTTGAGCTGTAAACCCTCACCTGCTTCCCCCCCCCCCCACACCCCCCACACCCCCCCCCTCACCGGTGAGAATTATCGTTTGAGCTGAAGATATTGAGAAAACGTTGAATAAAAATAACAATTCTGACCGTTTGCGCCGGTTATGTTTTCTGTCGCCCCGTTTAACCCTTTCATAAACTCCCATTGAATCCTCTTCCCCCCCCCCAATAAAATTGGTCTTTCACTTTTTGCAACTGTCGGGGGGTGGGGGGGCGCTGCTGTGTGCAATTGGCTGCCGCGTTTTGCACACAAAATACAGTCACTACACCGACGTTGAGATGCTCTGACACGAGGGGCAACAAACATGGGGTAAATATCACTGTAATGGTGGGGGCCGCGGGGGGGGGACAGGGAACATCACAGAGACTTTGCCTGCACCGCCCCCCCCCACTGCCCCTCCCTCCCCCCCCACTGCCCCCCCCCCCCACTCCCGCCATTTTGCCGGGCACCACATGTTGGTGACTGTGACCATCGCGGCCGCGAGGCGGCGCTGCTGCGCCCCCGGGGGGCGGGGCATACGATTCGACGCCCCATTGGTCCCCGCGCCCTCGGCAGCTGATTGGTGCGGCTCTGACGTCAATCACTCCGGACCTCGAGACAACTTCCCCTTCAACTCCTGAACACAGAGCCAAAGGCTTCAGATGGTGGAGTTTGGCCGAGAATCGGAGAGTGTCTGAGAGCGGAGGGTGTGGGGGGGGTCGGGGGGTGTGGGGGGGAATGGAGCAGAAACCCAGTAACTGCACAGTATCTGAATTCAGTGATTTTGTTGTTGTTGTTGTTGGTGGTGATGATGATGATGGTGGTGGTGATGATGATGATGGTGGTGGTGATGATGATGGTGGTGGTGATGATGGTGGTGGTGATGATGATGGTGGTGGTGATGATGATGGTGGTGGTGATGATGATGATGGTGGTGATGATGATGGTGGTGGTGATGATGATGATGGTGGTGGTGATGATGATGATGGTGGTGGTGATGATGATGATGGTGGTGATGATGGTGGTGGTGGTGATGATGATGGTGGTGGTGGTGATGATGATGGTGGTGGTGGTGGTGATGATGATGATGGTGGTGGTGGTGGATGATGATGATGGTGGTGGTGATGATGATGGTGGTGGTGGTGGTGATGATGATGATGATGATGATGATGATGATGATGATGATGGTGGTGATGATTGATTGCAGGTGAAGGTGAGAGTTGATGTGAATACAAGGACTGCAATGCTGGGCACTCGCCACCAGGGGGCGGTTATGCTCCACACTCGGGGACTCTCAGCCCTTCCTGTTGCTGTTGGGCAGCAGTTTCGCCCTTCGGGGGAGGGATGGCGACTGATGTCTTCGGCTGTCGCATTGGGCTGTGGAGCCTCTATGGAGACTACTGGTCTCTATCCTGACTCAGAAGCCTAGAGACCTTTAGATAAAGGTCATTCGCCCACAACGTACCCTCCTGGGACATCCTCCTGACGTGAAAGGCAAAGGCAAATGTAATTTGTTGTTGTTGCCGCCGCCTTCGGTCTTCCCTTCTCCCCCAAACCCATTGGCTTCCAAACCCCAGCTCATGGCCAAACCCTTAACTGTCCAGTGCGTTGGGACGTCCTCCTGACGTGAACGGCGATGTGTAAATGTAATTTATTATAAAAGAATGAGGTGAAATGTTTTTTTTGTCAGCTCTGCTCGGGCCTGACTAGTGTGGAAGCTCATCACCGCGCTTCAGAATATCCAAAGCTAAAGTCACATGGAAGTCCCTCTGACCCTGGACTGCAATGTGCTCTGCCCTGGGGGCTTTACCTAATACACATCAACTGCAGCCGGTAAGAGGCAATGCCTGCGGACTGCAGGGTTTGGAAGTGGACACAAGGTTTGTTTTTTGAGGAGGGGTCAGAGCAGGTTACCCACATTACAGAGCAGCATTGTCACAGACTGGGATTAAAGGTGGACCACAGATCTGTAAAGGGATGGGAGCGGGAAAGAGAGATTTTACTAACTTTCTTTGAATCTTCAGCTCTTTCTAGTTTCAGCTGAGCAGTGAGATGGGTATCAATAGAAACCCTTCAACCCAAGAAAAATTAATGACTTGAGACTATGTAATGACTATTGAAACGCGGCAGCCAATTTGTGCAAAGCAACGTCCCACAATCAGCCATGAAGCCCATGACCAATTTTATGTGGAATCCTGTAGCTCAGTGGTTAGAGCACTCTTGCAAGTGAGAGACCTGAGTTCAATTCCAGGCAGAGGGCCAAACCTTGGGCAAGTTTCCTTACTCCACACAGAGCCTAATAATAATCCCTCCAAAACATAACAATAATAAATTGATCATTTTCAATCCATGACTGTTTGTGGGACATTGCTGTGCGCAATTGGCTGCTGCGTTTCGCCCACAAATATACAGTCAATTCACTTTACAGTATATTCTGTGAAGAGCTTTGGGACGTCCTCCCGACGTGAAAAGTGCTATATCAAATGCAAGAATTATTATTATTATGTGGGAGGATTGTCTGCCAGAGCAGTGGGAAAGAGAGAGAGAGAGAAACTCCTCTATTCAAGTAGCGCCATGGGATTTTTAAAAGGTGCAGATGGCACCTGGGTTTAACTGTATTTTGTGATGCGCTTCAGATGTCCTACCCGCAGTACGAGTGTTATATAAATCATTATGTTGTGTTTTAATCGGCAGGGAGGGGACACTGAGAATCAATTTCATTTCATCTCTTTTGAAGATCTTTTTTTAAAATTAATTTCACATGTTCCTGTACAAAACACTGCCTTCACTTCTATCAGTTATACTTTGCAAAGTGTTTTTGAAATGCTTATTTTGTAACCTGAAAGGCATCGTGTAAATTCAGGTTATTATTATTCATTGTTTTCGAAAGGAAATCTGTTTCCAGGAGTCTTATCTTCCAAGAGCACAATAATGCTGATTTGCCCATCATCGCCTGCATCTCAAGATGCAAAGAATATTCTGGAACCTCGCTCTCTCACTCTTCCCTCCGGTTTCCTAGGGGAAAAAATTGTGCCAAGATTTCGCAGGTTTTATTTAAAATGCATAATGCACATTTTTTTTTACCAATTTTCATAAAACCTCAAAATCAAAGGCTGGAGGGAGGAGAAATGAGAGCGAGTTGAGATAGCAACATAAATTTCTGGAAACACAGCAACGCCAGAAAGAGAAAAACAAAAGGTTATTTTAGGCGAAGCCTTCAAAAGAAATCCATATTGTTTAAATCACGCTTGAAACATTAACCTAATTTTCTGTGTCAGACAGATGCGGACTGACCCGCTGTGCAAATCCAGAGATTCTCTGCCATTTCAGATATCCAGTTTTGCTCTGGATGGGCCACAGCCATTGTTGACTGTGGATGTCGCTGCCTCGAGCGATTAAGACAGAACACAGCAGCGCTCATTAGCAATAACTCCGGCATCGTCTCCACTGGCGGTCACTGTGTCGTGTTTTAATACGGGGGGTGGGGGGGGGGGTCGAGTGGGTGATCGCTCCTGGATGGTGGATGGTCCCTAAATACCACCATGACTGTGTGTGTGTGTGTGTGGGGGGGGGGGGGGGAAGGGGGGCCATGCTGTGCGCAAAGCACACAGTCACTACACTTTACAGTGAAGCACTTAGAGACGCCCCAACCACGTGACGAGGCGCTGTATCAAATGCGAGGATTATTTACTTCACCATCATCACCATCACCACCATTCCCCCCCCCAACCCCCCAACCCCCCCCCACACACATACATACACACACACACACACACAGGATTGATGCTGAGATACCCAATTTAGGGTCCCGCCCCTGTTCGTTGCGGCGATTGGCTCGGCGAGCTGTCCATCAAGCGCCCTGTCCGGCGCTGTCCAATAGCGGCTCCTGGAGGGGGCGGGTGTCAGCGAGGCCGCGCTGTGGCTTGTGATTGGCGCGCGCGGGTGTCGATCAGGACGCCCGGCACCGCCCCTGTTACGTCATCACAGCGGCGCCCGGGTATGAAGAGCGCGCGGGCGCGAGAGGCGCCTCTTCCGGTCCGTGTCGCTGTCACTTCACCTCAACGCCGAGACCCGGAGCCGCTTCAGAGCCCCATATGGCGAACCCCAACCCCCGGGTCTTCTTCGACATCAGCATCGATGGCAAAAGCGCCGGTCGCATCGTGATGGAGGTGAGGAGCCGCCGGGGGGCGAGGCTCCCGGTGCAACCCCCACCCCTCCCCCCCCCCCCCCCCCGGGGGATGGCGGTTGATATGGCGGCCGCTGGGCACCCATTTTGCCCGCGGGGCGAAGTCTCTCTCCCTTCCCTCACTCTCCCCCTCCCTCACTCTCCCCCCTCCCTCACTCTCCCCCCCCTCACTCTCCCCCCTTTCCTCACTCTCCCCCTCCCTCACTCTCCCCCTCCCTCACTCCCTCCCTCCCCTCACTCTCCCCCTCCCTCACTCTCCCCCCCCCCCCCCCCCCCCCCCCCCCCCCCCCCCCCCCCCCCCCCCCCCCCCCCCCCCCCCCCCCCCCCCCCCCCCCCCCCCCCTCACTCTCCACCCCACTACCTCACTCCCTCTGGCATCCATACATAATAATAATTTGGTCACTTCAATCCACGACCGTCTGTCTGTTTGTGAGACGCTGCTGAGCACAATCGGCTGTCGCGTTTCCCCACAAAACACACAGTCACTTCACTTGAAAGTGTCTCCTGTGAAAAGCGCTTTGAGACGTCTCAGTGATGAGGCGCTGTGTCAACTGCGAGGATTTTTATTATTAACTCCTGTAGAGGAGACAACCAGTAATATTGGTGTTTGGATGACTTTGGGTTACATATGGGTTTTAATTTCTGACAAACTCTGCTTTCACTAACGTCCATTTTTTTCTTTCCTTTGCTCTCCTCCCCCACACCCCCCACTCTCTTGACCCCCCCCTTACTCTCTCTTCCCCCCCCCATCCTCACTTTCAGCTGAGGAAAGATGTGGTGCCAAAGACTGCAGGTATGAGCTCATCTTTTATACAATAAATTGCTGCTTGGGGCACTAGGAGGTCCTACTTTTGTTGTCCTGACGAGAATAATTGGTAAGTGATACGCCAGGATGTCTGACTGACTGTTGAATAAATTAAGTTGGCAGCTTCTGTTCAGTTAGTGGTTAGACCGAACAGTCAGCACGATTGCTGCAGTGCAGACTGTTCAGGGACAATGAGGTAGCCATCCCCTCCAGCAATTTCTTTTGAATGCAGAGATTGTGTTTAGCACTACAGTGGCTATTTGGTGTTGCATCAAAATAGCCAAACTAATTCAGATGGGATCAAAATTCACACCCAATTTCTTTGTGGATGACAGCTACCATACAGCGTATGTCTTTATTTAATGTGCTTCTGTTATCTACACATTATGCTGTTTGACAACATTTCAGACCATGTATTTTACTGCTAAGTCAGTCCAACTCTGTACTTGATCATGTTTCACATGGCTATCCAGATTACACTGGAACAGGAAGCGTACTGGGAGATTGGGAGTGCACTGTATTATCTGTGAAGCAGATGCACAATGTTTTACTTGTTCCTTTTTTTGCTTTTCAGAGAATTTCCGTGTCCTGTGCACCAAGGAGCCAGGATCTGGTTTTAAAGGATCCAAATTCCACCGAATAATTCCTCAGTTTATGTGCCAGGTTAGTGACCCTGACTTCCAGTATGTGACCTGCACTTATGACTGTATTTCTATAGAAATTGTGATATATCAAATGCTGGATTTATCTTGACCAATGGGAACAATAGTGTATTTACGTACAATTGTCTGAAGGTATTTCGTTTCGTCCTGTTCTTTTTTTAAAAAAAATTCCCCAGGCCATTCAGCCCCTTGAGCCTCTTTTGCCGTTCTGTTAGATCATGGTTGTACCTCATCCCCAATTACCTGCCTTTGCCCCATTGTATCCGGCAAATGTACAACTTGTATTAACTGGGCCAGTCTTGAAATTGACTTGACAAGAAATGTGTTAACATATTTCATAACGGGCAGTTCTAGGAGTGTTCTACAGTGTTATTTTGCTATGGTGTTTTCGGTCTGTGCATTGCTCCATCTTTAGTGTTACAATTTGTTTTACAGGGTGGTGATTTCACAAACCACAATGGCACCGGTGGCAGGTCCATCTATGGGGGCAAATTTCAAGATGAGAACTTCACTCTCCAACACACTGGATCGGGTAAAGAACATCTTTCCTGTTAGCTTTAAAGCATCTAGCCATTCAATAGCCACTTCAATATATAGCAAACCACAGAAGGAGGGGTGTTTCCATTAGGTGGTAAATGTCCTGGGATTAATGTGAATTTTTTTAAACTTCTTTAAATTTATGGAGCTAATGTGATCTGACATCCAGGAGTGCTTGGCGGTGCAGAGTGCTTGACATTGGCGGAGCATGATGCTGAGAAGGGTGACCATAGGGGGCAAGGCAGAGGAATAGAGGAAGCGTGTTCCAGAGTTTTGGGGCATAGTGTCTGAAAGCACAGCCACCAATGTTGATTCTTAGCTTTAGCTTAATTTGATCAAATGGATTGTTTGTTGTCAAATACTCTGAGCTGATGTCTTTTCATCTGCTGCCTGTCCCCTCTGCATCACCCTGCAAAGTGTCTGCGCTCTCTCCAACAAAGCCCTCACTGTCCACGATCTCATTGTCATCAACCATTGCTGTCCTCTCCCTCACTGAAATCTGCTTCATCCTAGGTGACAGCTCCCCTGTCACCATGGTCATCTCACCTGGTCACACCTGCTGTGCTGTGGCTCTCATCTCCAGATCGTCAAGTCCCCTTACTCTGCTGTATAAGCAGTGTTTTTGTCTTCCTCTCACAGGTATTCTGTCCATGGCCAATGCTGGACCAAACACAAATGGCTCACAGTTTTTCATCTGTACCGCTAAGACTGCATGGTAAGGATTCTCACCTTTTCCAACTTGAGATACCTTATTGGTTGTGCTATCTTGTGTGAGTCTGTAGTGGAGGAGACCACCTTAATGCAAGTAGACTGCAGCTAAAGTGGGGGGGGGGGGGGCAAGGAGAAATAACATCTGAAAGGATGAGGTGAGACAATGGGCTTAGCATAGGGAAGATGCTTGGACACGTTTCCTTAGTTCACACACACGCACCTCTGTTTACCTAGCAGTAAGTAGGAGCCTGGTTGTTGGTCGATTGGCAGATTGCTTTCAGGGGGTAATAATCTTTTAGGAAAAAGAATTGTACAGTGCCTACAAAATATACAGTCACTTCACTTTACAGTGTATCCTGCGAAGCGCTTTCAGACGTCTCAACGGCATGATAAGGCGCTGTATCAAATGCGAGGATTATTATTAAAAATGTAAATTATCTGGTTTCCTTCCAGGTTGGATGGGAAGCATGTGGTGTTTGGGAAAGTTGTTGAAGGCATGCAGGTGGTCCAAAAAATGGATGGTTGCGGGATGAAAGATGGGCATCCCAAAGTTGAAGTTATGATTGCCGACTGTGGGGAGCTGCCCTGAACATTCCTGTAAGGAACGGCTGATCATGTAAACCGCCACCACCAGCAGCTGCAGCTGATGGCCAGCATGTGTGTGTTTCCCCCCCCCCCCACTTCTGTTCCGTGTTTGGTATGTTACTATGAATCCAGTTAAACTGCAGAAGGATTCACTGAAAGAACATTGTTAAATAAAGTACTGTACTGTCCAACTTGGATTCCTTGTCTTCTGTTCGGCTGTGACCAGTGAGGTGACGGGCGGCTGCCCTTTTCTGGGTGAGCCTCAGGTGTCCGACACATGTGGAAACCCATCATTTTCAATCTACGACTGTTTGTGGGACATTGCTGTGCGCAATTGGCTGCCGCGTTCACCCACAAATATACAGTCAATTCACTTTACAGTGTGTTGTGTGAAGCACTTTGGGACGTCCTCCCGACGTGAAAAGCGCTATATCAAATGCAAGGATTATTATTATTATTATCACCATCCAACCCAGAAAGTTCAAAGTGCTGACGAGGGGCTTAAACTTCCATCCCCTGTGACAACAGTGACCGACCCTCTGAGTGAGAGGACCGAGCGCCTCTTTCTTTTATACCCGCCCCTGTGGCAGCACCGCCTCCTCGGGGGCCGCCGCGCTCCTCTGAGTGGCTGCAGCCGCTGTCAATCACCGGATCCCGCGGTGGGCGGCGGTCACCGCGAGGCATGTCGGGAGTTGTAGTTCCCCGCCGCGGGGGACCCTGGGAGATGTGGTGGTTCCCGCCGCGCCCGGGGCGCGTGCGCAGTCGTCGGGGCCCTCGCCGGCCGCCCGCTTGGAGATGCGGCGCTGGTTGTGGGAGCCGAGCCCGCGGCCTCGCGGGGCCTAGGCCTCCCTCCCTCCCTCCCTCCCCTCGCGTCCATGTGAGCGGGGGAGCGGCCTCTGCCGTGCGGCGGGAACAGGCTCCGGGCGGGGCGTCAGGCCTCGGCCTCGGTTGCGGCTGCGGTTGGTTCCCTGTGGAGCGGGAGCCTCGGGTCCAATGACCGCCTGGGTCCTGCTGCCTGTCAGCCTGTCCGCCTTCTCCATCACAGGGATATGGGTGGTGTGAGTACCGCTCCCGACCTCTCTCTGTCCCCCCACCCACCCCCAGGCTTTCCCCCCAAGCGCTCTGAGGCGCTACTCTGCCTGAGGGACGCTATATACATACAAGTTGTTGTTGTCCGTCTCCACTCTCCATTTCCCCCTCATCCCAACCCCTATTACCTCCATTTCCCCCTCATCGCAACCCCTATTCCCCCCATTTCCCCCTCATCCCAACCCCTATTCCCCCCATTTCCCCCTCATCCCAACCCCTATTCCCCCATTTCCCCCTCATCCCAACCCCTATTCCCCCATTTCCCCCTCATCCCAACCCCTATTCCCCCCATTTCCCCCTCATCCCAACCCCTATTCCCCCCATTTCCCCCTCATCCCAACCCCTATTCCCCCCATTTCCCCCTCATCCCAACCCCTATTCCCCCCCATTTCCCCCTCATCGCAACCCCTATTCCCCCCATTTCCCCCTCATCGCAACCCCTATTCCCCCCATTTCCCCCTCATCGCAACCCCTATTCCCCCCATTTCCCCCCTCATCCCAACCTCTATTCCCCACGTTTCCCCCCTCATCCCGATCCCCTTTTGCCCGCTTTCCCTGGTCGTTTTCTTCTCCTGTTTCTATCCCGATGTTATTACTCTTCGCGCCTGATCCCAGCTCCTTCCTTTGAAATCGTTCCCTGCTTTTTTGTTCTTCTCCTTGTAAACCTTTCTCCGGCTTTTGACCGTCTCCACCACCCGCTGCGAACAAGGAGCAAAGCCTTTACTCTCCGGAGTTTTAGAGGAACGTGTTCCGGTGTCAGCCCGGCTCAGTCGGCAGCACTTTCTGGGTGTGTCTGACACCCGCAGAAAACCATCACTTGTTGCTTAAGTCTCTCCCCACCCAAACTGAGAATTCCACACCTCCGACCTACACCTGGAGATCCCAGAGAGAGATTGTTGGGATGGAACTCTCTCTCTCGTCTGTTTTACCTTATCCCAGAAAGTATTAATAATAATAATAATCCTTGCGTTCGATACAGCGCTTCATCACGTCTTCGAGACGTCTCAAAGCGCTTCACGGGATACACTGCAAAACGCATTGACTGGATATTTTGTGGGTGAAACACATGTTGGCGAGAGCCAAGGCTTTGGGGGTGGGGAGCCCAGAGTGTGCGTTGTGGGTAACTGCTGGAGTCTAACCAGCTAAACTCACATAGCTTAGCCATTGAGAGCGCTGCCTGGCCAAGCTTTCCTGCTGCTTGTCCAACAAGGACCGCCCTACCGACCAGTGAGAGGGGAAGAGAGGAAGTGCCGGGAATGAAAGGATTGAGATGGGTTGTGTTATTCACACCATGTTTTATTGTTGCAGATACGCTATGGCAGTGATGAACCATCATGTCTGTCCTGTAGGAAACTGGTAAAGAAAATCCCATTTCTACTGTTCTTATTGGTGATGCTTCAGGTCTATGTGAGGAACGTAGGAATGGGAGGAGGCCATTCAGCCCCTCAAGCCTGTTCCGCCATTCTGTAAGATCATGGCTGATCTGTACCTCAACTCCAATTACCTGCCTTTGCCCCATTGATACCCTGACCTAACAAACATCCATCCACCCACTTCAGTCTAGAAAATTTCAATTGATCCACCATCCACAGCCCTTTGGGGGAGAGAGAAGGTTCAAGATTCCCACTGGCTTTCGTGTGGAAAAACTCCCTGATTTCACTCCTAAATGGCCCGGTTCTAATGTTCAGATGATGCCCCTCTTGTTCTGGGACGGGGCATAATCTTAATATTGGAGCTCAGACATTTAGGTGTCCTGTCCGTACCTCAGGTCACAAGTATGGCTCGGTCTCAATAAAGTTTATTATTATTTTTATAAGGGGTGGCACGGACAGACGGAGGGAGGGATGGGGGGTGGGTATGTAGGGACCCAGTGTCTGTCCTGTGTTGATTTCCGGTGGAACTTTCTCATGTTTTTCTTTTCTGCCGAAGGTTCTACAACGAGTCCTGCCCTGAGGACACCTCCAAACATGGTTACCCCAAAACCTGCTGCACCGTCCAGGACATCCCGCTGGTCAGGTAGGGTTCAAACTCTTTGTCCTGACCTTCAAACCCTTCCTCAGCCTTGCTGCTCCTCCTCCTCCTCTTCCTGTGTCCTGCTAACTCTATACCAGCCAATCTGCTCCCTCCTCACAGCGGGCTCCAATCCTCTCCACGTACCCCACCGTTAGCGGTCGGGCCTTCACCCTCTCATTCCCCATCCATTGGAACGCCATCCCACAAATCCTCCACCTTTCCTCCTTCAGGGCCCTTCTTAAGACTCTCCTCTTCGACCGTGTCTTCGGTCACCCACTTAACCCCACCCTCCCTGCTTTCCACCCCTCTTGATCCCAATCCCCAGTTCAGGTCCAAATCCCTGACTGTCCACAGCCTTGACACATCCTCCTGATGTGAAAGGCGCTGTATCAAATGTAAGTCTTACGATTGTTATTATTATTATCTCAATCTAACATGAGCCGCTGTTCTTTTATTACAGTAAATGTGGCTCGTCTCCGCCTGAAAGCTGTCTCTTCAGTTTGATTGGCAACGTGGGTGCTTTTATGGGTAAGTTTCCTTTTCTCAGTATTCCTGTCTCTTGGATCTTGGATTGTTGGCCAGGAGAACCCGCCTTCTCTTTTGGAGTCGTGACGTGGGATCCACTTAATCAGGCTTCGATGGGAACTCGGTTTCACTGTATTGCCTCAGATTGTCAGCTTAGACTATATAAATCATGACATTGGGGCTTCAACCCACAATCTTTTGACTCTGGATGCAAGAATGCTGTATTATCAGAGACACCATCCTTCGGAGGAGACGTTAAACCTCACTCACTCCCCGTCTGTGCCCTGTTCGGGTGGGTGTTAAAGATCTCCCACCGCGGGGCTGTTGGGAAAAGAGAAGGGAGTTTCTCTCTCTCTCCCGGGGTCCTGGCCGACAATCCCCCAGATAAAATAGTTCACTCACTTCACGGCTGTTTGTGGGGACGTCATTGTGCGCAAACCGGACAAAAAAACAAAACGGTTTTGCCCACAAAAACACACAGTCACTACACGTAGCTGTGAAGAACTTTGAGACTTCTCAACGAGGAGAGTGTTGGGGTCGTTAGAGTTGCGGGGGGCAGATACAGTGGGGTGAGGGGTGGGGGTGATAGAAGGGGGGAGTTACAGTCGTGACGAGGTTTAATTCCTGGCTTGTGGTTGTTATACCCAGTGGTCGTGATCTGTGTCCTTCGCTACGGGCAGATCATGGAGAGGTGTCGGTCGACGTGGATCAACACGGCCGCCCTGGTGACCGGCCTCATCAACGCCGTGGGGCTCGTCATGGTTGGTAACTTCCAGGTAATAACAGGACCTGCTGTGATGCTACTCACTGACTGACTCACACATGGCAGGCCAGCACATTAACACGCTCTCGTCTCTTGAGTCAGTGCCTTGAGACATGAAAGGCGCTCCACAAATGTCATTTGTTGTTGTTGAGTCAGGAGGTTGTGGGTTGAATTATTGGCTTTGAGCTCACAGTCCAGGCTGTCGCTCCAATGCAGCGCTGGTGGGGGAAAGAGAGAGAGGGAACCGCATTGTCAGAGACGCTGTCCTTCAGATGAAATGTTAAACCTCATTGTGTAAATGCAAGTTGTTCTTGAGCGCATGTCTCGGGCATTCAGTTTCTGTGCTGTGTTATAGCAGCCAGTGTATAAGGGTGTCTGTTATAGCATCAGGTGTATATGAGGCTGTGTGTCACTCAGTCTCTCCCACTTGCCCAGGTGGACCATGCTAAGAGCCTGCACTATATTGGAGCTGGGGTGGCCTTTCCTGCGGGGATGGTGTTTGTCTGTTTGCAGTGTCTCCTCACCTACAGAGCAGCAACCTCTCTCCTACACCAGTGGCTGGGACACACCAGAGTGGCCCTCACCACAGTGGCCTTAATCTCCTTGGTTCTCAGTATCCTTCTCTCTGGCCAGCCAGCAACTACAGCCTGTGTGTGTGTGAGAGAGAGAGAGTGACCTGGACTGTGGTTGTGTATCCCTGGGTGTGTTCGTCCCTGTTTCTGTCCATATACCTGTGTGTGTGTATGCGAGCGCATTTGGTCTGTGTGTGTGTGTGGGCAGTTGGATGGCTCCTGGTTTGTCTGTATGTATATTTGTGGCGTGTGTTGTGTATATGTGTCCCTTTCTCTGTAAAGCTTGTGTGTGATGGACTGCTGCACTGAGCACAAGTTGGCACCAGCCCAGATTAGGGTTAGTGTTGAGCTCTCCGACCCTCAGTGCCATTCCCAGCCTCATACTGGGACCCAGTCAGCAGCCCAGCATCGGGCTGTGCTTCAGTCCCCTGAACAATGTGAGCCAGGGCCACACCACAGCTGCCTGAGGCTAAACATTGCCGGCATTGATGCCTCTCACATCACATGGCAGAATAGACCAGCTGCGGACAGCCACCATCTCCTGTCAGAGATAACAGGCACCGGGGGAAGAGGGTGTCTGCGGAATCCTTGCCTCGCAAGCGAGAGGACACGGGTTTGATTGGATTCCCGGGCAGGTCAGGGTGAAACCTTAGTTTCTGTTTACGTAGCAGTGAGTAGGAACCTACTTGTTAGTGGATTGGCGGATCACTTTCCCGAGGTAATAACTCCTCCCAAACAATAATAATGACAATAATCTGGTCACTCAATCCACCATTTGTGGGACGCTGCTGTACGCAACTGGCTGTCTGAGTTTCACCCACCAAACACACGCTTTGAGACATCTCAACGACGTGATAAGATGGTATTTCAAATGCAAGGAGTGTTATTATTATTATATTGTTATATCAAGGCCAGAATGATATACTGTAGGTTAGGTTGTCAGAGGAATCGGGTCAGTGATGTGCTTTGGCAGGGAATCAGTGGCACATTTACTGATGTCAGTGCTGAGCTATTGACGCTGACAATTGGCAGATTATTATTACTATAAAACTCAAATTGTTGCTGTTGGGTTGCTCTGTATGAGGGGGGGGCTATATAAACTTGAGCAGCAGCAGTAGTAGTTGTCGTTATTTCCTTAACGCTGTGACCAGGTGGAATCTTCTTCATTAACGAGAGCCCAGTTTACCAGCACGCGGCTGCCGTGTGTGAGTGGATCTACACGGTTGACATTCTGGTGTTTTATGGCAGCTTCTCCTTCGAGTTCGGCTCTGTCAGCGGCGACACGGTGCTGGCTGTGCTGGGGCGAGGAGGGGTCCCGGGCCTGGGTGGGGGGGGCTTGGGCAAGGCAGCCAAATCCCCAGGCAGCGGCACCTCCTCCCATCTCCACAGTAACCCGGAGAGCATCGCCATGATCTAATGTCTGGTCAGAGCGTCAGGTACAGTGTGTGTGACACAGGGGGTCTCAAACCCCTACCCTGGCCTGGGGTTCTGCAGGCACTCGCTGGTGTGTGAATCTCGGTGGTGTATTCTCGCCCCCATCCCACCCCCCCCACCATGGTAAATCACCAATGTCTCTGAAGCGCGGGTACATTTTGTGGGGTCAGTGTTTCAGGCTGTTACAGTGGATGGGAAAGTCCCTGGTTTGACCTGTTCCCCGGCCTGGAATATTACTGATCTCAGTCAGAGGGACGTTTCGCCCACAAAACACAGTCACTACACTTTACAGTATATTCCTGTGAAGCGCTTTGAGAAGTCTCAACGACATGATAAGGCGCTGTATCAAATGCAAGTATTATTACAGGGGTCCTCTACACCCCCCTGCCCCCCCCCCCCCCCCCCACACACATACACAAACACAGGCATAGACAGACACAGATGTACACACACACTAGTACACAAACACACATAGATGTACACACACTCTTATACACAGACACAGACATACATATATACACAGATGTACACACACTGGTTTACACACAGACAGATACAGGCATACACACGTGTATACACACACACACACACACACACACAGGCCCCACTGGAGAGTGTTGTTTCTGATCCACCTCCTGAGGCTTCTGTTCAAAAGCAAATGTTTTGTTTTACACCCTTTGTTCTGCCTTTTTGTATTCAAATGATATTTGAGAAAATGTCCTTATTTATTGCGGATCTGGTGCTTTCAGAAGAAACATGACGTGATGGGAGTAGCGTGCGCTGGGGGCAGGGGGGCACACGCTGCTCCAGGGTCTCTGATAACTCAGTCTCTATTGCGGAGGTTTCCCAAGTTCCTTCCCAGACCAGTAACACTAACACTGGGGGCCGGGCTGGGGGAGGGGAGGAATACCAATGACCAGTGTCAAACCCTCAGAGGGAACGCGAGATGAGAACAGGTTATTTTCCAAATTTTGTAGCTAACTTGGCAACCAGCTTTTACATTTAAATGCATTATTATTATAAATATCCCTCGACACTCAGAGCTCACAGTCCAGGCTGACACTCCAGTGCAGCGCTGGGGGATGGTGGGGGGGAAAGAGAGCGAGGGAAAGCATGTGTTGTCAGGTAAGACGTTAAACCGAGGTCCCGTCTGTGCCAGTTAAAGACCCCACTCCCACAACGTTACTGGAAAAGAGAAGAGTTTCTCTCTCGCTCTCTCATCGGTGTCCTGACTGAATGTGCGGTGAGTGCAACTGCCTCTGAAACAAACAGCAGCCACAGCCTTGGACAGTCAGTGTAAAGTAAAAGCTTTGGGTGTTGTGATGTGATTTAACGGCTTTAACAATGCAAGTGTCTGTAGGATAACCATATCACATCTCAACTGGCAAGTTACGCAGTTTTTACTGGTTAGACTCCAGCAGTTACCCCGACACACACTCTGGGCTCACCCCCCCAGGAATTTTCACGTAGCTGCCGGTCTGGTTTTGGAGACTTTAAGCACAGTGACGGATTTCTGCGTGTGTCAAGACACCCGCTGACCTAATACAAACCCTGGGTGGCTGCTGTGCATTTTAAGCCTGGATTCTGTGTCCTAACCAGTGGGTTTTTATACACACCTTTGTGGCACGTCATTGCCCACAGACGTAACAGAAAATGTCTTGCAGCCTTGGGTTTTTTCTACGGTTTTTTACATTTATTTTTTTAAAGGGCAGTTTTTGTCTGTCTCCTGTAGATGTTTTTTAACATTTCATTCACACTGTGGCTCAGCAATAAAACAGATGTCTGGGCTGTGTTAATAACTGCGGGATTGTTTTCTTTGTTTCCCCGACCGACCGCGGAATCGGGACTGGATGCGGTTTAATTCACGTTGCGCTCGATTCCTTTTTTTTAAAAAAATATTTTAAAAAATAAACTTTTTTATTTAAAAAAAACACAAAAACAAAACCGAAGTGTTTTAATACCCTCTGTGTATTATTGTCTGCCTTCCTGTCAGGTCACAGGAACAGACCGTTCCACAAAGATTAAGCAGGGAGTTCGCCCGACGCTGGTTTCCATTTGGTTTTATCTGGTTAAACTCCAGCAGTTACCCCAACGCACACACTGAGCTTCCAAACAGAGCCAAGCCTAATACTCTCCAGGATTAGGTAAGATTAGCAAAACCTGAGGCGAGTTTCCTTACTCCGCACACACCCACACACCTCTGTTTACCTTAGCAGTAATAGGAACCCGCTTGTTAGTCGATTGGTGGATCGCTTTTCCAGGGATAAAAAAAAATTACTATAATAATTCGGTCACTCAATCATGTTTGTGGGGACGCTGCTGTGCGTAATTGGCTGCCACGTTTCACCCACAAAATATACAGTCACTACACTTTACAGTGTATCCTGTGAAGCGCTTTAAGGATAATTATTAACTGGGATGAGGGAGGGAGGCCACCGCCCTCTAGTGGCACAATAGCAACACTACACAAGCACATCTCTCCCTCAGTTCAATTACATTTGTTAACAATTCCTCCCACAAATCGGTCACATAGCTGTCACCCCCACACCCCACACCCCCACCCCGCCCCAGCTTCGGTGCAAACCTTGGACTGTCCAGTACCTTGGTACGCCCTCCTGACTTGATACGCCGTAATGTATAAGTGTAAATGTGCATTGTATTGTTTGTGCGCAAATTGGCTGCCTCCTCGGCCATTCCTTTAGTTATCTTTCCCCCTCCCCCATCTCCCTCGCCCCCCCACCCCCAGCTCAGGTATCGAGCCAGGTTTGTTAAGCGCTTTGGGACGTCCTGAGCTCTCATGTGAAAATGCAGATGTGCATTTGTTTTGTCATAACAATGTTTGCAGGTTTCTAACGTACAAAAAGCTGAAGGGCAAAGCCTCCCCCCCCCCCCCCCCCCGGTAGGAATTAACCCTCTGCCCCTGCTCCCTGTACCTGCAACACCAGACTGTTATAATACTGGGTGTCAGCCTGGCTCAGTCGCTCACTCTCTTACCTCGGAATCAGGAGGGTGCAGGTTCAATCGCCCACGGAGGGCACTTTGAGCTCAAAGTCTAGGCTGACTCTCCAGCAAAGCGCTGGTGGGAGAGGAAGAGAGTTGTCTCAGGTTGAGACGTTAAACATCACTCACTCCCTCGCCTGTGCCCTGTTCGGGTGGACGTTAAAAGATCTCCTGCGGTGCTGTTGGGAAAGAGAAGGAAGTTTATTTCTCTCTCCTGGTGTCCTGGCCGACAAGTCCGCAGATAAACTTGCTCATTCACGTGGCTGTTTGTGGGGACGTCACTGTGCGCAAATTGGCTGGCGCATTTGCCTACAAAATACATAATCACTACAAGTTACAGTAAAATCCTATGAAGTGCTTTGAGACGTCTCAACGACTCGAGAAGGCGCTGTATTAAATGTATGGTCTTTTTAAAAAAGGCAAGAGTACACAAGAGTTTCAGGTGATTACACAGATGCGTTTAATTCTGAAAGCGTTGAATAAAATCCATTAGTGACTTAGAACAGCAGCAACCGCTGATCCCAGGACAAGGAATCCTCTACAAACAGCAGCTTTTCTCCTGCTCTGGAATGTCTGAGTTTTAGTCTTTATTTGGAGGGGGGAGAGCAGGAGAAGGGAGGAGGGTGGGGGGGGGCGAGACTGAGGAAGAACAGACCATGTAGGGAGTGTTCCGGGCTCACTGTAAACCAGCTGCAATCTCCTGGCGCCCTCAGTCGATCACGTGTACATGGCATCGTGCAGGTTCTCCAGTCGATGCTGTTTTTGCTTTCTCCTCTCCTGTGAGACGTGAGGACAGACACAATCAGCTTTGTACTCGCTGGGGCTCAGGGCTGACACACACAGCGTTAGGCAACAACAACAACAACAACAACAAGATTCCATTTATAGAGCGCCTTTCACCTCAGGAGGACGTCCCAAGGCGCTGCACAGTTGGGTCATGACCCGAGCAGGGGGAAATGGTCAGGGTGAGGGAAAAAGAGAAAGGGCAATCACAGCACCGACTCTTATCAGGCGCAGCTAACTCTACAGCTGACATACAAAACCCCATCACCACACACAGACAGACACTACACTACAAAGTGACTAATCACGCTGTCAATGCCTGCAGGAGAGGAGGGAGGGACAGAGAAGCCACACACAGCTCACCCTCACCTTATCCCGTTTATATTCCTCGTATTCCTCACTGTCTGTGGGTAACTCCATCCGACACAGAGGGCAGGAATTAGTCTGAAACCAAACAACAATATTAATAATCCTCACATGAGGATGTCTGTAAGAGCTTCATAGGATTTACTGTAAAGTAGTTATAACAATCCTTGCATTTTATACAGCGCTTTATCAAGTCCTTGAGGCATCTCACAGAATATATATTATAAAGTGGATTGACTGTGTATTTTGTGAGCAAAACGCGGGTAACAAAAAAGCGCAGTGACTGTGCATTTTATACATTGAACGCAGCAACGTTAACGTCCACCTGAACAGGGCACAGACGGGGAGTGAGTGAGGTTTAAGGTCTTGCCCGACCACAGCAGAGGGACGTACCTTTCCCAGCCAGGGAACGATACACCCCGAGTGGAAGCAGTGCTCACAAGGCATTCGCTTCACTGTCTCCTCTTCCTCGAACTCCAGCAGACAAACCGGACACTTCAGGCCTCTGTCTGTGGGGAAAAACAGCAATGATCAGCACACAGTGCAGGGCCGACTCCCAGCACATACACACACCCGGGCCACAGGCGCTGGTCAGCACATACGAGGATTATTATTATTATTATTATTATTATTATTATCCTCAAAGCTCTTCACACACCGAGCCGGGCTGACACACACACGCACAGCCCACCTGCCTGTGCTGGAGACACGGCGATGCTGGGCAGGTTCTGAACGATGTCCTTTTTCGCGGGAGGCGGTAAGCGATGGTCCCAGTCGGACAGGTCCGCTGAGCCGAGGTCCACGTCCATTCCCGACAGCAAAGTCCTGGGAAGACACCACAACACACGGTAACAACACATTGTCCTCATCACTGCGTCAGAACCTCCGAGAGCTCTCCCCGGGACCCCTGAACCCCACCGTGAACCCTGAACCCCACCGTAACCCCAGTCCTGACCCCCACCGACCTCACTGTGACCAGTGGCTCCCGTGATGGTCGTGGGTTCGGTTTCCCCCCACCCCGGGGGGGGGGTACCTTGTGGGGGGGGGGGGAGGTGCCGGGGGTGGGGGGCTGTGGGGGGGGTACCTTGCGGGGGCCTGGTGGGGGGTGCCGGGGGGGGAGGGGGTACCTCGCGAGCTGCAGGAGGCCGCTGTGTTGGGGCGGCGGCTCCACATTATGTTCGTCGAAGTAAGACGCCATCTTGTGTGGCGCCAACTTCCTCTCCCGCCGTCTGTAGCCCCAAATCCCGCGCAAAGATAGCGCACGAGTAGCCCCAATGTCACGCGTCCCTCTCCCCCTCTCGGGGGCAGCAGCGCTCTATTCCGCTTGTAGCCCCAAACCGCCCAAAAAGTAGCCCGATGTTGCTCACCGCCTCCCGCCAGGGGGCAGCAGGGAGCCTGGCTCGGTTGGGGGGGGCGGCGAGCCTGGGGGGGGTGAGCCTGGTCTGGGGTGGGGGAGCCTGGCCCGGGGTGGGGGGGGGGAGCCTGGCCTGGGTGGGGGGGGAGCCTGGCCGGGTGGGGGGGGGGGGAGCCTGGCCCGGGTGGGTGGGTGGGGGGAGCCTGGCCCGGGGTGGGGGGGGGCAGCCTGGCCCGGGGTGGGGGGGGGGGGGAGCCTGGCCCGGGGGGGGGGGGAGCCTGGCCCGGGGTGGGGGGGGGGGGGGAGCCTGGCCGGGGTGGGGGGTGGGGGGGGGGAGCCTGGCCCGGGGGGGGGGTGGGGGGGAGCCTGGCCCGGGGGGGGGGAGGGGGGGAATGCGGCCACTTTCTGTTCTCCATCTCCCGTTGGATGGGATTTCATCATCAAACTTCCTGATTACTAACATGACTTTCACTTCCTGCGCTCAGATTGCTCAATGCAGCGGATACCAGACAGCCAGGACCGCCCCCATAACAATAATAATAATAGTAATAATAGTAATCCTGGCGTTTGATATCGCCCCCCCCCATGTTATCCCATCTTCGAGACGTCTCAAAGCGCTTCGTAGGATATACTGTAAAGTGTAGTGACTGTGTATTTTGTGGGCCAAACAAAGTTCAAAGGTGTCAAGATAACAGGAAGCTGAGCATTGTTTGTGCTATTAATGTACCTGTTTCTCTTTACAGTAAGTTTGGGATGGTTCCTGGTGGATTTCCTGGCTGTGTTGGGATCCGCTTCCTGTGAGGATGCTGTTATCAGGGCGCTCATTTGTGACACGTGAGTCATACAATAATATATAATAATAATAATAATCCTGGCATTTGACACAACGCCTTATCGCGTCTTCGAGACGTCTCAAAGCGCTTCACACAATATACTGTGAAGTGTAGTGACTGTGTATTTTGTGTGCCAAACGCGGCAGCCAATTTGTGTGTGAAAAGGGCTTCGAGTGCCAAACCTCATCCCATCCACACACAGACACAGACGCACACAGACGCGCACACAGACCGACCGAGACACACACACAGACTCACAGAGACACAAACACACACACACTCCCGTCACCGCGCTTAAGCGTCTCCAAACCAGACTGAGAGTCCTGCGTGTGCCGCCCACACGTGGACATTCCCGAGTCTGGAATGCAATGTGGAATTATTAAATCTTTCACTGATGTCTCAAGAGCAACGAAAATCAACAGTCTGAGAGGGAGAGATCGCTCAGGCGATAGCCAGACAATGCCCCCCCTCCCCCCCACCCACCAACACACACACACACACAGAAAACTGGCTTTAAAATCCAGGCTTTGAAATCTCCGGCCCTCACCACGTCCCCACCATCAGCGGTCAGGCCTTCAGCCTCTCTGCCCCCACCCCCCTATCTCTCTCTCTCTCTCTCTGACACTATCTATGGTCAGGAAACCCAGCCCTGGTGATTTCCTGGTTTGAGGCCGGACGCTCAGATTATGTGAAATGAATGGAAAATGTCAATGAAACCATGTAGTGAGTGAGTGATTTAATCTGGGGGGGGGGGGGTGCGGGATTGTTAGCTAGGAAACCGGAGTGGGAGGGGGGGAGAGGGAGAGAGAGAAACTCATTTCTCTTCTCCAACAGCGTCGCGGGAGATCTTTAACGTTCACCTGAACAGACACAGAGAGGGGGCGGAGTGAGGTTTAACGTTTCATCCAAAGAGGACGGACAATGCGTCTCTCTCACTCTCTCTCTCTCTCTCTCCCCCCAGCGCTGCACTGGAACGTCAGCCTGGACTGTGAACGAATGAGTGAACGAGTGAGTGAACGAGTGAGTGAGTGAATGTAGAGTCAAAATATGTGAATAACGTTAAAACCTTTTATTATACAATTAATGTACAGGCAGTAAATCGCGCATAGTTTCCTGGGGTCACTGATGTGACTACACAAAGCTCCTTGAACATTCCAGATTTCTGGTGCAGTTCACAGGCTGTTAGTTTGCCACAAAGAGTTCCTCACTCTGTGGGTTAGAGGTTACTCCACACTGCAGGATGTGATTGTGGTCTATAACCGTCCCCTTCCCCCTCACACCCACACGCTCACAGACACGCACACACACACGCACTCACAGACACGCCCACACACACACACTCACACACACAGACACGCTCACACAGACACATAGGCACACACACACCCTCACACACACTCACAGAAACGCTCACGCTCACAGACACGCTCACACACACTCACACAGACACACTCGCACTCACACAGACACGTTCACACAGGCACACAAACTCACAGACATGCTCACACAGACATGTTCACACACACACACACACTCGAGAATATTTTTGCACCTCCAATTAGGGATTCCCAATTAAGGAATCGCTATCCCTGTAATAATCCTGGCATTTGACCCGGCGCCTTATCATGTCGTTGAGACGTCTCAAAGCGCTTCACAGGATACACTGTAAAATATAGTGATTGCACACAGCAACGTCCCACAAACAGTGGTGGATTGAGTGACCACATTATTATTATTATTTTTAAGATATTATTGCCCCCATTAAAGCGCTCTGCCAATCACCTAAACAGAGGAGACTCCAAGGATCACAGCAAATTATGCGCGTGGGGTGGGGGGGGGGTAGGCAATGTGGGGGGAGATTGCAATAAAGAGAAGCTAATTGAATCCTTTTAATTTTAACCCATATGACTGTGTCCATTCACATTGTCCAGACTGAGGCGGATGGATGTGTGTTAGGTCGGAGTATCAAGGGATACAGGGCAAAGGCGGGCAATTGGAGTTGAGGTACAGATCAGCCATGATCTAATATAAAGGCAGAACAAACTCGAGGGGCTGAATGGCCTCCTCCTGTTCCTATGTTCTTTTTCCAAACGGATTAAAGAGGCAGAAAGTGAAAGAGAGAGAGAGAGAGGAAGAGAGGGCGTGGCGGGGTAGAATGAGATACTAGAGAGGTGTGACCGGTTCTATTGTCTCTCTCTTTCTCTCTGTCTCTCGGGGTCTGTACCGTGTGTCAGCGTCACTGAGGGTGATGGGAACCACAGGGTGAGGTGTTGAGGAGATAGAGTGGGTTCCTGTGTCCCTCCCTTATCCCAGAGAGTAGGGCTCGCTCCCCACTCAGCCCCCAGAGGTGGGGCTCACTCCACCCTCAGTCCCCAGAGGGTGGGGCTCACTCCCCACTCTGCTCCCAGAGGTGGGGCTTACTCCCCCCTCAGCCCCCAGAAGGTGGGGCCCACTCTCGCTTCCCCTCACTTCCGTGGAGCTGGAATAAGAGGTGGGAGCTGATCCTCTGGGGATGCAGGTCCACAAGACGATGGCGAGGAGAATGATTGTCACAGTCACCAACACGATCCCCAAAATGATCTTGTATTTCCTGTTCTTGAATTTCTCCTGCTGGGCCACTTTGTGTGAGGTTTTCTGGAAAGTCTTTCCCTGAGGGGGAGACAGGGGCGTCAGAGAATATCTCTCTCTCTCTCTTATCCCCCGCACCCCTGTTACATCGGGGCTGGAGGAGAGAGAGAGAGAGAGGGAGCACAGAAAGAGGCCATTCGGCCCCTCATACCTGTGCCGGCTCTTTGAAAGGGAGAGAAAGATGAGAGAGAGAGAGGGAGAGAGAGAGAGAGAGAAAGAAAGAAAGAGAGAGAAGGAAAGAGAGAGGAGAAAGGAATCTTTCGCGTCTGGAGGATGTCTGCAGGACTTCAGTGTAAAGTGGAGTGACTGCGTGTTCTGTGGGCGAGGGAAGGAAAGAGAGAGAGAATGGGAAAAAGAGAATGGGAGAAAAGAGATCGAGAGAGAGGGAGGGAGTGTGCGTAGGTGCGTGAGAGAGAGAGAGAGACGAGAGCAAGGAGCGAGAGAGAGAGAACGAGATAGAGATCATCTACCGCTTCCTCCAGCACCGTCGCTCTGTCCTCGAGCACGGTCAGCTTCTCCTCCCGTTCCTTTATCTTCACCACGTTTCCGTGCATCAGATCCTTGATTTCCTCGGCCTCCGATTGAAGCTTCTGCAGGTCCTTGGAGCCGTTCTGCAGCAACGCAGTGATGGAGATTAGCAAATACAGACACTCCGAGACTTGTATGTATCTGTGTGTCAATTTGCGGCTCAGTCGCTCACGCTCACGCTCTCTCTCTCTCTCTCGCCTCCGGGTCAGGATTGAGCCCGCAGCCCCCCATTCCCCCCCACCACGAGAGCGCTGGGGGGAGAGAGAGAGAGAGAGAGAGAGAGAGCGCTGGGAGGACAGAGAGAGAGAGAGAATACTGGGGGGAGAGAGAGAGTGCTGGGGGGAGAGAGAGATCCACATTGTTGGAGACTCCATCTTTTGGAGGAGATGTTAACCCCCACACACTCCTCGTCTGTGCTCCGCTTGGGCGGGTGTTAAAGATCTCCCCCCGTGGGGCTGTCGGAGGAAACAGAAGGAAGTTTCTCTCTCTCTCTCTCCCCCCACCCCCACCCCCAACTGGTGTCCTGGCCCCCAGATTAAATCACTCGCTCGCTTCACGGCTGTTTGCGGGGATGTCACTGGGAGCGAACCGGCTGCCGGGTTTGCCCACAAAACACACAGTCACTACACTTTACAGTGAAATCCTGAATGTTATGACAACAATAAGGTGGATTTACACAGCGCGGCATCTCAGAGCCTTTTCTTACTCATGTGGAAGCCGTTAACCCTCCCTTCACTGCTGTACATTTGCTGGATTAGTTACTCTGCTATAACAGAGGGTCAGGGGCTGAGATGTGGCCTTTGTGAATGTTACTGTATAAACACTCAGCTGTGAACTCCGTTAACCGCTGTACAGGGGAAACTGGAACGAGTTACAACACAGAGAACAGCCAACAGCTCAACACACAATCAGAGAGAGAGAGCGAGAGAGACACACACACAGAGAAAAGTGCATCTCTGTTCTCCAAGCCCAATGTCTGTGTCTGTGTGTTGTTAACATGTCAGTCACTTTGCAAGTGTTTAACCTTCACGCTCACACTCAGCCGAGTTAAGGCAACATTTGAAGGTTTCACTTTCACATTCACGGTATGAAAATGTGGGTGAAACTTTGACCAAAGCCTCTGGTGGGGACGGGGTAACGAGGATAAGTTTGCTGGGCAGCCACAGAGTACAGTAAGAATAGAAGACACTCACCATATCTGCCCCTCTACAGCTCACAGCTGCTCTCAGTCTGTCTGTGGCTTGTATATCCTCCTCTTCCTTCCTGCTTTCCAGTCAAACCACCCCTTCCCTCCCTTTCACACCAAGTTTTCAGGAAGCTCCATCGCATTCTCAATTCTCTGTAATGCGTGCGGAGAGGAATTATAAACAGATTTGCTGATGTCTGGAGTCCTTTAGCGTAGCGGCCTCACAAGCGAGAGGACCTGGGTTTGATTCCCAGTCGCATCAGGTCAGGGCGAAACCTTAGACAAGTTTCCTTACTCCACAGACACACCTCTGTTTACCAGCAGCAAGTAGGAACCTGCTTGTTAGTCGATTGGTGGATCACTTTCCCGGGGGTAATAAACTCGATCTGCAGCTGTGGGACACTGCTGTGCACAAAAGACAGTCACCACACTTTACCGTATATTCTGTGAAATGCTTTGAGATGCCTCAAAGTCATAATAAGGAGGTCTATCCAATGTAAGGATTATTATTATCCAATATAAGGATTATTATTATTAATATTAATATTATCTTTCTCTGCCCCAGAACTTTGCCCTTTTTCAGTGGGTAAATATTGATTCTCCTCAGAGGTTGTGGGTTTGAGTCTCGCCCCCCCCCCCCCCACGTCAGGGCCTCTGAGCTCACAGTCCAGGCTGACGCTCCAGCCCAGCGCTGGGGGAAGAGAGAGAACGCTGGGGGGGAGAGGGAGAGAGAGAGAGAGCACTGGGGGGAGAGAGAGAGCACTGGGGGGAGAGGGAGAGAGAGAGAGAGCACTGGGGGGAGAGAGAGAGAGAGTGCTGCAATGTCGGAGACTCCGTCCTTTGGAGGAGATGTTAACCCTCACTTAAAGATGCTAAGATCTCCCCCCGCGGGGCTGTCGGAGGAAAGAGAAGGAAGTTCCTCACTCTCTCTCCCCTCTCCCCCCGGTGTCCTGGCCCCCAGATTAAATCACTCGCTCGCTTCACGGCTGTTTGTAGGGACGTCGCTGGGAGCAAACCGGCTGCCGGGTTTGCCCACAAAACACATTTTTTGAGACGTGGCGACTTGGTAAGGCGCTGGATCAAATGCAAGGAATATTATACCGTATATTGCTGTCTTGTAGTGGGAAGTTTATGAAGGGATTTTGCCAAATGCATGTGGAGAAAACACAAATAATAATAATAATCCTCTTTATTTCCAGTGTTTTTCCAGTCAGGAACCTCGGTGTCTTGTTCTACCCTCAACTGTCTTTTCTTCCTCACCTCCGTAACATCGCCCGTCTCCGCCACCCCTCAGGCACTGAAACTCTTGTTCACGCCTTCATCACCTCCAGGTTTGACTATGCAAACGCCTGTGTGTCGGCCTTCCCAACCCCTTCCTCCACAACTGCAGATAATCCAGAACTCTGCAGCCCGTGTCCTCTCCTGCGCCAAACTCCGTGACCCCATCTCCCCAACTCTCGCCCGACTCCACTGCCTCCCTATCCTTCAGAGGATCCAGTTCAAAATCCTGGTCCTCATATACAAAGCCCTCCATGGCCTCGTCCCACCCTATCCCTGTGACCTCCTAAACCCCATACCAACCCGCCCGTCCCCTCCGCTCAGCCGGCTCTGGCTGCTCCACATCCCCCAACCCACCTGCCCCACCATTGGCGGGAGAGCCTTCAGCCACTCTGCCCCCAACCGCTGGAATTCCATCGCCCAGTCACTCCGCCTCGCACCCTCCATAGCCTCCTCCAAGTTCCGCCTCAAGACCCTCCTCTTTGACCATGCCACCGGCCCCTCCCCTCCCCCCACCCCCCGACTCCAGTTCGGGTCTGAATTGCTGTCACTGTCCAGCGCTTTGGGACGTCCTCAAATGTAATCTTCTTGTTGTTGTTGTTGTTGTTGTTGTGTTCACTGAGAAGCTGAGGAACGGTCAGGTGGCAGCGCCCTCCAGTGGACACAAGGAGAATAGCCTCCAGGTAAGAAGTACAGAGTTGTGAGAGCAAACGGCTCAGTGTGTGTCAGTGTGTGTGTGTGTGTGTGTGTGTCAGCCCGGCTCAGTGCGTGTCAGCCCGGCTCAGTGCGTGTCAGCCCGGCTCAGTGCGTGTCAGCCCGGCTCAGTGCGTGTCAGCCCGGCTCAGTGCGTGTCAGCCCGGCTCAGTGCGTGTCGGCCCGGCTCAGTGCGTGTCGGCCCGGCTCAGTGCGTGTCAGCCCGGCTCAGTGCGTGTCAGCCCGGCTCAGTGCGTGTCAGCCCGGCTCAGTGCGTGTCAGCCCGGCTCAGGGGGTGTCAGCCCGGCTCAGTGCGTGTCAGCCCGGCTCAGTGCGTGTCAGCCCGGCTCAGTGCGTGTCAGCCCGGCTCAGTGCGTGTCAGCCCGGCTCAGTGTGTGTCATGCTGGGACTTGGAATCACAGTCTAAGCTGACGCTCCAAAGCAGCGCTGGTGGGGTGTTGTATTGTCGGAGACGTGGCCTTCGGATGAGATATTAAACCTCACTCCCTGTCTGTCCCCTGTGCAGGTGGATATCAAAGATCTCCCGCGGTGCTATTGGAAAGGAGAAGGGAGTTTCTCTCTCTCTCTCCCCGGTGTCCTGGCCAACAATCCCCCAGGTAAAATTGGTCACTCAATCCATTTTTATTTTCGTTGGACACTTGATGTGCGCAATTGGCTGCCGCGTTTTGCCCCCAAACAGCTGCGAGGGGGATTGTTGGCTTAGCTGCCTCTGAGAGGGAGGGAGATAGAGAAAAAAAGAGAGAGAAGGGGGGAAGAGAAAGAGAGGTGGGGGAGAGAGAGAGAAGGGATGGATATGGAGGTGAGGGTGAGGAGCTTGAGGTTGATCTGCTCGCTGGGAGACAGTTGGGAGCTGTGTGAGGCAGAGGGACTTGGGGAGAGGGTTGAGGGTGACAGCACAGACTATAAATAATCATTAAGCAATGGAAAGTCTGACTGACAGGTGCAGAAATTGGGCTCCCACTGGCTTGGCTGGTAACGTGTGTCATTTGGTTTGGACACTGACTAAAGGACAGGCAGAGAGACAGGCAGTCTCTCATCAACAACAACAACTTGCATTCACAAAGCACCCCTCACACAGAGCAGTGTCCCCAAGTGCTTAAGCAGTGGCAGAGCACAACACTGAGCCTGTCACATCGGCCGAAAGTCTTTATTCAATTCCCCTTGTCACCAGATACACGCTAATTACATGCTAGACACAGGCCAGCTACACGCAAGATAGAATCTTACAACACACGAAGCCATGAGCACACACTTTGGGCTCAGCTTCGCTCAGAAGCTGTAACATGACCAGAGAGCGAGAAAGAGAAACAGAGCGAGAGAGAGCCAGAGAGAGCCAGAGTGAGAGACGGGTGTTTTAACCACATAAACTGCGGCCTTTCTCCAAACAGAAAGAGACACAGGACGGGGCGAGTGTGTTACAAGCAGCCAATGTCACCAGCAATTACTACTAGAGAGATCTATCAGTGAAATCTCTGTCTGTCTGTCTGTCTGTCTGTCTGTCTCTGAGTGTCTCTCTATCCATCTATCTGAGTGTCTGTGTCTCTCTGTCTCTCTCTCTGTCACAGTGAGAACCGACAACAACAACATTTACGCAATGCCCTTCACGTCAGACGGAGGGGAGGGGAGGGTTGTTAGCTCAGGGTATCAGGGGATATGGGGCAAAGGCAGGTAAATGGTGTTGACGTACAGATCAGCCTTGATCTAATAGAATGGTGGAACAGGTCTGATGGGCTGAATGGCCTCCTCCTGTTTATAGGTTCCTATGACAAGACAGTGAGAGAGGCTGAGTATTAATTGGAGTATTATTTGGTCGTTACGAGCTATATTATATATATATATATTTATATTTTAAGTCCAGCAACTAACTTCCACATGAATGATTTTGTACAACTCGGAGTGTGTGGGTGGCTGTTACACAGACATATGTTCAGCACAGAGGAAGCTGTAGTGATAAGCAGAGAGTGTGACAACAACAACAGCAGCAGCAGCTTGTGTTTATACAGCGTTCACACAGGTCAGGGTCAGAGGGGAGGGGGGAAAGGGAGGGGGAGCGAGGCGGGTGCGGGGGAAAGAGGGGAGGGAGGGGGTAGGTGACCGTAGGCACTGTCGAAGAGGTAGGTCTTAAGGTGAGAGTTGAAAACAACAACAACAACATCACATTTACACAGCGATCGCTTTTCACGTCAGAAAGATGTCCCAAAACACTATCTGTACGGCTAAAGGATGAAAATAACAGTGAAACTCACATCAGTCTTATCTTTATCTTTATATATCATATAAATGCCCAAGTCGCACGTTTACCCGTGAATCACATTTAGTTTCCTATCAAACCCACTTAGATTTATTTGCACGTGTCATAATAATCACCTCCTAACTCCTCATAGCCAACCCACGGCTGCTTGTGGGGGAATCGCTGCTCACAAATTGGCTGCCGCGTTTCGCCCACAAAACACACAGTCACTACTCTTTACAGTATATACCCTGAAGCGCTTTGAGACGTCTCAACGATGTGATGAGGCGCCGGGTCAAATGCGAGTATTATTATTATTATTATTAAATTACGTATTAAATATTCTGGTCCCGACTGATAGGAACTGACGTGAGCTTCACTGGAACAGGAACATTAAAGATGGGGGAGGTGATGAATACAGTGCATGGACTAGGGGCGGGGTGGGGGTCAGGGTGGGGGTGGGGGGGGCTGTCTCCCCCCCCCACCCGCCCCCTCCTCAGGTTTTGATGACGTTGGTGGCGAAGAGGATGATGAGGATGAGGATGACAGACACGATCACCACAATCAGGATAATCATCTTCGTATTTTTCCACCAGTATTTCCTTGCCACCTTCTGTGAGGTGGTTTTGAAGTGTTCTGACTGCAATCGGAGAGAGAGAGAGAGAGAGGTCAGTGTGAGTGGCTTATCGGCCAGTACTCACAGTCACTACCCCAACCAGTGCCATATGGAGGAGGTGAGTAAAACTCAGGTAAAGGGTGAGGCCCCTTTAAGGCAGGTGGTGCCTTTCACGTCAGGAGGACGCCTCAAAGCGCTTCACAGGATTAACTGTAAAGTCTAGTGACTGTGGAACACCGGGAGAAAGAGAGAGAGAAACTCCTCTTTACCCACAGCCCCACGGGAAACCTTTAGCAACCGCCTAAACAGGGCACAGTCGGGGAGCGAGTGAAGTTTAACGTCTCGTCCGAAGGACACCGTCTCTGACAATGTGGCGTAGCCCCCAGCACTGCCCTGGAGCATCAGCTTGGACTGTGATTCAACATCCCCGACGTGGGGCTCGAACCCACAAACTTCTGGCTCCGAGGCGAGAGACAGAGAGAGAAAGAGAGAGAGCGCTACCCACCGAGCCAGGCTGGCACCCCCAGTGAAGATATTACAGAGTGCTCTCTGGGGCTGTGTGTGTATGTGGGTTGGGGGTGTGTGGGTGGGGGTGGGGCGGATCTGAGGCTCACACTGGCTTGAAGATCCTCTGTTTTGTTCATCAAATCGTCCAGCTTCTCCCCGCGAGCCAGGATACGGTCGACATTCTCCGTCATGATGTTCTTCACACCTTCCACATCGCTCTGTAACTTTTGCACTCGGTCCACCTTGGCCTGTTCTGCCTCCTGCCGGGATACAGACGATCATTAATAATAATTAGTAATAATCATATTAATAATCCTCGCATTTGATACAATGCCTTGTCAGGTCCCCGAGACGTCTCAAAGCGCTTCACAGGATACGCTGGGAATCGGCACCGGAGAGAGAGAGCGAGAGAGAAACTCCCTTTACTGACACAGAAGATATGTCGCTATATCAAAGATTGGATGGTGCTTAGTACAAAAACATCTGACACAAGAGGCAGAGTGCCGGGGTGTGTGATGGGGGTTGGATATGTGGGGGTAGAATGTCAGAGCTTTGAGTTGTGTTGAGTTATTGGCAGTGAGGTGAGCATATCTGTCGTCAAACTAGTTTGACAGACTACAGGTGTGTGCGTGTGTGTGTTACGCAGGATGACATCTGAAACCTTCGTTCTGGAGGCGTCACTGAAGTCTCCAATTGCAAAGTCTTTCTCCTTCGCACTTCCGATCCGTCTCCGAGACGTTAAACCTCACTCCCCTGACTGGGCAGCGACAGTGACAGAGATAATGGGACTGGATTTGTTTTGGCAGCCGGGCGTCTGACACACGCGGAAACCCGTCACCATTGCTTAAGAGTCTCCAAACCCGACTGAGAATTCCCCACATCCACCCCCCACACACGGAAACCCAGAGATAGATTGTTGTACTGGAATGCGCTCTCTCTCCCCGCCCCCCACCCCCCACTCTCTCTCTCTCTCTCCCTGGAGGGACGCCCCCTGCTCACCTAATTCCGGAAAGTATTAGGAGTCGGATGGCAAGTGGGTGGGGTGGGGGGGAACCCAGAGTGTGCGTTGGGGTAACTGCTGGAATCTAACCAGCTAAACCCACACACAGCTTGGCCATCGAGAGAGAGAGAGAGCGCTGTCTGGTCAAGCTTTCCCGCTGCTTGTTCGGCTCGGATCAGCTACGGCTCATTCACAGGTTGAGGTCTTTTGCAAAGGATTTAAATGGCAAACGACAGGCAGTCGATGAGATGCAAAACCAAGTGATTGTAACCTGGGCCGAGTCAGCAATCAATACCAGCCCGGCTCAGTCACTCACTCTCTCGCCTCCGAGTCAGGACATCATAATTTCGAGGCCTCTCTTCCCACCCCCCCCAACCCACATACACACGCGTGAGGGAGAGAGAGAGAGCGCTGGGGGGGGAGAGAGAGAGCTGCATTGTTGGAGACTCCGTCCTTCGGAGGAGACGTTAACCCTCACTCACTCCCCATCTGTGTTCCTCTCGGGCGGGTGTTAAAGATCTCCCCCCGCGGGGCTGTCAGGGGGAAAGAGAAGGTAGATTCTCTCTCTCTCTCTCTCCCCCCGGTGTCCTGGCCGACAATCCCAGATTAAATCACTTGCTCATTTGCGGGGACGTCGCTATGAGCCAAATTGACTGCCCGCAAACCTCACAGTCACTACACTTTACAGTGAAATCCTGTGAAGGCTTTGAGACGTCTCCTCCCGATGCGAAAGGCGCTGCACCGAATGCTTGACACATCGAAGCCTGGGAGGGAGGGAGAGTAACAATGGCTTCACTTTGTGGAGAGCAGTAATTAAGTGATGTTGATAATCCTGAGAGTCAGTTACAAACAGCCTTTGTTGCAGTCACTAAACAGCCAGAGGGTTCAGTGTGCAGCAACCGACTGTGGAATGACTTAAGGTTCAGCCCTGCTCTGTCTGTGACTGTGTGTGAGGTAGTCTGTGTGTGGGTGTGTGATAGTGTGTGTGTGTGAGAGTCAGTGTGGGTGTGTGTGTGAGAGTCTGTGTGAAGCCAGTTGCACGCAGCAGTGTCCCATATGAACGGTCGTGACCAAATTATTATTTTTTACATTCTTTTTTTAAGGGTTTATTACCCCAGGAAACGTGATCAACTTAACAACCGGGTTCCTACTGATTGCTGGTAAACAGAGGCAGGTACGTGTGTGTGTGTGGAGTAAGGAAACTTGCCTAAGGTTTCGCCCTGATCTGACCTGCCTGGGAATCGAACCCGGGTCCTTTGGCATGCGAGGCGAGAGCTCTAACCACTGAGCTACAGGACTGCACAGAACACACCCACACAGACTATAAATTGCTCCTAGATATACTGATGAACTTCTGAAGCGATTGACAAGGTATTTCACAATACTGACTCAGTGCCTCATCACGTCATCGAGGCGTCTCAAAGTGCTTTGTGGGATTTCACTGCAAAGTGTAGTGACTGTGTGATTGTTTTCACCCATCTTGCCCCCTCCTCCCACTCGAGCTAGGGTTCCCGGTCAGTCGGGTCAGTCGGTCAGCAATGACAAGGGTTTTGAGACATCCCTGTGACGTGATGTGAAAACCGCTGTGTAAATTGTTGTTCTCAAAAGTCACCTGAAAATTGTTTGTGAGCCGGAAATGCCAGAGATTACTGAGTGACTGAAATAAGTGCGTGTCAGAGAGAGAGAGAGAGAGAGATTGATGGCGGGTGTGGGTCAAGGAGTTGCCCGCATCGCGACTGATTTCCGCACCAATAACTCACTGGTAACTAACAAACTAACACTTCACTGACTGACTTTCACACTCACATTAACACAGACTTTACTGTACAGGAAACGAGCGCAGATACGTCGCTGAGTGCAAACCGCTCGCCGAAAAAACACACAGTCACTCCACTTTACTGTCGAACGCCCGACTCAGTCACTTGCTCTCTATCCTCCGAGGTTGTGGGTTCAAGCCCCCCCCCCCCCATCTCGCAATGTTGGGGACCCTGAGCTCACTGAGGCTCTGGCTGCTGTTTTGGGGAGGACGTCGCTGGGCGCAAATTGGCCGCTCATTTTGCCCACAAAACCCACACTTTACAGTGAATCCTGTGAAGCGCTTTGACACGTCCTCTAATACGAGCACCGCATTTCACTATCTGAGCCCCGGGGGGACCGGGAAATGGGGACAAACGGTTTTAGCAATAAATATTAGCAACTTCCTCCTGATAAACAACAGGAAGTTGGTCTTCATTGAGTGTTGGAAAAAGGCTGAATGTCTAATTACCAGCGAGGGAGCGGACTGAGATACTGAGAGAGGTACCAGGCTCTGGGCAGAGAGGCTCATACAGGGAATAGAGAGAGAGAAGGGGAGAGAATGGGGGAGAGAGAGAGACGGGGGTGGGGGGTGCGGGGAGAGAGAAAGAGAGAGACGGGGTGGTGGGGAGAGAGGGGAGACAGAAAGATAAAGGAAGACAAAGAGAGAAAGAAAAACGAGAGAGAGAGAGAAAGGAAGAGCGGGCGAGAGAGAGAGAGTGAGAGAAAGCAAGAAAGACAGAGAGAGAGAGAGAGAGAGAAAGAAAGTTTGTGAGTGAGTGAGCGAGTGAAGTTGAAGGCCTGTGTCTCTGCCCCCAGCGAGCGAGGGAGTGAGGGTCTGAGCGGCTACAGTGCAGACGGTAGAGTCAGGGTTGACTTACTCCTGTGCCCGTGGCTGCCATCAATCTCGGTGTTGATGCTCAGTTTGTCTCGAGGTCCCAATGATCAGCCTCCGCTCCGCTCCGCTCTGCCTTCTCCTCTCGTCTCGTCTCTCAGTCACTCGCACACAAACTTCCTGCTAAAACTTTGCTATCCTCACTCTTTTCACGGCACTTCCTGGTTTTGTCCAGAGCTGAAGGTTATCACAGTCCTGTAACTGCTGTTAACCCTCTCTCTGCCCCGCTCTCTCTCTCTCTCTCCCTCCCTCTCTCTCACTCACTCACTCATTCCGTCACTCACTGACTCACTCACCCGCACACTCGTCCAGAAGTCCACGCTCTCAACGATAATAATAACAACAACAATCTGACCCGGCGCATTATCACGTTGTTGAGACGTCTCAAAGCGCTTCACAGGGTATGTTGCAAAGTGTAGTGACTGTAGTGACCAATGGCACGCACAGCGACGTCCCCACAAAGTCGTGGATTGACGACCGAGTTGTTTTTTTTTACTATTTCAAGGGCTTATTTTGCATAGAAAGCGATCGGCCAATCGACTTAACAACCGAGCTCCCACTTGCTGCCGGTAAACAAGAGCCGTGCCTGGGTGCGAGGAGTAAGGAGACTGGCCCGAGGTTTGGCCCCGAGCCACCCGGGGAATCGAACCCGGGTCCTCTCGCCGTGTAGGGTGTAGTGACTGTGTGTTTTCGCAGGCGACGTCCCGGCGGACGACGCCGTGGAGCGAGCGAGCGATTTTATTTGGGGGGGGCCATTGTCGGACAGGACACCGGGGGAGAGAGAGAGAAAGAGAGCGAGAGAGAGAGAGGGAGAAACTCCCTTCTCTTTTCCCGGGAGGGGGAAGGGGTGGGGGGGTATATCTGGGACGTCGCTGGTGTAAACCGGCCGCCCGGGTGGGGAGGGTGGGGGGGCGGGGTTCGCCCGCAAACACACAGTCACTACGCTTGACGGCGAAATCCCGCGTCGCGACGCCGCGGAAAGTGCAGTGACTGTGCGTTCTGCGGGCGAAGACGGTTTGGGGCACGAAAAGTGCGAAAAGTCGGGGGATTTGAAGAGGTTTTTCTGTTTTCAGGGGTTTCCCTCCGTAATCCCTCCAAACCCCAAAACAATAATAAATTGGTCATTTTCAACCCACGACTGTCTGTGGGACATCGCTGTGCGCCATCGGCCGCCGCGTTCGCCCACAAATATACAGTCACTTCACTTCACAGTGTGTTCTGTGAAGCGCTTTGGGACGTTGAGAAGACGTGAATAGCGCTCTATCAAATACGAGGATTGTTATTATATTATTATTTTTTGAGTGTTTTTGAACCCATGTGAAGCAGCAGCTGGTGGGGGGGGGGGGGTGTGGGGGGGGGAGAGGGGGAGGTGTTTACGACAGGCGGACCTGGTTTGCGGCAGTGAGGCAGTGGCCAGAGATCCCGAGTCACAGTTTGCGGCAGTGAGTGAGTGAGTGAGAGAGAGAGAGAGAGAGGCGCTGAGGACGTGGGAGACAGAGCCCGAAACTGACTGGAAGCCGAGGACATGCCGAGGGCGGGTTAGTGCCGACCCCCACCCCCACACCCTCACCCCCACACCCCCCTCACCCCCACCCTCACCCCCTCACCCCCACCCTCACCCCCTCACCCCCACCCCCACCCTCACCCCCACCCCTCCCCTCACCCCCCCACCCCCACACCCTCACCCCTCACCCCCTCACCCTCACCCTCACCCCCCACCCTCACCCCCTCACCCTCACCCCCCCCTCCACCCCCACCCCCCACCCCTCACCTCCACCCTCACCCCCTCACCCTCACCCTCACCCCCTCACCCCCACCCTCACCCCTCACCCCCCACCCCCTCACCCCACCCCCTCACCCCCTCACCCTCACCCTCACCCTCACACCCTCACACCTCACCCCCACCCTCACACCTCACCCCCACACCCCACCCCTCACCTCACCCTCACCCCCACCCTCACCCCACCCTCACACCCCACCCCCCTCACCCTCACCCCCACCCCACCCCTCACCCCACCTCCACCCCTCACCCACCTCACCCTCACCCCCCCATCTCTCCTCTGACCCTCTCCCTCTCCCCCCCAGAGCACAGCTGTGTGAGGGGGTGAGGGAGCAGTGGCTGTTTGTGTAAGACCCACTCACTGTGTACTTTGTTGCCTCACTTCTGTACCAGGAATTGTTTGTCGACAGTTCAAAGTGAGCAGCGGGAGGATATCGGGGCCATTTTACAATGATAATAACTCCGGGGTTTGACCCGGCGCCTCATCCCGTCGTCGAGACGTCTCAAAGCGCTTCACAGGACACACCGTAACGTGTAGCGACTGTGTGTTTTGTGGGTGAAACGCGGCAGCCGATTGCGCACATCGTCGTCCCCACAAACTGGCGGAATTGAGTGACCGTATTATTATTATTATTATTATCATTATTCCTCTCAGGGGGTGAGAGGCGCAGTGCGGGCAAGGAGGCGAAGAAGGCGAGGAGCGAGACGGGGGAGGAAGAGAAAAGTAAAATGAAGAGGATTTTCGGGTTCGAGTTGTCTGACCTGCAGAGCTGGCAGCGGTGTGTGTGTTTGCTGAACCGCCCAACAGACCCCGCCTCGCTGGGCATCTTCAGAACGTTGTTTGGTGAGTGTTGGTCTCTGTCCCGTACAACAACAACAACAACAGCAATAACAACAACAACAGCAATAACAACAGAGGCAACAACAATATCAGCTTACATGTATATAGACGGGATAAGGTGCGATATCAAATGCCCGGATTATTATTATTATTGGGAGTCGCTGTGACTGTACGTGGGAACCACACATGTGCTGCTCTCTTGTGTGTTCGGCAGGTGTTGGGATTAACATGGACACACCTGCTCAGATCAGTGCCTTTCCCAGTCTGTGGCCTCCAGCGGGAGAAAGACTGAGCTGGAGGGAGAGGGAGGGAGAGCGGGAGAGAGGGTGGGGGGCTTGAGACACCAGCCCTATGTGTATGTGTGTCAGCCAGGCTCAGTCGTACCGTACTCTCGCCTCGAGTGAGTCAGAAGGTGTGTGGGTTCGATCCCCCACGTCGCGGGGAGAGAGAGAGAGAGAGAGAGCGTCCTTCGTGTGAGACATTAAACTCTCACTCTCCATCTGTGCCCTGTCTAGATGAACGTTAGATGAAAGGTTGAGAGGAAAGGACAGAGACTCTGGGCAGGGAAGTGGGTAGAGGCGAGGCTCCAGATGTGGGTTTTGGGGTTTTTCAGTAGATCCTCAATGTAAAAATAGCACAGTCCAGAACATGGCTGCCTTTTGTTTATTGTGCTGTGGATATTGGTGAGAGGCCAGGAATTCTGGTCAGGACCACAGGCTGGGGGGTTGGGGGTGGCGGCGTCAGAGCCGCCCAAATTCCCCCGAATTCTGTCTGCCCTTAGCCTCGAGAACCTCTTTTTTTCTTATAAATGCAACGTTGGTGCAGAATTTCTCAATTGGTAGTAATAACGCTTGGATTCCATGTCGTGCCGAACACATCACGAGGATGTCCCAAAGCGCTTTGCAGGACCTTAATCGAGCGTCAAGTGTAGTGACTGACTGTGCATTTTGTGAACAATGCGGTGCTTTCTCTCTCGCTCTCCCCAGCACTGCGCTATAGCGTCAGCCTGTACTGTGAGCTCAGAACCCACAATTTCCTGACTTGGAGGCGAGAGAGAGAGAAAGAGAAAGAGAGAAAGAGAAAGAGAGAGACTGAGCCAGGAAAATCACAGTATGTAGGAGACTCTCTCTAGAATAAAAGACAGAATTTCCGAGGGGGTAAATCTGTCCGACTGGGATGAAAGCTCCACAGGGAACGTTGTGTAAATTGGAATCAGGTCGACATCAAAGCTGTGTCGAGGTTTCAGCCACGTGTCGGTCTGTGTGAAGGTGGCAAATGTGGCTTTCATTACTTTTCCCATGAGGTGTGAGCTGTGTGGTTCGACTCCAACAGTTAACACCCCCAACTCAACGCACACACTGGCCTCCCCCCCCCCCCCCCCCCAAGGCTGGCGGGTCTGCTATTCTCCAGGGCACTGCTGATGGCCCGACTGACCGGCAGGACAGTCGTGGATTGAGTGACCAAATTATTTTTTTTAATCGTATATAGAAAATATAATCCGCGAGTGTGTGATCCCTCGAGTCTCCACAACCCTCACCCAGTGAGTAGCTTTGAAGCTTGGGCCACTGATGTTTTACAGGCAAACATGAAGCAGCTGATCCTGGCCAACAAATACCTGGGACGAAGAACAGCTAATTCATTCTTTTATATGTTTATGTATAGTTGGGAATTCAGATGGTGGGGGGAGGATTACCCTGGCACCGGGAGGAATTTCCGGCTTCGCTCTCTTCCAAACAGAACTGCACGGAAACCTTTAAACTGTTTGATCCGGGAGAGAGGTTAGAAACAGAGGAGAGTGGGGGGGGGTCGGCTTTACTGTTAACTCCCCCCCACCCACCACCACCACATCAATTCTTAAACCCCTCCTGATCCCTACACCCGACTCGGATCCCAAACCCAACTGTCCAGCACCTTGGGACGTCCTCCCGACGTGAGAGGCGCCATGAGAATGTCATTTGTTGTTGTTGTTGAGGGGCGGGGCTGGGGGTGAAGGCGGGGCTGGGGGAGGGGTTGGAGGCTGGGGTGGAATTAGGGCGGGGGGGGGGGCAGTGTTGTGGGCGGGGCTAACGCGGTGCGGGGGCGGGGCTAGTGTTGTGGGCGTGGCTAGCGCTGTGGGGGCAGGGCTAGTGTTGTGGGCGTGGCTAACGCTGTGTGGGGGCGTGGCTAACGCTGTGTGGGGGCGGAACTAGTGTTGTGGGCGTGGCTAACGCTGTGTGGGGGCGGGACTCGTGTTGTGGGCGTGGCTAACGCTGTGTGGGGGCGGGGCTAACGCTGTGTGGGGGCGGGACTAGTGTTGTGGGCGTGGCTAACGCTGTGTGTGGGCGTGGCTAGCGCTGTGTGAGGGCGGGACTCGTGTTGTGGGCGTGGCTAACGCTGTGTGGGGGCGTGGCTAACGCTGTGTGGGGGCGTGGCTAACGCTGTGTGGGGGCAGGGCTGCTGATGGTGATTGACATCCCTCAGGAGCGCGGCCTCAGTTTTCTCGATCACAGATATTACGATCAATTGATCATTTGCCGTTTCCCGCTCTTCAACTTCCTGAGGCCTCTCCCCCTCGACTGGATGTACGTCGTCTTCGTGGTCATGTGGCTCGGTAAGACCCTCCCCCGCCCCCACAGCCCCGCCCCGACAGCCCCGCCCCGACAGCCCCGCCCCTGCCCTGCACCCACAGCCCCACAGCCCCTGCACCCACAGCTCCGCCCCACAGCCCCGCCCTGTAATACCTCCCCCCCCCCCCCCCGGCGTGTCCAGTGTGCGATAGTTGCGTGTGTATGTACTGACAGGAGCGCTGGGGGTGATGCTGGGCTGGCGTGTGGCTAGCGTGTGCCAGGCGTGTGACGTGTGTATGTACTGACGAGCGCTGGGGGTGATGCTGGGCTGGAGTGTGGCTCGCGTGTGCCAGGCGTGTGACGTGTGTATGTACTGACAGGAGCGCTGGGGGTGATGCTGGGCCTGTGCTACAGGCTCAGTTGCCTGATGTTCATGACCACTTACTGGTACGTGTTGCTGCTGGACAAGACGTCCTGGAACAACCACTCCTACCTTTACGGCCTGATAGCCTTCCAGCTCTGCTTCATGGACGCCAATCGCTACTGGTGAGGGGGGCAGGGGGCGTCGCGATGTGGGGGGGTTACGGGGGGCAGGTTACAGGGGGAGAGGGCTGGGCCGGACGCTGCTGGTGAGGCGGGGGGAGGAGCAGTAGGGGTTGGGCAAGGGGTGGCGAGGGGGTGTGGTAGAGCCTGGGACGGGGTAGTCTAGTGATGGGCGCTGCAACATCTGTCTCTAACCCTCTCTCTCTCTCGCTCCCTCTCTCGCTCCAACTCTAACCCCCTCTCCCGTTCTCTCTCTCTCTATCCCCCCCCCCCCTCCCCCCCCCTCTCTCTCTCTCTCTCTCTCTCTCACCAGGTCTCTGGACGGACTCAGAAACCCGAAGAAGCGGAATGTGGAGGTACCTCTGTGGAACTACACGGTCTTGAGAACTCAGGTCAGTCCACAGCCCCTCCCCCAACCCACAGCCCCTCCCCCAACCCACAGCCCCTCCCCCAACCCACAGCCCCCCCCCAACCCACAGCCCCCCCACAGCCCCCCCCCAACCCACAGCCCCTCCCCAACCCACAGCCCCTCCCCCAACCCACAGCCCCTCCCCCAACCCACAGCCCCTCCTCCAACCCACAGCCCCTCCCTCAGCCCTGCCCCCACAATCCCCAGCCCCTCCCCTAATCCCAGCCCTGTCTCTCTTGGTATTATTTAATTATTAGCCTTATCAACAGTAATTATTATTATTTTATTTATTATTAATAACTATTGTTAGTATTGATTACTGTTACTGCTTTTTAATCATTTATTTATTGTTATTAATTAATTATTATTATTAATTGTTACAGATATTTATTGTGTATTTTCTGGCCGGTGTGAAGAAGTTGGATGCCGATTGGGTGGAAGGATATTCTATGAACCACCTGGCTTCCCATTGGCTGTTTGATCCCTTCAAGTCAGTCCTGGGGGAGGGGGTGGGGGGTCCTGTCTGTGTGTGTGTCTGTGTGTGTGTCTGTGTGTGTGTGTGTCTGTGTGTGTGTGTGTGTCTGTGTGTGTCTGTGTGTGTGTGTGTGTCTGTGTGTGTGTCTGTGTCTGTGTGTGTCTGTGTGTGTGTGTGTGTGTGTGTGTGTGTCTGTGTGTGTGTGTGTGTGTGTGTCTGTCTGTGTCTGTGTGTGTGTGTGTGTCTGTGTGTGTGTGTGTGTATAATTTGATATCACATCATCGCGACATCTCAAAGTGTTTCATAGAATATTGTAAAGGGGATTGACTGTGTGTTTTGTGGGCAAAATCTCTCCCTCTCTCTCTCACACACTCTCTCCCCCCCCCCCCCACTCCTCCAGGCATGTGCTGACGGAGGAGAAGGTCAGTTTGCTGGTGGTCCACGGTGGGGGTTTGATGCTCGACCTCTCGGCTGGTTTCCTGCTTTTCTTCGATGTGACTCGTCCCTACGCCATTGTCTTTGTCACCTATTTCCACAGTATGAACTCGCAACTCTTCAGTATAGGTGGGTCATAGTTTCTCACTCCCCCCTCGATCCCCCCTTCATCTCCCCTTCATCCCCTTGCTCCTCACGAGAGAGAGAGAAAGAGTGCACATCAATCACAACAAATTACTGAGGTTCCTTATCAGGTTGTTTTTGCCCAGTCCGAGCGTCTGACACACGGAAACCCATCACCATGTCTCCAAACCAAGCTGAGAATTCCCCACATCCCACCTACACATGGAATTCCCAGAGATAGATTGTTAGAATGGGATGCGCTCTCTCTCTCTCTCTCTCTCTCTGTCCCCCTGGAGGGATGCATCTTGCTTACCTAATTCCGGAGAGTATTAGGCACAGGTTGGCAAGAGCCAAGGCTTGGGAGGGAAGCCCAGAGTGTGTATTGGGGTAATTGCTGGAGTTTAACTGATCAGTTGACCAGCTCCAGTTTGCTTTACCCGATGTCTCCGTGTTTTGTGGTTTTGCAGGAATGTTCGCTTACACCATGTTGGCCACCTCCCCGCTGTTCTGCTATCCCGACTGGCCCCGAGCCATAATCCGGAGATTCCCAGGGTTCCTGAGGGCTGTGGCCCCCCTGACGGAGCTCCCCCAGCGGAGCCCGAGCTGTGTTTACCCCCAACAGGACCCCCAGGCCAGGGACAAACGGAAAAGCCGGAGAGAGAATCCACTCAGCCTCCGGCACAAGATGGGAGCCATCTTCACCATCGTTTACCTGTTGGAACAATTCTTCCTCCCGTACTCGCACTTCATCACTCAGGTAAACAACAAGAAGATAAACAACATAAACATAAACAATGGCGACAACTGGTTAGACCACTCGCCTCGCAACGAGAGGACCTGGGTTCGACTTGTGGTCAGGTTTCCTTACTCAAATGCAGGCGGACGTGGAGAGAGTGACTGGGATTTATTTGTTTTCAGGGTTACAATAACTGGACCAATGGGCTCTATGGCTACTCGTGGGACATGATGGTCCATTCCCGGTCCCACCAACACGTCAAAATCACCTACAGGGACGGGGTGACCGGGGAGGTGGGCTACCTCAACCCGGGGGTCAGTATATTTACCCTTAAAATCAGCCTCCACTTTCAGCACTGTAACATCAGTCAGTCAGCCCGGCTCAGTGTGTGTCAGCCCGGCTCAGTGTGTGTCAGTCTGGCTCAGTGTGTGCATTTACACAGCGCCCCTTATGCAATTCACGCTTATAAATCACTGGACGTCCTCCCGCCGTGAAAGGCGCTAAATACCAATGTAATTTTGTTGTAGCGTCTCAGGGCGCTTGACAGTGGTGGAGCAGAGAAAGGTCTTCAGGCGCGACCTGAAGATGGGGAGGGAGGGGGATAGATGGAGAGTGTTCCAGAGTTTCGGGGCGCAGAGGCTGAAAGCGCGGCCACCGATGGTGGAGCGGAGAGGACGAGGGACAAGGAGGCTGGAGCCAGTTGAGGTCACCTATGAACCTTGTGGCCTGGGTGACAGTTGTGGGCACAGAGATTGAGAGACACAGAGAGAGTGAGAGAGACACACAGTGTATCCCGTTGACAGGTGTGGACACTGAGCCGCCGCTGGAAGGACCATGCGGACATGTTGAAGCAGTACTCTGCCTGTCTGGCCTCCCAGCTCCAGCATTACAACATCTCTCAGCCACACATCTACTTCGATATCTGGGTCTCCATCAACGAGAGGTTCCAACAGAGGTGAGGGTCGGTGTGTGTGTCACTGTGTGTCACTGTGTGTGTGGTGTCACTGAATAAACGCTCTGAGACACTACCCCACGTGAAGGGCGCTGTATAAATGCAAGTTGTTGTTGAATGGTGAGTGAGCTGTGAGTACTGAGTTGTCATTTGCGAGAGTGAATTCTGTGAGTCTTTTTAAGTCTGAAAGTGAGTGTGTGCGCTGTGTGAGTGTGCAGTGCTGATCCAGTGTGTTCCTTCCCTCCCTCTCCCACACCCCCCCACCCCAGGCTGTTTGACCCGCGGGTGGATGTGGTCGCGGCTGCCTGGTCACCATTCAGGAGGACGGACTGGCTGATGCCGCTGCTCGTGGACCTGTCGCCGTGGAGACACAAGTTTGATGAGATCGAGAAATCACTGGACAACAGCACTGATGTGGTCTTCATCGCAGACTTCCCAGGTACCTCACACGGGGGCTGCGTGTGTGTGTCTGTGTGTGTGTGTCTGTCTCAGCGTGTGTCTGTCTGTCTTAGCGTGTGTCTGTGTATGTCTGTCTTGTGTATGTGTCCGTGTCTTTATGTGTATGTCTGTGTATGTATGTGTGTGTATCTGTCTGTGTGTGAATGTATGTCTGTGTATATCTGTGTGTATGTGAATGTGTGTCTGTTTATATGTGTCTATATGTGTGTATCTGTGTGTCCTGTGTATATGTGTCTGTGTGGTGTGTGTGTCTGTGTGTGTGAGCCCAGTCAATACCCCCAGTGCAGCCCGCAGTTGTCTCTGAGCCCACAGTCTGAGCTGACACTACGACGACGACTTGTGTTTTCACTGCCCGGTGTTGCTGTGCTGCAGGTTTGCACCTGGAGAACTTTGTGAGCGAGGATCTGGGCAACACGAGTATCCAGGTGCTGCAGGGGGAGGTGGCCGTGGAGATCGTGGCCGAAAACAGAAACTACAGCCTGAGAGAAGGCGACAAAATGCAGGTCAGACATTCCCGGTCTCTCCTGTTAATGTTACGTCGGGAGTCCCTGTATTGTAAGTGGTATCGCATCGCTCATGCTCTAACCACTACACTACAGGGCGAGACCCTAGGCAAGTTTCTCTACATAACATAACATGTAGGAGCAGGAGGAGGCCATTCAGCCCTTCGAGCCTCTGCCCCGCCATTCAATCATGGCTGATCTTCTAATCTAACTCCAGCTAATAACCTGACGCTGCCTTATCCCCATATCCCTTAATCCCTTTTGCAATAAGAAATCTATCTCAGTCTTGAATATGTTCAAGGACTGAGCGTCAACAGCCCTTTGGGGTAGTAAGTTCCATACATTCACTGCCCTTTGAGTGAAGAAGTTCTTCCTCAACTCAGTGCGAAAGGGTTGGCCTCTGATTTTAAGGTTGTGACCCCTGGTTTTAGTTTCTCCAACCGGGGGACACAATCTCCCACTATCCACTCTATCATGGCCTTTGATGATGATCATGTCCTTTTACTTCACACACACACACACACGTTTGGTTGAAGAGGAAGGTCTTGAGACGGGCCTGGAAGGAAGGGAGGGAGACAAGGGACTGGGATGCAGTTCCAGAGGGTGGGGGCAGAGAGACTGAAGGCCCGACCGCCGATGGTGGGGGGGATGCGGAGCAGGTCAGATAAACTCTCTCCTCTGGGGGATGGTGAGCCAGGTAAGGATGGGGGAGTGGGTGGTGGCGGGGGGGGTCATAGGGACACAGAGCCTGGGGGAGGGGGGTGTGAAGGGTCATGGAGTTTGTGGGGGCTGTAACCTGGCCTGTTGTGTTCTAGCTGCCCGCAGGAGACTATCACTATGTGTACACGGTGTCGGAGGAGCCCTCCTGTTACATGTATTTGTACGTGAACACCACAATGATTCAGTTTGAGCAGAATTATACACGTCTGGCGGAGCTACAGGAGAGGCTGAGGAACGGGACAGGTGAGAACACTAGTGGTGGGAGGGGTATGTATACGTGCGTGTGTACGTGTGCATGTGTATGTGTATACACACGATCTGGTCTCTGCATTTTCCTCCCCTGATAAAGGGATTGGACAGAGCAACTGCAGAGGAACGATTTCCTATTTTGTGGAATCCAGAACAAGGGACTTCGCCTTAAAATTAATAAGAATAATCTTGGCATTTGACCCGGCGCCTCATCACGTCTTCGAGACATCTCAAAGCGCTTCACAGGATACACTGTAAAGTGTAGTGACTGTGTACTTTGTGGGCGAAAAGTGGCAGCCAATTGTGCCCAGCGACGTCTTCCCACATCTGTATTAAGTGAAACGCTTTGAGACGTCTCAACAACATGACAAGGCGCTGTCTCAGACATAAGGATTATTATTTTTATTAAGTCAAGGGATTATGGGGCAAATGCAGGTAACTGGAGTTGAGGTGCAGATCAGCCATGATCCGAAGGGGGGGGGAGATGGGGGCTAACCTTCGGGCTGCTGAGGGTCGATTTGAGAAATGTCTGTGGGCAGTGACTGGTTGGGCTGCTGTAAGGATTATTATTGTTGTTGTTGCTGAGGGCTGAGCTCTGGGCAGTGCCTGAGCTGGGCTCGGTGCTGACGCTGGTGACTGTGCTGGTTACAGAGCCGGAGGAGATGGACGCTGAGCTGCGGCAGGTGCTGAACGGCAATGCCGAGGGCCTGAACATCACTGACCCGGTGCTGGCCGCCTTCGCCCAGCGGCAGAGGAGACTGGAGGAGCACGAGAAGAGGAGGAACAGCACAGTTCTGGAGCGGTTCCGGCGATTCACGCTCAGAAAGTACATGATCTTCCGCAGGAGGTGAGGACATAGTGGAGTCCGCAGCTCAGAGGTTACAGCCCTCGCCTCGCAAGCGAGAGACCGGGGTTTGATTCCTGGGCAAAGCAAAATCTTAGCGGTCAGTAGGAACCTGTTTGTTAAGTCGATTGTCGGATCGCTTTTCCGGGGGTAACAATCCCACCAAAAAATATATAATAGTAATTTGGTCACTCCATCCCCGACTGCTTGTGGGACACTGCTGTGCACAATTGGCTATCGTGTTTCACCCACAAAACACAGTCACTATACTACTGCTTTGAGACGTCTCGAAGACGTGATAATATATTATAGGGATTATAATAATTATTAGGTTCTTGGGCTGGTGTGAGATTTAGATGATGAGATGATTTATACAGATCAGACGTGTGTGTGTGTGTTTTACTGTGTTACTAACAGCTCCATTATCTCCCCCCACCCCCAGTATCCTCATGACCAGCTATGCCATCAGGAACCTGGTGTTGGGCCAACCCTCGCTGGAGCAGTTGTCCCTGGAATATGATTACGCCAATATGAAGTTTCATGAAGATACCGAAACCCCCTCCTCATCACAGGGGGCAGAGCAACTAGTCCCAGAGGGGAGGGTCGAGCTGTGACCACCCCCCCCCCACCCACCACCCCGAGCCGGGCCTCAGCAACCGATGGTAACACACTTAAGACCTCAGACTCTTTCCAAGTCAATTACATTCCAGTCTGTGCTGTGTCTATTCCAGCACCAACACACACTACATTCTCTCTTTTTCTCTTCCCGCCCCACCCCCCCACCTCGCTTCCCTTCTCCCCTCCCAACACTGTGCTCACAACCCACCACCAGCAACATACTCTCCCCCCACCCCTCCTCACCTCCTCTCTCCCCCTCCCCACGCTTTTATTTGGCTGTTCTCAACAGGCTGGAATCTCAGCTTTGCAGGACATATTGGAGAGAAAGGTGTGTCAGCCCCCTCCCCCCCATACGATGATCAGTGTTAAAAGCAGCAGCTGACGTGCAAAAGTATTTTCGTATCAGCCAATTTTGTTTGACCAAATGAAGCTTTATATAAAACAAAACCATTTAATGGATTCCCAGAGTTGGTTTCGATTTGCCGCGCACCTCGTTCTCTCAGATTTTCTAACTCTTTCTAACAATGATTTAATTATAATATTAATCCTCGCAGTTCACACAGCGCCTTACTACATTGTTCAGACGCTACAAAGCCATCCGCCAATCGACTAACTACTGGGTTCCTACTTATTTCTGGGTAAATAGAAGTGTGTGTGTCCGTGTGGAGTCAGGAAACTTGCCTAAGGTTTTGCACTGCTCAGGAATTCATTCCCAAACACGGACAAGAGATCATGAACTGGACAAGAGATCTCTTTGGAACAGCCTGAAAACAATACACTTTTTGTATGAAAACAACAATTTTTTTAAAGCTACGTTTCGGAACATATCTCGCAATGTCTTTAATTTTCCCACTGGTGGAGAAATCATCCACAAGGTAAACATGGGCCCTGGCACAGTATAACTGTATAACACAGACACAAACATCCTCCATCACTGTGCTCCCCGGCTTGGGCTAACCAGCCACTCCCTGTCCTGGCAGCAGTCAAACACAGGCAGCATTTGGTTTCTTGCCCAGTCTGACACACACACAAACCCGTCACCATGATTAAGAGTCTCCACAGCAAGCGGAGAATTCCCCACATCTCACCTACACATGGAAGTCCCAGAGATAGATTGTTGGAATGGGACACTCTCCCCCTCTCTCTCCCTGGAGGGACGCATCCTACTTACCTAATTCTGGAGAGTATTAGGCGCAGGTTGGCGAGAGCCAAGGCTTGGGGTTCAGTGGGGAAACTGCTGGATTCTAACCACATAACTTGCCATTGACGGGAGAGAGAGGACAAAACCAGTGGAGGTTTGATCTGGAGAATGAGAGAATTCCAGCTCTCTCTACACTGCAGCTATCGATGGTTACGGTAGAAGGGGGTCACGTAGATATATGTAGCGTGTTGAGGAGTTGATAGTGCCAGGAGTACATGCCTGTGTCTTGTGGGACCAACGCCTCCCTCTGTTCCAGCTTGCCAGCCCCCTCTGAGAGAGTTTATATACAGTCAGTCTGAGGGTCTCCGTGTGTGGGGTCTCGGAGCTGAAGGGGCGTGTGCTGCTCAGGCTCCTTTTTCACGAGGCTGCCCCTCATCACTGTCCTCACGTCTCTTCCAGATCTGTTAATAACCACACGTTAAGCTCTTTCATGTCACGTTTGACTTAAAATAATCAGCCACCCACTCGCACACCCACATTTACACAGATTTTACCAACGAAATAGGCCTCCGCGTGTTAAGCTCTATAACAACAATAATCCTTGCGTTTGATACAGCGCCTTGTCACGCCGTTGAGACATCTCAACACACTTCACAGAATATACTGTAAATTGTAGTGACTGGGTGTTTTGTGGCCGAAAAATGGCACCAAACGGTGCACAGCAGTGTCCCGGAGGCGTGGATTGAGTGACCAAATTATTATTATTATTTTTTTGAAGGGATTATTACCCCCAGAAAGCGATTCACCAATCGTCTAACAACAGGGTTAGGGTTACTTATTGCTAGATAAACAGCGGAGAGTGTGTGGAGTAAGGAAACTTGTCTCAGGTTTCGCTCTGCCCGGGAATCGAACCCAGGTCCTGTTGTTTGCGAGGCGAGCGCTTTAACCACTGAGGTACAGGACGCTACACACAGCAGCAGAAAGGCTACGGTGTTAATCACTTACCTGGATGTAGGCCTCGGACAGTGTGATCATCTGGGGTAAGATGTCGATCACCTGCAGATCCTGGAGCTCGTACCACTTCCCTGTGCCCTGTGACAGATCAGCTCAGGGTTAGCACAGGCTATCGACTAACACAGACACCGATTCTGTGCTGTACCTCCTCTCCTGCTATAACAACTGTCCCTCTATCAGCTCTTTCTCGCTAAATAATTTCTCTATTTTTGTCTCTAAATAAATAATCGTGTTTTCAGTCACTATGCCCAGAAGTTTGGGATCCTTCCCCCAATCCCTCCGCTTTGACCCCCTCCTTCCCCATCTTCAGGTAGTGCCTGAAAACCTTTATCTTCAACTGCGCCTACGGTTGCCCTGGCTCAGGGTCGTGTTCCGCCACTGTCACACGCTCTGGGATTCCACCCGGTGTGAGGGCGACTGTACATGTACACACTGTGGCTGTACTACACACTACCCGGTGTGAGGGGAACTGTACATGTACACACTGTGGCTGTACTACACACTACCCGGTGTGAGGGGGACTGTGGACATGTACACACTGTGGCTGCACTACACACTACCCTGTGTGAGGGGGACTGTACATGTACACACTGTGGCTGTACTCGCACGCTATCCTGTGTGAGGGTGTACACGTAGACACGGCTGTACTCACGTGATGAAGCACATGCACACGGTAAGCGCCTTCTCCTGGTTTCCCATCGTGCACCACGTTGGCGATCAGGTCATAGGTCGTGTGTTTGTGAGCCGCCTGGACTTCCTCTGACAGGTACTCTCTCAGGTCAACATTCCTGTAACACAGACTGTCATTAGCAGAGCTCACTGAGGGACATCTCTCTCTCTCTCTCTCTCTCGCACACACAGCCATCACACACACACTCGCACACAGCCATCAGCACAGACACACACACACAGCCCCCCACCACCACCGACAACCAGGCTAAATTGAGGTGCGCCCCCCCCCATTAAACACAAGCTGGGAACAGGGGTCAGAGCTCAGGATCCCAACCTGAGCTGCAATCAGTCACATCCAGCGCCTTGGAACGTCCTCCTGACAGGAGGCTCTGTGTAATGTCATGTTGTGTCGTCTGTTGTCACTTACGTGATGGGGAAGTTGACGATGGTGGGATTCTTCTCCACGAAGAAGTTGTTCTTGGTGAAGCGCTTGATGTAGAAGATCAGGTACGGAGGCAGTTTCGTCAACTGGAACCTCTTCAGGAAGTTCTCCTTGTAGGTTTTGTATTCCTGGCCAAACAGCATAGTTCCTGTCAGCCTCCACAGCCACTCCCCCCAACCCCAGGCACACAGTAACACACTGTACCCCAACCCCAGGCACACAGTAACACACTGCATCCAGGGAATATCCCCACTGTTCCCTTCAGCTAACATTTCCAAGGATGACACACACTGAGCCGAGCTCACACACACACACACACTGAGCAGAGAGGAGGCTCCTACCTTTTCGGTGATGCCGTTGAATTTTGCCAGAATGTTGAACAGCGGCACTTGGGGGATAATGAGCTGCTCTTTTTCGTCCTTGTACAGAGGGGCTGTGGGCAGGTCCAGGGTCAGGTACAGAAACGTAGACTCTGTCATCGTCTCCTTAAACTCCTCCGTCTCCAGCAACTGTTCCTTCTCCTCGGGCGTCTGGTGTGAGGTGAGGAAGTGAGGAGACGAGCGAAACATGGCAGCCAATTGCGCACAGCAGTGTCACATACAGCTGTTGTTACTACCTGGGGGATTGTCGGCCAGGACACGGGAGAGAGAGATAGAGAGAGAGAAACTCCCTTCTCTTTTCGAATAGCGCTGCGGGAGATCTTTAACATCCTCCCGAACAGGCAGATGAGACAACTACAACAGGGAGACAGGAACTGGGTTTCATGTGTCACCTCAAGGACAGAATGCTCGGCGTGGCTTGGAAATTTACACGAGGTACAAACCCTCTAGGAAGGGCAGAGAGAGAGAGAGAGAGAGGGAACAAAACAGAGGGCACTAACCAGGTCAGGAGGAGGCAGCTTTTTGGAAAATATCCGCATGGATCCCTGGAAAACCCCGTTGATAATCGCTGGATACGAAGGACGAGATTCCAAGGTTAGAGCCACTCACAGACAAAATCAGCAAAGCTCACACAGCGACACACTGAGCTCCATCACCATCAGTACCAGAGACAGCTCACATTGATAATTACAATAATAATCCTTGCATTTGATATCGTGTCTAATAAGGTACTTTCTCCAAATGTCCATCGTGAGATGTGGACAGTCAGTGTCAGCAACAACAGCAGCAACTTACATTTACACGGTGCCTTTCACTTGGTGCAGCGTCTTAACAGTGATGGAGATTCATGTCAGCCGGGGGAGGGGGGAGGTGAGGAAGCATGGTCGAACCCCTTCGCCTCGCCCCTCCCTCGCCTCCTTCAAGACCCTTCTCAAAACCCTCCTCTTCGATCACCCTCCTACCCCCACCTTCCCTGCCCTCCACCCCTCCTGATCCCAACCCCCAGCTCGGGTCCAAATCCCTGACTCTCCAGAGCCTTGGGACGTCCTTGTGAAAGCTGCCGTGTAAATGGTTGGTTGTTGTTAGGAAGACAGCAGGGCACAAGCATCACTTACTCTTCTTCTTCTTGCTCCCGCCCAGCGCCATGTGCAGCGCATTCAGGAACCAGGACAGGAAATCCACAGCATCACCTGGGAAGGCAAAGACACACGTTACAGTGTGAGAAACACAGACACAGCGACACACAGGTTCACTGCACACACAGAAACAGTGACACACACACACAAGTGACAGACAGAGTGACACACACACTCTCAGACCAACACACTCTCACACTCACAGACACATAGATACAGACACACTGCACACACACACACTCTCACACAGACACTGCACACGCACACACACTCTCGCACACAGACGCACACTCTCTCACACACACATTCTCTCTTACAGACCTTGCTTGGTGATCTGGAAGCGTTTCTTGCTGCACAACACGACGGCCTGCAGCATCTCGTGGGGGGAGACGTGGGCCTTGAAGTTCCTGGGATTGCGCAGCTTCCTCATCAGCTCCCCGAAGCGCTGCACCAGCAGGAACATGATGTCCCCCGGCGGCCGCTTGATCTCCCGGTAATTCTCCTCCTCCAGGAAGTAATTCCTCAGCGGAGGCACGTTAGACAGGGCCTGAAACACACAGAGGTGAACCTTCACACTGTAAACTGCCCTCCATCCAGCATTCCGCCTCCTCAACAACAACAGGACATTTACACGGGGGCCTTTCCCAAGGCGCTGGACACTCAGGAATTTGGACCCGAGCCGGGGGTTGGCATCAGGAGGGGTGGAGAGCGGGTAGTGTGGAGGGCAGGGAGGGGTGAGGGTAGGAGGGTGACCGAAGGCGGGGTCGAAGAGCAAGGACTCGACATGTACTTTATGGGTTGGTTTAGGCTGAGTTTTTTAATTTGAATCAAGACTTTACCTGTAGCACCACATTAGCATAGTCATTGGCTTTGATGTTGTTGAGGCCGACGATGCCGGGGAGGTAGGTTGTGCCATCGTAAGCCCTGGACAGTCGGCTCTGCTTGTCCAGGTTTGCTATGTGCAGCTTGGTGAAGGTGGGTTTCAGCACGTACTGAAACAGAGAGGCTTCAGGTCAGTCACAACACTCACTGCCCACAGGCAGTAGCACTGCCCTCAGCCTGAGGACACTCACCACCTCATGATAATAATCCTTGCATTTGATATAGCGCCTTATCACATGAGAGGTAAACACGCCTGAACTATCGCTGCTCTCTCAGCTCCAGTGTAGTGTGGTGCCTGCCTGCATTCAGCCTATACTATACTGTGCACATCAACCTAAACCAGTCTGTGGTGTGTGATGCAGCGATCATTCACTTTATGGCTGTTTGTGGGACATTGCTCCGTGCAAAATAGTGGCGGAGCACGACGGCAAGCCGGGGAGAGAGGGGAGGTGACCGTAGGCGCTGTTGAAGAGGAAGGTCTTCAGGTGGGATGTGAAGATGGACAAGGAGGTGGCGAGACAAAGGGATTGAGACAGTTAAAGGGGCTGAACAGTATAATAATAATAATAATCCTTGCATTTGATATAGCGCTTTTCACGTCGGGAGGACGTCCCAAAGCGCTTCACAGAACACTCTGTAAAGTGAATTGACTGTATATTTGTGGACGAACGCGGCAGCCAATTGCGCACAGCAATGTCCCACAAACAGTCGTAGATTGAAAATGACCAATTTATTATTGTTTTTGGTTTTGGAGGGATTATTATTAGGCTCTGTGTGGAGTAAGGAAACTTGCCCAAGGTTTCGCCCTCTGCCTGGAATTGAACTCAGGTCTCTCGCTTGCAAAGTGAGTGCTCTAACCACTGAGCTGCAGGACTCCACAGTATTGTACTGTGGCTGTGTTATCTCTGTTTAATACTAACAGTATTGTACTGTGGCTGAGTTATCACTGTTTAATGCTAACTGCGGTGGCTTACCGTGATGTCCTCCAGTGAGGAATCAATGATCTCATAGTTGTCGGGTAAGCAGTAGAACTTGAGTGTGTGCAAGTTCAGGAAGACGTGATGTCCCACCTGGACACTGTGAATGTTAGCGAATGACTTCAGCCCACGCCCTGGGGAGCAAAAAACACAGTCACATCCATTGGAAAAGTGATCCGCTAATCAACTGACAACCGGGTTCCTACTTCTTGCTAATTAAACAGAGGTTACGTGTGGAGTAAGGAAACTTGGCTAAGGTTTCTCCCTGCCCAGGAATCAAACCCGGGTCCCCTCGCTTGCGTGGCGAGATGGGTCAACGTGCATGAAAGCATTCAGGAGGAAAGGAGATAGCTGGTTGGATGAAACGTTTACCTTGGAAGTACTTGCCACACACCAGGCAGGCGTAGACATTAATGTGGGAGAGGGAGACCGAGCACAGCTTCTCAAAGTCAAAGTCCAGGACACTCCTGTCAACACAAGCAGATAACGGTTAGCAGGGCCTCAACTTCTCCAGCTTGGCGCCTGGCAAGAGCAACTCACAACAACACGTTACATTTTCCACAGCGCCTTTTAGGTCAGCAGGACCAGGACGTGCAAGGCGCTGGAAGTCCCAGAACGCCAGAACCAGTTCGGGACTTATGTGCAAGCGACCGCCAGTTGGGTGCAAGGCGGACTGGATGGGCTTCTTTTGGCCAAGCATTTCTCTCTCGCTCCTACGTCTTAACAGTTTCCATCAAATGGGAGGATCGTTTGCTGGAGAATCTGACAGAAGAAACCAGTCATGTCTTCGTCCCCGCAGCGAGGAGGTTGGCGTGAGCGCTGTGTGCGAAGGGCGCGAGAGACGTGCGAACTGTTGTCGTCGTCGTCCGTCTCACTCACCTGTTGATGGTGTCCAGGTACGGGCAATGTCGGCTTCGATCGTCCTCAGACTCACTGTGAAGCCGTGAGCACTTCGAGGCCACTGTCAACGAGAGGAGAGGGAGTCAGAGACAAACCCCCCGAACCCCCCCCACCCCCTCAGTCTGTCTGTACGTCCTCCTCTACAACCCCCCACATCCATTCTACCCGACACCATATAGCCCCATAGAAACACCTCACCCCCCCACCCACCGACCGACTGACACCCCCCCTCACCCCCTGGCCCCCCACACCCACCCCCCTCACCCCCCAACCCCCCCTCACCCCCTAACCCCCCACACCTCACCCCCCCTCACCCCCTAACCCCCCCACACCTCACCCCCCCCCTAACCCCCCCCACCTCACCCCCCTCACCCCTGCCCCCCCACACCTCACCCCCCCTCACCCCCCTCACCCCCTAACCCCCCCACACCTCACCCCCCCCTCACCCCCTAACCCCCCCACACCTCACCCCTGCGCCCCCACACCTCACCCCCCACCCCCACCACCCACCGACCCCCCCCCACCCCCCACACACACAGACTCTTCCAGAACCTTCCACCCCCAACACACAGCCACAGACGCTTCTAGAACACCCCCCCCCCCGCCCTCCCGGGGGTATAATACCTCCCCCCACCCACAGCCTCTCCCGGACCCGCCTCCCCCTCACGGAGCCCCGGGACCCGGTACCTGGCGACTCCTCCTCGGCCTCCGCTTCTTCCCGCTCCCGCTTCAGCGCCGCCATCACCAACCGTCACCGCCACCCGCCGGAGGCCGAGCGGCCGCGCGCCCGGAGTTGCCACTTTCAGCCGCTTCGAGGGCTAATCGTCCAGTGTAGCGTCAGCGTCTCAGCCCATCCCCAGGAGATCATTTTCTGGCACCAAATAATCTCGTGCGATAATTATTTAAATGATAAGTTTAAATAATAATTTGATTATTGAACTGGTGATTTAATAACCGTTTCGCTTCGGGTATAACACAGTGGGATATGGTCGAGCTGTTATATTATTTAAATAATATGTCCTCACGTCGGGATATACCACAATTAAACTATTACTAAATAATAATTTGCAGTATATGCAGTGTGTAGTTTGGGTCGGGACATGTCCAGCGACTGCCAGGATGATGGAAGGCAAAATGGATGGACCAAGGTCTTCCATCCAGCAAATTCTTATGTTCTTAGGTGTTGTCACTTGCCCGGAGTTTTAATATAATAATTTAATCATATGAACAACAACTACAACAACTTGGATTTATATAGCGTCCTCCACGCCGGACGGCGTCTCAGAACGTTTAAATCCCATGATTTCCTAAAGTGCTTCAGCGGATTTCATTGTAAGTTATTAAGGTATTCTCCTGGTTCGTTGTTTGAGTAGAATTTCTAAGTGTGGAGAAAAATACAGTTCACACACAAACCCATAAATTAAATAAATTTTAATAAATCAAATAAAAAATTACAATAATTAAATCACCATCACAAGAAGTAGTGCATAATCATTTTCTGGTGGGCGCTCGCTATGTTTTGACCGCGTTTCTCCTCTGAAAAGGGTAGTATTACAATTACAAATGCAAGTAAGTATTACTACTATTATTATTAAAATTACCAAACAGAATCCTAATAATAATCCTTGCACTAGATTGGATACAGCGCCTCATCAAGTCTTCGGGATGTCCGAAGAGCGCTTCACAGAATAAACTGTAAAGTGGAATAACTGTGTGTTTTACGGACCGAAATATAAGTAAAGATTATTATTACAATTATTACAATCAACAAATAAAAAGTAAGGATTATTGTTGGTCCTCAGTTGCGTCGCTGAGGGCAGGAGGTGCACTGTGATGGGAGTGTGAGGCTCGGCCGCCTCCATCACTCCGGGGAAGCAGCTGGTTGGCCGCCTGGGCGCCCGCTCAGCCCCGCGGCGCACGGCACACGGCACACGGGCCGGATGGAGGTTTGGAGCGACCCGGAGCCTGAGCCCGACCACACCGGCGCCCGGGACAACAAGGCGCCGAAATCCGCTCGGCTCGACATGAGCCACGGCTTCGTTCGCCACATCCGCCGCAACCAGATCGCCAGGTTCGGCCTCCGCTCGGCGCCCTTTGCCAACCCTCTCGCCGAGACGTGACTGACAGCGGCATTAGCCAATCAGCAGCCAGGATTCTCCAGCTAGCCACCAATCAGCATGGAGAGGGGGCGGGAGGACAGGGTTGGGTGATTGACAGTAACCGTAGCCATTCAGCAGCCAGGATTCTCTTCATAGCACCCAATCAGCACGGAGAGGGTGGGATGACAGGACGGGGTGATTGACAGCAGCCATAGCCATTCAGGAGCCAGGATTCTTCCCCTAGCGGCCAATCAGCGTAGAGGGAAGGCGGGATGAAGGGAATGGTTTGGGACATAGCTCTTTTCACACACAATGGGTTGAATGGCCTCGTTCTGTGCTGCATAATCCTCTGATATAATTAAGGGGATCGAGGGTGTCCCTCTGCAGTCGAGAGGGAGAGTCCGGGCGGGTGGGTGGCCTTCCCGGTGCCAGCGTAAGGGTTATTTCACAGCGGCAGGAGGGAGCCGGTTGTCGTTATCCACCAACGACGAAGGAAAGAGCAAGAAGGAAGGTCCTCCTGAGGGCGCGTCAAGAGCTAGCGGTTAAATTAATAAACAGGACCTCGGAGGTGGTGATCTCCGGATTGTAACCCGAGTCACCTGGTAATTGGCCCAGAGATAAAACAGATCAGGGAAGTGAAGGTGTGGCTGAGAGATTGGTGTGAGGAGGGGCACCCTTTCATGGGACACTGACACCAATACTGGGACAGGCATGAGCCGTACTGCTGGGATGGGCTGAACCTGATCAGGGCTGGGACCAAGATAGGATAAACAGGACTGTAGAAAAAGCTTTAAACCAGTAAGTGGAGGAGGGTGGGGGGAGAGGGTGGAAACAAGATATAAGGCAAGGAGAGGATGAGAGCAACGGTCAGAATACAAATAGTGATCAAGACACAAATACGACAGGAAAGAAAAAGGTCATAGGAAATTATCACAAAAGGTGTAACAAGTCAAATTTTTCCAAGCTGTGAGGGGAGGGCTAAACGTAATTATTGTCATTGCAGACACGGTCTGAGGTAAAAGGACAAGTGATCTGAATTGGTGATCCAATAACTAAATGAGGAATGTTCTGCCCCTTTCAGAGACGATTACGACAAGGAGGTCAGGCAGGCGAAAGAGAGGCAGAAGAAAAGGCAGACGCCAGGTCCAGTCCGTCCCCGAAGACCTGACCTCCAGGTCTATCACCCCCGGCACAAGAGTAAGGACAACTTGCCTATAATTGTCAGCCGTGCGCTCAGCCTCTTTGCCTGAATTTCTACAACTACAACTCCTTCCTTGCCTCACTCCCTCCGTGTTCAAATAACCCTGAGGACTTTCCCCTTCAACTGTGCCTTCGGGTTATCTCCTCTCCCTTTCCAACTCAGGATCAAACCACGCTACTGTTAAACACTCCGAGATGTTGCCCAGATGAAGGACATTATAAATGCAAGTTGTTGTTTCCTCGGCTTGTCAGACTAGACTGGGAGTTCAAAGTACCAATGTGGGACTTGAACTCATTGGTGAGAGTGATACCAACTGCGCCAGGCTGCCACCTCTCCTCTTAACCATCTGTTACAGTGAAAACAGATCCATTTGTTTAAGCTATAACCCCCTCATCCCTGCTAGCACTCACTCCATGGCTGACTGTGGGACACTGCTGTGCCACATTACTCTACAGTATATCCTCTGAAGCGCTTTGAAACATCTAGAGGAATGAATTTAAATGTTAATATGTACTGTGTTGAATGTATTTTGCCCCTCCCTGTGGGTCTTGTCGTTGCTGAAGGATACCTTGCTGAACGCAGTGTCTGTGGTTTCACTGTCCTTAGTGTCAAGTCAATATACTTAACAAAGTCTGGGATGTGGACACATCTGACTCGATGGCTTCACAATTGGAAACCTCCAGTGGGTCTGTGTCTGCAGACATCAGTCAGACTCCACTAAGGCCACAGTAAAGCTTCATCATCATCATCAGCAGCCTGGCCTTGTATGCAGTACAGTCTCCAAACTAGGTTGACTAGGCTCCTCACCCACACCCCAGCCCCGAGCACACAATATACACAATCACCCATTGACGTGAAAAGCACTATATCAAAATGCAAGGATTATTATATTATTTATTAATGAACGATCCTGAGCTTTGGTTAATGGAAACAATTTACTGACCTTTCCCCACAGATGGAGCCGAGGTTGAAGACTCAACTGAGAGCAGCTCAGAGACAGAGACCGAGCCACAGAACCCAGAACTTTTCTGCCTCGAGTTTCAAGCTGACGATAAGATAGTCACCTCTGTTGTCATCCATCAGGTATAGTTTCCCTGAGAGAGGTGCGTCCATTAGCATAGTGGCTAGAGCATTTGCCTCGCAAGCGAGAGGACCCGGGTTAGATTCCTGGGCAGAGCAAAACCTTAGGCAAGTTTCCTTAAATCACATGTTCTGTTTACCTAGCAATAAGTAGGAACCCGCTTGTTAGTCGATTGGTGGATCGCTTTCCGGGGGTAATATTCCCTCCAAAAAAACAAATAATAATAATTTGGTCACTCAATCCCTGACTGTTTGTGGGACGCTGCTGTGCGCAATTGGCTGCCGTGTTTCACCCACAAAATACAGTCACTACACTTTACAGTGTATCCTGTGAAGCGCTTTGAGACGTCTCGTCAACGTGATAAGGCTCTATATCAAATGCAAGGGTTATTATTATTTCTCTCTCTGCACAGGGAGATGACCCCAAGAAAGTGGCAGAGCAGATTGGCATTAGGAACAGGCTGGAGCCTGCCCTGAGGGAAGCTTTGAGACTCCGAATCCAGGAAGAAATGGAAAAGAGACTATGGAAACGCTGAGCCAGAGTCTGGCTGACGATCTAAAGTTTTGTTTCTCCTCTTTCCCCCACCCCCTACACTCCCCCGCCCTGACATTCCCTGTTGTGTTGAAATGCGGGGAGATGGATGCGGGTGACTGGGACCCAAAGGGGTGGTGGTTGCAGAGAGATCTGACATCAGTGGTCAGGATAAAACAAAAAGCAGGAATTGTTGTGTGTGTGGGACTGGGACGAGGTAAAGAAAGAGCTGTAGTTTATTGCTGAAGAGGGTACAAGCCAACAGGACTTGGTATAAATGAACAGCACAACACGGGTTATCAGTATATACAGGGCAGAGAGGGATATCAGCGAGTCACTGTCATTCATCAGCATTCCCAAAATAGGTCTGCACTTCAAATGAAATTCCGGGGAGGGATTTGGTGACTGTGCCCATGGGATGGAGGGAATTTCTGAACCCTGACACTGGATTTCAGAAACGCAAGCCAGCGGGAATGCCTGGAGTTCTCCTGTGCTGCGTCAAGAGCAGTCAGGAAATAAACCCGAAAAGTTAGTACAGTATCTTCCCAACGGCAGCTGGAAGCTTGACAGTGTCCAGTCACAGTGCAAAGGATGCTGGTGTGAGCTGAACGACTCCCTACACACACCACACACACAGCTCAGCTCCCCTTCACTTCGCAAATTGTTCCAAAATGTTCATCACCACCTAATTGAGTCCTGCATTGGATTAGGTGACCTGATGATTAACACGCACGCACAGAGTGAGTGCTTCACAAGTCCTCTCGACCCACACCTTTATCAATGGCTGTCTTTGCACATTTTAGTCAACCTCTTCGGGATATCATGAAATAGCTTTATTTAAGATTGTTTCCAAGATTGGAAATACCCATCAGATATTTTGAGGGACTATAAACGTCTAGTTTTCCTCATTATGGCCAGATTTTATACTCATTGAAAAAATAAACCAATGTTTTGTTCCCTGGGTTTCTGTGCAGACATACAGCAACCCCTGGTGATGTCCTGAGCTGTACACTCCAGGAACTGCAGGGTGGGCTGAGCTCAGTCAGGGCAGCTGTTATTATTGTGCTTATTATTGGGTTAGTGAGGTGCTGAGTTAGACATGTATCTGTGCTATGTTTCCACCAAAGCTCCCTCCAATACCTCAGCCAAGTGGCTGTTATCACAGTGGGTGATTGTGGACAACAAATGACATTTACATGGAGTCTTTCACGTCAGGAGGGTGTCCCAAACTGCTGGACAGTCAGGGATTTGGATCCGAGCTGGGGATTGGGATCAGGAGGGGTGGAGGTCAGGGAGGGTGGGGGTAGGAGGGTGGCGGAAGAGGAGGGTGTTGAAGAAGGGAGCGGGGGTCGAGGAGAAGGGACTGTGGGATGGAGTTCGAAAGGGTGGGGGCAGAGGCCGTCTAACCCTGTGGCACAGATATTGGCTGAGGCACAGAGCTGTCTGTATGATCGTATCTGACTGGCCGGTGGCTTGACTCACCCACTGAGCCATCAGAGGAGCCGGGAGGATGTTTCTAAAGGGCACTGAGTGATAACCGTGACTTGTGAGGGCGGGAGTTCTGGGGTTCAGATCCGCAGCAGGAAATATCATGTGAATCTTGTGGAATCGTGTGCCTGTTATTACGGTTATTACCGAGGTTTTTAAGTGTGACGTTATTGTGATCAGGTCTGTGGACAGCAGTCGCACCCAGATCACGTGTCAGCCTGACTGGCTTTGTAATGCTCTCACCTCTGGGCCTGACGGCTGTGGGTTGGAGCTCACAGTCCAGGCAGACGTAGTGCTGGGGAAACTCCACCTTTCACATGTGTCTTCACCGTGGCAGCATCTCGGGAGCTTAAACGTCGGAATCACATTGAATCGCAGGAAATGAAGTTCTTCTGGGCACCCGGAGATGGGTGTAGCCTGCGGTTCCCGCAATTCAAAGCAGCCGGTGACCGCGTGAGGAATACAAACACAATACAAAATTACATTTGCGAAGCGCCTTTCACGTCGGGAGGACGTCCCAACGTAATGGAGGGCAGGGGAGTGGGGTTACCAATTAGCAGGCGATCAATACGAGGTGCGCAAAGAAATCTAAGTGGGTTCGATTGGAGACTGAATGGGACTCGGGTGAATGTGCAACTTAGGAGTTGATACGATTTATAAAGATCAGACTGATGTGAGTTTTACTGTGTGGGGTTGGGGGGGAGGGAGAGAAAACACTTGACCGTTGTGTTTCCGCTGTTGCTTGGTCTGTGCCTGGCTGGAGATGGGTCTGGTTTGAGATGCTGAAGGTGACAGCAAGGCTTTACTTGAGGAAAGGGGATGCTCTCTCATCTTAGCTCCTCATAGAGAGTAGTCAGTACCGATTGTTATTGTTTGTGAATTTTTACTCCCAGTATTATCAAATAAACTTTGTAGGTTTGTACAAAGGTGTCTTGATACGTGTGGAAACCCATCACCGTGCTTAACAGCATCCAAACCAAGCTGAGAATTCTATACATCCCACCCACGCGTGGCAAATGCGTCACCTTGGGGGTCAGTTCAGCTCCGAGGAGACCCCACTTACCCCCTCCACACACCCCCCAAAGAGGACAGTCACTAGTTGGCCATTTAACATCCATAAGTGTGGGTTTGAGCCTCACAAGGTGGATGGCAGGTACCAGGGACTCGCTGGAGATTCCTGGTGGGCAACGGCTCGGAATGAAACGCGTGAGAGCATTGCCCACAGCTCAAGAGACACTTCCCTTCCCATTGAGCCATGGTTCGACCAGTTGGAGGTGCGGAGTTTAATCAGCAGCGGCTTGCCTCTCCGCAGGCCGATCGAGGTGGGTTCAAGGCGCTGGAAACTCGTGTTAGCAAACCGAGACTCCTGCACAGGATGGGAGCAGAGAGACATTCACTGACACACCCCTGAACATTACCTAATCGACATCTCTTGGCTCGTTAAAGTCTCCCTCACCCTCCGGCCTGTAAATCAGCAGTCTCTCCCGAACAGACACAGTCCGCTGGGCATAGAGGGTGTTAATGCTGTCAAGACAGGTTTGGAAACATTCCCAGCCCTTGATTAAAAATCCAGCAACACGATTGGCAAGGCCATGGGAGTTTCTCTGGCATCCTGTCCAGCCTGTTACTTTTTTGTCAGACCCTAAGTCTGATACACGCACAAACCCATCAACGTACTTGAAAGAGTCTCCAAACCAGACTGAGAGATCCATGTAGATATGTCACTTACACATGGAGATTTCCCCCCGCACTCACACACACACACACACACTGCAGGAACACACTCACACTCACACACATTGCAGGAACGCACTCACACACACATTGCAGGAACGGACTCACACACACACTGCAGGAACACACTCACATGAAGCTCCAGCTGCTTGTCCAGCGAGGACCACCCTAACCATCAGGGCTTTGGCTGCAGGGTTAACAGGAGCTGAGTGGGATGACTCTCTGCCCCCAGTGACTGGTCGGCACTTCCAGGTCCTGCCGATGAGCCGGGCCGGGCTGTGCTGTCATCACCAGTGAGTGCCCTGGGACACTGCGGCCCCTCCTGACTCAGGAACCAGGACTAGAGACTGTCACGGGGGGGGGGCTCGATTCCGACATTCCGTTGCCAAACACGTTACCTTGGGGCCAGTTCAGACCTTGCTTATCCCACCCACCCCCCACCCCCCATAGCTTGGCCAATAAACCCACAAACTGTTATTCACTTGATGGCTATCACTAGGGCCTTTTTGGCATTGATGGCCACTGTGTTTGGCTACAAAAGCAATCACTACCAGTAACTAAATCCTGTACAGTACTTGTGGTGACAAAGGCATGGACAAGGGCTTCGGCAGCTTGTGGAGATAGCTTTATGGCCAGCTTTATAAACTGCAGACAGCTTTATGGCCACCAGGTAGCATATATGCTCCATCTGTGCCTCCCTCCCTCCCTCGCACACAGCACCCGTCCTGGGAACAAGATCAGGCCTGAAATTCAGCCTCTTCTGAAAAACCTACAAACCGTCTTGTTCTAGAAGCGAGCTGTGGAAAACTCCCAAACTCAGCCTTCATGTAGAAGCCAGCTTCCCACAGTCCTTTTATGTGGAATCCTGTAGTGTAGCGGTTAGAGCCCTCGCCTCGGGTTCGATTCCTAAAATAAGTTTCATTACTTCACGCACTCGCCTTTGTTTACCAGCAGTCAGTAGGAACCTGTTTGTTAGTCGATTGGTGAATCGCTTTTCTGAGGGTAATAATCCCTTCAAAAAAAANTGATAAATTAGTTACTTCAATCCACGACTGTTTGTGGGCCCCCACTGGGCATATTTTACCCACAAAATACACAGTCACTACCCTCTGCAGTGTATCCCGTGAAGCGCTTTGAGACGTCTCAACGACGTGATAAGGCGCTGCATCAAATGCAAGGACTGGTGAGCTCAGGGATCCTAGTCCACTGTATCTCCTATTGCCCCTTCTATCTCGTCTTCAAGAATCTTATGCTTAGATTCAGCAGCAAAATGGAATGCAAAGGCCACACTCCTGACTGAGGGTCCACAGGGGAGTGGGAAGGGAGGGAGAGACGGGCGCAGGGCACCAGACGGGTGAGTGATAACCAACACAGGTTAGCAGTGGCCGGTACACAGTACCCAAGACAGGTTAGCAGTGACTCAGCGCATAATCATAATAACAATAATAAAAATAATCCTTGCATTTGATACCAGGCCTTATCAGGGAGTGTCGGTGTGGGGCCGAGGCACTCGGGCTGCCCTGCTGTGGAGTTGTTTATTTACCAGAAGGTTTACAGTGTAGCACATTAATCCTATAACCTTGTGTATGGCAGGGCCGCGGCTGACACACTGTACAAGCAGCGGGAGATACAGTGAGTCCAGTTACACGGCCCCGTCTTCAGGCCCGATTGTTAGCTGCCAAACATTCACTTACTGCTCGGTGATACTCGGAAATGGTCACACAAGCCCCAGGCTACAGTCACTGACCACAGCGGAGCACAGCGCCTCTCGCACGTTCCTGGGATTGAGCTATATAAAGGCTGCGTTACTGCAAATTGGAGATATAACACTTTGCTACACGTTGAGACATTCTCCCTCCATCAGTGATAGCTGATTGTCAAGCAGCAAGCTTTGGTTTCCTTGTGCCCTCTCGCACTTATTGCCTTGCCTTTGGGTGTCAGTCTGGCTCGGACCCTCGCACTCTCACCTCTGGTTGGAGCCCCCCCCCACATCGGGGTCTTTGAACACACACACAGTCCAGGCTGACCCTTCGATGCAGCGCTGGGTGGGGTAGAGTGCTCCGCATTGTTGGAGGTGACGTCCTTCGGGTGAGATGTTAAACCGAGATCCTGTTCGGACGGAAGTTAAAGAGAATAATAAAAATGTTTGCATTTGATATAACGCCTTATCATGGTCGTTGAGACATCTCAAAGCAGGATATATTGTAAAGTGTAGTGACTGTGTATTTTGTGAGCAAAACACGGCAGCCAATTGCATATCACTGAGATGGTTCTTACACCCCTATATGTACACCCACGATATGGCTCGCTCTGCCTCGCGGAGTGCACTGGGTGGCCTCTGTGTTCAATCCTCACTAATGAATGAAAGTCCCTATAACTCGGTGAAATTTGACTAATGAGTTCTTCCACGACGACAGATACTACCAATTGCTGTTTAAATTAAAGCAAATTGGGAAGCTTCAGTCAATCTGTGACCGAGGCTAAACCTGTTTATAATAATAATAATCCTTGCATGTGATATAGCGCTTTTCACGTCGGGAGGATGTCCCAAAGCGCTTCACAGAACACTCTGTAAAGTGAATTGACTGTATATTTGTGGGCGAACGCGGCAGCCAATTGCGCACAGAAATGTCCCACAAACAGTTGTGGATTGAAAATGACCAATTTATTATTGTTTTTTGGTTTTGGAGGGATTATTATTAGGCTCTGTGTGGAGTAAGGAAACTTGCCCAAGGTTTCGCCCTGCCTGAACTCAGGTCTCTCACTTGCAAAGCGAGTGCTCTAACCACTGAGCTACAGGACTTGTGTATTCCCTCCTTCTTTGAATTATGCAGAAAGCTCGAGAAAGCCTAGTTAAATAAACTCAACAGAATTTGACTGTTGTTCCGATGAAATCCACAATGCTCGGCATTAAATGTTAAACAACATGATAAATGTCAACAAGACCAACTATGAGATTAAACATTAATCACACTCCACACGCCAGTAGCCACTTGTAATGAAGT